TGCTGCGTTTTTTGTAGGATTTTGTCTAACTCTGGCGCTGAGGTCGTCGCCTTATGGATCTTGTTGTTGATATCATCAAGGCGTTGATGGAGAAGATCGAGCTCCGAGACCGTCGTCATGTCGGCACCTGTGGTGTTGCGCAAAGAGCGAGCGTTGGAACCTTCCATCTGCGCTCTTTGCAGGTCGTCTGTCGGTGTGGTGTCGAACAGATTGTTGACCAGTCTTGCCGTTTCTATGTTGTGGATCGGCCAATGCGGGGGCGTGGTCAGATCGGCATGTTCTTGGGTATGAATCCTAGCGTTGAGAAGCCGATCTAGGTCTTCCCGATAGGCAATCTGTTCGGCACGGAGGGACTCGAAGCGAGCATCCATGCCCTGTCGTAGCTGTTCTGCGACCGACCTGATGATAGTGGCCATGTCAATAGGAGGTGGCTGTGGCAGGTCAGCCGGGTTTGTTCCGCCAGTATGGCAGACCTGATCTGATCGTCCAGTGTTTTGTGCAGTAGTCGTGTCGTCAGTCCGTACGTTGGTCTGATCGTCGATTGGGAGTCCGGTGATTGGATCGACGATCAGGCCCTGGGTGCTTCTGGTGGGATCAGTAGCTCCTTCTGTACGATCAGTAGATCCTCCGGTGAGATCGGTGGCTCCCGTGGTAAGGCTGGTATCGGGGTTGATCGGTGTGCCAACCATCTTCAAGCTCAGTTCTATTACAAAGATTGTTCTCTTATCTCTCAAGTTCGACTTATAAGAGAACTAGGGTTTGTGGGTTTAAAGAGAGATCTTTTATTAGAAGAAGTCGGAGCTTGATAGAATACACGGATGTTTAGGTCGTTGGAATAAGAACGTCGACCTAAACTTTTAGGAAAGTAAATCGGGAGTTTGAACAACAAGATATGTTTAGTTTGCCCTAGGTCTCGAGAGAGATTTTTAGATGATCTGAGAAGTCGAGGACTTCCTGTATTTATAGCCGATCAGGTCGGTCTTCAACGTCGGTTTGGAATAGGAAAGTTTCCTTACCGATAAGACTGAATTTCTGTTTTTCAAGTATCGTTCGATAAATGGAAGATTTCCATTTATTTTGCCGACTTGAACCTTGTAAGATGAACCGGCCAGAATTCATATCGGGCTTGTAGAGATGGTGCCGAATCTCATCTCTAACACCGCTCTTAGGATAAGTAAATATGGTAAAATTCATTTTGGTTTAATTAGCAATAGCACAAGAAAAAAAATACTTAATATATATATATTGGCAAGATTATATTGTGTAAGGAGAAAAAGAAAGTATAGTATAGATAATATTCACACATATTATAAAAATTTAATTATTATTTAATATACTTTTATATTTTGTAATTATTTGTTAATGTAAATGTTAGAAAAAATAAAAAAAATTTCAAAAGACACAAAAAGATAGGAAACGTTTGTGTGATTGTTGTTGAACATTAAAACTGTATATGTATAAAAACATAACGTTCACATAAATATAAGAAAGTTAATCAATACTTAAATATTAAAACTAATTATGTCTAAAAAAATTATACATGCACATGCATGCGAGCCAAAAATAAAATTAAATAAATAATCATAGATTTTCATGTTTTCCTATTTATTTAGTTATCATATTTATATTTTCATCTAAAAAAATATGTTAAAATCTTATTTAATATTTTTTATCTTCATTTTCTTTTTAAATCTATAACATTTTATATTTATTTTATCATTTTTATTATTAATATATAATTAATTATATACAAATAAAATATTTTTAATATTATACTAATAATAATTAAATATATTAAATATTTTATAGTCTGCACACGGTGCAGGCTGATCACCTAGTTTTAAAATAATTAACTAAAAATTTAATTGTTGCATTTTTTTCTTATTTTCAAACATTCGTTTATATATTTTAATATTAAACTGATATTAACATTAAAAACTAAAATTTATAATGAACAAGTTGCAAATTATTTTTATAAATAAATTTGAAAAGCTATATGAAAAAAATATAATGTGAATTTATTATTAAATATATTTTTATTTTTATATAGAAAGTTTAAAAATCGAAATATATTTATTTTATTGATAATTTGGTTTTTAATTGAAAGTTCAAAAATTAAAATATATTCTAAAATACACTCTTATTTGTATAACATTTTCAAAATAATTATTTTATGTATCAATTAATGGTATTTAATCTTGTAATGTGGTAATTAAATAATTGTTTTTTAATTAACACATTATTATTTAACATATATTAAACATGAAACATTTCAGAATTTGAATACCACTTATTGATAAATCAATTAAGTTTCAAAATCGAATACCATTAATTGATAAGTCAACTAATTTTTAAAATGGAATACCGTTAATTGATAATAGATATTTTCAGATGGAAAGAGATGCTTTTAGAAATAGATATATCGAAATAATAGTCATAAATAATTTTATATATAAACAAATCAATTAAAAATCTCGGAACATATCTTTAACAAACCAATATACAGATTTATCAAATTTTCGAATTTCTTTAACTAACCTTACAAGATATTTTAAAATATCTAAACAAAGAAAAAAAAATAACTAATATCAGATTTTTGAAATTTTAAATTTGGGGATAAACCTAGATTGTTTGGCACACTTTCTCTTCTCTATAAATAAAAATCCACATCCTCTATAATAGTTCTAGATTGCATTGTTCATTGTCTATAATTTTTTTTACCTTTAGATATTAAAATATTGGTTACTAATATTAAATAGTGTTTTTATGCGTAATAAGTAGCAAAGTGGTCGGATCTTGGTAGTGATATTGTATTGCATTCTCTCCAAACAGGTAGTTGCTTTCATGTTTTTTTTTCTTTGAGTATGTGTTTTTGTTTCTTTTGGTGTCAAATGCTCGCTTTACTTATTATTTTTGTTGTTTTATTTTACATCATCATTTATGGATATATATATATATATATATAAATTTATATAGTATTATGTATTTGGAATTTTCTAAATTTTGTGTACGATGAGTATTAATTATAATTTTTTCAAATTATTTACTTTATTAATATAAATATTATACATTTTTTATGTTAAAATCTTGTATTATAACCTAAACCAATAAAATAAAGAAGGATTGAAGTCATATTTTTAGGTATTTTTATAATTTTTAAGTGAAGAAAACAAATATTAATTTTGAAATATCATGCATACAATAGATACAAATATATGGTATAAAATCAATATATAGTCGAAATCATCAATATAAAATAGATATAAATATATAAAAATTAAAATAAAATCAATTTTTTTTTAATTTACAAATTTTACCCCGCACGATCGTGCAGGTAGTAACCTAGTCCTTCTTAAAATTTATTCTTTCATTCCACCTTCTAAATATAGAGAAATAAAAGGAATGAAAGGAATTTACTATTACACTAACAATTCATTTTTTCATTCCATATTATTTATCATTCCATTTTTTGTCCATTCCCTTTAATTCCTTTAAAACATAACAAGTTACAGCCTTTGTATAATTTATATTTAAGACTAAAATAACTGTATACCTTTTTATATGTAATAAATACTTTTACTTTGATTCTATGTAATATATTATATAAATTTTATTTGATTTTGAGCAGAAAACAAGATATTAAATCAAAACCTCTAAAGCTACAAGAACGTAGAAGAAAGTCATTTGATCACTCTAAACGAAAGACGAGATCTTGAATCAAAAAGATAGTTTGATCAACAATTTATTCATTTTAATCTATATTTTAATCAAAATATGAAAGTAGATGGAAAACAAAAATATATAAAACTTGTATAAATTATTTTTATAATATGATAAACTTAGTAATTGTAATAAATCAATAAAACAAAATTTTCTACTAATTGTATTTTTTAAAAGCATGACTATCACTTAGAGTGATTTCATAATCTGTATAAATAACTAAATTTGATCTATAGAAATGTAGCTTAATTTTATATATCATATAAAATTGATATATATATATATATATATATTTTTTTTTTTACTTTAGTAGCACTGATCGTCATTTTACTCATTCATAGCCATATGTCTTAATTTTTACTAAATTTATCACTCCATCTTTTTAGTCATTGCAGATTTCATATAGTAACTATCTACTTCGAAGATTAGTTGTGTTTTTATCTTATTTATATTTTCATAAGAAAAATGTATAGTATTTCTAAGTTTGTATCAATCCACTAAACATAGTTTGAATCTTATACAATTCTATATATTATGATTGACTCTAATCCACCTAATGTATTTGTGAATTATTTGAACAATGCATATTGTAAGTGACAAAGAAAAGTTTATGGCATACCAAATCAGTATGTTTTCAAAAGGGTTTAGTGGGATGTCACTGTCAAAGAATTAATTGGGCAAGACATACTATGATTAAAAGTAAAATACTGGGAGAAAATTTATCATGGGTAAGATTTGTTTTCTCAATATAAGATGAAATGTCATAACTACAAACTACCATTATGTTTATGAAATGCCCAGATTCGATATCAAACCGGAAGCATCTAAAGGTCTGGTTCGATAATTTCGGTTCGGTTAAATGTCCAGAAGCCTCTGAAGCCTGAAAGTCTTCATTTTCTCTATGTGCCGTGCGGCGTCTCTCTTCTACCGCGAGAGTTGCAATTATAATGGCGACGGAATCAATTTGTCTTATATCTTTCGCCTGGTTTACGAAAAACCCACTGTATCAATTTCACGAAAGAAGAAATCTTTCCTGTCGAGTTCGTTGTTCTCGATTCGGTGCAATCTGCTCAAAGACATCGGATTATCAAGGTAATATCAGTTCGCCAATTCTAATTCTCCATCGACTCTGCTGTTAATGTCCGCTTGATCAAATCCGAAACTTTCAATTCCTCTGCTGAACACAAAAATTAGGAGTGATGAGTTTGGATGATCATCGGAGTTTATATCAAAATCTACTATTTTTTACCTTCTCTGATTACGATAAATCAGTCAGTGTAATGTTACATTTGACTCTGTTTCCACTCTTGAAACTGCTGAAAGTTTTGTGCTTTTTAGATTTCCAGAGTTATGCAAGACCTCTGCGTCTCCTTCCAGCAGAAGAAGTGAAAGTTTACAGTGCAAACCCATCTTTCACTGTGAGCGAATCTCGATCTCTTTACAAGGTTAAGCTGCAGACAAGTAGTTTATTGGGTTCAGGCATTAGCGATATGAATGCTAGAGTTCTTATATGCTTGATAGACCAAAGGGGAGATTCGGTATTACAGACGATACCTGCGAATTTGTCAAGTGAGGTCACGGAAGATGGTGAAAGCTTCAATTTTCAGAGAGGCTCCCTTGATGAATTCGCATTTGAAGGACCTAGACTCGGCAAAATCAGAGCTTTTTGGATTAGTCTCGAGTCTGGTTAGCTTCTTTGCCATTGGACTTGTTTTAGGTGATTATAGAGAGTTAGTTTTTGGGATTCGCAGATGATAGATTTTTCCTTCATGTTTAGGTCAATGGAGAGTTGGAGGAGTGAGCTTGTGGGTGGCTTATCCTCGCGGCCAAGGAACTGTTCTTCGAGAGACCAATGACTGTGACCGATATGATTTTGAAGTCGATGACATCTTGCTTGGGGAGAGCAGTGAGCTATCAATGGTGGAACTCAGACCTACCCGTATCACCGAAGTCGCTGGCTCCGATCAGATCTCTTCGTCTTCAGCTCTGGATCTTGACCGTACAATCGTTTCCAAGGAGCAAAGCATGGAGGAGTACGCAGACCTGAAGCTCTCTCTGCTTCTCTATGACGCAATTCTCATCCTTGTTGGAAGTTCTGTCTTTTCCTTCTCGCTAGGCCAAAGCTCCGCCGTTGCTTTCTTCTTCGGTGGAACTATGGGATTTCTCTACTTGCTGCTCCTACAGAGATCAGTCGATGAACTGCAAGCACCGGGATCATCTTCACCCGAAAACTCCAGTCAAATCCTCAGCGGAAGACTCAAGATTCCGGTTTTGAGTCTCGCATTGGCAGTAGGATTGTCGATTTTAGCGGTTAGAGGATACATTGGAGAAGATCACACTGCGTTTGTAGTCACGCCAAAAGAGATTTTGGTGGGCACTTTGGGGTTTCTTGTGTGCAAAGTAGCCGTTGTTTTGGCTGCGTTTAAGCCCTTGAAGGAGGATGGGTCTTAACTCGCCAATGGTTTGTGTTCTCTTGTCTTCCGCACAAACTCTCTCTTGAGTTTGAAAGCCAGAAAATAGATGTATATGACTTTGTATACAAAAGATATATATGTAAATAAGAATCGATCCATGTGTATAAGGTAACTCCATCATTCTTTCACAAATCTTCTTCTTTCTTTCTCTGCAAATATCAGACATTTAATTCGACCTTTAGATTGCAAAACTTCTTGATGTCAGCACTATCTCTAAGCTAATCCATTTTCTGTAGAAACTATCTCACACACTTTCTTTACAGAAATTTCTGACCTTATCTTCCTGAAAGCTCAACTTGTGGTTGTATCCACATGGCATGATGAGAAAGAATGGGGGATATAGTTTTTACAGAAAAAATGGTTTCATTTGGTTTGGTGAATAACTACTCCACATGTTGCAGAAGAATAGCTTTGGGCAGTTTTGTATAAGTTATGCAAATGAGAGTTTCTTTGAAAAGGTAATGTGATAAGTAATCTCATCTAGAGTCAGCTCCCATCAAATGCTACATACATATATATGGGTTAATCTGTTTCTCAGTATGATATATATTAACATTTTGGCGATGACTTCCCATCATCAAGCTGCATAGCAATTGTTACGATACGTTGTGCTGAAACATATTTATTATTCATTCCAAAGCATCTCTTCTAAGTTCTAAGACAAGTTAAGTATCACTCTACGTGCAGAGCGACTCAAGAGGATATTGTTCATCAGCCACTAGTCTCACATGTCAACCGAGTTTCACAATACAGGCGGAGCAACTCAAGAGGAAACCAAAACGCAATCATTTGATCATCCTCAACGAGGAACTTCATGCGGATTTGAAGGAACAAACGGAGAATTTGACTTGTGGTCGCAGCTGGTTGAATCAAACTCGCCTACGCTTAGTCCTAATAGTGATGAGGAGGAGTACAATGAGTGGTTCAACTTCATGGACAACCAAACTTACTTTGATGATTTTATTTTACTCTGGTCGGAGACGTTTGTCTATGAATATATTGCACGATGAGAATGCTCATGATCATGATGATGAGCGCGTTGTCTCAACTTTTGAAATACTACCTGGATGTATCAACCTATGCATCATATCTTCAACTATAACATTTACGCCAAAATGATCAAAAATACAATTGAAATTAAGAAGCGACATCCTTTTTATGATATTGATTTATAATGTTCTGCTAGATTCACCAAAAAGCTCATCGACTGCTGAAAATGATTCTTGACACGTAAATATGTAGTTTGGTCATTACAAGTTTTTGGTCATTACAAGTTTGGTCATTACCGACTAGTTTGGTTATTACAAGTTTTTAGTACGTACAAATTGTTAGAATTCTATACAAATATGCATGCGATTGCCAATCATTACAAGTTTCATGTTTATGTTTTTTAATTATACTAGATCCACTACGTCGTCGCCGTTTTCAACTTAACCTACGTACGTACAAAAGAAGAAGTACGTATGTCGATTTTTTGATATGGAGGTGTGAGGCATGGATTACTCGTACTTTCCCACAATTTTTAGTACTTTTTAAATGCAAAATGCAAAAAATTTGGTACGTACAAATATAAACACTTAATTTCTTGCGCCAGAAGTAATTGATTGAAAACCCTTACCAAGATCAACTTTCTCCCAAACATCATCTCTCTCTCTCTCTCTATGTGTGTGTATATATATATATGTATTTGTTGATATCGTAATGTTGGTGACTCTTTAGATAGATCGAAAGGTTTATATATATTTATGTAAGTACGTACGTAGTTGTGTCAAGATAAAGTATGTTTTTAAACGTGTGTAAATAAAAGTTTATGAAAGGAGCCAACTATTTGAGGAGAAGGTCAGGGAAAGAAACGTTAGCGCATCAGTCTGAGAGTAGACTTTCCGATTCAAGCTAGTCTAAGAACCAATCTTTTTTTTAGTCAAAGAGAGGGAGAATGCTTGATGAATAACAAAGAAACTCGATATAAATTATTTAAAGTATCATTCATATATGAAATAAATAGTTAATGTAGTAATTAAATTGTCTTCTTAATCTAAACACACACCACGCACAAACAAAAAAGGAAAGAAAGTAAGATGCAAAAGAGACAGAAAGGAATGATTAAGTCTCCAAGTAGGCGAGACTCTCAATCTGATCCGCCAACACCAACTCAACGGTGGATTTGTCCTTACTAAACCAGTGGTCCGGCACACCTTTGATATCGATCTTTCTCATATCGTTGCTTTGAATATCATAAGAGAGAATGTGAAAGGGAGAGAGCAAATCGGGTGGTATGAAGAAAACCTTGCCATCTTGAGTAGTACCTTTGACATGGAATATAGTGTTTTTATCCACCAAATGCAGCTGAGAAGGCTTTAAATGCCGAGTCTTCCGCAACCATTTAGAGCCTTCCACAGCCAATAAATCCAGCCTACCCTTGTCTGTAAGACTAGTTTGGTCAATGATAGTTGCTTTGCCACCATACTCTATAAGACTCAGTTTTTCAACGTGAGTTACAGGCGGCTCCCTGCGAGGTAAAAAGATGGTTTTGAAGTCTTGGGATCTAACGTGAAAACTCACAAGCATACAAAAATCCGCACCATACCAACCCAAGTAATATATAACCCCATCGATACACACTCCTCCTTCGGCCGGGATGTGAGGACGAAAGCCCGGTGGAGGAGCCACCTTTTTCCATGAACCTCCTTTGTTAGGTTTTATGACAAAGACCTGATGCTCTGACCTTACGGTTAGGAACCCTAGCGGACTGTTCACATAGACACCAATTGAGAAGAGAACTGTGTACTGGTCGTTAACAGGGTCGTGTCCGAAATAGCATTTGGGGACTTTATTAGAAGCTTTATCTGGAGAAGATTCTCTTATGAGGTTGGAGAATTTGATGGGGCTGGGTAAGGTGACAAGTTTTCTGGTGGCAGGGTTGTAAAACCTCGGCCGTGCAAGAAGGACGTAGCACATGAAGCCACCAAGATTTTGGTGCATGTACCATCCCTTCTGTGTGACGGTCTGATTGTGGTCAACTGCAAAGGAGGAAGTAGTGTCAGGAGCCAATGATAGCGTTACAGAGTTACGGTAATCACTGAAATCCTGCAAACACATGTAAATTCCGCGATGCGGTCGGGATATTGGGGCCGTCATGAAACGGTTGTTGAAATATCGTGAGCTCATGAGCGATGACCAAAGCTTTGAGACGCACTTGAATCTCATCACGGATGTAACAGGCAGTCTCGTGAGGATCTCCTCCGTCACCACGTCCATCGGAATCTCCATCTCCGGTCTTCTTCTTCTTCTTCTCTCTCTTCTCTTCCATTTGATCACCGATAGACGGAACCACAAACCCATCGAGTAGCAGAAAGAAATCTTGGAGCCAGAAAATCCGCCGTTTAGGGTAAAAAATTGTATCTTATGTTACAAAGTTAACCAATTATGCCGTATTTTGGAATAATTAATAATTTATATATGGCATAGTGCATTGAGGAAGTATAAGATAGAAGAAACTCAATTTGATTGGTCAATATCAACGTTTTTTCATTAAACATAAAAAAGTTAAATTTGATTAATATATTACAAAATTAATTTCTATTTTTTAAAAATATTAATTTCGTTTTATATATATAGAAAAATTAAAATAAAAATTTTAAGTAACAAATAGTAAAGAAATTAATGTTAAAAAGGTAAAATATAGTATTCTTTAAATTTAAATAGAAAATTAACGTAAAAAGAGTTAAACGAACAAAACAAAAATTAATATCATAAAAGCAAATTAACTTAATATCTAAAACAAAGAAATTAACTTAAAAATTAATATAAAAATAAATTGAATAAAAAAGCATTCGTATAAAAGAAATTAAATTGATGTCTATGCTACATATTTTGAAAATCAATAACAAAAGAGCTTAATAAAATAAAAATAAATCATAAGTATATCAAGTATATAAAAATATATAAATTATAATAAAATATAAAATTACTATCAAAAGATAAAAAGTATAAAAAATTATTAAAATAAAATTAATTTGAAATTAGAGAGGGCATATGAAGACCATGAGAATAACATGAGAATATCAAGAGACAGAGGAAGAAGAAAATTGTAGTAGGTGGCTGAAGGTCTATGAAAACAATAAAGAAGTTACACGCTAAATAAGACTTACAAGTTTCGAATAATAGTTTGTCATTGTGAATATAATATTAATTATATTATTTTATCCGGTAGTAAGTCGATTGATAATATACAATAACAAATTATTTATTCATGCTATAATTTTATATTTTATCCAGATAAATATTTTTATAAAAATTATATCAGCATTTCATACCAAGTTCGAAGAAATGGATTTGGATGATATAAAAATAAAAATATAATTTATCATGTTGAAAGAAAAGTTATAATTTTTGAGACATAATTTATAACATTTATAAAATTTATAAATATTTATGATTATGTTTATGTTTTTTTGACAAAAATGTTGAGGCAACTACTGACTATTTGACATGGTAAGTACACTCTCATGCATATATCTGCCATATTTTAATTTTCTGTTGTAAATTTTTTACATATCAAACCAAACTGTTTTAAAGGTATTACGATATGATGAGAAATTAAACATGTTTTTATGAAAAGTTTTTTAAGCTTTCAATATATTATAAATTTATGTTTCAATTTTTTTATAAAATTTATAAATGCTATAAAAAACATAAACATCTATAACATTTTTATAACATTTTATTTATGTTTTTTTAGCTTTTAACATGCTATTATTTACTAACTTTATATTTGGACTAAAATTTTTAATAATCAACATAAAAAACTTAACTAAAAAATGATGCTATAAGATTTTGAGAAAATTTCATAAAAAATTAAATTGAATAGTTAAAACATGTTAAATGAGCATTATAACTAAAATGAAACTAATATAGAAAACAAATTTAACAGAGAAAAAATATTCATATAAAAGAAAATGATTTGATGTATATGTTACGTATTTTGTTAGAAACAACAAAGGAGCTTAATAAAAACAAATATAAGTCCTAAGTATATCAAATATACAAAAACAAATCATATAAATAAAAATAAAATTTTAAATTACTATCAAAAGATGTAAAGTATATATAAAAGTTATAACAAAACTAATTTAAAATTAGTTTCAAAAAATTTATAATTTAACAATAAATAACTATCTAAAGTTGCAATAGGTTTACAGAAGTAAAATATACAATGATTAATACAATGGGCGTTTCAGATTTTAAAAACTAACAAAAAAACACAACATAAATAACCTTACATTCAAAATTTAACAAGTTCTAAATTCTGATTTCTATACATAGTCACTACTTATATCTACCCCAACATTAATAACATATGAGTAACACGTTCTAAAATGTTATTTAAATAATAAAGTATGAGAGAGTTATGAATCAAACTCAAATTGGTATTTGTAGATAAAATATTCAAATCAAAGCATACAAAGTGCACACAAAAGATAAAAATAGTAAAAATAATGCGAAGACTCCACAATGCCGATCATACAAGTATAAAAACTAAAATTATCAAATATTAGACTGCAAAAAAATAGATCTTAATGTAAACTGAATAAAGATATAAGCTAAAACTCATGGATGACGTGATGAAGAAGGAAGAAATGGCTTTGCATGATCATTGCGATTTCCTAACAAAACTAAATGTGAATTAACATAAATCATGGATTATAAATGCATATGTACACAACATCACATTCAATAAAAAACTAAATATTTAAACACATAAACTTTAAAGAAAAAAGAACAGTCGAAACCCTATGAAAACCAAAACAAAATACCAAGATCTTAGAAAAAAACAATTCTCTAAATCAAATGTATGTGTATGTCAAAGTTAAATAATTTGATAGGTGTTATTGTTATTATTTCACATAATAAAATTTAGATAAAAATAGGAAAAAACTATATATTATATTTTAATTTCTCTTATATAAAAGATGTTTTTTATAAATCTATTATAGTTTGATAATTTACAAAATAATACCTTAAAAAAAATTAAACTAAACTATTATAGTACGAGTTATAAACGTAGTAATTACAAATACTTAATATAATATTCTTTTTGACATAAAGTTACCATCATAAAAAGGAAAAATAACAAAATGTTAGCATAAGATTACTTCTTTACCAAAAAGGCAAAGACACTCATTGTAATCGAATCGAATCAAAACCAAAACAAACCACACTTAGCAAAAACAGAAACATAATTTCTAGTCAAGATATATTACAAACAGAGGCAGGAAAGGTCTTTATGCCATCTTAACAAACAAAGAAAAAGGAGTCGACTAGACTAGAATGTATAGTTACAAACTTGTAAATTCGAAAGAGACCAAATCATGCCATCAATTTCATAACATAAGAACACGACCAGGAGAGATCTGAAGAAACCTAAAACCATTACTACACAAAAGGAGGATCAAGGATTAAATTAGTGTTGATAGAGTTTGAAGATGCAGCTTTTTGGAAGACGAGCTGTATGCATCAATATTGATATCAAGAAGCTCATCAGGAAGAATGTAGTTGTTAGAAGCGTGTAGTTGAGCTGGCGTGGCAAAGTAAAGAGATATAATCAAATGGAGTTTGGTTGATATTTGGACATATTCTTGTGAGGAAACTTGCTCATACGCGAACCAAATACGAGATTCTAGGTTTAAGGTTTAGATAGTTACGATAAATAGGAAGTTGGTCATAGTGTGTTACTCACATTTTGAGCCGCAATTGTTAGAGATCATCTTTGAGCTTCTTACGAAAATAAGAAGTAAAATGGTTAGTGTTCTCTTCCTTAATATACGAGCTGTATGATCTTGTGAAGAGTGTTTTAGAACTAGGAATCGGTTGGGAACAATCTAGGTTTATAGTTGCATAACACCAAAGCAATTGTAATCGAAATGATTAAGTTGTAAGATTTTAGTTTATAAAATAAGCATTGAACTTGGCGCTTTCCAAGTTATATTATGTGTTGCATTCGTTTTCTACACTTAGTATCATAGCAGGCATCTACTAAGGGTTATCTGTTCTTATTAATTGATAAATCGAAATGATTAAAGTGTGATTGTGGAAAAAAGTATAAAAAATATCTTGGATCTGTTAAGTTGCTGGTGCTGGATGCAGAGAACTATGGTTGGTGGAAAGTTCATATCAAAGCACTAATCAAAGGTTATGATGAGGATGCATGGACTATAGTTGAAGAAAGATGGCCATAACCAACTGTCATGGGTGTTGATGGTGTGGTGGCAAAGAAACCAGGGATGATGTTGACAGTCGAGGAAAAGTCAATGTCTAAATTTAACTTCAAGGCATTGTCCATGATCTGGACCTCCCTCACCAAATATCAGTTCAAGAATGTACAAGGAAGTGCTACATCAAAAAAAGGCGTGGGATACACTGCAGATATCATACGAAAGGAGTACAAATGTCCGAAGAACTCGAATGGATATGTTAGCCTCCCAGTTTGAAACTCCCACAATGGTTTTAGAAAAATCAATGAAAGAATTCAGCAGGAAGCTCAGTGCTATTGCCAACGAAGCTTATGTTTTGGGAGAAAACCTACAAGAATAAGAAATTGGTGACAAAGTTTTTGTGAAATTTACAAGACAAATTTCAAACTCATAAATCAGTGATTAAAGTTTCATGCAACTCTGATAAAAGGAAATTCAATGAAGTAGTTGATATGATGCGAGCCTATGAGCTACAACACTCATAAAAAAATCAGTCAAAAGACAAAATGTATGTTCTTTTTGGCAGAACAAGAGAAGTCTGAAGAAAAATAATTTAATAGTCATGTGAAATTGATTATCAAGAAATGCTTTAAGAAGTCAACGCAAATCAAGCTACGACACATAGAGGTAGGGCTGGGCAAATTATCCGTTATATTTGATTCGATCCGCTATTTGCTTCGATTCGATTCGAAAAATCCGGATATCCGTAGTTTTATGGAGCAAAGCAAATACTAAATTTTGATATCCGTTAAAAACGGAGCAAATCACAAATATTAAAATTTTAAGAGCCGGATATCCGATCCGCTCTGATATACATATATATATATATATATGTGTATATATATTAATAATGACATATAGAATGTATAGTTAAAATATTTATATGTAAAATTTTGTGAATTTATATTTATTTTATTAGTTATTTTAGTACAAAAATTTAGTAAATTTAAAAAGAAAAATTTAAAATTTAATATATAAGTTAATTTTTGAATTTTTAATTATTTTTATAAATATATTAATTATTTTATAATTTATTTAATATTTTTTAAACGGATCGGATATCCGGTCAAAAATCCGGATTTTAACAGATATCCGAATACCGGATATCCGATTTATAACAGAGTAAATACGGATTAAAAAATTGTTGATCCGGACGGGACGGAGCAAATCACGGATATCACTAAAATTCCGGATATCCGCTCTGTGCCCAGGCCTACATAGAGGACTTCTATCTAAAAAAGGAGCTAAGAAATCTGATATACATTATTAGGAATGTGAAAGGTATAACCAATTAACCATTTCAAGACTAAGTGTTCAACTGCTAAGAAGAGAGAATCTTAGGTGGCAGATCTACCGAGGGTATGGTTAGATTCTTTAACATTGAACTTGTTTTAGTATGTAATTTTGTGATTATAGAATCAGATTTTGGGAATCGCGGATTATAGAAAAATAACTGTTTTTTTTTATTGATTTCTCTTTCTTGTTATTCGACTTGGAGACTTTTTTTTTTTTTTTTTTGAAGAATGCATATTATCAAAGACAAAGGAAAGTTTGTGGCATACCAAATCAATTCGTATTTTTTGATTTGGTTTAGTGGGATGTCATTGTCAAGAATTAATTGGGCAAGCCATGACTATGATTACGAGTAAATTTAAGGGGAGAAATTTTATCATGGGTGAAATTTGTTTTCTCAATATAAGATAGACACTTTTATATCATAACTACTAACTACCATTATGTTTATGGAATATGGTCAAATTTACTTTTATGCATTTGTATAAAAATATAATTAAAGTGGTGTTGTAAAACCATCTCTTAAATCGTAATTCTTAGCAGTTACCATCCATCATTGGTCCGTTGACATGCATACTTGTGCTTGACACTCAATCATTTTTCTTAATTTCTTTGTATAAATTTCAGATCTTTGTAAAGCTCAAAATAACCTCAATAATTAATCATTCAGAAATAACAGAATAATGTTTCTATCCTACGTGAGGTTTGGTTGAAAAAGATGAGCTAAATGTGAATAAAAATGGCATTTTTGTTAGGTTAGCCATACTAACATTTATATTAGTTTTCAAGAAAAACATTTTTGTTAGATTATTTTTTCTATTTATCAAATAAATAATCTTAAGTTTCGACTACCGAAACAAAGAAAATAGTTTCCAAATTACTGGCGTTCAGTTAAATAGATTGAATGAATACAAAAATGTTCGATTCTACCTAATGTTTGGCTCTTCTCTCTTTGTGCCTTCTTGAAAAAGGGCAACATTTTGATAGATATCCTTCAAAATGGATAGTCATATCGTTTTGTACTGATTCTACATATAATAGTCGAACTTTATGTATTCTTCATACCAAAAACAACTTATGTACTCTAAATGTTTCGTCGTGTCCCATCCCATATGACAAATTCGTCCCCTTCTTTTATATCGTTTGAAGAAGTGGTTGAACAATTGACGTATAATTTAATGTATTTGAATTTAAATTAATTAAAAAGTCGGTAGATGATACTATATAGTCCAAACATACCATCCGTAAGGCATCAATTAGCGTAATTTGTTGTCCAAACAATTATATTTAAATACTTGAAAGATTCCTCCTTATAACTTTTTTTTTTAAAAAAAATTCAACGGTTAAGTTGCTTGTTGCTTGTCCATTTTAAACATTTAACTAGAATTAGGCAAATGGCACATAAGTATTTGACGATTAACAGGGCCGTGCCTATGTATAGTTATAAGAAACATTCGCCTATGTCAAATAATTTTAAACAGAATTTAAGAAGCCATATTTGTAATTATGTTTATGTCAAATAATTTTATATAAAGTTGAAGGAAGCCATATTAGTAATTATGTTTATGTTATATTTTTTCTAATATATCTCTTATGAATTTAAAGCGCAATCTATCAATATAAATTTTAAGGTAAGTATTTAAATTTATCTTAATGTCCTGTTTATCAACATCTTTATTAGGCATTTTTTTATATTTGTGTATTTATATCTTTTATAAATTACTATAATATATAAAACTAATTTTTAGTTTTGCCTACGGCCTTAAAACCTTTAGGCATGGCTCTGACGATTAATAGGATTATTAATCATTACAATAGGATTATGCATTGTCTGAAATAACTATTTCTTTCATCCGATAAGTTTTCATTTCACAATCTTTGAGTTGCTCTATTAAATAAATGAATAATAATAATAACATGGTAACTAAAACAATTTTTAATTAAAATATCTACTGACAACTTGAACACAAATAATTGACTTTTTGTTGACTTAACTAAAAGGGAATTTAGCTAAAATAGACAATTTTTTTCACGTTTTGAAACGTTGAGTGGGAAATGGGTTTACAAATATAGTATTAGATTTATGTTTTACCTTTGTTAATCTTTACACATGGTTGACGAAAACCAAACCTTACACCTTTTTGACTATTCACTGGCTCTATTAATTTCAAGGTCGATAATATATAATCCCATAATTAATTATGCATTCATTCAATAAACTCTAGATTCTGTAATTACCAAAAAAGAAATAAGTAAGTATTAATACCTACGCTTTACTTCTGTTTCCCGAGACTTGTTAAAAAGCGTAGAGAGAGAGAGAGAGAGACCCACCAGTCCCATTTTCCGTGTTCAGAGAGCGAAGTGGAAGGTGGTTCACGTTTTGGTTCTTCTTAGCCGCATTTCTTCCTCCGTGTAGATTGAGATTTTGACCATTAGGTTTCTGGGTTTTGATCTGATTCTTCTGAAAAGTTTCTTTGATCGGCATACAAGTTTGGGAATTCTCGATCTGTTGCTAGATTTTCTCTCTCTTCTTATGAGCTTCGGGTTTTGAAGATGGATCTATCTTCTCAACGACAATCCCCAAATGGGTCGAGGGGTTTTCGTCTTCAAGCTCCATTGGTAAGTTCCCATTCTCTTCGTTTCGCGATTCCATGTTAGGTTTAGCGAGAATCGAAGATAATTCACCGTTTTCCGAACTATTCTTCAGTGGTTTTTTTGGGAAATTTCTTGACTTCTCACATGTTGTGCTTTAATTTTCTTCAATTTTGTTTCCTTTTTCAGAAACCCTAGCTTAATTCTCCAAATTAGGTAGTATTTACTCATATTCCGGAACTGTTCGTTGACAAACTCTCTGCCCTAAAAATGTTAACTTTTTTTTTCTCTGAATTTCACCTAATGCTTTTTTTTTGCTTAGTGATTGCTGTTTTAAAATTTTCGCTCTATTGGTTTCTGAGAATTGGAATCTTGCAGGTGGATTCTGTATCTTGCTACTGCAGAGTAGATTCAGGTCTCAAGACTGTTGTAGAAGCAAGGAAGTTTGTCCCTGGATCAAAGCTTTGCATTCAACCCGATATCAATCCAAATGCGCATAGGCGCAAGAACTCGAAGAGGGAGAGAACAAGAATCCAGCCGCCGCTGATCCCTGGCCTCCCTGACGACCTAGCCGTCGCTTGCCTCATCCGTGTCCCGCGCGCAGAGCATAGAAAGCTCAGGCTAGTGTGTAAGAGATGGTACAGGCTCGCCTCTGGAAACTTTTTTTACTCTCAAAGGAAGCTACTTGGGATGTCTGAGGAATGGGTTTATGTTTTCAAGAGAGATCGTGATGGGAAGATCTCTTGGAACACATTCGATCCAATCTCCCAGGTTTGGCAGCCGCTCCCACCAGTTCCAAGAGAGTATTCAGAGGCTGTTGGGTTTGGTTGCGCCGTGTTAAGCGGTTGTCATCTTTATCTGTTTGGAGGTAAAGATCCACTAAGAGGGTCCATGAGAAGAGTCATTTTCTACAATGCCAGGACGAATAAGTGGCACAGGGCACCGGATATGCTTAGGAAGCGACATTTCTTCGGCTGTTGCGTCATAAACAACTGCTTGTATGTAGCTGGTGGGGAGTGCGAAGGGATTCAGAGGACACTCCGGTCTGCTGAGGTTTATGATCCAAACAAGAACAGGTGGAGTTTTATTGCTGATATGAGCACTGCAATGGTGCCTCTCATCGGTGTGGTTTACGACAAAAAGTGGTTTCTCAAGGGTCTTGGGTCTCACCAACAGGTCATGAGTGAAGCTTATCACCCGGAAACTAATTCGTGGAGCCCGGTGAGTGACGGGATGGTTACTGGCTGGCGAAACCCTTGCACTTCTCTGAACGGGCGGCTTTACGGATTGGATTGTAGAGACGGGTGCAAGCTCAGGGTATTTGATGAATCCACGGATTCATGGAACAAATTCATGGACAGTAAGGCTCATTTGGGAAACTCAAAGCCGCTCGAAGCTGCGGCGCTTGTTCCGCTGAACAACAAGCTTTGTATCATCCGGAACAACATGAGCATGAGTCTTGTCGATGTCTCGAGTCCTGATAAGAACAACCCGCGGCTGTGGGAAAACATTGCCGTAAAGGGACAGTCCAAGAGCATTCTCAGCAATATATGGTCGAGTATCGCCGGGAGAGCTGTGAAGAGCCACATTGTGCATTGCCAAGTGCTTCAAGCCTGACAAACTAAATCTGAAATTCAACAAATGTTTCAGAAGAAACCAAGCCACCTTTAGAGCTTCCGTAAAGAGGTTACAAAGCAGAGCAACTCTGGGTTTACTGGCTCAAGAACTTGTTACAGTTGGAGAGAATCGTCGTCACGATCATCATTTGACCGGATGAATCTACAGAGGCAAAGCACTCAAAACTGGTCTTAACGGTCATATGAGATGAGAGACGAAGACAGAGCCAGGCCAGACATATGGCCATTTCTTCTAGTGTTAACCTCACTGTTAGTAATTTTAGTGGAAGGCCTTTTCAATGGTTTTGGCAATTGTTATAGCTTTTTGTTGACATTTTTTTGTTTTCTGTGATTTTGTAAATCTCCAGTCTTTCCTCTCAAAGTTGTTCGTACGTACAAGAAATTCGTAATATCACATTCCAAAATACCAGATAGTGATCCAATTTAAAATCTGGAATTTGATAGTGTTAAGCAAATTCTCAAGATATGAATGTTATTATTAAAAGGATTTTTCTCCTTTAAATACAACAATATCGACACACATAATAAAGAAGGAAGGAATCATCTAGTGAAGATGGTTGGAGCTTCTTCAGGCAGATTCAAGAAGACTTGGCTTTCTGGAGCAAGACGGAACATTGTCGAACATCGAAGCCGGTAAAGTCTTGGACACGAATCCGACGGAGAAGACAATCGTTCCGGAGGCTGGATCCGAGTCCATGGCGGTGATTGGTGCCCAAATGAAAAATTCTTTAGCTTTGATTCCTTGGACGTCTTTGGCAGATCCGTAACTGAGTTTTCCGGAGATTTTCTTGTCGTAGAAAACGAGTTGACCGGGGAAATTGACGTAGCAGCTTGAAATTAGGTCGACTGTGAAAGCTCCGTCGTCGGAGACGGTGTAAGATTTGACGTTATCGGGGAGAAGACCTTTCGGGAATCCGTAGAGTGGGAGAAGATCGTGGATGTCGTCGGCGGCGAGAGATGGACGGTCGAGATCTAGAGAAGACAAAGTGGTGTACGAGAAGGAGAGGAGATCGAGGCCGTTGGATTGTGACGAGATTGTACGGCGGAGAATATTAAGGGAAGAAGATGGAGAGGAGGATAGAGAGAGGAAGAGACAGAAGAGTGTGAGCGAAGAAGCCGCCATTAGTGGATGCTGTGACTGACAGTCACTGAGTGAAAATGAGCGTAATTATATAACAGTCAACAAACATTGTGACACGTGTACAAGATTAAGAGTATCTATTTAATTTTCCTCACTGGCTCTAATATATTGGGCCTATTACTAATATCATTGTTGGTCTAGAAGGACCCATAAGTTACCCAACATCATTTATATATGTTTTTCGATTTATTTGAACAGTACTACTGATGGCCCTATTCCATCACTAGCCCAATATTATATTTGTATCAAAATATGGGCTCTCCTCGTTCTAATCAAATTAACGAAGAATGACACTATATGACAAGAGATTCATGCTAGATTATATATATAAAAAATACATTAATTTATGATTTAACTTTTTTTATAAAAATATCAGTGTAACAAGTTTAATCTATACTTTACGTTTCATTGGTTTTACCATGCTGGAATTGTATATACCAAAAAAGGTTGGTTTCAATTTCTTATAAACGAACTTGTTGACATAGAGCAATGTATAACTGATCATAGAGCAATGTATTTTGAAACACAGTAAAGCGACGACAATCTATAAAACACTAGCGTACAAGACCATGCGTACGTTTCGTTATTAGTGACGGTAAAAATCACAATAAATATTACAATCTTTTCTTCTTCTTTTTTGACCAAATTTTCAAATACTACAAATTTTTCACTCATTTACATGCACATGCATGCATGTGTGTGCATATATAAGTTTAGATGTAACTGAGAACATTATAAAATTATATATAGGATCGGATATTGCAAGCAAAAGATCATGTAATAAAGGAGGATGGTGTGAGAGAAGAGATAATGAAAAGAAAATGAGAGAACAGATCAAATAATAAAAGTTCAACAGCCAATCAATTCTTCTTCTTCTCTCCATTACTCTTGACTGCTTCAGCTTTCCCTCCTCCTGTCCGATCTTCAAATATACTATAAACACACAACACGAAATTAGAATCAGAAAATTTATTAATTAGTAATTATATATTGACCTAACTACATATATAGTTAGTCATCACAAATACACTTGGTGATGTTAGGCGCAGTAATATGACAAGCGGTGGGAAGATAAGCGGCTAGGGCTGCATTAAACTCGAGACCAAGATTAGGATCATCTTTCTCTTTGACCGATATGCAAACATACTTCTGATCACTCTTTATTATAACTTGATCAAACCCTCCACAACAATCTTTTGTTGGAGCCTTTGCGTTTCCTCCCACGTACGGAAGACATGGTGAGAGTGCTATCAACTGGTTCGTACATTCCTCTCTGTCTTGAGCTAGATGGTTCTCGTTAAGTGCTCTATGATTCGATGATGTAATCTCTTATGTTTTCTCTCTCTCTCTATCTATTTATATGTGTATATTTGTTGATATCGTAATGATGGTGATCACTCTTTAGTTTGATAGAACGGTTTATATATATATTATGTAAGTGACGATGTATTGGTTGGATGATGGGAATTTATTACTTTTTCACATTTATAGTTGTGTCAAAATATGCTGTTTATGTGGCTATAAGTTTTCAAAAGAGAATCAGAGAAATTAGCACATCAACTGAACTTAACTGATTTAATAATTAGCGGTTAACCGTTTTAGAGGCTTTTTGGGTTAAAAGTCTATTTTTTCCTCAAAAATTAGTCTCAAATGCTAATTCCTGTTTATTTTTTTATATGTTTATTCGTACAAAGCCAATATCGCATATAAAATATCGATATCAACATTGAGACCTTTATCGTATATAAATGATTGATATTTTGTGATATTCGTACACTTATGTGCTTTTGATTTCTTCATCTTTACTTTCTGGTTTGGTTGGTAATATGTCTATTTGATCAATATTACGGCAAATTACAGCAATAGTTCCTTTTTAATTTCCGATCTCATTTGATCTGATTTCATTAATTTCTTCTAAATATATCCTAGTTTGCCTCTTTGTTTTGCTCTTTGATCTCTCGCTCTATCACTTCGGTGATTTTTGGTTAATATATCTTTGTTTGGATTGAAGTTGTTGATTTCTGATATTTCTCTATTGCTTGTTGGATCAAGATGTTGAACAACTTTTGAACAAAAAAAGAATGTTTGAACAACTCAACTCAAGAGGTAACTATTTGTTTCATCTAAGAAGTTTTAGCTGAAACAATGATTTTTCTGGTTTTTGTTCCAAAAATCTGCTTCGTCCTATTTGAGATTTGGATTTATATTTTTGGTTTGATTTTATTTATTTTTATATCTAAATAAAAAAGACATGAGAGTTTTTGGGAAGATGGAACAAAAAAAAAAAATTCATGAGAGTTTTATGTTTCTCTCTATCGTAGTGCTAGTGCTAGAGTTTTGGCGCGCTTGGGTTATTTTTACCTTGTTTCCTCATCCAATTTTTGGTGAGTTTGTTCACAGCTTAGCAATTTTCTTCGTAGTTTTCTTCATCTTCTTAGGACCCAGATTTGTTATTCCAAGCTTGCTCACTCGCTTTTTGTGACAACAGTCCGACGAACAGATTATACAGAGGGGCGATCGGTGATGCCGGAGGTGATATTGGAGGTGATGCGACAGGAGGTGATGATAGTGCGTTATCATCTACCATGTTGATGCCATAGAGAAGGGATTAAGGGGAATAAAAAGATAAAAGATTTTAAAAGGGAAAAAGACTATTATTTCCACCTTTAAGATTTTTAAATAATTTGACCGCATGAATAAAATATAGCCAAAAACGTATGGATCATCTAACATAAAGCCTAGTCTCTTAAAAGGAAGTCACCAGTAGAAGAAAAATAAGACCCAATCCCAAACGTATAAAAACCCAACGATAATGAAAGTAAAAATGTAAAGCCCATAACTTAAGATATATAGAGCGCTCCTCTGACGCAGTACCACAATTGCTTCATCTTCTATTAATATCACAGAAAAATTCAGCAGCTCTACACGCAAGTTAGCTCTCATTCAAAGAGCTTCCTTCTCGGATCAAAATCCAAGATGCCGTTTTAGAAAAAAATTAATTTTTTATATACTTTTTATTTTGAAATATAAATTCTAAAAATTATATCAGTTTATAATAGTTAATTTAGTTATTAATATTTTTTTATGATATATAATAAAAAATATTTTAATAATCACATTCTACCATTCTACATAATTTATTCAACTATATTAGAAAAATATATTCTATAATTTCATAAAAAAATATATCATTTTATAATATTGAATCTAATTATTAATATTTTTATGATATATAATTTAAAAATATTTTTAAATAAAAATATTTTGTCATTCTACATAATTTATCTAATCGTATTAAAAAATATATTTTGTAATTTCACAGTAAATTATTTTACAGCTTCATTTTTTTGTTATTTTACAATTTTAATGCATTACCAATTGAAATTACATGTAAATCCCATTAACGTAAAAAAAAAAAAGAGATTGGGCTCGTATATCCACACGGTCTAAGTCGTGTGTGGAGGTTCAGCTATATAAGCAACTCTACGCGTTTGGACTCGAACGGTGCATGGTTACAACTTACAACTTACAAGACCAAACTAGACCAATTCAATTATGTTATATTATTTATTTTCACTTTTGAATGTTTTTATTGACATTTTGCCATAACAATAAATGAGGTGTGGTGTTAGACTGTTAGTTGCAGTGATCCGGTTAGTGGTGTAGCAATTGTTGTTAATATCGGTTAGCGAGTTAGCCATTTCCAGAGTTACTAATAGTCAAATTTTGAAATTGTTAAGGAAATGAATAAATATATAAACTATAATTTCCTTAATTTATACAAAACTGTTGTGGACTCCATCATATGTCAACAAGTGCATATATTTTTAATACATTTAGAACATAAACTGGTAATGTAATGCGTCACTTGGTGCAAGGATACCTATTTTGCATAATAAATTCAAATGAATTTTGTGTGAGAGTTTGGATATTTTTAAAAAAATTTAGATAACATCAACTCTTAATGCTATAGAAATTTGGCTAACATATATTGTGGTCTTCTCCATCACGATCTAGCCTAATGTTATATTTGTATCAAAATGTGGCTCTCCTCGTTTTAATCAAATTAATGAAGAATGACACTATATGACAGGAGATTCATGCTAGATTATATATAAAATACATTAACAAGTTTAGTCTATACGTTACGTTTCATTGGTTTTACCATGCTGGAATTATCTATATCAAAAAGTTGGTTTCAATTTCTTATAAAGGAACTTGTTGAAAAGAAAGACAAACATATAAATATATACTATAATTGCTCTTAACTGGCTATATTTGTCTCGTACGATAGAGCAATGTATTTTGAAACACAGTAAGGCAAGACCAGGCGTACGTTTCGTTATTAGTAGAGGTAAAAATCACAATAAATATTACAATCTTTTCTTCTTCTTTTTTGACCAAATTTTCAAAAACTACAAATCTTTCACTCATTTACATGCACATGCATATGTGTGCATATATAAGTTTAGATATAACTGAGAACATTATAAAATTATATATAGGATCGGATATTGCAAGCAAAAGAACATTAAATAAAGGAGGAAGGTGTGAGAGAAGAGATAATGAAAAGAAAATGAAAGAACAGAGCAAACAATAAAAGCTCAACAGCCAACCAACTCTTCTTCTTCTTCTCTCCATTACTCTTGACTGACTCAGCTTTCCCTCCTCCTGTCCCATCTTCATATATACCATAAACACACAACACAAAAATAGAATCAGTAAATTTATTAATTAGTAAATATATATTGACCTAAATACATATAGTTAGTCATGGGATTAGATTAGTGGTAAGTAGTTTCAGTTACCTTTAACATTTGGTGAAGGAGGTGTCAAGTTGGCGTTTCCTTCAATCCTTCCTAAGCTCTCAAACTCTCTTGCCAGTGTCGAGTTTGGAGGTATATGCATAAGTGCTTTCCCATAAAATTTAACAAAAAGATTAACTAATTTAATTTCCAATTATCACAATTATAACTTCAATACAAAAACCTTAATTAATTCAGTAAAAGAAAGCAAATACCATTAGATGTACCAACTACTGCCTTTTCCATATGGTATGACAACTAAAATGAATAATCGTACCTCATAATCTTTGCAATAAATCCGTATATTGTACTGCGGGTTACTAGGTATGTGATCTTGAAAATTAGATAAACTAAAAACTAAAAATAAAAAGAAGAACGTAATTTGTATATATGGCAACTAAAACTTTATGAAACTTAAGACAACGTCATGATATTTAATACTTTCATTCCCATATGGTATAACAACTAAATGAAGATTCCTCATGATAAATAACTGCTATAAACACTGTATGCATATATCGATTAATAGAGAAAACATACACACTAACCAAAACAAGCTCCATAAGAACTTTAAATTTATCAAATTAATTAACTTCAAGAATGAGGAGAAGAAGAGAGAGGGAGAAAGAGAGACTTACAAATACACTTGGTGATGTTAGGCGCCGTAATATGACAAGCGGTGGGAAGATGAGCGGCTAGGGTTGCATTAAACTTGAGACCAAGACTAGGATCATCTTTGTCTTTGACCAATATGCAAACACACTTCTCACTCTTTGTTATAACTTGATTAAACCCTCCACAACAATCTTTTGTTGGAGCCTTTGCGTTTCCTCCCACGTATGGAAGACACGGTGAGAGTGCTATCAGCTGGTTCGTACACTCCTCTCTGTCTTGAGCCAGATCTGAGCTTCCAAACCCTACTAACATGGAGGTTATCACGATGGCTATGAGTAGGGTTCTCGTTGAGTACTGCTCCATTATTCGATGATGTAATCTCTTATGATCTCTCTCTCTCTCGCTCTATATATATATATATATGTATGTGTGTGTGTGTTTGTTTATATCGTAATGTTGGTTGATCACTCTAGTTAGATAGAAAGGTTTATATATATATGATTATGTAAGTGCCGATGTATTGGTTGGATGATGGAATTTATTACTTTTTCACATTTATAGTTGTGTCAAGATAAATAAATTTAAAACGTGTGTAGATATGCTGTTGGAGTGTTGATAAAATTTATATATGGCCTATAAGTTTTCAAAAGAACAAATTTTTTTGGGGAGAAAATCAGAGAAATTAGCACATCAACTGAACTTAACTGATTTAAATAACGGTTTTACCGTTTAAGAGGCTTTTGGGTTAAAAGTCTATTTTCCCTCACAATTTTAGCTTGATTTATTGTTGTTAATTTGTTTGTTAGTGGCTGAAATGGCATAAATTGTTTCCAGCTTCTATTAAAATTTGAAACTTTTCTTTGGCAAAAAATCATTTACCGGCTATAGCTTCTAAAAGTTTTATGAAATAGTGTGAATTTCTAAAGTTGTCAGTCTACGGTACATGTGGGTCCATATACAATATGAAAGATTAATTATATGATGCATATAATCTCTTTACATATATTTATTTGTTTTTTTTATTATATGTAATACGTTTTTGAAATTTGGACCAATAACTACATCAACTGTCTTATTCATACAACCTTTAGATATTATACGCATTAACTTAATAATTTGGTACGTTTTCAGAATATACAAAATCTAAAATTTACATAAAGTTTGATAAGAAATGACTATACAAAGGTGTATAACTCTATACATATAATATATAGTAGTGATTTTGGATCCTCAACAAAATTTCTTTGTTGTCACGTCGTTTTTATAATTGTCATTCAATAATCTCAACCTGATTATTATCATCATTGTTATTTTTTAACGTAAAATTATATTCAACAAAAGATTTTGTACAAACGATCTGCAGCGTTTTGGGTAATTAGAAAACATAGCGAAATTCTAGAAAAGGAGAAAGACATTATCAAAAAAAAAAAAAAAAAGGAAATCTGAAACAACCACGATAGTTTCGTTTGAATCATTTCAATAATAATTTTTAAAGGTAGATGGTGAAACCAATCAATTGATATCTAAAAATTATGAGAGCGCCATTAATGGTGGTCGAGAGCCCTATGTAGTCTGCAATTTGCATGCATGTGACTGTGATTTTTAAGCCACTCGAATTCTTGTCCTTTTGTGGATCTAATTTTTTTTATTAATATGTATTCAATGCAAGTTGCTGATTTTAACCCCAAAAAAAAATGCAAGTTGCTGATATTCTTAATTTTTTTGGTGTTTTAAGTTGCCGATATCTAGTCTATAATTGCAAATGTTTATGGATCAGCCATAGATATATACGTGAACGTGATAGATCTCAAAACTCAAGTAAGTGTAGTTTCGTCCAAACTTTGTGACTTTGTGACTTTGTGTTATTCTTGCATGCAGATTTTGTAAAAGGAAATGATCTTTTTTCTACGGATTGAATTAAAACTTCATTTTTATGGATCTTAAATCCTAGCTCAGTTTCTATTTTGATCAATGTGTGACATAATAATGGAGGAAAAATAAATGTACTCATTTCCCTATATGACTATAAGATAAAGAGCTTGAAAAATTGGTTGACTATATGTCACATACTTTTGATGGTACACATACGTAACTGGTATATTTGATGAATAAGTAAAATATATAAAAAAAAAGAATCCGTCTATTAAAGTTGTTTATTGGTCATTTCTGTTGTTGTTGTCGTCTTCTTATTCTCTTCAGATTCCTCACGATAAGCATAAAAACAAGAGTTCTTCAGTTGATCTAGCTTTAAACATTGATAGAAACTTAACTAGGTATATAATAACAATATAACATGAATATGCTCTCTTGCTCGGTTTTTGATTACAACAAGACATACATTTTCGACTAAAAAAAAATGGTGATGATGGTTTTAAAACGTTCAAAGAGAAAATTATACCTCCCCATGGCTTAATCTAGAGTATGTACTGCGTAGGCAATTTTAGGCAGTAGCATAGTCATATCAACATTTCATAATCAAAAGGGACACTGCGATAAGATTAAATGATTATCGTAGTTATGGAGGTTAGATCATCTTCACGTGCAATTAAAAGCCTTAAATGTCACAAGTTCATTTAGGTATCTATCTATCTTTCCAAATAAGAAGACATTATCCTACCTAACAATCGATATAGCTCACAAGCATCATTTAGTTCACTTAATTTCATTTTGTGGAAAACTTTCATTACAATATAGAATGCACCCATTATTGATCAAGATCTTCACATGACTCTTTATCGAATTTTTGGAAGAAAAAAAAAATACATAAACAAAAAGATATGTACCACAAACACAACCTAAAGTTGGGAATCAAGCAATTCCACAACTAATCGCAGAGATGCAATGCAATTAATCTCTCTTATCTTTGTCCTATTTGAGATGTCTTTGTCGGTCCCCGCATGTCATAAAACCTAAGGCATAAATGGAGGGAACACAAAACAATAGTGTCGACTACTTAAAACCTACACTTTCTCCATAAAGATGCCACCTAATTTCTCATCACCGACTTAGCTGGAAAAACAGAGATTTGGTGGCTTATGTCTCTAACTAACAGTGCAGAGTACAGGCCACCATTCCCGATACAATATTATTGAAAGAGTGGGAAGAAAGATGAGATTGTGGAGCTTAAGTAGTTAAGTGTGTGTTCTGTACTAAACACCACGTCTCTCTCTCTCTCTCTCTCTCTCTCTCTCTGTGTTTTACTGTTTTACATTTTCACAACCCGGACGTCGCTCTGGCCAAAGGCCGTGCCACAGCCTGGACATTTCCGGTGTCTGATCTCTAAGCTTCGTTGGATGCATTGCTTGCAGAAGAGGTGATAACATTTCACAATTACCACCTGCATAAGATTGTTTTAGAGAAAACCGGTTATTTGAATATTGACGATGATTACGACAGTGATGAGTGATGATTATCAACTGATTATGTCTGCCTGGATGGTGAGATATAGGATTATTACCTCTTTGGGCCGATCGAAACACACGCCACACTTGAGGATGTTTTTGCAATTCTTAACCTCTTCCTGGAGTCTCAATATTGCAGCTTCTACACTCTCAGAACTTAACTCTTCAAGCTCCTTGTTCAACTCCATCAGCTCTTCCTCAAGCTTCTTCTTCTCACTCCTGTTCAGTAGATACAAATTATATCCATCTGCCAATACATAGTTATTTAAGTTCAAACAAGAGATTTAGTTTCCAGGTCTACCTTTCATCATCCAATTCCAGTTTGATGTCGCTTGTCCTCCTGCTGATCAGTTCATATTCCTTCTCGGATGAAGAAACAGCCGACTTGATCCACCTGAATTCCTTTTCAGCATCACCTAATTCCCACTTGGTGGTTTCTAGACTGAGAGCGAGGTGGCGATCTTCTTGAATCAGTTTATAAGCTTCTGAGAAACAGCCTTTCATCTGCGAACATAAGGCCGTTAGTAGAAGACACTGATGAGAGCAGTTTTAGAAAGCTACAACAACTAGACAAGAGAAGGCTTCTGACCTGTTCCTCACTATGTGCAATCCTTGCTTTTAGAGTCTCTACTGATGCATTAACTTGTTGGAGCTGCTTTTCCATTGCTTGCTTCTCAGATAAGTGAGTGTTGTAAGCATTCTTGGTCTTGACGCTCTCGGAAACAAGCTTCATCATAGACCAAATAAATTATCTAAATCTAATGAGTTCAAAGGTTGAAATCGAAAAAAGAGCAAAGAAAACAGAAATTAATATCATAATGTTGTATTAGCAAAAAAACCTACCTTGATATTATAATCATCCCGCTCAGCCACCTGCTGCAACAAATGTTGGTTTTGTGTTTGCATGTCTTCATAGGCTTGACCGACAGTCTAGAAAAACAAATTATCAATGAACCTATGAGCATGTTGGACTTCTACATCTAATACCCTCCTTAAGAACATCAAAATGAGAAAGAACGAGCAGAAATATGATTGAAGAGTACCTCCATTTCAGCAATCAATGCCTCTGCCTCCTGCTCTTTAACTTTAATACCTTCCTTAAGTTCCAAAACCTCCCTGCAAACGAGATAACAATATAGTACTGATTAATAGCCCCTAAAACAATGACAACGTTGAATTGCATGATCTTGGATGTGGTAACATGAGAGAGCATACCTTTCAGAACTATCTAACTGAGTCCTCAGTTCAGCAATTTCGGCCTTTGCGGTAGCAAGCCGCTCTTGGCAAGCAGTTTCAGTCTCATTAGCCGCTTTCACTCTCAATTCAAGAAAGTGTTCATCTAAAACGTTTTTCAGCTCTTCAGCCTGAGCATGAGCTTTCCGTTGTGATTCCTTGATTTCTGCCAATCCTCTGAAATTGGAGAGCTCAGAGCTCATATTTTCAGCACAAAAGGAAGAGCTCACTGAATAACAATACACTCAAATGGTCACATACCTTTCATCATTACACTCACGAGTACATATGCTCGCTAGATTTTGCAGCTCTAATTTTTCTTTCAGCAGTTTCTCAATCTGAAATGATAGAATAGACCATTGAGACTCTTACAGCTAAATAGTCTGGAGTTTCAGTATCCATAAATTCCTAAAAGATGGCTGAAAATAACTAAGCATGCTGATGAGTTAAGTGCCTCAGAATTGGTATCCTGATCGAGTTATCAACATCTTGGATTCCAGACATTAGCCATAATAGGCATAAAATTAGGGCAAAACAAGATGGTAATTACCAATTTCTAGGTTTTAGGGATACAAAGAAAACTTACTAGGGCCTTGAGAGATTTAATTTCCGCCATCTGTTCAGCACATTTATCCTCTAAACCCTTCTGTTCGCCTGCCTTTGTAAGCATGAGAAAATCAATATTTCAGGGAGCAGTCCACTAAACTAGTCCAATACAAAGGAAACATATAGTAGACGCAAAGCACTTATATACAAACGAAAGAAATTCCACATTTGTATTTTAAGGTAATACCGGTTAGATTGCATATGAAGGTTTTAAATTAGTCAAAGCCTTCGCATGACAAGAAAATAACAGCACGGTCAAAATAGAATAGCTGAAACTCATAGACAGCAAAATATTATCACTACTTGTCATCTTATCAGAGCATTCAAAACACAGAAAAGAACAGCCTATGTTACATTATTAATTGAGTAACCTGTTCCTTACTAGTAATTCGTGCAGTGATTAAATAGTCTATCCACACAATAGATAAACGAAACAAATTTGATGGCATTTAGGAAAAACAGAGAAATATTATACCGAATATAATCTTTAAAGTTGTGGTTGCGTTCAAACCTTGTTACTTAACGAAACTCTCAGTGACTGAGCTTGTTCACGCAGGTAAAGAGCATCATGTGCAGTGTCCTTCCAACGTTTCAACTGCGCTTCCATCATTTCCATCTCTTTGGATAAGGTTGATGCCATTGCAATAAACTCCTTTTTAATATCTTGCCGCTCTGGAACATGGAAATATTTTTTAAGAGCAGGAATATAAAACGTTACAGAAGCAATGAGTACTGAAATGGAGTGAACATCACCAGAGTCTTGAATAGCTTCTTCTGTTTCAAGCTCCAATGCATTCTTTTCAACTATACAACTCTGCAACTTCCGTTCCAATTCTTCGATTCTAGAACCAACCGTGGTCATCTTCTGGTTAGCTGCATCCAGGGATTCTGCCCTTAAACTTAGTTCCTTCTCCCGTCTCATGACAAAGGACCTCTCAGCCTGAAGCAGGGGTCAGAAAAGGGTTGGCGATAAAACCACTCACTTACGAGGAAGTAAGAAGCTGACCTGTACGGCCTCAGTCAAAATCTTGTACCGGTCGAGCTCAGCATTCCAGTGATGAAGTTGATCATTGATCAAATTATACAGTCTAGACGAGTATATATACTGGTCATCCTTTAGTTCATTCTACATCCATTAAGCAAAAGATATCATTTGTCAACTGCAGCTATTGCTCTAAGAAATATTCTTTACCCAAATTCCATAAATATACCTCAATATCTTCACATTGTCTTGACAGGGAAAGATTATACTCTTGTGCAGCTTGAAGCTCTGACAGACGACCTTCTGCCACTATCTAGATTAAGTATCCAAAATACTACTGAGCTTACACGTGAGGAAAGAAAAAGAACATGAAAACATGAACAATTCTATCAAAGAGCTACTTACCTTTATTTCATCGATTGAGTCCTTCAATTCACGTAACTTCGTTTTATCTACAGGCTTCTCAGGAGAAAGGCTTCCATTAGCTTTTGCTGGTGACGTCACATGACCTTCACATGCAGCATCCTTCTGCATTTTCAGGTTTATCAATTTTCTTCTATTTTCTTCAAGCTCGGCCTTGATCTCTTCCAGTTCCCCTTCAATAATCAAAGATATTCCATACTCAGAAGAATTATGAAATGTCATTATACTAAATCAACGTAAAGTGCCACGCTTATACAAACAAACAGCTAATTTTCTCATGTTGTCTAGAATTATGAAATCTGTAACCTTTGAGGTGTTTAAGCTGGGATTGATCTGTTGAATGGCTGCTTATGTACGCCTGAATCTGCTCTGTACGTTCTTTGTGCCTCACATGTAAAGCATCAATGATCTCACGCAAGTTTTTGGCCTCCTCTTTCATTAAATCGGTAATGTTAGACAACTGAATGGTGGCATCTGGAAAAAGAAGAGCCTGTGAAAATTGACTATAGCCGTTAACAATAAAATGGACTGATAACTGGCACACCAACCAACCTTCTGCCGATTTCACAGCATGTAAGTTTTGTGATATGCTTTCAGCTTTCGCCCTCTGTGTAGCAACGGTATTTTCAAAGACTCCCATCAACTCCATTGTAGAGGAATGGCGCAGAGAAAGAGCTTCTTCAACCTTTCTTACTACCTCGTCACTATCTCTAGTATCTATGGAATCTACTTGCAGAAGTCTACATAGAAACGTTTCATCAGCAGCGCATGGCGGAACTGAGCCTAGATAACATTAAGATAGATATGTGAACTGTTAAGCAAAACTGAACCATCTGTAATACTCAAAGAGCAAGAGATAGCTCTTATCAATACCTCGCTTCGTATCTACATTGTCCAAGTATTTGAGAGCCTCTTGGTTAGCCCCAGCACGAACTCCAAGCACGACCAGATCATCTACCAACTAAACCGTCAAAATGCACAAGTTTAAACCCCATACCCTTTTGAATTATTCGTTCTACACAGAGAGATGGAAAGGAATATGAGAAGCAAGAAAAATGGACAGAAAGTAATCGCTGACCTGGTTCCAAAGCCGGTTAACAGAGATAAGTTCGTCATCGTAAGCTGTTTGGTTGATTTGCAACTCTTCGATCTTGGCTTCAACATCGTGGAGGTGTTTCTTCTGCAGGTCTAATTGGTGGACAAGTCTCTGATTCTGGAGCTGAAGAACGGTGGCATCAGCCTGAAAAGAAGTATAAAAGTAAACAAAATGCAACCAAATACAGAAGCACCAAGAAACACACTCTTGCATAGTCCTTTATTTGCAACAAATGCCAGAGATTTCAAGTAACTTTGATGCAAAACGCCAGATTCCAGGTAATAATCTGGACACAGCTCATTCACAAATTCACAACATCGAATTCAATAATCGAAAACTCGTATCAGAACTATTCAATTAACAGATAAAGCAAGAGAATTCTCGGCCGAAAAAAAAGCTTACACTTTTAGCGACGGGATGAGAAGGTGAAGAATTACGGGCCATGGCAGTCGGAGAAACGGAATCCAAAAGATGAGGCTTCTTCTGCATCGGCTCCTCCGATTCCTGCTTCTCCATGACACTCGAAAGTAACAGAAGAACCCTAAATCGATATGATCGTTCTTTCTGACAGATACTCTAAAGTCTAAAGCTTTAAAGACAAACTTTGTCTCGTTGCAAAAGATATATCGCTAAACTGGAATCCACGGGAGTCCGGAGGCGGAGGAGGTTTCGCCGGAGAATCTTCGGAGGTTTTCTAGTCTACTGACTTCTTTTTTTTTTTTTTATCTAACAGAGAAAAAACAATTAAAACGGCGTCGTTATGTCAAATGCGCGCTAAATTTGTAAGCCCAAATAATTATTGGGCCTCAGATACCAACATTTTTTGCAAACGATAATATACATTGTGAATGTTGTTACATTACTAGACACAATTTTTCCTAAAGTTTACATGCGCACACATTTCAAAAGATCTTGGCTAGGTAGAGTGTTGACAGTAAAAAGTGAACAGAACATTGTTTAACACACGAGCCAAACAAACAGAGGTAATTTTTGGTTAATCGGTTGTTTGGTCGTTTGCTTGAAAACTTAAAGAGCAAGAAAATATATTTTAATTTGTCCATTTTCTAATTATTTTGTCTATTTTTTTAGTCATTGTTTGTGTTTGACTACCCAAACGAGTATATCACAATATTTTGGTGTTGCTATGACCAACACAGAACACACTGTGTTTTGTGTCTTAGGTTCATGACATCACGCGGGAGAGAATCCCTAACTCTTTGGCTAGACTTACATATTGGCTAGACTTACATAAAGTTGCACTAAAATTGTTCAAAAATCCAAATTACTAAACAAATTAGTTCCTCTAAACACAAACTAAGCTCGTTGGCTTCTGTGGATGCGTTGGTGATGTCATCAACAACATAAAAACTAAAGTCTTCATAATTTTCCTATTCTTAGGCCTTTCAAGTTTATAAGTGGATCATATGGTATGATGTGGGATGACTGGGCTTTCGATGGTGTCAACAAAATATGGGTTGGAAAAGGTGAAGATCATTTGACCTAATGCTAGTTCAAGTACTACAAGAGATTAGGCGGCGATGGTGCAGCAATGAACTTGATTACTCATTCTTACGGCGATGAGCTACTGGTAGAACCAAATGAGGTATCATATTATTGATCTCTCGATACATTTTTTTTCTTCGTTCTTTCTTATAATTTAATTGTGTTAGTAAATTCATTTGTTTTTGTTGTAAGATGTGCTGCAAAATGATGAATATATGTCATCAATTGAGCTAACTTATGATGAGGACGCTTTGCCAAAAGACAATATACTATTGTCCTTGAGATTCATTACTTCTAAGAACAAAAGTTTCCAACAAAGACGTGGGTAAACACGATCCTCATCAAAGGAGAGGATTCCACAACAAACTTGTCGGATTGCAAAGTGTATCCGAATCTAACCGCCTCACCTTGGAATCTGACAAGTTTTGGTTAATATTGTGCAAAGTGTGTACAACAATTGTGTTTAGCAACAAACTCTTGAAGAATTATACATGTTAGAATTGATTCTTGCAAGAATCCCTATTGAGATTAATCTATCTTATGTTCAAGATCATAGGTTTTGACCCACTTTAATAAATATAACTAAAACATTTTAGATATTTTTATTATATAAGTTAATTTCAGTCTAAACATAACTAATATGTGGCCTCATAATAAAAGTAGCAGATATGAAACCAATTTGTCTTATAAATGAATTTATTTCCTTGTTATTAAAAAAAAATAAGAAATCCAGTTCATTATATTATAAAATAAATCCAGTTTAACAGAACTAACTTTTTACTAAGAGTTTTAAGTACTAGCGATTCACTAGCAATCTACGTGGCAACGCATATTTCTTTTGCTTGATCAACTTCTTTTAATCTGAATCTTTCACAATGTAGCAGTTGTTTCAATCTGATTAATAAATCCATTTGAACAAAACTCGGATAGCTCAATTTTCGAATCGAATTGTTTCGATATGTGTTGTTGTTCTTCATAATCTTGTTCTGGTTGGCATTTATTGGTAACGCTCGAGTACTTGATGTTTTCACCATAAACTTTCTCAAGAATCAAATATAACGAAATGGAAAAGATTAGGGTTAAAACAAATAACCAGCTAAACTCGATGTTAACAAGCGATTTGGCCTTTTGTAAAGCCTCCTCGGTGGAACACTTAACCATTGTGTGACTCTCGTTTACATGCAGAAGACATCCCTTAGGGATCAAACTTGGTTTGTAAAGCATGTAACCCATCACTATGAACCACACTCCTTGAAAAGCTATGCTTGATGATTTCACAAAGTTCACTAAAAAACTCTTGGGCACGGCAATTCCTGTTTGACATAGACAAACTGTTAGTTATTTATTACTCCCTACGTTTCAAAATAATATTCATTTTAGAGTTTTATTTTTCTTTCAAAAAAAGTGTCATTTTATATTTCCAATGCAATTTTCTAAACAAAAATCATGTTTTAGCCTTGTTATATTAATGTATTAATTAGAAAGAGAATGTTATTTTGTGTCCTTAGCTATATATGTAGTATATAAGTTTTTGGCTTTTAAAACAATACCTAAGAGAGTGGTGAAGAGAGAGACGAAGATGATCAGCTGGAGGATAAAATGGTATTGTCCTTCGATGCCCATATGATCAGAAAAGTGAAAATGGAAGAGAAAGAGCTCATGAGCGAAAGCAGCCGCCTCGGCGAGGTTGGTTAGTCCCTCGGCTGATCTAGAGTGTGCTCGATCGAGGACTAGTGCGAAAATGGCATAGACTAAGAAGGACACCGCGATGAAGGAGTGCTCCAAGTCGTTGAGATGGTTGGGGAGAATGGAACCGTCGCTGGAGTCAAAGAGTTGGTGTCTTCTAGTTGCAATGCTAAAGATCTCTTTGGCTATGGTGGTTGAAGATGAGAGCATAATTATGTAGAGCTCCAAGTGTCTGATTTTGGATATTGGGAACCATGATGATGATGAAGTAAATGTGTTTGGGTTGATACAAAAGAGTTTTATGTTGCTGAATAAACGCCATAACCCAAGCAACAAAAAGACAATACCTGGTGCTACATGTCCCACAAGTGTTCCCATCTTGTGGATTTTTAACTTTTTATGCTATACCTAGATTAATCATAATCTCCAAGTCTCTTATATATATAGTGTAAAGTTCACAATGATCATTTTGGTGACTAATATGGAGATGAAATTCTCATTACTCCTAACTCTATAGCTCGTATTTTTTATTTTATTTTGACAGATTGGAGACGTACGTATATGGATAATGACGAAATTGTATACTTACAATGCTTAATAGTATTTCCGTTATGAGCGCGCGTACACTATGGATTAGTTGCAAAAGTACACGTCACGCATAGATAAATTACGTTGTCTTTTAAAATGGTTCCGATGATTCTTAGTTTACTTTCTTACGAAATTACTTTACTAAGCAACAATTATGATTTTTCTATGGAACGATATATATTTTTAATCGCCTTAATCCAAGACATTACTTTCCTAACCTCCACAAGAAAACTCGATACAGAAACTAGCAATTGGTTATCATGGAGAGGATTCAACGGCTTGGTTATTCAACTACCATCTTATCATGAAAGATATTTTTTTCCTTCCAAAAATTAATCATCCAAGACATTTTAAAGATGTTAAGCGAGAATATTATACATGAAATAATGGTAATTCGAGTTTTTTTTAACTATCATCAAGTGAATTAAAATTCGAATGCTAAAATAATATAGGAGTACTTCATTAGGAGAACCATTTTCTAATATTTAATCTCATGCAATGTGGATATATACGTAACATCTTTGACTAGAAAACGTGTTTCATGCAAAGGTTAATTGCTACTGTACAGGTGTTGAGAGTACTCCCAACTAGCTTAACTTCTGCTATAAAACTTTCTGTTTCCAATTTTACATATGGGTTTCTTATCAGAAAAATATAAGATTCGTACCTTTTCTTTATAAATCGAGAGTTTAAGTTTGTGGTAATCTTACTTATATTAGAAACCGGAAACTGTTTTACAATACAACCAACAAAGCAACCATGTACATACGATACGCATTGCAACTATCTGAAGAAAATAAACTAAAATATTAGCCAAGAGCCACATTTTTCCCACTAACACAAACTCACCATAATAGTTATTGGTCATTTACTTCATACAAATTTGAACTAAAATTAACCACTTTTTATCATACATAACCAATAACATTAATCACCACAGAGAAACTTTCTCACATTTTATCTCCATGATCAACAACAAGTTTACCCATTTGGACAAAACTCATTTTCTGAGGCGACTGCAATTCGAAGGGTTGTTGTTCTTCATCATCTTGTTCTGTTTGATATTTGGTGGTTAGACTAGAGTACTCTACCTTTTCACCGTAAACACGATGCAGGATCAAATATAGCATCACACTAAATATTGTGTTTGTAACGAATAACCAACTGAACTCAATGTTGATCAACGATTTAGCTCTATGAAGAGCTTCTTCCGTGGAACACTTAACCACTTGGTGTCTTTCTTCATCTTGAATAAAACATCCCTTAGGGATAAAACTCGGTGTGTAAAGCATGTAACCCATCAATATCAACCAAACTCCTTGAAAAGTTATGCTTGAAGATCTCACAAAGCTCACCAAAAAACTCTTGGGCAAGGCAATTCCTTTTGAAGTAAAACTAAATTATTAGTTACATGCTAATCTGGATAAAATTACCACATATCAAAATTGTAACTTAAATTTATATTAAAATTGAAAATTTTGAGATGTATGACAAACTAACTTATATAAATAGAGTTTCTAATGCTAAAATCTCATATACATGCATGAATACATCTGCAAATATTATGGCGATAAAAAAAAGGCCATATATTATTATTTGAGTTTTTAAATCATTATTTCTTTGTTAGTTTCATGCCTAAAAAAGTTGTATTTAAACTTAAGTTCCAAGTTCTAGTAATATATATTCACATTTTATCCCAATATTAAAAATATTTTTAAAGACTTTCTTTTATTTTACACTCTACACCGAAATAAACAAAATGGCTACAAACCATGCCAGGCCAGACCTGGTCTGGATAGGCCAATAACTTTCATGATATATCTTGGATTGAACCTTACAGAATCGACAAAACTTATAACGAACAATAAAATCCCTTTCTATATTTATAATATGGAAGAATTTTAAGATACTATTTGTTTTAGAGTCTTAGAACAATACCCATGAGAGTGGTGAGGAGAGAGACACAGATAATGAGCTGGAAGATTAAATGGTATTGTCCCTCAACGCCCATGTGGTCGGTAGAGTGAAAATGAAAGAGAAATAGCTGCTGAGTGAAGGCAGCGGCTGCACCTAGGATGGTTAGCCCTTCAGAAGCCGCTGCTCTAGGTCGTGCTTGGTCTAGGACTATTGCGAAAACAGCATAAACCAAGAAGGACATGGAGATGGAAGAATGTTCGAAGTTGTGGAGGTGGTTCGATGGGATGGTGCCGTCGGAGTCAAAGGGATGGTGTTTTCTAGGGCCAATGAAGAGCTCCATTGATATAGAAGCTGATGAAGAGAACATGATTAAGTAGAGCTCCAAGTGTCTGAGCTTTGACATCGGGAACCATGGAGACGAAGTGAAGGTGTTTGGATGGAGACAGAAGAGTTTTATGTTGTTGAATAAGTGCCATAGGCCAAGTGCCAATAAAGCAAACCCTGATAAAACATGTCCCACAAGTGATCCCATGTTGTGGGTTTTTATTTCTTAGTTATCTTTAGTTTAATTTGTGTGTTAGAGAGAGAGAGAGCGAGAGAGATTTAGGAAATTTGATTGTAAACAAGAATTGTCGATGAGTCGATGGGTTTAATAAGAATGGGGTCTGAGGAATTAGCTTAAAGATTATAGGGTTTTCTTCAAATTATTGATCTGACTCTTTTTTTCGTAGTTAACTAAAATCACGCTTGTGAGCATAAAAGCTTAACTGTCCTGACTTTGTATGCAAGCCACTGAAGCACATTTACGTATTGAATTGTTGAGTTTGAAAGCTGAATAAATTAACCCATAAATCATAAGAATATTTATATTCATTGTGATCTCTAAGTTTTATGAGAGTCAGAGATATATGAATGGTTAGCTGTATGAATATTCTTATAACTAAATTTTAATTTTAATTTTCATCTAGAGTAATTAATAAGTTATATTAAACGTAAACCCCTTCTAGTTCATTCTTGTTCAAACTTTAAGAAACGTATCGAGAAAAATGTATTGAATATTTTCACTACTTATCAAGTGTAATCTGGAGTAATCTGAGCGTATTTCATAAGGTATGATGAGAAAAACAGGCCATGCACGCATCATGGAATACGTTTTATAAATAAATATTCATATTAATTAATGTTAAAGATGTAAACGATTATTAAACTAGTAATAAGGCTAACATGTTACCCGGGTTTTCAAAAATCAAAAACTAATAATTGCAATAGTTAATTTGGAGGAAAATAAAATTTATTAGTGAAAAATATTATGATGTTTCTTAACCAATCATTAACCAAATGAAATTATATGATGAAAAAAAATGAAATGTAAGATTTTATAATTTAGATATATTTTTTAACAAAAAATAGAAAATGGAACATGTATAATTGGAGCAATCGGATAAATACCAACTACTGATAAAATAGAAAATGTTTGTATGTAAGGCCTACAATATTTTTAATTTGTATACAAAAAACTAAAAAAAAATAGACAAATAGTTTAAAGGTCCTTGTCTTTATATCTAACTAGTTGGTGATCCGCGCTACGCACGGCTATGTGAATTATTTTTATACATTTTTTGATATTATACTTGTTGTATCGTATATCGTTGAAAATTTTAAGATGAATTTCTATTTCTCACCTGTACATGACTCGAATTTTTTATTTTTTTGAAACTCTAGTTTGTGATCTATCCAATACACCGAATTTGATAATCATTTTATGTAATTTTTATATTGTATTTATTGTATCATATAGCTCTGAAGATTTTATAATTTGTTTATTATTTTTATATTGTGTTTGTTATCCATTCAAAATTATTTTGTTAATTTAAAAAAATAAGAAAATAGAACATATATAATATTAAATATCTGAAATATCCATTTGAGAGTTAAAATTCTTAAAATTATATAATGTTCTAAAATTTCCTCGATTTTTCTGAATTTTCCCAAAATATTTATTATGAAGTTGACTTTCATCCAAATTATTGAGAATTTGTCAATAGATTTTAGATAATGCAATTTCTCGAACATGTCTCGTTACCCGAATTTTCTATTCCATTTTTTTGGATTTTCTTTGGAAATCGTTTTCCGTCTTTCTAATTACTAATTTCTATCACACACTCGTAAATTTCCACCTTGAATTTTAAAATACCCAGAGCTAATGTATATCATTATTTTTTGTTTATTTTATTTTGGAATTTGATGATTTTTTATTTTCTAACAACACATTATAGTTTAATTTTTATGTTTGCTATTTTTATATTAAATATTAATATTAGTTTTTATTGTTTTCTGTCTTTCTAATTGTCAATGCTCGTTAACATTTGTAAATTTCCGCATTGAATCTTGAAATAAACAGAACTAACGTATATCGTTATTTATTAGTTTTTTATTTTGTATTTTTTTTTTTTTTTTATTTTATGACAACATATTGTAATTGTCTTTTTTATGTTTCCTATTTTTTATATTGAATGTTAATAATATTTTTTAATATTTTTCGTCTTTCTAATAACCAATTCCTGTTACATACTCATAAATTTCCACCCTGAATCTTGATTTACTCATAGCTAATGTGTATCATTATTTTTCATAGTACTTTGTTGATTTTTTTTATTTTCTGACAGCACATTGTAATTGTGTTTTTATGTTTGCTATTTTTTATATTGAATGTAAATTTTTTTTTTATTACCAATTTCTCGTCACACACTTGTAAAGTCCCATTTTGAATCATGAAATACTCAGAGCTATTGTATATCTTTTTTTTTGTTTTGTTTTTCATTTATTTTATTATTTTTATTTTCTGATAACACATTACAATTGTCGTTATATGTTTGTTATTTTTTATATTGAATGTTAATGTTAACTTTTATTGTTTTTCATTTTTCTTATTACCAATTCTCATCTCACACTCGTAAATTTCTATAGTAAATCTCAAAATACTCAGAGCTAATGTATACAATTATTTTTTGTTTTGTGTTATTTTCTCACAATATATTATATTTGTTTTTTATATTGAATGCTAATATTTTGTGTATTATAAATATTTTGCTCTTTTTATATTGAATGTTAAGTTATTTTGCGTCTTAAAAGAAATTAAATAAAATTAACTAATGATGTGGTTTTTGATGTGGCAGCACCAAAAGAGAGAAAAACTTATTTCATATGTTTTCTATTTTTTATATTGAATTTTAATATTATTTTTTATTATTTTCTGTCTTTCTAGTTACCAATTCTCATCACACACTTGTAAAGTTTCATTTTCAATCATAAAATACTTAGAGCTAATGTATATCATTATTTTTTTGTTTTGTTATTTTGTATTTGGTTGGTTTTTATTTTCTGACAATACATTATAATTGTGTTTTTATGTTTGTTACTTTTTATATTGAATGTTAATGTTTATTTGTATTGTTTTGCATCTTTTTAATTACCAATTCCATCATACACTTGCAAAAAGCAGCTTTGAATATTAAAATACTTAGAGTTAATATATGTAATTATTTTTTAGTTTTATTTTATTTTATTTTCTGACAACATATTATAATTGTCTATTTATTTTTTAATTTTATATTGAATATTAATATTTTGTGTATTATAATTACCTTTGAATATTTACTATTTTCTTATATTGAATATTAATATTATTTTATGTTTTAAAAGAATTTAAATAAAAAATAATTAATAAAGAAATTGTTGAGATGGCAGCACGAGAAGAGAGAAAAACTTACTTTTTATATATATAGATGCGTGTCATCAGAGTCAAAGGGAAATAAAGGAGTGTTAAAAGTTGTGGAGGTGGTTTGAAGGTATGGTGCCATCAGAGTCAAAGGGTTGATGTTTCTTGGGTCCAATGAAGAGCTCCATGGCTATAGAGGCTGATGAAGAGGGCATGATTAAGTAGAGCTCTACGTGTCTAAGCTTGGAAGTTGGGAACCATGGTGATGAAGTAAATGTGTTTGGGTTGAGACAAAAGAGTTATATGTTGTTGAATCAATGCCATAGACCAAGTTTAAGGAAGGCAACGCCTGGTGCAACATGTGTAACTGGTTTTATGTTTACAGAGAGCGAAAGATGATTTATGGATAATAATCTGATTAGTGCTCTTCTGACTTTCTTTTGGGTTAAATGAACATCACACTTCTAAGCCCATAAGTTTAATGATCCCTGAAAACAAATATCCAAAGCGCAACCAAACTGCATGACCCGGATAACCTACATTTACGGTATATTCCTTTTCCATTTTCATAAAATTATAGTATGAGTAGAAAATGTTATCCAATGTTATATATATTAAGTGCATGCTGGTAGAAAATAGCAAAATAATGATCCAATTGATAATTTAATTAACGCTGGTAGGCGACTTATATGATTGTGTCGATTTTTAAGTTTTATCTTTAGTCTATGAACTTCTACAGCCGGCGTTAAGATCACAGAAGTGACCAATAATTTGTTATATATTAAATGTCCATGCCCAGAAAATGGATCTATAGGTAAATGATTTTTTCTTCATAGGTTACAATTTTGTTTTCTTTTTAGATGTTAAACGATCATTCCACTATTATTAAGGCTTAATGGTGGTGGAGCACTACTCAATCACATTGTATTTATTCACTAACAAATCTTCCCCATTAATTTATTGGTCATTTGCTAAACTCAATTAATTGAACACTAAACAATCCCATGCATATTTATCACATTGTATTTACTAACAAATCTTCCCCAATTGATATTTTTATTCTTTTTGATAAACTACTTATTCAGCGTTAAAAAAAACAAACAATCCCAGGCATATTCATCATCACTTAACCTTATGCATTAAATATAAGGTGTCATCACGTACCACTGTAATTAATAAAGTTACACCAGCTTAAAAAAGATACAGGTTTAATATACAGGTCCGAACTTTCACAGTATAACATTTTTACATTTTACATGTGACTGGTAATTGAAATTACTCATTTAAACAAAACAATGGATAACTTATCTTTTTCAACGATTCGGTTTCTTGTTGTTCGTCACCATCCTCTTGATCTGTTTGGTCTTTGGTGGTAAGACTCAAGTACTCGACTTGGTCACTGTAAATACCAGCAAGAATCAAATATAATGTCAAGACAAATATTGTAAATACAACAAATAACCAGCTGAATTCGATGTTGATCAGTGACTTAGCCCTATGTAGAGCCTCCTGGCTAGAACACCTAACCATTTGGTGATGTTTTTCTACATGGAAAAAACAACCTTTAGGGATCAAACTTGGTGTGAAAAGCATGAAACCCATTACTATTAACCACGCTCCTTGAAAGGCAATGCTTGATGATCTCACAAAGCTCACGATAAAACTCTTGGGCATTGCAATACCCGTTAGAGTGGTAATTAGAGAAACGAATATGACAAACTGGAAGAGCAAATGGTATTGTCCTTCCATGCTCTTGTTGTCGACAGAGTGAAGATGGAAGAGGAATAATTGTTGTGCGAATGCAGCGGCTAAGGCAAGAAACGTCAGTCCCTTAGCGGTTGCGTCTGCTCTAGGCCGTGCTCGATCAAAGACTATAGCAAAAACCGCATAGACTATGAAGGACATAGACATGGAGGCATGTTCAAAGCTACGGAGATGGCTCGAGGCGATGGTGCCATCAGGTTCAAAGGGATGATGTCTCTTGGGTCCAATGAAGAGTTGTCGGACTATCAAGATTGATAAGGAGACCATGATCGAATAAAGCTCTAAATATCTGGGGTTGGAATATGGGAACCATGGTGATGAAGAAAAGGTCTTTGGGTTGAGACAAAAGAGTTTTATGTTGTTGAACAAATGCCATAAACCAACTAACAAGAAACCTAAACCAGGTGCAACATGTCCCACTGGTGATTCCATGTTGTGGGTTTTGTACGAGTTTTAACCTTTTTTAGTTTGTCTCTAGCTAGAGAGAGAGCGAGAGAAAGATAAAGACAAGAACTATTCACGAATGGGTTGAAATCAATAAAGAGTTGAGAATGAGTTTAAAATGTCCACGAGCCAGCGACGATCGATAGTCATTTGGAAAAAGGTTTATCTGGAGTACTTTGTTGGAATCTTTCAGATATCACTGGATTAATTTATCTAGACAACGTCAAGATAACAGAAGTGAGCAACATGATTTATTACACATCATATTAAATTCCCATGCCAAAGAGAAGTGAGCAGCATGATTTATATATCACCCATCAAATGTCCATGTCAACAAGATTACGAGTCAAATTTAAATGATTTTTCTTCTTCTTAGAAGTTTCCTTAGTTATTTTCAGATGTTGAAACGATCATATCGCATTTTCCTTCTTTAACGTTCAAGTCATAAGCTATAGATCCTAAACCTAATATCTTAACTATTAATTAAAAAGAGAAACAAAAATAACATGTTTAAGAACACCATGGTATTAGAGCATGCTAAATAAATGAATATCATGTAATTGTAATGAACATGCTATTTTAGTGAAATTGAGAAGATGTTGCAATGGCATAACGCGACTTTATGCCAAGTTCTTGCAAAGTTCATCAACGTGACTCAGAGGTCAAGATCCACACACTCATTGATATTTAAACCTAATCATGACCTTTTCAATTTTTTTTTCTTCTCAGATGAACTTTCTTGAACCCAACGGTATTTAATCGGCATGAAAAATCTCTTGTTTCTTCATCTCTCAACAGTGTGAATGTTTTTTTTTTGTTACTAAAGATACTAGAGTATAAGTTTTGCAAGTATACAATTTGTCATTTATATAATTATTATTTTTTGGTCAAGATATAACTATATTAAAATATGGTTTGACTACGTAAATAGTCCAAAAAAACACACCTACTCAACAGTTTATTTCTATATAATGTGAAATGTACGTGAATTTTTCCGAAATAACTCGCGACATCCTACGACTCACACAAGTCAATGCTTCTAGATTAACATTCATCAAAAGTCACACATGAAAATTTACAACAACTCCAGCTTGTTGAATATTTTAGGCCACAGTTTTTCATCAAGTCATGATATATATACTCATGAACTTACATTAATATATGTCTTATACAATATATTCGCGGCTTCGTCATTCGTTGTAATTATGTGTCTCATGTGTCGCTTTCATACCAGTATCGTAGTTATTGTATAACGAGGAATTTTTATTTATTGTTACGTCGATCTCACGAAAGAGACATTAACGACGAAACTGCATAAACACTTTAAACCTCCAGATTTAATATCAACAAATAAAATTGAAAATTAGAATTATATCATCAATCAATCCACAAACGTGACAAAATATAGACTATCTACAGTTTTCAAATTTTGTGGACTATATAAAACGTACGGAATGGAGTAAACGACGGGTCCACGACGACGGAAAGTGGAAGACTGGGCCCCCACGCCTAATGGGCTTTCTGATGAAGTCAGGCACGCTCCTAAAGTCAATAACGTTTTGTATTGTGTTTTTTTTTTTTTTTTTTTTTTCTAAATTCTAGTGAACGAACTAATTAAGAAATTAATCCAGAATCTCTTTATTTTGTTTTTTTTTTGCACTAAAGAAAATTTGAGTTATATCAATAATATGTATCATTTTTGTAGAGTAGCCTGTTCGAATTAAGAAAATATAGACACACCACTCGTATACTTCCACGTTGCAGATACTGTTAGGTTGGTAGGTGAACTACGACAAATTCATTAGTTTTATTTTCCAATAAACATTTTAAATCATTAAACTCAAAATAACGTATTGAGGAATGGAATGAATACTTTTCCGAAGTAAACAAAAGAAAGCAAATAAAGCAAAAGCGTCAAAAATACAAAAAAAAAAGAAAGTGACAGCCATACAATATCTTTGATGCCGACTAAAAATGCAAGTTAAGTATAACATTTTTAATTCACTAATGTGCTTATCATGATACTGTGAAAAATGGCATAATTTAAATTATTGGTAGTAACAGTGAATATAATACATCTATAACCAGATCTAGCCAATCGGAATATGATGTTTGATTTTGAAAAATTCACATAACTTATACTATGGATGATTCTAATACTCTAAACAAAATTCAAATGTATTATTTTAAACTGTATTATCGATCAATAATAATAAACTATAAAATAACCTTTCCAAATGAAAAAAGACATGTAACACACTAACACTACACCATTTTTAATTTAGAAACTATATATATATATATATATAATTTAAATTATCTATCATCTTCTGTTTTTTAAAAAATGACAAAAGTTTTTTTGAGTATGACTTCACCGTAAATCATACGACTCGATGACGCAATGATCATGATAGCTATCAGCTTCTACTTCACACGCCTCACATATGAATCAATATCGAATACGCATCAACCTTCCCCACTTATTAGTCAATGTTCTTTAAACTAATCCACGAAAATCAAACGAACATATTAAATTATATAAAATCATTTATGTCTAAAACTCGACATATATATAAATAGCATCACACACCTTCTTGTTCTATACACCCCATTTGTATAAACAAACCCATCCATAGTAACCAAAACCACAACAAAACACATGGCCAAGCTCATTTTCTTCCTCGCCGTTCAAATCCTCATCCTCGCCGTCGTTTCTTTCGCCGAAGACGACGGTGAAAACTTCGCCAGAACCATAGATCGGAAACTCCTCGGTCTCCACAAGAAAGAGAAACTAACCCACTTCAAAGTCTACTGGCACGATATCTTAAGCGGTCCAAACCCAACCTCCATCATGATCCAGCCACCGGTTACAAACACTTCCTACTTCGGAGCAATCTCCATGATCGACAACGCTTTGACGGCTAAAGTTCCGATGAACTCCACGGTTTTGGGCCAGGCACAAGGCTTTTACGCCGGAGCAGCCCAAAAGGAGTTGGGTTTTCTGATGGCTATGAATTTTGCTTTTAAGACAGGGAAGTACAACGGAAGCACGATCACGATTCTTGGTCGGAACACCGCGTTGTCGGAGGTCAGAGAAATGCCGATCGTTGGAGGTAGTGGGCTTTTCCGATTTGCTAGAGGCTATGTTGAGGCTCGAACAAAGTGGATTAATCTCAAGAACGGCGATGCTACTGTTGAGTATAGTTGTTATGTATTGCACTATTAATGTTGCTGATGTTTTTGTCGGTTTTTATATATTTAATTTAGCGACGTTAAAATTTTCAATATATTATGTTTTCTTTTTGCATTTGGCTTATGGTGGTGTGTGTGGTGGTGGATTTATGGTAGCACTGTAGCAGGTTTGTCGTTTATTAAAATTCAATAATAATATTGAAACTTGTTTTCTCACAATGAGTTTCTAGAGAAAGACTTTTAACTCGATGAAGTGACTTCGCCTTGCAAGAAACATGTGTTTACAAAAAGAAAAAATGAAAATTTAATTTTCTGAATCATTCATTCATTACAAGTTTATCTAACACGTACCACTTTTATACTACAAAGCAAGAGCAAAGGCTTGTTTTAAAGTAATTGGATTTGGAAGAACGTACACTCAATTTATAAAGAAGGGGAAGAAACTTCAAAAAACAACATCTCTACACTCTTCTTCATCCCTTTAAATTATTTTTGTATGCTTCATTGTGAATTTGATAAACCCGCTTAAAGCATTAAACAAAAATGTCTCCGTGGACGGAAATATTGACGAACGCTTCAATGTTTGTGATAATCCAAGCTTTAGCGTTTCTAATAATCTCCACTTCCTCCGAAATATTCTCATACAAGAAGAAGACGAAGAGAACATTTGGCCGGAAACTCTCTACTACTTCCATCGGCATTTCCCATTTACTCGCCTTGATCTCCGATGATGTCTCTCAAGCCGAAGAAGAAGTAGAAGAAGACGAAGCTTCCTCTATTTGATTTACATGAACAAGTCTTTGTGTTTTCAGAAATTTGACTTACACAAACAAAAATTTACTTTGCACAACGTATGAGTCATGTCGATTTAAAGAAGAATCATAATATCCGATGATCTACTCATACGGTTAAGATCATAACATTGCATGAAAACTACAATCTCGCCAGCAACATTACACTGATACACGCCATTGTTGATAACCATGAATTGTAGATTAAGCCAAAAGATACTCAAAAACTGAAAGAGTTTAAGCAGAGAGTTCGTGAGGATAAACCTGACCTAAATTCAGGACCTTTGGGATTCAATAAGAGATGAAAAGAAACGTTACAACCCGAGTTTTTCTTCTCAGGTCTTTATCCTCCTGGAAACTTGTTGTAAGATGCAACAAAGACAGTCATAAAGGCATCGAAATACCTGCAATTTTTTTTTTATATATCATTATGAAATTGTAAACACATTGAGCTAAGCAAACAACAAGTCCACATCAAATATAGCTTCCATAAAGATCAAACTGATGCATGAAACTAAAGCTGCTACTTGTTGTAAACCATAAGCCAATAAAGACGGTAATTTCAATTTTCAAACACCAACAAGTAGACTTTTTTCCATGACAAGTAACAATCTATGGGTGTAAAAAAAAAACAGCAAGAGATATCCTTAGTAAAGGCTAAAGAGGACGATAAGAGCCAACTCAAGCGATTCACAAACCGGATGAAAAAACGATAAGCAAAGCTAAGCATAATCTATCAGGTTCCTGTCAATAAGTGATAACTGATAACTGATCACCACAGTTTCAAAATGGTAGTATGATGATACTTTATACCCCACCAAATGTCTAACACTGACACACGAAGAAAGCAACATAATCTAAAGAATAAAAGACAGTTGCAGCACCGAGAAACAACAGAGTGTAAAATCTTCTTTGATATACAAAATGTAACAAGTCATCGGTTCATAAATCCAAAAACAAACATAACGATACACACTTGTTTCTCAGAATGCAATAAGAACATCAATATAGAGGAAAAAGACTGACCTTGAGGAACTAAACACCAGCTCTTGGATTCAACAGACAAACTTGATACCAATCTAGCAGATGCTGTAGCACTGTGCAGCGGAAACAGAGATACGCAGCTACTCAACTCCACTGGTAATCTGTTAAAAATCATCCCTTTTATAATCAAATCCAAAATCATACCAATAAAAGGATGAGCTCACAGCTAAATCCAGAGTTTAACTACTGTATGCGAAACTTCATGATCACAGCGTTACATGTGTAAAAGGTTGACCCATTTCTAAGAAAAACTAAAGAAAGCTTCTTGATTGCAATAAAAATGCAGGGAAGATGGGTTTTCTCTATTAACAGCGAAATTCCTGGAGAAAAAGAAAAACACTGACCTAAAAGATCGATTGATACGGCTAGTTGCTGAGGATGGAGATGAAGATTTAATGGGAGACGGTAAGGAAGAGACATGAACATTCGTCTTGCTAAGCTTCTGGGTTAAATAATGTATCTTAGATGATAATCTGCAGACTTTAGAAGACGCCATGGGAGGAGTCGGGAGAAATCGAAATGAGATCGGACATTTAGGGTTTAAGCTGCTTCTTTCTGTTTCTGGGAATCGGGTCGGGTCAAGCCAATGCCTGGAGTATCCAACAACAACGTTTAGCAAAACGACGCCGTATCGGCCAGTCGTTAAAAGGGTAACTTAGTAATTTAGAGATAATTGTTGTTACCCTTTCTCTTTGCTGACTTGGCTTATTCTTCTTCTCGGTTTCACCCCGAGTCGCGCGAGTCACATGACTCGGGAGCAGCGACGTTTCACCGAAAATTCAGAAACTAGCCGTTGAAAAGTGTAAGCCATAATAACGGTAACTTGGACTTCAAAATCAAACGGCTAGATTTCGAAACCGATTCTATAAATAATGCCTTAGTTTTCCCTTTTCATCTTCACTCAGAAAAATCATTGAAATATAGTTCTGCCTTTCCATAATTCCCAATGTAGTGGTTTCGGGAACAATTTTTTTTCTTCGTTTCCACCACAAAATCAAGGGGTTTCACCACGAAATTGCTCATTCAATCCAAGGTAAGCTCACAATCTAATCTTTCTCTCTTGTTTCTCGTACTCTGTTTTGCTCATCTGAACTATTTAAAAGATTTCCAAACACTTTTTTCTTACACTCTGTTTTGGCTTTCGGTGATTTAAAGTATTATAAGGTTTCCTAGTAAATGAATAAAATGATTCATACTCTCTTGTTTTTTTTACTCACTCTGTTTGGGTGTGTTCATAAACGAATCTTTCTCTCTAATCTAGTCTCTCTCTCTCTCTCTCTCTCTCTCTCTCTCTCTGTTTTGCTCATCTGAACTATTTAAAAGATTTCCAAACACCTTTCTCTCATGATTACCTAAACTCTGTTTTGGCTTTCGGTGCTTTGAAGTATTATAAGGTTTCCCTAGTAAATGAATAAAATGATTCATACTCTCTCTTGTTTCTTTTACTCGCTCTGTTTTGGTCAGCTCATAAACGAATCTTTCTCTCTTGTTTCTCGTACTCTGTTTTGGATTACACCAAAAAAAAAAAAACAAAATTGCGCTCTGGTTCTGCTTTTATGTCTTTCCTCCTTAGTATACATGATGTGTCGCATGCCTTGTGGGTTTGATTGCACTTGTCCTTGATTTTCAGGCCTCTGACTTGAAATATTTCTCCAGCATGGTTTGTCCTTTTTATGATGGTAAAGTTGTAAGCTGGTACTTATTCTAATCGGATATATAACAAACAGAGTTATTATATTATACTCTTTCCGTTTCAAAATGAGTGTCGTTTTAGAGTTTTATTTTTGTTTCACAAAGAGTTTTGCATTTCCAATACAATTTTTTAAACAAAAATCATGTTTTAATCCTGTTATATTAATGTATTAATTAGAAAGAAAATGTTATTTTGTGTATGAATAAAGGGTAAAACAGAATTTTTAATATTTTTTTAATTTGTGTGAAAAGTGTCAAAATGACAATTATTTTAAAATAGAGGGAATATATAGTAGGTGAAAATATGAAATGAGTATGTGGTTGCGTGTGTAATTGTAGTAATGGTTGGAGCAGCTCAGACGATACTCGCTAACCGGTTCAGTTGCGGAAACGTTGTAACTTGGAACGTGAGTAGATATGTATAATCTGGGGAAATCAAGCTAAAAATGGGCAAGTATGGTGGTAATTCATGTGTGTTGCCTTGAATCTGGATGTTTAATTGTGTCTATTATTGTGAAATCGTTGTAATGATTAGTCGAAGCACTTGAACCGATGGCTAACCGGTCGAAACGATGCACGTTGCGTTTGTGTTTCCTGGTGACAACAATCATTAAGTATGACTAAAATACTACTCCTGGAGTAGTTTTTAATAGGTGAAAAGTGAAAACATAAATAAAAGTAAAAAACTGATAAGTAATGTAAATGATCAAAAATAATATTATCACGTGTTGAGGAATAACTAATACTGTATATTGTTCATCTATATATACCATGCAAAATGCAAAGGCAAAAGTAAAGAAACAATTGAAAATAGGTTTTTGGTTTTTGTTCACAAATGCACTTCAATCATTTTTTTCCCTCTGAACTGATGAATGAGTGTAAACTCCAGTAAAAAACTTTTAAAATGGGTTTACTACAATTGTTTGGTAAAAAAGACAAAACAACCACCTTTTTTGAGGTGAGCAAAATAAAAGTTTCACTCTAAAATTATGAACACGCATAGTTTACGTTTAATAACTCTAATTTTTTAATAAATATTCCTTCCAATTCCAAATAAGTAGTAAAATTTTGTCTTACTTACAAGAACAATTTTGATTAAAACCCGGTGATTATTAGCACGAGACTTGATTTTAATCGTCGTGTTACTTGTTGTCGCGTAGATCAATGCCATGGCACATTGCCCAAGCAGACAGCCGCCACTAATACACTGTCGTATCTATCTGCTCGATTTATTTTGTGAGATTTTTTTTTTTTTTTTTTTCGTAAACAGTTTGTTTGAAAATATATATTTTTCATTTAATAAGCTTATCAAGAAGTGTGACAAGACGAGACTGATAATAGCCGTAACTATTCAACATCCGGAGATGACTGACTGGTCGGAGAAACGCAGCGTATTATGGTCCTGTGATAATGACAGCTCTAAACTCTATCAATGACACAATCGATATAACATAAATTCAACTATTTTTCATTCAATTCAACCTGCACTGAGTGTTAAATGTTTGATTTGGATCCGCTAATGGAATTTTTTTTTTTTTTTTTTTTTTTTTGTACCATTTGTTCCTTTACGATTATTCAAATTTTAAACTAGATGTTGATTGAATGGTGAAGTGTGTGATTGCTACTTTAAAAGTTAATTATTTTTTTGAAGTTTATTTACGTCACTACATGTAAATATGATTGTTCTAAAAAAAAAATTTCAGAAAAGTAACTAATACAATCATTATGTTTAATATCGGCCAAAAATTCGTTAAAATTGGAGTACATGTCAACAATGTTTTATTATTATTTCTGTTAACAATCTGATAGTACTGTTTCAAATAAAAAAGGATTAATCACTAAATTGTTATCTTAATTTTATAACCTCATGAAACAAATAAAAAAAGATAATTTTTGTATTACCTACCAGTTAATAACAGTAACAACATACAGTAAGTTCAAGGGGCTTGATGACTGTATTGACAAATAAAGAACCCTAAAGCTGATTTCACATTTTCGCGCTTTTCTTCTTGTTTCTATCTGTGCAAGCATTTATGCTGCTTCTTCTCTACATTTTCAACAGTGTCTTGTTTCTATCTCTAAAAAAGTGCTTTTGATGTGAAAAGCAGAAAAATTCCAAGTCAGACAAAACATAGCGAAATCAATGATTCAAGTAAGATCAGTATTTATTAATCTTCTGTTTCCTCTGTCTTCTTCTTTCTGATCTCTTCTTGCTCGTTTTCATGGCGGTGAAATATATGAATGCTTAGCTTGGTGAGAAATTTCGTGAAAATGATAATGATAACAACAATGTCCTTGCGTATTTGATTTAATTTAATTTACTGATCTCTTTCCATTGCTATAACCTTCTGCAAATCTAGTTTAAAGGATTGTTATTTTGGCCAGTTTCTTTAGATTTTCCGTTTTAAATAACCATTTATTTCATTTCTGTTACTGTAGGTGTGGTTTTGAAGATTTGGAAGATTCTGAAGCAGAGAAAAATTGATTTGTCTTTTGCCCTTTCTCTTGTCGAAAGGGTTAGATCCAAAAAAGCAAGAGGTTTCATTTGCTCGCTCTGTTTCACGAGAAACATTGACTCACAATGATTTGACAAAAAGGGGATAGATTTGAGTGATTGGGATAGAGAAGAAAGTGTATCTCTTTGGACCCTAGAGGATTTAAATTTTATCGAAAGGGTACAAAGGATTTTTTGGATTCAAGTAGCTCCAAAAGCTGGTGTGGAATCTCAAAAGAAGGACTTTTTTTTTGGTTCAGGGTTTTGTGTTTTGTGTTTTGAAGTTTATGTGATTCATTGAGAAAGGAGTGGTGAGTGAGAGGTCTTGTCATGTCTATGAGTTTTGTATCCATCTGCAACTCAAGCTGTGTGTTTGGTTTGGCCTTGTCTTGATGTCCAACTTGAGCCTTAATAATACAATCATATCTACTCAATCCATCTCTCCTGGAAGCTACAAAATCTCTGAGGATCAATTAAAAGTCAGAACTATTCTTGCATTTGTGTCTTAAATGATCCGAGGGAAAGAGGAGAAGAGACCAGGAGGTTCTAATGGGACTCAGAAGGTTCTTGTTGCTGTTAAAGCATCAAGGGAGATTTCAAAGACAGCATTGGTTTGGGCTTTGACTCATATTGTTCATCCTGGAGATTGCATCACTCTGATTGTTGTTGTCTCTTCTCACAATGCTGGTACTTTTTCTTCTTCTTTGGTACTAAATCATGGAGGATTAAATTTGCTCTGTTTTAATTCTTTAATCTTTGTTTTGTTTTACGATGAGTTTCTTAGGTCGAAAGCTATGGACTTTCCCGAGGTTTGCTGGAGATTGTGCAAGTGGTCATCGGAGATCGCATCCTGATGCGATTCCTGAGATAAAGAGTGATCTCACTGATACTTGTTCCCAAATGATTCTCCAGCTTCATGATGTCTATGATCCAAACAAGGTTTACTAACATTATTAGCCGCATCGTCCAAAAATAATGACATCCTAAAACAGCATTCTCATTTTTGTGTTTGTTTCTTGGAAAGGTTAATGTCAGGATCAAGATTGTTTCTGGATCACCATGTGGAGCTGTTGCGTCTGAGGCTAAGGAGTTGCAAGCAAATTGGGTAGTTCTTGATAAGTGAGTAATGTAGTCCAATTTTCATTTTTTTCAGTTCTTCAGCTTTTGCTCTCTCTCTCTCTCTAATGGTTCTTTTACAGGAACCTTAAGCACGAAGAGAAACGGTGCATAGATGAGCTACAATGCAACATTGTGGCAATAAAGCGTTCTCAGGCAAAAGTTCTGCGGTTGAACTTGGTCGGTTCAACAACAAAGGAAGCAGTGAAAGAGTGTGCTTTACGGACCGAACCAGAATTATGCACGTCTGAAAAGAGCAAAACCAGGTCGTTAGGTTCTGTTACAACTCCTATGAGCAGTCCTGAGGCTGGCACACCATTCACAGGCACAGAAGCTGGGACTTCATCAGTGGCTAGCTCTGAGCAAGGGACATCATCGCCCTTTTTCACAGTGGAAGCGAAAACGGATGAAGGTCTAGTCATCAAAGAGAATGATTCCGGTTCTGATTCAGAGAGCGAAGACCTATCTTTAGCTTCGACGAGTACGAGATTCCACTCTTGGATATCGAAGTATCTTGGCACTCACCATCGCCTCACATTGCAGGAACCAGAGGAACGTAATGATAAGGCTGCTCAAGAATCCGCTTTGCTTGGAGAAACCGAGATTTCGAGCACAAGGAGTGACTTGGAGGAGTTTAGTGGAAACGTGAGAGAAGCAATATCGCTGTCACGAAACGCTCCTCCTGTTCCGCCTCCTCTCTGTTCTATCTGCCAGCACAAAGCTCCCTTATTCGGGAAACCGCCGAGGCTTTTCTCCTACAGAGAGCTGGAGCATGCAACGAATGGGTTCTCACGGTCTAACTTCTTGGCGGAAGGAGGATTTGGATCTGTGCATCGAGGTGTGTTACCCGAAGGCCAGATTGTAGCAGTAAAGCAACACAAAGTAGCTAGTACTCAAGGAGATGTAGAGTTTTGCTCTGAGGTAGAGGTTTTGAGCTGTGCTCAGCACAGGAACGTGGTTATGTTAATAGGTTTCTGCATAGAGGAAAGCAGAAGACTCTTGGTCTATGAGTACATATGCAATGGATCATTAGACTCTCATCTATACGGTAAATCTTTTTTTTTTTAAATCTATTATTCTTGACTATAAGATTCAAGAACTAACTTTTTTTATGAAATGTTCATACAGGTCGCCATAAAGAGACTTTAGGATGGCCTGCAAGGCAAAAAATAGCGGTTGGAGCGGCTCGAGGTCTTCGATACCTTCATGAAGAGTGTAGAGTTGGTTGCATTGTTCACAGAGACATGCGGCCTAACAACATACTCATCACTCATGATTACGAGCCACTGGTATTTTATATAAATGGCTACAACAACCAAAGTTTTAGACTTTATGTTTCGAAAAAGTGATTTGATTCTGGTCTTCTTTTTTTTTTGTTCTGAAAGGTTGGAGATTTTGGTTTAGCGCGGTGGCAGCCTGATGGAGAGCTCGGTGTAGACACTCGCGTAATAGGAACTTTCGGGTAGAAAGTTTATTAACTAAGAATCATCAGTATGTTAGAATTCTAAAAACTCCTCAGTAATTACTTACTGTGTTTGGTTTGTTTAGCTATTTAGCTCCAGAATATACTCAAAGTGGACAAATCACAGAGAAAGCTGATGTTTACTCGTTTGGGGTTGTATTAATTGAGCTAATCACGGGTCGTAAAGCCATGGATATCTTCAGACCAAAAGGACAACAATGTTTAACTGAATGGGTAAATATCAAAGCTTATCTGTAAATGGAAATTTAAAAGTTTCCTCTTTTGAAACTCGTTTTGTTTTTTTTGAACTGCGAGCAGGCAAGGTCTCTATTAGAGGAGTACGCGGTGGAGGAGTTGGTTGATCCAAAGCTGGAGAAGAGTTATTCAGAGACCCAACTCATTTGTATGATTCACACAGCTTCGTTGTGTATACGCAGAGATCCACATTTGCGTCCTCGTATGTCTCAGGTAAAGAAAAAAAATCACCATTCTTGAAACATGTTCATTCTTTAAGTCAGTCAATACACTCTCTCACTGTGTCTGTGTCTGTGTCTGTTTGTTGAAGGTGTTGCGTTTGTTGGAAGGAGATATGGTAATGAATGAAACTTCAGGGAGGCTTAGTGGAAGATCATCGCTTGAGAGAAATCAAAGATCAGAATTAAGTAGCAAACAGAGTGTTTAAAGGTGTTTGTAGCATTTTGCTCCTTAGGAAATGAATTCGATCTCTCCTTTTTTTTTGTATAGTGCGTAGGATTTTTGTATAATCAAACTTCTTATAATTATGAGCTGAGAGTTTTTTTAGTGTTTGTACTTTGATGTTCAAAGTTCTTATCTTGTATAATCAAAGTTCTTATAATTATCACCAAGTTAAGTAACAAAATGGGAAGAGAGAAAAAAAGAAAGATTTAACTGTAAGAAGTTGTCAACAAATTGAACAAAGTAGAAGAAACGTTTTCAAGTTTCTCAATCTCACACAGTGACACATACAAAAGAACAAATTAGAAGATCAAATTGTTTTATGAAGAAGGGTATGACGTAAGCCCTGAGGTTTCAGTCGCCGCCGCAGCTTCTTCGTCGAGGAACAGGTTGTCACTCCTCCTAACCGCCGCGTGGATCAGAACCAACACGGCGGCGGTTAACAGCGACCCGAGGATATTCGCCGTGGCGTGGGTCAACAAAAGCATGACGATGGTCAAAACCGAGAGAACGATCATGACCGTCCGATCGTTGATCTGATGACCGAAAACCATGAGAGGCTCGTCGCGGAGGAAGTAGAGGAAGATCCAGAAGACGACCAGGACGGCCAAGACGAGGAGCGAGGTCGGGTGGTAGAGAAGGCTTAGGAAGAGGATCACCAGGACGCCGATGGCGTAATTTGCTCGGAAATAGACGAGATTCGTTTTTATCCTCGAGATCGCGTCGAGGAAGCCGTGTGGGAGAGTCATGGATTCGAAATCGAACATCGATTTCCATGGGCGTCGCGTGGCGAGACCGGATTTGATGCGGTGTTTTGCGCGTGAGAGGTACTCGAGGTCCACCGCCGGCGATGGATGAGACGACGTCGGAATCGCGCCGTAGTTCGTCATTTCGTGCACGCGTCTCTGAGATTGGGGAGAGACCGAGAGAGAGAGAGAGAGAGAGACGAAGGAAGCTAAAACGATTTGTTTATGAATTGCCCAGTACCTATGAATTAGATAATGGTGCAGGCATAAATGTCACATGTAGATAAAAGTAGATAACAATAACCAACAAAAATGCATAAATGCTATATATATTGTATTAATCTACTATATATTATTTGAGAAGTAACATTATTGAAAATAGTTGATTTGTCAATACTACAGTCAAAATTAGTATTTTTAATTGATGACATATAAATGTAACATGTCAAACTTCTTAAAATAAACGAAATGTTTTGATTGGTTGAATTAAAATAATAGAAATTGTAGAATTAAAACATAAATAAACTAGATTATATTTATAACAAATTTAAATTAAGAGAAAATAAAAGTGATTATAATTTCAATTTTTTACATATATTCATTATTTCATAAAATATATTTACGAATTTTTTTAACAATATATATATATATTATAATTTCATATAAAACGAACAAATAATACTAAATTATTCAATAGAATAATAGAAATTCTATTTATTAATAATACTTGAAGTATAATATATTTTTATTTAGGGAAGTTATTAATTTACAAAATATATTAATAACATCCAAACAAGTTTTAAATAAACAAATTATTAAATAATACAATTTTAAATAAAATACAATCATGATAAAAATAATTTAAACAATAAAATGTTAAAAATAATAAAAAATAATCAACTTTTATTGAATTCTTTTTTAAAAAAAACGTAATTTTAAATAATTTTTCTTTTCAAACCAATATTTACTAAATGAATAAAGTATATACTAATTATTATTTTATAATATTAATAGGACCATATATTTTTTATAACTTTTATCATATTTTTATTGTTGTTTTCTAAAATGTACATAACTTATGTTACCATCTCATCTTATCTCTTATCATATTTTAAATAAAAATAAATTTTATATCAAAATTTATTTTCATTGTTTATCAAAATTTTGAGAACATAAATAAAATGAAAAATAACCGAGCGAAAGAATAAATTATAATGAGATGAAACTTATAATAGATGAAACTTATAATATGAATAAGAAATAAAAATAAAAGTATATAAAAATAAATCTGTCGCACTTTGTTTTACAAAGTCACTTAAAAACTTTTAACACCTAAGAGCCATATTTTAATTTTTTTACAAATACGCGTACAAACATAAATATTAATTGTACATTAGTTGAAGTCACATGCGAACTTTTCCGTGTATGTATTTTGTTAAGATTGATTACAGACTAATTTTTATTTTAATTATTATACAAATTATATTTTTAAAAAAATATTTATCTTTTCTAGATGTAGTGAAGTGGTTGGTATGTCCGCACATGCATGCCAACCATCTATCCGCTCTTAAAAATAAGTAAAAATGGTAAAAACTATTTCAGTTTAATTTGCAAAAAATCAAAAAAAATATATTTAAAAGATATTATATATGTATTTGCAAATTCATATTATGTAAGACGTAAAAAAGCATATTGTAGATTGTGTAAGAAGAAATAAAATATATTATAAAAATATTCAAAAATATTATAAAAATTTAATTATTATTCAACATGACTTTTATATTTGTGATTATATATTATTACAAGCATTATAAAAATAAAGTTTTTAAAATACATTGGTTTCAGAAAGAAGTTTGTGAAATATTAAAACAATATATATACAAACATACCAATATTAAAAAAAAACTAATCAATATTTAAATATTACAATTAACAATATATATAAAAAAAATTATATCCGCACATATGTGCGGGCAACAGCCTAGTATCTATATATATCTTGTAACAATTTCATCCGAATAATTACATACACACAAGAAAAAAATTAAAATTTTTAAGTTTTTTTAATTTTCTAATCAAGATATGTGTATTAACACACACAAAAAACTGTTAAATTTTTTAGTTTTTTTGCCAAAATGTTTGTATTAACACACACATACAAGAAAATGTTTAATTTTCGGTATTTTTAATTTTCTTGCGGAGATGTGTGTATTAACACACACAAGATATTGTAAAATTTTGAGTTTTTTTAATTTTCTTGTCAAAATATCTGTATTAACACACATACAAAAAAATATTAAGTTTTTGATTTTTTTTTTATTTTCTTGTCAAGATATGTGTAATAACACACACAAGAAAATATTAAATTTTTGATTTTTTTATTTTTCTTGCCAAGATGTGTGTATTAACACACACACACGCAAACACATGAAAATGAGTTTTTTGTTATTTTCTTGTCAAGATGTATTTATTAACACACACAAAAGAAATTGTTAAATTTTTTGGATTTCTTTTAGAGAATTTTCCCCCTTAAGTTTACAGGACTAATTCTTTAATTTTCTTCTAAGGATATGTGTATTAAGCCACACACAGAGAAAATTGTTAAATTTTCTAGTTTTTTTTTAATTTTCTTGTCCAGATATGTGTATTAATGCACACAGAGAAATGTAAAATTTTTGAGTTTTTAGTTTTGTTGTCAAGATGTGTGTATTAACACACACAGAGAAAAATGTTAAATTTTAGAGTTTATTTTTTTAATTTTATTGTCAAGATATGCGTACTAACAGAAACACAAAAAATGTTAATTTTTGAATTTTTTAATTTTTTTGTCAAGATGTGTGTATTAACACACACAAAAAAGAAAATGTATATTTTTGAGTTTTTTTTAATGTTTTTGTCAAGATATGGGTATTAACACACACAAAAAATATTAAATTTTCAAGTTTTTAGATTTCTTGTCATGATGTATGTATTAACACACAGAAGAAAAAGTTAAATTTTTCGAGTCTCTTTTAGGGAATTTTCCCCTTAAGTTTGCAATGTTAATTCTTGTTAACAAACACAACAAAATATTAAACTTTTGATTTTTTTGTTTAAATTTTCATTTCAAGTTTATTTTTAGTTTTCTTGTTAGGATATGTGTATTAAGACACACGCAAAAAAATTTAAATTTTCATGTTTGTTTTTTTATTTTTCTTTCCGATATGTGTATATTAACACACATACAAAAAATGTTAAATTTTCGAGTTTTTTTTAGAGAATTTTCACCCTTAAGTGTGCAGTACTAATTATTTTATATTCTTGTCAAATATGGGTATTAACACACACAAGAAAATGTTAAATTTTCAGGTTTGTTTTTTTATTTTTCTTGCCAATATGTGTTTATAATAGTACCATCTGATTCCCTTGTCTGATGAAACATACAAAAAAACGGAGTAAATACGCTTGAAATAGTCATATGAGACTCATAATACTTGTGAGTTTTTAATTTTTTTGTATTAACACACAAACTCGAACTATTAATTCAAAAGTGAGCTTTTAAATATTTTGTCAAGATATGTGTATTAACACACACATAAGAAAATATCAAAATTTTAAGTTTTTTTTTAATTTTTTTGTCAAGATATGTGTATTAACACACACACAAACACACACAAGAAAATGAGTTTTTTTTTCTAACTTTCTTGCCAAGATATACATATTAACACACACACACATAAAATGTTAAATTTTTAATTTTTTCAATTTTCTTGTCAAAATAGGTGTATTAACACACAGACAAAAAACTGTTAAATTTTTGAGTTTTTTAATTTTCTTGCCAAAATGTTTGTATATACACATACACATACACACACACACACACACACACACACATATACACACACAAAAGAAAATATTAAATTTTTGAGTATTTTTTAATTTTCTTTTCAAGATATGTATATTAACACAACCCCAAAAATATTAAATTTTTGAGTTTTTAATTTTTTTGCCAAGATGTGTGTATTAACACACACACACATACAAGAAAACGAGTTTTTTTTTTTTATAATTTTCTTGTCAAAATATGCATAATAAGACACAAACAAAAAAATGTTAAATATTTGAGTTTTTTCTTATTTTCTTGTCGAGATGTGTGTATTAACACACACACACACACACAAGAAAATGTTAAATTTTCAGTTTTTTAAAAAACAATTTGTTGTTAAGATATGTGTATTTATACACACACAAAAAAATATTTAATTTTTGAGTTCTTTTAACTTTCTGGCCAAGATGTGTATATACACACAAACAACAAAATGTTAATTTTTCGAATTTTTTAATTTTCTTGCCAAGAAAGTGTATTAACACACACACACACACATACACAAGAAAATGAGTTTTTTTTTTTTAGTTTTCTTGTCAAGATATGCATATTAACACACACAAAAAATGTTAAATTTTTGAATTTTTTTTAGTTTCTTATCAAGATATGTGTATTAACACACACAAAAGAAAATGTCAAATTTTCAAGTTTTTTAGTTTTTCTTGTCAAGATATGTGTATTAACACACATAAAAAATGTTATATTTTTTAATTTTCTTTTTCAAGATATCTGTATTAACACACACACAAGAAAATGTATAATTTTCAAGTTTTTTTAAAAAATTTTCTTGTCAAGATATGTGTATTAACACACACACACACAAATGTTAAATTTTCGAGTTTCTTTTAGAAAATTTTTCCCCTCAAGTTTGCAGAACAAATTCTTTTATTTTCTTGTCAAGAAATATGTATTAACACACACACACACACAAGAAAATGTTAAATTTTCGAATTTGTTTTAAATTTTCTTGTCAAGATATGCATATTAACACACACAAAAAATGTTAAATATTTTGAGTTTTTTAATTTTATTGCTAAGATGTGTGTATTAACACACACACATAAAAATAAGTTTTTTTTGTTAATTTTCTTGTCAAGATATGCATATTAACACACACACAAAAAATGTTAAATTTTCGAGTTTTTTAAATTTTTTTGTCAAAATATTTGTAATAACACACACACACACAAAAACTGTTAAATTTTCGAGTTTTTTAATTTTTTTGCCAAGATGTTTGTATTACACACACACACAATAAAATATTAAATTTTTGAGTATTTTTTTTAACTTTTTTGTCAGGATATGTGTATTAACAAACACACACACACAAAATATTAAATTTTCGAGTTTTTATTTTTTTTGCCAAGATGTGTACATTCACACACACACAAGAAAATAAGTTTTTTTTTATAATTTTCTTGTCAAAATATGCATAATAAGACACACACCGAAAAATGTTAAATTTTGATTTTTTTTTAACTTTCTTTCAAAGATGTGTATATTAACAAACACACAAGAAAATGTTAAATTTTCAATTTTTTTAAAATTTTGTTGTAAAGATATGTGTATTAACACATACATACACACAAAAAAACTATTAAGTTTTTGAGTTTTTATTTAATTTTCTTGCCAAGATGTGTATATTAACACACAAACAAGAAAATGTTAAATTTTTAAGTTTTTTTAATTTTCTTGTCAAGATTTGTATATTAACGCACACACAAAAAACTGTTAAATTTTTGAGTTTTTTTAATTTTCTTGCCAAGATGTTTGTAACACACACACACAGAAAAGAAAATGTTAAATTTTTGCGTATTTAACTTTTTGTCAAGATATGTGTATTAACATACACATACTAAAAAAATACTAAATTCTCGAGTTTTTTTAATTTTTTTGCAAAGATGTGTATTAACATACACAAAAGAAAATGACTTTTTTTTTATAATTTTCTTGTCAAAATATGCATAATAAGACACGCACAAAATGTTAAATATTCGAGTTTTTTTTAATTTTCTTGTCAAGATGTGTGCATTAACACACACACAAGAAAATTTTAAATTTTAATTTTTTTAAAAAAATTTATTGTTAAGATATGTGCATTAACAAACACACAAAAAATATTAACAAACACACAAAAAATATTAAATTTTTGAGTTTTTTTTAATTTCTTGCAAGATGTGTATATTGACACACAAACAAGCAAATGTTAAATTTTCGAGTTTTTTAATTTTCTTGCCAAAATATGTGTATTAACACACACACACACAAGAAAATGAGTTTTTTTTTAATTTTCTTGTCAAGATATGCATATTAACACACACACAAAAAAATATTAAATTTTCGAGTTTTTTTAATTTTTTTTATCAAGATATGTTTATTATTAACGCACACACACAAGAAAATATCAAATTTTTGATTATTTTTTAATTTTTTGTCAAGATTTGTGTACTAACACTAGCACAAAAATATTAAATTTTCGAGTTTTTTAATTTTGTTGCCAAAATATGTATATTAACACACACATACACAAGAAAATATTAAATTTTTGAGATTTTTTCTAAATTTTCTTGTCAATATATATGTATAACACACACACACACACACAAAATGTCAAATTTTTGAGTTTTTTTAGTTTTTCTTGCCACGAGATGTGTATTAACACACACACAAGAAAATGTTATATTTTTGAGTTATATTTTTTAATTTTCTTGTCAAAATATGTGTATTAACACACACAAGAAAATGTCAAATTTTCATCTTTTTTTTTAACTTTCTTGCCACGATGTGTGTATATACACATATTAGAAAATGTTAAATCTTAAATTTTTTAAATTTTTTTTTGTCAAAATATGTGTATTAACACACACACACACACAAAGTGAGTTTTTCTTTAATTTGTTTGTCAAGATATGCATATTAACACACATACTCACAAAACAAAATGTTATATTTTCGATTTTTTTTATTTTCTTGTCAAAATATGTGTATTAATACACACAAAAAATGTTAAATTTTCAAATTTTTTTAATTTTTTTGCGAGGATGTGTGTAATAACACAAACACAAGAATTGATAAGTTTTGAGTTTTTTATATTTTTATTTCAAGATATGTGTGTTAATACACATACAAGAAAATGTTAAATTTTCGAGTTTCTTTCATGGAATTTTCACCTTTAAGTATAAAGGACTAATTCTTTCATTTTTTTTATCAAATATGTGTATTAACACACATACGAGAAAATGTTAAAATTTTGAGTATTTTTTAATTTTCAAGTATTTTAATTTTTTTGTCAAGATGTTTTTATTAACACACATACACAATAAAATGTTAAATTTATGAGTATTTTTTAATTTTATTTTCAAGATATGTGTATAAACATAAACACAAAAAATGTTTTTCTTGCCAAATTGTGTGTATTAACACACGTAAAAGAAAATGTTGAATTTTTGAGTTTTTTTTCTAAATTTTTGAGAAACTGTCAGACTCTCCCCTCGCCAAAATATATAAAAAACTCATCAGATAAATTCATCAGTAATTTCTCAGTAATACAGTTTCTAACTTTATATTAAAAGGACTAGTGTTTGTTTTTTGGACATAAAAAGAAAAGGATCATTTTATAATCATAATCTGCAACCGAGTATATCAAATTGGGTCCCAACATGGTTTCTGGCATCGCTCTACTGTTACACGTGGCTTATCCCACATAATATTGACAAACACCACCATATATTTTCATATTACAGTATCTCCATTTTTTTGTCCGAAACTTATATTTCGATACGCTTTAATGCTTTGCTTTTAAAATTTCTAGTGTTTAACCAAAGTCGAGTGCTTGATTTGTATTCCAAGACACTTCACCTTCAACTTTTGTCATATATATAATATGTTGTTGAATGTTTTCTTTAAGATTGTCCATGGAGAATCCTACAAGTTTTACCAATAACATATATAAATAGATCTATATTGACACATCCTTGAGCAGCATAATGCAATTGACCAGCTTCAAACACATATTTGAAATTCACAGAACTTTTTTTCTTTATCTCACTATCTTAAGAAGAAATTAAAGAGAAGATGGAGCTTGAAGAACAGACGAAGTTCTTCCATGGAACTCTGGAGATTACAATCTTCGATGCATCACCTTCTTCTCCAACATTTCCTTTTAATGTAAGTATGATGTTGTTGATGATGATGTTATCCTTGTGTAAATTCTAATGAGCTAATTGTTATCTTATTCGTAGTGTATATATACGAAGCCAAGATCAGCTTACGTGACCATCAAGATAAACAAGAAAAAAGTTGCTAAAACAAGCTCAGAACACGACCGTGTCTGGAACCAGACTTTTCAGATCCTCTGCGCACATCCGGTTTCCGACACGACGGTCACTATCACGCTCAAGACTCACTGTTCTGTTCTCGGAAGATTCCGGATCTCTGCAGAAAAGATTCGTACTTCTGATCCAGCAGTTATCAATGGGTTCTTCCCTCTGGTTGCAGACAATGGATCAACGAAACCTAACTTGAAGCTCAAGTTTATGATGTGGTTCAGACCGGCTTATCTCGAACCAGGATGGTGCAAAACACTTGAAGGAGAGTCTTTTCAAGGTATTACCAACGCGAGCTTCCCTCAGAGATCGAATTGCAGAGTCGTACTGTATCAAGATGCGCACCACAGAGCTGCGTTTGATCCTACGGTTCATGATGTTTCTTCAAACGCAAGAAATCTCTGGGAAGAAATCTACAAAGCGATTGAAAGCGCTAGGCATTTGGTTTACATCGCAGGATGGGCACTAAACCCTAACCTTGTTCTCGTACGCGACGACGAGACAGAGATTCCTCACGCAGTGGGAGTAACGATCGGCGAGCTTCTGAAACGGAAAGCACAGGAAGGCGTAGCGGTGAGAGTAATGCTGTGGAACGACGAGTCGTCTCTACCGATGATAAAGAACAAAGGTCTAATGCGAACAAACGACCAAACAGCTCTTGCTTACTTCAGAGACACAAATGTTGTTTGTAGATTGTGTCCAAGATTGCACAAGAAGCTCCCTACGGCGTTCGCTCACCACCAAAAGACGATCACAGTGGACACACGTGTTACGAATACGAACACCAAGGAGCGAGAAATCATGAGCTTCCTCGGCGGTTTCGACCTTTGCGACGGCCGGTACGACACGGAGGAGCATTCTCTGTTCCGTACACTCGGGACAAGGGGTGATTTTTATCAGACAAGCGTCGCCGGAGCTAAACTAAGCAGAGGCGGACCTAGAGAGCCCTGGCACGACTGTCACGTGTGCGTTGTCGGAGCTGCAGCATGGGACGTTCTGAAGAATTTTGAGCAGAGATGGACGAAACAGTGTAACCCTTCGGTGTTGGTTAACACTTCAGGGATCAGAAACTTAGTAAACCGGACCGGACCAACAACCACAGAAGAAGATGGCCGGAAATGGAATGTTCAAGTTCTGAGATCGATTACACACGTATCAGCGACGGAGATGCCGAGAGGCTTACCGGTTGAGAAGAGTGTACACGACGGCTACGTCGCAGCAATTCGAAAGGCAGAGAGATTTATATATATTGAGAATCAGTATTTCATGGGAAGCTGCGATCATTGGATGAACAAGAACGATAAGTACGAATTTGGGGAATTTTTTAAAATTATTATTAACTCTTGGAACTCTGATCTGATTTAGTTTTCATTTTTTTTGGATGTATAGAATCTGCAGCGGATGCACAAACTTGATACCGGTTGAAATAGCGTTAAAGATCGCGGCTAAGATACGCGAGAGGGAGAGATTCGCGGTGTATATAGTGATACCGATGTGGCCGGAAGGTCCACCGGAGAGCGAAACGGTGGAAGAGATGCTTCACTGGACGAGAGAGACGATGTCGATGATGTACCGGATCATCGGAGAAGCGATATGGGAGACTGGAGACGGATCGCATCCGAGGGATTATCTAAACTTCTTCTGTCTCGCAAACAGAGAAGAGAAGAGAGACGGAGAGTTTGAAGCGGTTTCGTCGCCGCATCCCAAAACGCATTATTGGAACGCGCAGAGGAATCGGAGGTTCATGGTCTATGTCCACTCCAAGCTCATGATAGGTTTTAAACTCCTCCTAATCTGAAATAATATTGAAATGTTTTCATGAAGGCGATTAAGAGATTGTTCTATGTGTTTGTAGTGGACGACGCATACGTTCTGATAGGATCGGCCAATATAAACCAGAGATCAATGGACGGTTGTCGCGACACCGAGATTGCAATCGGTTGCTACCAAACCGATACGACCAACACTAATGACATCCGAGCTTACCGGTTGTCGCTCTGGTATGAGCATACCGGTGGCCAGATCACGGCGGATGAGTTATCCGTGTCGGAGCCAGAGAGTCTTGAATGCGTCCGAGGGTTGCGGACAATAGGAGACCGAATGTGGGAGATTTACAGCGGCGACAAGGTCGTGGACATGCTCGGTGTCCATTTGGTGGCGTACCCGATCAGTGTCACCAGAGACGGTGTGGTTGAGGACGTCGGCGACGGAGTTTTTCCTGATACCAAGACGTTGGTGAAAGGGAGGAGGTCCAAGATGTTGCCTCCGGTTCTAACAACCTGAATCAGAATCATTATTTAGACTATAACTTGCAATATATACATGTATACAATAACATTCAGCTCGTTGATTATGATTTTTACGAGAGCATGTTTTTAGTATATAACAAACTTACTGGTTTCTATAATAACCAACCACTTTGGTTTCTTCTTTGGTTCCAACCACTCGAATTCTGTCTTTTTCAAGCTTTGTTGCCTGCAACAAGGAGAAGAATAATCAGAACCTGTATAGACCAAAACAGAGCAGTTTTTAATAGTGAAAATTTATGCAAAGCCTACAAATGCTAACATGACACAAAAGACCTAATCTCTACATATATGTCTTAAGAGATGAAACCGGGATGAAGCTTGTAAGGACTATCTTTTCCTATTCAGCGTCCAAGCTCATCAAATGGCTGTAAAAAATTCTCCCTTCTTGAACCGTGTACCGTTCCACGAATTCTCCCTACTGAAAGCGCTGTACCAAGCGTCTTGCAGATCCAGAGAACAATTATGTTCTCCCTCTACATGCTGATCTGCAGAAAATACAGTTCCACTACTGTTCCATCTTGTCCTTGATAGGGACACAGGAGGGCAAAATTTTCTGAAGATGTAAGCCGTTTCTAAATCACTCTTACGCTGGAAAGTTCTCAGAGTCTGTGAAAAAGCAAGAGGGAAGTAAACTAAGTAACCTCTAGGTTTGTATCCGGTATGACTTTGCATCCTAGTCAAACCTACACCAATCTAATTTCAGTTCAAATCTTAAAACTATAGCAGTAGTTGTCCACTCCAGGCTTAAGTGAGCTGATCCAATGTCTTCCTTCTCGACAAACGCTTTGCCTTTCTTCTTCTCTTAAGATCTCTTGCAGCCTCCAGAATATTAATATGGTTATGATAATCTTGTCCAGTCAATTCTAAACGACTTTGCTTCCATGCAACACCAGAAACCAATGTAGTGAACCATCTTCAATAGCAGCTACTTCTCCATCAGTCCAGCAATTCATTTCTATCAACATTCTAATGTGAAATCTAAACAAGTCTCACAAACCCTCTAAAACCAAAAATGACTGATTCAACCTCCATTGTCAGAACTCATAAGAGAATCCAAAATATAAGTGTCAAAAATAATGATGCGGACATAAACAAGAAACAATATGACCTATATGCCTAAGGAAACGATAGCTAACCTCTAGAGTAGAAGATACAGTATAAGCAGCAATAAATAAACTGTCTTGCAAGGAAAGTTTTCTTAGAAAGATCGTATACCTGTCTCCTGACTCGTAGGAAGATCTTTTTCCGCAAGTCACATCAACATCTTTCGAAAGTGCATACCCGGAAAACTGATGTAGCATCAACTAATCAACAAGGCCATTGTCAATCACTTGATATTTGGAAAAGTTCCTTTGTCTGAAGGCAAAATAGCTCATAGGAGACGGAGAATGTACTTTGACGCTGTAGACTTTCTTCTCAAGAAAGTTGCTGCTGAGTAAGCCAAACTTGCTGACAAATGCCAGTTACAAATGAAGCTTGTGCCCCCTCAAAGACAGAGGTTAGCCTCTTCAGCAACTAATGGGACCCAAAAACAGTAGCTGTGCATAGGCTGCACCACCGTAAAATCCTATCTTATCTGCCACACTGCCACAGAACGAAGATTTTCTCTCCAGCTCATCATGAACGCTCCAAAACTAAGATATAAACTTCTGATCAGAAAGACTACTCTGGACGTTTCAGACTAATATGGAACAGTTCTGCACACTTCATCAATGATGTACTAATAGTCATCATGGGTTGTCTGCCCGCCTTTGATATTTCCAGAACGCAAGGAATTTTTACAGTGCAATGAGCTCAGATCTAGGCAGATAATTTCCGTCTCGTGGTAACCTGTTGGCCCGCCCATCAGCAAATGCAGGAGTCCGATAAACTGATGAAAGACTCCGATGACTCTGTAGACTGATCACCATGTCTCCGATGAAGCAACTCCATGAAAAGTCGCTTTGATTTGTCTTCAATAGATCCATCTGTCATCCATGAGTTGAAATCTTCATATAGCCTCCTAAGTCCTAACTTCTGACCTTATTTTACGTTGCTCAGATTCGATATTCAATCTATGAAATCGAAATTTAGCCACCCGCCAGATAGTGCTGTGCATCGGCTCCAGATCAGCGTTCTTCCGTTGATTCGAACCGTGAAAAATGTGGTACACCTAAGGGCACACAAGGTTTCTGATGGTTGCACGTGGGCAGTTGGGTCCTGCAACTCCGACCAAGTGCAAGAACACTTACGGCACCTAAATTCAGTCTGGATGCTGATTGCTCAAACAATCCTTGTTGAGGTTTTTCTGAAAGTAAGATCCCGCTTATATTTACCCAGATGACCCTCAAAAAGTGGTTTTTACTGGAGCTGAAGGTCTGATTCGAGAATGAGTTCCAAGAAGCTGGTTATCATGCTTAGAATATAGGTCAATGTCTCTGTTCCTCCAATAGTGCATTGTGCTTCGTTCCCTTTCCCAGTTAAATCAGCATTTGACACTACAGATATGAGCTTGAACAAACAAGCTCAACAAATTTCAATGGGAAAACGCTGCCTCCTGACACAATCTAGAAATCGATGTGCTTCCCATGTTTACACTTCATCTTAACTGAGTTTCTTTTAAATACCTTAAATCTAGTAGAAACATACAACAACAACCACCACACAAAAACAATGATCTTACCACTATCTCTTTTAGCTTTCAGCCAGTAACAAGCAAATTCAACTCGAGAGGTTCTCTAAAAATGTGGCAACAACCAACTACTTTCGCTCAAATCTCTCCGTAGACTAAGTATTTAAAGCCTCTAACCCCTTAGAAAGGAGTTAGCACACCAGATCTTTGTAAATTATAATACAAGACAAGGAAGAAGTGTGGGCTTGAAGCACAAGGAGGGTGGATTTCCCTCCTTTGGCCAGTGCCAGCAAGGTTTCTCAAACTTACTGGCACAACGGTAAGCTTCTCTGATGTTTCTATCAGAGGGATTATCTTTTACAAATAATCAAAATTAGAGAGTAAATAACGCGAGCAGAAGGATAATAGGACACATAGCTGATATCAAACCGGAAAAACCAAATCGCCAAATCATAGAAACATAGGACATAGTTTAGCCATCTAACTTACATAATTAAACTGACTTATTAAAAGAGCAGAGATACTAACATTTAGATTTGCATTCCTACAAACAACCAGAGGAGTATTACGAAGTTGGCTACATAGACTCACCTCATTCTTTTTCCACAGATCATTTGGAAATTCAATGACGATCCACGCGAGGTTTCTTCTGCGAGCCAGACCCATGGCTGTAATACTGACTTCTCTCCGAAGTTCCCTACGAAACAAGAAAAAAATACAGGCGTGTCAAAGTAAAGTCCACAAGAATAGATCAAAACTACAAAAGGATACTACAAAAGGATGTAAACATGGGTACCAAGAAACCATCGTTTTCGCCATAAGAACCACGGTAAGCGCCATCCATATTGTTGTAATTGATCCCATAGGATCCACCTGGAAACATAACAAACCACATGAAAGCAGTTAGCTACTGAATCCAAATACCAAATGTTTCCAAGAAAGACCAAGGACCATACCAAAAGACCACGGCCTACTATCAACAGTAGCAAGTTCTGCTCGTAGCTTTTCAACTTCACGCGCCATAGAAACCATGTTCTTTTCCATTGTCTGCCGCTGCTCCATTAGCTCAAACTTTTCCTTCTTCTCATAGTCAATTGCACCTCTGTTCCAAAAACACTTCCTTTTAGAATTAACGACCGAAACCAGACACTTAGGCATTAAAATAACAACTACAAAAACTACTAGAATGATTGATAAAAAAGCTAGAATGTGTTCAATATTATACCTAGCGTGCATAAGCTCCTTCTGCAGGTCTTTAACCTCAGCTCTCAAACCTGGAATCTGCTTGTTATCTGATTGCAACTTAACCAAATCTTTTCTAAGTATCTGAACATCTCCGCTTAGTTCATGTTTTATGTCACTTAGCTTCTGAACTTCACCACGCAACTGCGCAGCCTCCTTCTTATAAGACTCCATAGCACGAATATCTGCCTCGAGGTTATGCCTTTTCTCACTGAACTCCCTCAGCTGCAGATCTTGTTCAGCACGAAGATCGGAAACCATCAGATTCATACGGTGAAGCTCTTCCTTGGCAGAGCCGAGTTCCCGTTCCAGAAGCGCTCTGTCGTCAGCTAGTCTGTGATTATCGCTCAAAAGCCTTCTGATTTCAACATCCTGAATCTGGAGATCCTCCAACAAAGATGGAGGTGGAGGCTGTACCAATGGAGGACCCCGGAGAAAGGGTCTCTCCGGGGAAAAACCACGTCGGTCATGAAAACTGTCTCGGTGGATTCGGTTTCTTCCAGACATTCAGAATGTGACCTCCTGAAAGTAAAAAGACAAAATGCTGAACTCAAAACTATCTCATCACATAGCCCAACACAAAAAAGCAGCAAAGTTTACATTTACCCAATTATTATATATGAAACTAACAATGATCATCCAAGATGTCGAGGATTACATACATCAATGTAAAAGTTTGGTAGCAACATTTAAAGATCCGTTTCTCCAGAATTATGCGTTTTCTCAAGTAAGAAAGAAATTAAGCTACTTTCCTGATTATAAGATAAACAAAAGGCAATTCAAGCTAACTAAAAATCTAGATATATCAATTTCGAATTGGAATTATCGCAGCTTCAGTAGATCAACAATTGAATATGTTCCGTATTTGTAATCAGCAAATTAATTGTGGGTATTAACGATTCAAAGAGGATGAAAGATAAAATGATATAGTGAAAAAACCACCCAACGAAGAAAAAATAAAAGAGAGAGTCAAAACCTTTACTGCTGCAGAGCGGATATCGTCTTCTACCTTGTTTCTTCAGCTTCTGTTTTTCAGAGAGAGGACAATGTTAGAACTTCAAAGTGGCTGCGTCAGAACGACGTCGTGTGAGGCAATCTTCCGTTTTACATCATTTATTGGGCTTTGAATGGGCTTTTTGCCAAACGATACCAAAGCTTTGATCTGCTAAGTTTTTGCCAAACGATACCAAATGAAAAGATGATCTCTCAAGTTAAGTAATCGAGCAGCGACCTTACGAGATTAATGAATAGCTTGTATACACTTGCGAATCATTTGTTTCATTAAAGCTTGATGGTAGGATAAAACTAAGATTCCGAAAACATTCAAACTAATTTTGTTTTCCAAAAGCAAAACATGTGATATCCACAAGACGTAAGAATTGAAACCAAATCAACAGAAAAGCTGAACTTTTTAAAAAAAAAAAATCAGAGAGTAGGAATGGTTTTGGATCCTAAGAATTGTTTCAGAATCGCTTTCTCTTCATCAATCCGCTTCTTCTCTTCTGCGTTTTTCGGGTTCACTTTCCTTTTCTCCTCCAACATCCATTTGAAGAGCTCACGTTGTTGCTTCTCCGGTATTGGCTCACGTGCCTTGACCACCACTGCCTCTGCAGCAACCACTGTGGAAGACACAGGCTTAGGCTTTTCCATGGTAACAGGAGCCGCGACTGGACCTGATTTAGCAGCAGCCATCTCTTCATTTGCAGGTTCTATGTCCTTCTTCTTAGTTCTAAAGAAAAGGTAACCTGCAAAAGCAATAAGTCCAAGAACCACCAGTGAGACTGTGCCATGACTCTCTCTGTTAAGGCATTTTCCACCATCAATAGAGAGCAAAGACAATACACAAATAGACCTAAAAGATCACAAAGATGTATTCAAACAAACTCAAACATTCACAACACTCATAGCAGAACGTATAATCTGAGAGATGATGAGAGCACATCTCAAAGGTCCAAGCTTTTTGTTGTGCTTGATCGAAAAAACCCTAATGATTCTAAGGTTTGGTTTCAAAGTTATTGCTACTAGCCGTGAGAATTAAAAACGCAAACCGATGTAAAGTTCTCGGAATCACAGAAAAGTCGCTCCCAAATCTGTATCCTAACTTATTCTGGGATCAGTAAAACGCTTTTGATTACCTCCGACGGCGAGATTGACGGTGAGGAGAAGCGGCCAGATGTATTTGTACCTTCGAGCGAATGATTCCTTAGGAGGCGGAGGAGGAGGAGCAGAACCACCACCCATCGTGTACGAAGCCGCCGCTGCTGCAGCCGGAGACGATGCTGATGATGGAGGAGCGGTAGGGTTACTGAAATTGGCTTCGACGTGCTTCAGCTGAGCAATAATGTCTGTTACAGATCACAATCGAAACGAGATAACAAGGTCAATCATCGTGAAATATTCGTTTGAGTGAGCTGGAGAAAAGCGACAGCTTCTCTTTGTTTAATCGGATGAGAGAAAAAAAAACATCAGTAGAGGTCATTTTCATTGAATTTCTTACCCTTCTTCTTGGGTTTATTGGTGAAAAGCTTGGGACCTTCATCACTCATGGCGATTTCGATTCGTCGTCCTGCGATCAAAAGAGTTTTCCTACTTCTTCGCAAATGTGCTCTTTCTTCTTTCTCTCATGGGCTTAGTTAGATTTAGGGATTTACTCGAGATTTTCATACCTTTATTACTTGAGATTAATAATCCCTTTATTTTTTACACGAAAAAAGTAAATACATTTCTCTTTCAATTGAAAATATGATTTTACTCGCAGTTTCATGGATCAATCATTTATGTGTCAACCAAACCATTTTGTGATAATTAAAAAAACTATAATCCATGACAGAAATTTAATTAATTTTTTTTTACAATTACCTTGAACGTATATAAATCCAGTACTATCAACAAAAATTTTGGCTAAAGAAAATAATAATTGTTTGTCAAAACTTAAATGTCATCTTTGGTTTTGTTCTTAACCACAACCTAATTCGGATCATATGTAAAAACATGTCTAATGATTTGATGTAATTTTGGCTTTAAGAAAATAATAATTGTTTGTCAAAACTTAAATGTCATCTTTGGTTTTGTTCTTAACCACAACCTAATTCGGATCATATGTTATCTTACATGTTTAATGATTTGATGTAAATGTCAAATCTCTTAGGAACCAAGAGAAGAAAGAGAGCAATCAATAGAGTAAATGTAAAAAGAACATCACTGAGCCCTAAAAGCCAATAACACATGCATATAAAAATAGTTGATCAGCTCCACCCTCTTCTACTCCCACGGTCTCTAAATCCTCCAAGCCCTGTTCCACCATATGCATAAAATCCAAATAAGTTTGATTATAGAAGAAGAAGATCATAAGTTGATTAGGTTCCTGCTAAATTTTGACATAACCAAGTACTGCAAATCTTGTGATGAAGACAAAGATATCTTTGCTTGTGTCAACTGACCTGGAGGAGGAGGAGCTGTACTGCGACCCATTGACGACAATTCGGGGCTCACTTTCTGTCCAGCTTCTTCTAGTATGTTGACAAGCTCCTTGGCAAATCTCGCATTTGCAACCGTGAAGAAAGTGTAAGCTGTTCCTTTGGCCCCGGCTCTACCAGTTCGTCCTATCCTGTGTACATAATCCTCTAGTGATCCAGGGAAGTCATAGTTTATCACATACTTGACATCTTTCACGTCTGTTTCAAAACAAAAGATGTTGTTAGCTTCTTGTCGCATGCTAAAGAGAGTTGATGTTGCGACAAGGAAAGGAGGAGAAAAACAAGATTTTAGTACCTAATCCACGGGCTGCAACGTCTGTAGCAGTCATTATAGGGCTTTTCCCTGACCTAAACTCTGAGAGAACCCAATCTCTCTCAGCCTGGCTTTTATCACCATGTATTGACAAAGCAGGCCAACCATCCATACGAAGCTGACGAGTGATTTGGTCACACCCCTTTTTTGTATCGAGGAAGACAAGTATTCTGCTTCCATCCATTATGTCTTCAAGCAACTTCACCAACCTGGAAAAAATCGGTAGAATAATTTAGTATCAGTGTATCACCAAAAGTGAAAAGAGAGCATAGGAAAGGAGACGTACTTGTTATACTTTTGACTTTCAGAAATCACATCAACAATTTGACGGATTGCACGGTTAGCTTTTAAATCAGAAGATCCTATTATCACCTGCACTCAAGACCAAAAAAGCCTGCTTAGTTCTCTTTTTTTTTTGACAACTAAACCCTTTATGAGGAAACTAAGGAAAGGTGTCTCTTACTTTGTATGGGTTATACAGAAACTTTTTAGATAGTTGTTCCACTTCCTTCGGCCATGTAGCACTCCAGTATAACGTTTGACGGTCTGGTCGAATCTGCACAGGTTTCAAAAGAATGTAAGACAAAGCTACTAGAATACACATACAGGTGACTGAAACAGAGGTAAGAAAACGAACATGTGAAACAATTTTCCGGATCTGAGGGTCAAACCCCATATCCAGCATTCGATCAGCCTCATCCAAAACAAGATACGTAACCCTTCGCAAGTTCGTGTTGTTCGACTCCATCATGTCTATTAGCCTCCCAGGAGTAGCTATAACTATTTCCACACCTAGATTCACAGGCCAATCAATCACACTATCAGAATGATCTTCAATGAAATAAGAAAAATGACACGACAAGCACTGAACCAAAGCAACTCACCTTTCTGGAGATCACGCACTTGAGGCCCTTTTGGAACTCCACCGTAAATGCAAGTGCTCTTAATTTTCGATGATGAACCAAACTTAGACGCTTCTTGCTGTATCTGCACAGCCAGTTCACGCGTCGGAGCAAGAACCAAGACGATTGGGCCATCACCAGGGGCTGGGAAATTTTTTATTTCAAATCAGTATAGCAATTACAACTTTACATCAAACAAGAAGGGGAAACAAAAAAAAAACTCCACGAGCACAGAAGTCAGGCGTTACCTAAAATTGGCTGAGCATTCACATGGACTATAGCAGGTAGTAAGTAAGAAAGAGTCTTTCCAGAGCCAGTTTCAGCAATGCCGATGAGATCACGTCCCTTCATTGCCATTGGCCACCCTTGAGATTGTATAGGTGTAGGTTCAGTAAAACCTGCCTTCTTTATCTCTTCCAAAACATAATCTGAGACAAATCAAGAAACTCTAATCAAATACACAGTGTGAGTGAAACTAGTCACAAACTCTATGAAAAGGAAGCCAGATCATACCAGGAAACCCAACATCACGAAAGCTCTTGACAGGTTTTGGGATATCTCGACCTTCAACAGTAATTTCCCTCAGCCTCCGATATTCCTCAACTTCTACCTCCGTCATAGCTGCCACAGCGGGAGACTCGACATAGAAGTTCTTCTCAAAAGGAGTCAAACCATCCAAATCTGGCTTCCGTGGAGACTCATTGCCATCATTATCCTTTTTGCTACCTGAGCTTCCATATGCCGAAGCCCCACCAAAGCCTGAGTCACTAAGAAAAAAAAAACAAATTTTGAAAAATGAAGCAAACTCTTCTTCTCCAACACACCGTAGAGAAATCGAAAGCGGATAGCTACACGAAGTTGATCAAATTTCAGCGGGTTTTCGTCATAATTCTTTCAATTACTGGCTCGAAAACAAACAAATTGTAGTTCAAGTGGAGTGGAAAGAGCAAGTCGGAACAAGCGAGACGTAATTTTGTTCACTTCTCTATTCATCATCGTCACGAAAGTAAAACACACTTACCTCCGACGGTCACGGTACGATGTGGAATCGCCGGTCCGGCTATCGTAGCGACTCATGTTATTCGTCGAGCCAATTTCACCGATTGAGAAATATGACCGGAAAGTTACACGGAGAAGGAGAGTCACGGAACCGAAATCTAGTCGTTAGGGTTTTACAAATCGGGAACAAAGGTTGAGAGAAAGAGAGAGAGAGACAATGCTCGTATTGCTAAAGCTACGGCCATCTTGTTTCTAAATTATATAACAAACAAATAGAAACACGACACGTGGATAAATGAAAGTCACCGCCTCATCAATTACTCAAAACAAAGGAAACCAAAAAAAAAGCTGAAATAAAAATGGCGATTCTATCAGCAAGCTCTACTCTCGTGAGAGCTGCTTTAGATACTCAGCCGAGACTCCGGTACAACCCCAATGCGCCGCGAAACGTGAAGAGGAACCCTAATTCTAGCTCCTTCGTCCCACCGTCTTCTCCGTCATCATCTTCTCCGGCGAAAAACTTAACAACGGGAACTGGCGTCGCCGTATCAGATTTGCTCAAACGTCCCGCAAGCAAAGGTAACGAATTTGGTTGAAGAAAGAACTGTGTAGAATTTTCCAATTCATTGTTCCGACAGATATATTCTTAATATAAAATTCTGCCTTTTTATGTAGAAAATGATGATGAAATTGAAGATACTTGTATCGGATATGAGAAATGGTTTCCAAGTCCACCGAAAGTGGGGAAGCCTAGATCTGTCTTCAATGCTGCCTCGTTAGCTTATATAGGCGATTCGATCTACGAGGTTAGTCTTCAATTCCACTATGAGTTTGCGCTTAAAGTGGTTTTAGACAAGTTCTTTCGCTACTTTGATCCTTGTTTGAATAGGATGCAAGAATGTCAATATTATGATCATGTCAGTGTTTATACCATTAAGATTATCGTTATGAGCTTGTGCTTTGTGATTTTAGACAGTTCTTTTGTACGTATTCCTTTATGCTCCTACCAATGTTAAACTTTAAATCATTTTGTCTTTGGGGTTTGTAGATATATGCTCGTCGGCATTTTCTTTTCCCTCCACTGAGTATTGAAGAATATAACGACCGTGTTAGAGCAGTGGTGCGATGTGAAGCTCAAGTATGTTATTCTTTCTTCTACCCTTTTGGTGTAACGCAGTAATGTTTTAACATATTCATGCTTCCACATACATGTTGTGTCTGTTTATTTCTGATTCACAATTTTGCTTGCAATTTAATTTCGGTTTGCAAAGTTGTTACTTCTCTCTTCCGTCTACTTCAAGTCTGTAATGTAAATCAGCATAGTTCTCTCAGCATTAGTATTGTTATCACTGTTCTTGTTTAATCTAAACTATTTTGTGTGTCTTCCTATTCAGTATGCCTTGCTGCATAAGCTCCTTGATGATGATTTCTTAACTAAAGATGAAAGGTCAGTTACAAAACCCCGTTATTTAGCATCAGTGTCACTAAAAGGACTTCCATCTGCAAATTTCCATTATATATATGAAAGATGAAAATGGAGGAGATATTTATGATTGTTTGAATCGATCTGATGAAAACTTTGTTGGTCCAGAGATATACTTCGATGGGGCAAAAACGTAGGCTCGGTTAAAACACGGTCAACTAGACGTGCTGGTGTTGCGATTTATAACAAGGCCTCATCACTGGAAACACTTGTGAGTTGTTCATTATCTGAAACTCAAATAAGTGTAGATGATAACATAATATTGGTGATTCTAAACTCTTGAAACCCCATTGTTTCTTATCTGTTCATCGATTTCTCAGATTGGTTATTTGTATCTAGCAAACGGAAAGAGATTGGAAGAAATAATGCAGAAGCTGGGATTCTCAAGTGGTTCTTCGACGGAGAGAATGGTTAAGGAGGCCAAGCTAAATAAACTATCAGCTTTTAAATAAGCTGTATCATTGAAAATGATGTTATGAATATAGACTCCATTGATTAAAACGTTACAAAGGTTTTGTTAATTTTTTTGTTTCAACTACGACTAAACCATCCAACAAAACCTTCAAGAGACATCAGAAGTTAATGTCATTTTATCTAAATCAGTCAATCTTCACTGAGGAGTAGATCTTTCTAACAAACCAGAAACATGCGTAGAAACCGATTGAGCCAGTTAGCACGAAGAACGAGAAAGAGATGATGATCATGTACCCAAAGTAGAGCATCCCCGAGACAAGCTTCGTGATCTCAAGCTTTGTGAAGAAGTAGAAGACTGAGTAGAGGAAGAGGTACACTGAGGATGAGCCTGATGTTAGGTAAGCTCTCCACCACCAGTTGTAATCTTCGCTGCATAGCTGGAAGTAGCAGAGCACGATTGTTATCTCTGCGCAGGTCACGACCAAGATCAAGAACACTATGAAGAGGAATCCGAAGATGTAGTAGAACTGGTTGAGCCAGATCGATGTTAGGATGAAGAAGAGCTCGATGAAGACTGCTCCGAACGGAAGGATTCCTCCAATCAGTATCGAAAAACCGGGTTTCATGTACCAAGGTTGCTCCGGTACTTGTCTCGGGATCTTGTTTGTTTTGACCGGATCTTCGATTGCTGGTTTTTTGAAACCGAGATAGCTGCCAATGAAGACTAGTGGGACAGAGATTCCAAACCAGAGACAGACCAAAGCAAACATTGTACCGAAGGGAATGGCTCCGGATGATCGCTCTCCCCATATGAGTGTGTTGAGAACGAAGAAGATTGCAAAGAGGATTCCGGGAAACATGAATGCAGTCTTCAAGGTGATTCTTTTCCACTCGTTCCCTTTGAACATTTTGTGGAGACGAGAAGAGGAGTAACCGGCCAAGATTCCCATGAACACCCACAGGAGAACCATGGCAGTCATGAGCCCTCCTCTGTTGGATGGAGATAAGAAACCCAGCAACGCAAACATCATTGTCACAAGGGTCATACCGAAAATCTGAACACCTGTGCCGACGTATACACACAGTAACCCAGAGTTCACGGGCGTCCTAAAGACATCTCCATGTACGAGTTTCCATCCGGTTTCTTCCTGAGCCTCGTCTTGGGTTTCGAGCTGATTGTAGTTCGAGATATCCTTGTATAGTGTCCTCATCATGATCATCGCTACCATTCCGGAGAGGAAAAGGACAATCATAAGCGAGTTTATGATTGAGAACCAGTGGATTTGATCATCGTTCATGAGCAAATATGTGTCCCACCGCGAAGCCCACTTGATATCACTCTCCTGCATATCTTTCAAACGTCATAATATGCTTACAGAGTGCAAACAACAAGGACTCATAGGTAAAATCAGTTACCTTAAAGGCGACATCATAGGTAAACACAATATCTTTTCCCTCCTCAACTTCTTGTGGAACAGTGTTGCTTTGGATCAGATTCTTTGTGTCTTTGTTGCATGTTGTTAACTGAGGGTTGTTTTCATCCCAGTCTTTGTATTCATGCAATACACTATCCAAAAAGAGGGAAAAAAATATGAAGCTTATAAGAATCGAGACGAATGAGACTCTTCAATAACCAGTTATAGAAATACCTGTTAGGAGTAACCTCAAAACCAACAATTCGAAAAGAATCAGACTCTTCGTCTCTGTGGTACATGACTCGGAAACTCAAGTGGTTATGGATAAAGTATTTTTCCTCTTTACTCTACAAAGGCAAAGCAAACAACTCCCGATTGGTACAAGAAAATGAAAAAGAAGAAAGGTAAGAATGTAGCCGTAAGAGTTTATTACCCCTTCATAACTCCCTTTGAAGCCAACACGGAAACCGTGTTCATAAGTCGTTGACTGACTTCCATCTCTTCTTTGTCTAAGAACAGCTACTGGAAGATTATCAAGAATCCTGCACAGTCATTTCATAACAAAAATTGAAAAACAGATGCATACCAAAACTATACCTCATATGAATCAAAGACAGCAGCATATACATAAAACTTACATATTAGCGCGGTACTCATCATCAATCTTTTCCCTGAAACTTTTTGCAGACTCAGCATTGATTTTAACACGGCAACCTACTCTGCAAGGTTGATCCTCCAACATCTCAAACTGGAACATAATCCAAAAGTCTCAAACATCAGATACTCGTGAGAGATTGAGAGGTCAAGGAAATAAAGAGGAATCATATAAGTTCTTGCTTACAGTATAAACCGAATTCTCAATGCGATCTCCTCTGAGAACCTCCCCCAAATTTTCGCCGGTATTCAAAATCTTCGGAGGCTTACAGTAATTCAGGTAGTAGAAATCATATGGAAGTTGAGTCTTTGTAGAAGACAATTTGTTCACTTTCACATAAAGAGGATCACCCTGTTCCAAATACCGAAGATCGTGAGCTCAAAAGCTTCAATTCGAATCAATGTAAGCTTGAAATTCGATACGAAAACCTAACAAAACCAATATCACAGATCCCTATATTCCTTATTGGCACTAACTCCTACACTGCAAAACGCTCGAAGATTTTTCGACATTACTAGACGCAATAACTTCCCACAGATCTGGGTTACAGTAAACGCCATAAAATTCGCGCTTAACATCGGAAAATCTAGATCGATATCGTCATCAAACGTGAGACCGGAAAACCCAAATGAGTACCTTCTGGAAATCGCGAGGAGCGACACCGGGAAGATAGAAGGCGCCAAGAGTAGAGAAGAAGAGGAAGAAGATTAAGAGAGTGCCGTATATTCGAGTCGTGATCGCCATTTTCGTCTTCTTCGTCGCTTGGTTCTGCAAATCTTCTCTAGGCTTCTCTGAGATGGAAGAAGTGAAGTAGCCGAGCGCAATGTAACGATAGCCAGTGCAAGCATAACGCGTTTTCTATTCAACAGAACAGACTCCTTGAAACGATGTCGTTTCCACATCACATATTTGTTTATCAAAAATCTTTTATATCGAGGTTATTTTTTGCCCATTAATTTTAAGAAAAATAGTTAACTTTAGAAAAAAAAAACAATAGCTTAAACTGTTTGACAGAAGAAGACCTCCTAGCAATGAATTGAGTTCCAAAAATAGTTTCCTTCCCTTATTGTTAATTAAACCAAAATGAATTTCTCCCTATTTATTTATTCTAAGAGCGGATAGATGGTTAGTCCGCACATTCGTACATATCAACCATCTCATCCTCTTAGAATATATAAAGATTTTTTTTTAAAATATAAATTGTCTAACAATTAAAATTAAAATTAGAGTATAATCGAGGTTAATAAAATATATGCACGACAAATTTGCATTCAAGTTTGACTTTTACATAATTAATATTTATGTCTACACGCATATTTATAAAAAAATCGAAATATAGTTTTTATGTGTTAAAAGAAAATAATAAAATATATATTTTATAATATATATTTTTATAATGTATGGTTGATTATTTATTTTTTAAATAATAATAAATATATTTATGCATGAATGTATGAGTTAAAAATAAGTGAATTGTAATATTTAGGTGTTGGTAAGTTTTTTCTTGTATTTTCTGCAAACATTATGTTTTAGACAATTCTGTTATTGACGTTTAACAACAATCACGAAAATCATTTCTATCGTTTTCTATTTAATCAAAGTTTTTTTAACTTTTTCAGTGTTTGATGATATATGGTTTCTTAATAAAAATATAGTAAAAATTTATTATAAAATTTGTGAAATCATATTTTATAAAATTCTCCGAGAGCTCTCTGTTTATCTCTTCGTCAAATTTTTTATAATCCGCAATCGCTCGCTTCCACAAACTCTCTGTAACCGAATCGTTTAAACTAATTTGATCTAAACTTATTTGTGTATGAAATATTTAAAGATATTAAATGTAAACTAATATATTTAATATTCGATTGTTATTAAAAATTAAGAGTTGATATGTTCCTAACTTTAATATATTTGTTAATATAAAATATAATAGGTCACAACATATGCAAAACTTGATTCATGAAATAATATTTTAATATGTTAGAAAAATATATGCATTAAAGAATTAATATGTGTAAGATAATATTTTTAAATATTTCAAATAAAAACTTAAAATCGATCAAAATTATTTTTATTTATTTTTTTGTCTTTTTTGACTCATACTTTTTTTCTTAACATTTAATAATATCTTAAAAATTAAGATCATCTCCAATGTATTTTTTCTTTTAAAATATAAGTGGACTTCTCTCCAACCTATTTCTATAATTGGAGGAAGAAAATAACAACCTTTTTTTTCCTAAATTAGAAGATTTAAAATAAATAGGGGTTGAAGATGTTTCAAACAGAAAATATAGCCTGATATTTTTACATAAAACTAAAATCGTAAATATTTATTTTTACTTATATTTATACTTTTATTTATAAATAGTATTATAATAAAAAAAGTTAGCTAACACGATAATTATAATTTATTTTTTTATCTGCTTATTTTTTTGTTTCATTTATAATTTCAAATTTTTGCTATATAATGAGAATTCATTCATATATGATATAAACTTTTCTTATTTAAAAATGAGATTTGTTTAGTTTTAACTTAACCAATCAAAACATTTCGTTTATTTAAGGAAATTTGTCATGTCATATTTATGAGGTGGCATTGTTTTGCACTAACTTTTGCTAAGGTGATGACACATCAGAATTTTTCATTAAATATGCTTCTCAAATAATAGTTAAGATTTTCTTTAAATTTAAATTTAACTAGGTAATAACCTGCACCATGTGCGGGATGAAATAATAATTATTTATTTAATATAATATAATTTTAAAATCATATAAAAAATACAGTTGATTTTAAATGAGTTGTTTATAACATTATGCTGTAATATTGACAAAATAAATTTTTATTTTATTTTATGAATTTTAGGGTAATTTATTTCAAATATAAATTAGTTTAAAAATTAAATATATATGCGCAATCTCGATAGATATACGAAGTTTCTCTTTATATTTTCTATAACTTATGATTAATAATATGATCTTAAAATTCAAAAAAAAATAGAGGGAGAATATTTTGATTAAATTATTAAGTATCTAATGCGTTATGATAATAATAAAAAAATTACTACTTCCTCTGTTTCATAATATTAGTTTTTCTTAAAGATTTTGTTTTTTTCACAATATAATTGTTTTCATATTTTTTACTACTTCCTATAAATACTATGTGACCCATTATATTTTTCAGTTTTTCATAATTAGTCGTATTATATTTAATTTATATACTAAATGATTATTTTTTTTAAAGAAAAGTTGCTTTCTAATATTTGTGCTTTGATGCAAAACAACTTATATTTTAAAATAGAGATTATTAAAATTGTAAAAATAAAATTTGATTATAAGATTTTATAATCGGTTTTAATTTTTCTTATACGAATGTAAATGTATGTTTAGATTAACCCGCAAAAACTATAGTCATAAGAGTATTAACTTTTAAGAAAATAAAATTACTGTGAAATTTATTTTAAATACTAAATATACATAAGGATTATATAAAAATAGATTATATTTTTCTATTATTTTTAATAAATTATCTAAAATTGTATATAACTGAGTCAATATTTATACATTCTTAAATTTTGATTCAATAAAAATATTTTCAATATCAAAAAATTTGGTAAAATTATTATATAATATCCTTACAGAAATATTTTAATTTTTTACCAAGTTATTTTGTTGTATAAATTAAAAATAATAATATCTATTAAATTAAGCTTCCTGTTTTTTATGTATTTTTATATTGATTTATGAATCATCTATCCACACATCTTTATATCAATTTTAGTTTTTTTAAAACATACTTTTATTTATTAATTATCTGAGTAATTTATATTTATTTTATGAAATTCGAATTATAACACAGAAAATATATGTATATAGATTTTACTATATGAATGATGTGATAATTTATTTTTTTATAAAAATAAGAGATAAAATATTGTATTTAAAGAAATAATTAATATGATATATTTTTGGTAAGAAATAGAAAAAGAGAATATCTTGATGAATCATCATTAATATAATTGATATAAACTAATGTATAACCAAATTAATGTGAGTGGCATAACATATAATTAATCTAGTAACATAAGTCTATTTTTATAACTTTGCTGAAAATGATTCTGGTGATGACACATCAGCAAAATGGCACCACTGTAATATTTTACAAAATTAAGGTTGTTCTTTAAAAATACTTCTCTTTTAATATATAGAGGATTATAAATTTTAATTATATTAAAATAATTTTTTTTTGTTTATTTAAAATGCTCTTAAAAGTTTCTATGGATGGCAATGGTCCAAGTACAAATCCCAAAAGCTGTAGATGTAGAAACTCATAATATTTACTTTTGTATCATCTATAAATATCGAGATTTGATGATGTGTACATGCAGAACGACGCATACACTGTGACGAGATGTTGCCCCCGTTTTGTGCAAACCAACCCTTCTATAGTTATCGAAGGTGCCATTTCTCCAGTGTCGACTTTTAGAGGCGCCTCAATGGAACTCTTTATTCAGATATGGAAGGCAAGTCGATCACATTTATATTTTGTTATATGTATATAACTGAATGATACATAAACATTGAAATGTGTAGGAGCCAACGCTTGGATATTGGTGGTTGGGAGTCGGTTTCAGCAACAGCACCCTTTTCGCCGTGGTTTAAGAACAAATTTATAACATACCGTCCAGAATATGAAGAATCTCTGCTGATAATCCAAATATAACGGATGATAAACTTAAATAACAAATATATAATTTTAGTTATTTGAATATATAAATTTTGAATTACACAACGATTACATATTTATTTTGATTGGAGAGGCTCACCTCCCAACCAGCCTTGATACTGTTAAGATCACTGGTGTTATACTCACTCACGGTTAATCATACTTGTCCCAAACTGAACTTGTCAGATTGTTCTACTTCTGGCTGCCACACATTCATTATGATTCTTGTGCCGTACGTCTTTGTTGGATTTTATAAACCTCCAATAGCATACTATATTCACAAAAATAAATTTCTTATTTTAAAGATATAAAGTAATTTTCATATTCAAGATGTCATTGTATTAGTAGAATATAAAGTAAAATGGACATATTTAAGATGTCATTTTAAAGTAAAATATAAAGTAAAATGTAAAGTAAAATATAAAGTAAATATAAAGATAAAATAGAGAGTAAAATGTAAAGATATAAAGTAAATATAAAGTAAATACAAAATAAATATAAAGTAAAATGGATATATTCAAGATGTAAAGTAAAATGGACATATTAAGTCTAATTACATATTCAAGATGTAAAGTAAAATAAAATACCCAATTACATATTAAGCCTAATTATATTTTAAGCCCAAATACCCAATTACATATTACATATTAAATCCAAATTTCATATTACATATTAAACCCAATACCCAAATTCCCAATTACATATTACATATTAAACCCAATTACATATTGCATATTAAGTCCAAATACCCAATTATATATTAAGCCCAATCACATATTTAATCAAGATGTAAAGTAAAATGGACATATTAAAGATGTGATTGTATTCCTCTTTTCTTTTCAATGTAAAGATCTTAAGTTAAAACCAATTTTATTGCGTAAGAGATTTATAAATGAAAGTTAAAACAGAAACAGTAAACTAACCTCGTGTCCTTTGGTCGCTTCTACTCCAGCCTGAGAACCTGTTGTTCCGTTCAGCCTCCGGACACCCATATTGTTTTATTTTTTTCAAAGAGAAATTTGGCTTTGATTTAATGAAGAACAGGCTAATAAACAAAATGGGAAGAACCGCTTTTGTTTTTCTCCATTCATAATGCATTGTAAAAATATCATATTTTTACCTCCTCATTATAACAAAGGTTCAAATTTTTTTAAAAAAAAAAGTTACAGAAGATATTGATAGAGAAAAAAAGTAAATAAATATTTAACCCAAAATGAAAGAAACTGAAAGTGGTGAGTGGGTGAGTGAGAAAGAAATTGAAAGTTTTTGAAACCTGGAAACATTACATACATGCATGGAGAAAGAAAATGAAAGTGCTGTATGAGATGGACATTATTTTAAATTATCTTACAAAGAAACATATATATCCAAGTTTATCAGAAATCTTTTACTGAGGCTATTTTTTGCCCATATTAATTTTAAGAAAAACAGTTGTCTTTAGAAAAAATATAATAAGTAGCATAAACTGAGACAAAAAAAAACCTCCTAGCATGAATTGAGCTGTAAAGTTCTAAGAATGTTAATATCTCTTAGTAAGACCATGTCCATCGGTAGTTTTTACATGGGTTTTTAAACATTAAAGTATTTTAAAAAATTGATTAATAAAAAAGAGAAAGAAGCAGTGTATGTTACATGAGAGTTTTCAGATACATTTGTTAACTTTGTAAGACACTTGTCATCTAGTTATTTGTTTATTTTTTTTTCAGGATATAATTTAAATCTAAAAATAAATGAAATAAAAAATATTAATTTTATAATATTTAAATACTTAGTTTCAGTCTTCAACCGATTGAGATGCTCAAAGGTCTCTTATTCATTTTGATTTTTTTTCCGTAAAGTGTAAAATATATTCCATTCTCAAGATTCAAGACTGATCAAGTGAGTTTGAATCATGGCACTCAATAGATGGTGACAATGAGTCGTCATTGATATGGGCAGACTTCAAGCTCCAAGCACTTAGGCTTAAGACATCAACACTTTGAGTTCCTTTGTTGAAGACAAAGAGATTTGCACTTTCTCCAATTGCCAATTTTGGATACACTCTCGAGGTTATACATACTTTGCCTCCTCCGCCATAACTCTCCACGATAGAATGGTCAATCTACAAGAAAGCCGGAACGAATTAATTAATTCACTTGAATTATACTCACTTGACACAAAGACATGTTTATGGAAATATATTTTCATATACTTAAAACTTACCAAAGTCCTAAGAGAAAGTGTTTGGTGAGAAGGATCTATCGCCACAAAAGCACCAAACGTCGTCTTATCATTTTTTTCATTCAACGAGGATCTGTGAGTGCCATTAAAAAAATGTTAATTCCTTAAGAATCTAAATATGTCTTTGGATTGATGTGTAGAGATATACCTGCTTTGATCACTGCACATCAACACTACGTAATTAGTATTCTTATTCGTATCATTTGACTTGAAGATTCTGAAGTAAACCGATGTGTACTCTTCCATGTCATTTGATGCCAAAACCATCAAACCAAATGGTCCTAAACCGGACTTTACCGATAAATCTTCCTGACTGCAAATCTTTTGTGGATCGGTCCAACTCGGTTCAATCACATCCGCTTTTTCCAATTCCTTGACCTTGAAGGACACCTCAACATCTGCCTGCTCAATATAATACCAAAGAAATCAATACTAACGTCAAATCAAAGAAAAAAGATCGATTCTTATTAGATACGGATTAACTAATCATTAATTTTGTCGAGGTTAAGGATCGATTCCTACTTGTGCGGCAGAGACACCATGAACTTGGATAGTAGATCCTGCCCTAATAACTTTGTTGTGCCACTTGGCTTGTGTCACACGCAAGGTTTCAATCTCTTCAATTGGCCATTGTAGCAGTTCCTTCCCCGATTCATCTAGCCAAATTTTCCTTGGAAATGACTATCAAATCAAGAAAATAATCCGGTTAATTCGATTTCTCTCGACCGGACCGTGACGAATTAATCTAGAGCAAATATAAGTGTACCTGAAGACCAGACCAACCTTTCTCAATGTCAGATTTAGCTGGTGACGATTCATTAACCCAACCCCACAAGATCCTCCGTTTCTTAACATCGTCGAAAAACGTTTTCGACGCGTAATATTTCCCGTAATCTAATCTCGGAGCCGATCCGTTTTGTACGAACCCAAGATCTGGTACGTAAACATCTTTCTCGCGATCGTAACTCCCAATCGTGTAATAATCATGCAATGTCTCGAACAAACTCACTTTAAGCACGTGCTTTACCTCACCAAACGACGACGTTTCTACACCGTCGGATCCGGTTATCGGAACCGGGAAAAAATCGGGGCATTCCCACATTCCGGTCAAGTCTTCGTAGTGAAGAGGCTTTATCGACTGAGTCCAATTGAAGAAATCTCGGCTTTTGTAAAGAATCGCTAATCCTCGACGATCGTCCGTCGAGCTTCCGACGATGACTCGCCATTCTCCGTCGCGTCCTAACCACGCGGTGGTCGGATCTCGGAACCGGTCGGGGTTAATTCCGTTAACGGCGTTAGGAGCCATCAGAGGATTTCCCGGCGACTTTGACCATTCTCGGAGATATGGATCGGAGATGTTAACCGGAACGGCAACGTTTTGCACTTGACTTTTATTTTGGTCGATTCCGGTGTACAGGATCACAGGTGTGCCGTTTGGTAGAATCGTGACGGAGCCTGACCAACAGCCGTTGATATCGGACGGCTGAGATGGATTGAAAGCTGGAGGTTGTGGGGTCCAGTTTACTAAGTCAGTTGACGTGGAGTGTCCCCACACGATTCTGACGTCCCAAACGGCGCCGTATGGGTTATATTGGTAGAAGAGATGGTATATTCCTTTGTATATCATTGGTCCTACCATAAAAAGCAAATGTGTATAGATTTACAAATAGTATACAGTAGTTATAAAAGTATGGATAAAAAATCAAGAACGAGAACTAACCATTAGGATCTGGAAATATATGTCGAATCAGATTTTCATCGAACATAACGGAATCAACAAGGAACTAAACGATGTTAGTTACAGTAATTGGATCAAACAATAGAGGATCAAAAATACTCATCGATGGACAGGAATCAGATCAAGATCGGTACGGTACATACCGTTCATCCAATTTCTGAGAGGCTGAAAGTGATAGCCGGTCCGGTACGGTTGGTTGACATCTTGCTGTGAAGCTTCAAGATCGATGATAAAGTTGCAGAGCAGCAACGATAGTAACAGTGACAGACCAATGTTGGGACGATCCATTGTTGTTCTGTTTTATTTTATTTCTCTCTTTCTCTATCTCTCTCTCTCTCTCTCTCTCTCTCTCTCTCTCTCTCTTGTGGTTGGTATTGGCCTAGCTGTTTAAGTACGTTAACGGCTAATCGAATATTAAAAATGACTGAATTAACCAATTAAATTGGGGTATGAGGCAGAGATTAGAACAAAAGTCTCCTATTGTTCGCTTTTACTGTTTTACATGGTCCCAGAGACTAATAAATATAATGTACAAGTGGCCACGTAAAAGCAAATACAAATTCATTAATCAAAGACCAAATAATTAATTAACGTTAGTTCGATGACAAATGACAAGTCACTCGACCAGCATTTTTCTACAAACGATGCCATTTATTGGTAGAGACAGTTAAGCAAAAGACTAACATACCCTTCTCTATCTGGGCCTATGGGTTTGAGTGGAAAATATTTTTGAAGGCCCAGTAACACGTTATCCAAAATTGTCATCTTGTATTGCATTACTATGGATGACATTTTTGAATACATGAATTACATATTCGTATCTGATATTTACCCACGATTCCCAGAACCACTCTACGATATGCACACCGGTTTTCTTGGATTGGTTCGATTCTGTAAACAGTTAAGTAAATAACCGGGTTTCGATATGGGACCCAGAACGGCGACGTTTCGGGGAGACCAGAAACGGAAACATTGGGAACGGGTGTCTGAAAGGTCATCTGACCGCGTGGGTGGATTAGTTTCGCAGAAGAGAAGAGTCAAAGCCAATCATGACTCTTTGCTTAGAGAGTACAATCCAATCGCAGTCTACCACGTGTCATTGTGGTCTTCTAACGTTTCACCGACCTGTCACTTTCACTTATGTCTGAAAGATGAGATTCCCCTCCATGGTTGCAGTAAATAGTGTCATACTATAACAAGTAAGAATTTCGTTTTCACATTAATATATATATATCAAATCTTGAATGTGTTATTTTAAAACTAGTTCATATATAAAGTAGACGATTCAAAGTAAAATTAATGGTTTAATCTTCCCCATACTCAGCTCGCCTACACGTACTTCGGTTATTTTTACCAATTTTCATATTTCATATATATAGCTGATTTTTTTATATAAAAAACATACTAGTATTATACAAAATTATTTACCAGAAGCTACGAAAATATACAACGACATCCTACATTTTATTTCAACCAGAATATGGTGGGGTTCATGATTCTAATCTATAATCTTTTTTTTTTTTCTAATCTATAATCTCTAGTTGATATTCAAACGTCGTAGAACTCTATTATAGTTGTAAAATCCGGAGCCACGCGTTGTTGACGTGGAGACAGAGACATGTAATCTTTTATTGGACTATAGTTTTCGGATATTTAATCATGCCTCGATATTGTTATCTAACCGTGATTATGTTGCATGAAAAAGATTTTTTCGTTTATGCATTGCGTAAAAGTGATAAATTCCTTGACAAATTTTTTAAACTCGAACATTAATTTGAATATATATCTTAACAACGGAACGTACGGTGATGTCTCGTCTGAAAATTCCATGTTCTTCAAGTTATTATAATGTTTATATGTCTATGTATTTTTTTCTTTTATCGTTTTATGTATAACGTCCAATAAATAGCATGAGACTTTATAATAAAAAGTTCAAATTATGGATGCATAGGTGTCACGAAATAGAATGACGCTCTGATGTGAGTGGACGTTTATGAAATAAAATTAATTTCTCCATATATTTCTGCTTTCTCTTAAAATTTTCCAAATCTGGCGGTAAGAGATTTAAATGATTTCAGTAGTGAACGTTAACAAATTTAAACTAATGTTTTTCTATTTAAGATAAAACTAAATCATCTTAACAATTTGTTAGCTATATAATATATAGAAATATATGTAGCAAACCAGCACTACTTTCAGTCGAAGAAACAGTGAAGCATGTGGGTTAGCATGGCCCGTCGTAAAAAAAAAAAAAAAAAAAGCACATTAATTAGTATGGTCCAATCTAAAAGATTCAGACCGTTTCTACGTGTATATTATACTGAAACTGCAAATAGTTTAACGTGTATTTAAGTTTTATTTCAATTTTTATGTATCGCTCACGTATGACATTAACAATCCATGTATAAAAAGATGAATTAAACTCGTAATATTGTTGACAAAAAGTTTGTATAATGAAAATTAATAATTATAAGTTTTGGTCCGTATTTATTTTTATTTAAAATGTTGATAAGATAAGTAGTGTAGTGGTGTCTAGTCTACGACCTTGGACCGACCATGGTCTAACCACGAATTATATAATTTATACTAATTTTCAAAATGAAAAAAAAAATGTCAATGATTTGTGTCCATAGCTCGATGTAGATCATAAAGTAGGTTAGGGCATGTGTCACTGAATAATTGTTTTTTCGTGCACTAAACCATTATTATTCCATTTCATTTAATTTAATTTATTTTCCTTTTAACATGAAAAGCTTCAATTGAACCCAAAGAAATGAAAGGAAAGTTAACCTTTTCCCCCTTTAATCAATGAATCAATCATGTGTAGTTCAGTAATTTCGATGATAGTAAGTGCTTGAAACCAAAAAAAGAAACAAGAATTAGTTTATTAAAATGAGTCTAACTCTAAAGTTTGATCAGACTATAATTATAGAGAGGCCAGTGAGATTTAGACTGGCGATCAAAAAGAGGAGTAATTTTTATGTAATTAGCAAAAAATATATTTTCAAAGTAACCGTTTGTTTTAAGATCAGTCAACAGCACGGAAATTTATAAAAAGAGTTGAATATAAATTGTTCGATTGATTAAAAAAGAATTAAGCATATTTCGTTAAGGTCTTTCTACAAAGACACTTACGCACACATCAAAACATACTCTCTGGAATTTTTTGACATAACATACTCTCTAGATTAAATTCAGATTTGACAATGTTGTCACAAAAGTAGAAACCAATAAATTACAGATTCTGATTCATAAATACAGAACAGTTATGAATAGTGAATAAAATAATGAAAATCAATTACTCCTAGGGAGAATAGTGCATGCACTAAAGCGAAATTCAAACATGTCTTCTCACTATCTCGAGAAACGTACAAAATTATAAACTTACACAAATCTCCTCTTCTTTCTGCAAAGCTTTTCACACAACTGTGAGAAAGTATATTAATATTTTGGCCCACCTTTCTTTACGAAACAAAAAGATTATGTAAACAGCTTCCCAATATTTTAACTATATATGAAAAAAGCAGCAAAATGAAAATCCAAATTTACAGGTAATAATAATTAGCAAGGACAGGCAGAGAAAAAGACAGAAAATGGCAAACGCAAGAATCAGAGAAGAGTTTTATTTTTACTTTGCTTTTTTTTCATAAGCGGTAGGGTTCCGATTATTATTTTATTTTCTTTTTTTTAAGTTTTGAATTTATAAGCTTCAAATATCACACAAAGAGAGAAAGATAATAGAGTTTCTCTCATCCACAGTCTCTCTCTCTCTCCTTCTTCTTCTAGGTATTTTGGATTTTCTTCCTTCTTGCTTTGTTATTTTTTTTTTCTTCTCTTGTTATCCATGTTGTGTGTAGTTCTTGTTGGATTTTTTATGTTTTCCCTTTTGGAGTTTTGTTAGTAAAAAGCAAGCCTTAAAGCTTCTTGTTCATGTTTGAAACGAACAAGAACAAAAAGTCTGGTTTTTGTGTTCAGGTTTTTAAAACAAACTCTCTCTCTTTCTCTTTCACGTCTCTTGGGCTTTGGATCTTAATATTATTTTTTGTTCTTCACATGAGTAAATAAACCGAAGATTGTCTCTTGGGTTGATTCCAAGTAAGAAAGCTAATTAATTAAATAGTTATATAATTATGGGTTTCACTAATTTCTTGGATGTTTCTGCTAAAACCTTCTCTTTGCTAGTTTTCCCACTACTCTTTGTCTGTTTTCTAATACACACATAGATCTGAAAAAAAATATAACTGTTTAACTTTTGTTGTTTTGTTTACTTGTTAAGGTTTTTTTAGTACGGATGATGATGAACAAAGATATGTTACTTCATCATCAACAACAAGTGGAGGAAAACATGTCGAATCTAACATCAGCTTCAGGAGATCAAGCAAGTGTGTCTTCAGGAAACAGAACTGAAACTAGTGGCTCCAACTTTCATTACAACATTAATCCAAACCAGCAACAAGAACAGTGTTTTGTTCCACAATCATCTCAAAAGAAGAAGAGAAACCAACCAGGCAATCCCGGTAATTTACCTTGATAAACAAAGAATATCCAATATTTTCTTTCATTTTTTTGGAAGTTTTCGTTACAATTATTTGATATATACCGTCGTCGCTCGTGTTTTTGAAAATTATGGGTCTTCGAAAAAAAGAATAGTCTTTTAACCCTTTTGAATTTGTCCTCTTTCTCATATCTATTATTGAAATTGGCAATAACCGAATACAAATCCAAACTTAATTATTTGTTTCTTCAAAATCCCTTTATGTCTCCATGAGTTTCGTTAATTTTCTTTTCTTGGTTGTTCTTGTTTAATGGGAAAAGTATATTTTTCCGTCAAATGCATTATATGAAAGCTAATAAGATTTTGGACTTTGTTGGTGTTTGTTTCTTGACTTTTTCAATTAGACCCAGAAGCAGAAGTGATGGCTTTATCACCAAAAACACTAATGGCAACAAACAGATTCATATGCGAGATCTGTAACAAAGGGTTTCAAAGAGACCAGAACTTGCAACTTCACAAGAGAGGACACAATCTACCATGGAAGCTCAAGCAAAGATCAACCAAAGATGTGATAAGGAAGAAAGTGTATGTCTGTCCTGAGCCAAGCTGTGTCCATCATCACCCATCAAGAGCTCTGGGAGACTTAACCGGAATCAAGAAGCATTTCTTCAGAAAACATGGCGAGAAAAAATGGAAATGCGAAAAGTGTTCGAAGAAATATGCGGTGCAATCAGATTGGAAGGCTCATGCTAAGACTTGTGGCACTAAAGAATACAAATGTGACTGTGGTACTCTCTTTTCTAGGTAAATAAACCCTTCACTACATTTAATTTTTTTTTATTTGATGGAATCTGTGCATTCATACTTAAGTCTAAGGTTGTATATTTACAAGGAAGAAGACAAGAGTGATGGTGTATGATACTTTAGATGTGTGGTGTAATGTGAATATGAGTGACACATATAGTATATGGTACCATCTGTTGGGATTATCAGTAGTTTCATTTAATTTTGAATAGGACAAACGTGGTAATTAATTTTAGTAGCTCAAAGAATCTCCATTTAAACAACTATTTATTATTGTGGTACTTCATTTGTTTATATTCATATATTTTTATATTGAATTTTCCTCTACTCCTAATATAGAAATCCTTTTTACGGTTTACATTTATTGCTTATTGATCTATCATCTTCTATTATTCGCACGTGACACACCCCACAAAAAAATTAGATGGACCTACAAACCTCAAAAAACGTTATTGTTTTGTTGATTTATATATGAAAGTAATTTTAATTGTTGGTTATTGCGATTTGGTTCATAGCTCACATAGCATTTTGTGATGCATTAGCATTTTTGTGATTTGTTGATTACTATGAAAGTAGTTTTAATTTTTGGGTTATTGTGATTTGTTTCATATTGTTGTTGCAGGAGGGATAGTTTCATAACTCACAGAGCATTTTGTGATGCATTAGCAGAAGAGAGTGCAAGAGCCATACCAAATCCTATTATCATCCAATCTTCTACTTGTTCCCCTTCTCATCAACAACATCATCAAACACAACAAAACATCAACTTCTCTTCTTCTTCCCAAAACATCATCAGCAACAATAACCTCCATGGTCATGAATTTCCTATGAAGCAAGAAGAACCTCATCATCACTTCCAAAACATCCCTTCTTGGCTTGCCTCAGCAAACCCTAACCCTAATGGCAACAGTGGTAATTTCTTCCCTCTTGCTTCTTCTTCTTCTGCAACCACCGGAAGATCCAACCTCCATCAATCATCTCCGGCTATGTCAGCCACGGCTTTGCTCCAGAAAGCAGCTCAAATGGGTCCCAAAAAGTCAACAACTAATCCAGAGGAAGAAGAGAGGTCGTCTTCAAGGTCAGGCTATAACCTCATCACGACCACGATGGCGGGGATGATGACGTCGCCGTCAGAACCAGGATTCGGATTTCAAGACTACTATGTGATGAATAATCATCATCACGGCGGAGGAGAAACTTTCAACGGTGGTTTTATCGGCGGAGTTGAGAAGAACGACGTCGGCGCCGGCGACAGTGGAGGAGAGACGAGGGATTTCTTGGGGCTGAGATCGTTAATGTCTCATAACGAGATTCTAAGTTTCGCTAATAATCTTGGTAGCTGTATCAACAACACTTCTGCTTCGGAGCAACAACAACAACAACATAGCCATCATCAAGATTAGGTACTAATTAGCATATGTATAGAGGATTTTTATATAAAGTTAAACTATAGTATATGTTAAGTGTTCTTGAAAGGATAATCATCATGTGGCGAGCGCAAGTTTATACAAAGTTTGTGTTCGCTTGTTAATTGATAAGTAGTAGTATATGTTTTATGGTTTTATATTTGCTCTCACACATGCAAAATATTTGCGTATTTATGATTAAAGAAATGGTCAAAGTGAAGTCAACGTTTTTTGTCTGAAACGCACTTCCTTTTGGTTCTTGCTCTTCCGCACGTGTAATAGAGGCACGTGTAGGAAAATTTTGTCCATCACCAATAATAATCCACATACAAATGCTATATTTATATTTGGATCATAATGACTGAAAAGGTGAAAAGTTATTAATAACGATTACTTAAGAAATCGTATTATTCTAGGTAAATAACAACAAAACATTAGATAAAAGTGAGATTTTGGTGGTATTAATTAATCTTTGGCACAACAACAAATGTTGCCATGGCCTCGAGGACTGGCTTGGCATAAGAAAATGGTCTCCGGTGGGAAGTCAGGTGGTCCACACTGACTCCTACAATCTTTGTTGCTTTGGCACGGACCTTTGTAGACACACTGTGAAGGATGCTCACCATTCTCTCTTACATCTATTTTAATTTACCATCATTAATCAATTAGTGTTTTTTTTTTTATCATAAAAAATTAGAAAGATAATGATATGATTCTTGGTTTTTAGATGTGATGATTTGAAAGAAAGAAAAACGTATTACCTTTTGATTGGGAAGTCAATAGGAGAGAACATATAACGAGGATGGCTACAAATTGAAGCTTTGATAATGCCATTTTGTTGGGTATTTTGTGAATATGATCAGTTTTTTTTTTATCTGGTTCTTTGCTGTGAAGAGCAAAGATCATGCCTATAAATAGGAGAGAGAGTTCGGAGTTTTTTTTTTTAACAATGATTTATTAATCTATTGCAAATTATGAGAATTAATAGAGTTGAGATTTCTTTCTTAGATAAGTAGTGCAAATCTTTGAAAAAGTTTCTGAAGATATCTTCTGTATCAAATGGTCAATTTTTCAAGGAGAATCAAATTAATATATTCAATGTGATTTTATCTTTTTCTCGAAAAAGGAAAACCCACATTTAAAAAAAAGATCTAATATCAAAAATAACATAATTAAATGAATAAATGTAAGAACTAAGAAGTAAACAAATGCATTAACAATAAAGCACTAGCAGGTCTATTGAGTCTCTAGTACTACTAAATACAGTATAACTAAGAAACATGCTTAAACTAAAGCAAAAAAAAAGAGGTTTAAATATGGAAAACTTTAAAACTGTACCAACGTAAATTTTATTGCATAGTAATACTCTTTTTGAACAAAATGAGCAATACTAAAATTATTGGAAGTCGTAACTGTTGTATTGTGTTCAACACCAAATTTTTGGATATTTCAGTGATAGAAAGATGATATTTGTTCCAATTTTCCACTTTGGGTTGAAACAGAGAGGTTTAGGGAAAGAGATTCATCAGAGACCCGCACTTGGGTCACCGGAATTTGCAAGAGATTCATCAGAGACCCGCACTTGGGTCACCGGAATTTGCTGCTACGACTCCAATTTCTTTGCCGGAGCTTCCTTCTTCTTCTTGTTCCGGGAAAGCAACGGAGTCGCCATTTAAGCCGTCAACAATCTCGTCAATCTTCTTAAACTGATACGGCCACTTGCTGTTGTACAGAAACTGCCTCAGATCGAATCTGTTGTCCTCAGGAGAGTAACTCTGCAACAACAACAAAACCCAATGAGTTTATGTCTCTCTTAACAATTTCAAAACACGTTTTCAGACAAATATCTCAGCACTAGTAGTAGTTAGCAAATTACCTCAGCGTGGTAAGATGGTGTGAGGACAGTCATCTTGTGTCGATTGATGGAATAATACTTGAAGAAGTATTTCACTTTCTCAGCTACTTCTGCTGGGCTTAGCTTTGTTCCCCACTTGTAACATAGATTCTGCAGAATCATTACAGAGCAGTTTCAGCTTCAGTGTATGTATCATTGATTTAGTAACATTTGTTTCAAGATGAGAACTCAAACCTTGAACATCGAAACTGGGCCACACCGGAATATCTTCCTCATTCTTCCGTAGACTGAAAGCTCTTCATATGTCATTCCCATGTCCACTTCATCAAGCTGTTTTCAGAACTCAAGATGTCTGAATACACGACTTCGTTGACTTTAGTGATAGACTCAGAAAAAACAGTTTTTGTTATTTATTACCTGAGTATAGTCAGAGCGAATAGGCTCAAGCTCGGCTGTTGGTGGAGCAGCTTCTATGTCTGCCAAGGATTCATAACCGAGATTCGTTGCAGCCCATCTCAAGAACAACCTCAGATCCTGTTTACTTATACTTCCTATTGGATTTATGTCTGCTGAGCTACAATCATACTGTTTCAACCAAAGAGAACAATGAATTATATATTAACAATCTATTGGTTATTGAGATGTAGCAGTAATATGAGATTAAGTCCTATCACCTTTGTCAGGTAACCACGAAGTCCTTCATCAACGTTGGAGCTGCCTAGAACAAGGTAAAATCCTGGTTTGCTATGAACCCAAGGCAAGAGAGACGCTAACATAAATGCTAACACCATTCTCATCCTCGCTTGAATGTTCTGCAACCCAAGATTCTCAGCGTTTGATCCTCCATCAACCTAATACACAAAACCAACAACCATTTCAACAAAATTGCTCTTTCTTCTATTTTCCACATGATCATGTTTTTGGTTGCTTCAGCTGTTTCAATATTCCCGCCTCACCTTATACCGAGGTCGCTTGCCTGTAACAGTTTGAAATAAAGATAGAACCGCAGAGACGACGCCGTCTATGCAAACATCAAGATGCCACGCACCGATCTCATCTGCCAGCTGCTTTGCACGCATTTTTGTTGCCTCTGAACTGCAAAATCGAGATTTCAATGTGGAAAAAACACTTTCATGCTTGCTACAAAATCACACCCAACGGGGGCCAATATTCATATCCTCTTTGCTAATGTGAACTAATCTACCTGTTTTCAGACCCCATAAAGACAGTGTAAAATATTCGCTTGGCAAACTCTTTGCTATCAGTAGGAAACTGTCCACTAGCGTAATTTCCAATTCTATTCGCATCAGCTTTCACTTGCTCGTCTCCAGTTGCAATCTCTACACGAGAAGAAGATATCAACATCATGAAAGTCTCTTTGAGTTATTCACGTAGTTGTCCAACATGACAAATACAGTTGAACATACCTTTAACAACAAGTTGGCACATGCAGCCAACAATAGCTGCCACGGAGGAGCTGTCTGCTCCACCAGAAAGGGGAAGCAAAAACCCTGACGCACCACTTCTTCTCAAATAGTCCCATAGCCAGCAAGCAGGACCAAAGGCTATTTCCTCTTGTGGAGAGTGGTACATAATCTACATACGAACGAATATTAGATTTGAATCTTTTTTAATAATAGATTTGGAATCTTTTTTAATAATAGATTTGGAACGAATATCAAATACATGGGAAGCAGAGGAGGATTGATAACCTTCTTTGGACTGCTTAGTGTCATTTTTAAGTTAAAAGACTGTGTCAGCTTATAGGGCACGGACACTGAAGATACTTTAACCTTGCAGCTTGCTTGTTCCTGAAAACTGCTTATAGATCCGCGAAGACTAGCAACCTTTCTTGGGTCAAAGAAAACAAAGTGGTCTTAAGAAATTTGTCATTTGTATATCAAGAAACAGAGAAACTAAAAGCCAAAGGGTAACTGTGGGATACCGCATCTAGATCCACTTGGGAAATGATGACCTCGACGTCCTTCAACGAGAATTGCGAGCCTTGAGCGACAACATACCCGTTTACAACAATACATGCACACCCATCTACACATGAGTTTTAAAAGACCAAATCAAGATGATCCCTCAAAAAAAATGTAGATAATAAGAATATCAATCCTCCAAGGTTCTTTGTTGCACATACCGTAGTATAAGCGGCCACCATCGCATCCCTGTTGATTACTGTACATATAAACCCCACCACGAGCATGAGTAGCCCCCATGAAAGCATTCAGACGAATATCCAGCTTTCTCAGTTGGTGATGACTCCCACTCGCATTCATAAACACTTCCACCCCGTTCAATGCAAGCTCAGCGTGAGGAGGAACCGGACTAAACAGTTCCTCGCATACTTCGGCTGCAACAGCTCTGATACGAAATAACAAACAGTTGACACAGTTTAAAGAATCGCTGATAAAAAATCATTGACAAAAAGGAAGCATTACATCCAAACTCACGTGTCGATGAACTGGATGTAACCATAACCAAAAGGGACTGATGTCTGTGACAAAGCCTCTGAAATTTCAACAGGGAGCTGAAATTCCTCGAGCTCTCCTCTCTGCTTCCAAGCCGTAAACCACCTTAGCTCCCTGTAGTTTCCGTCGTTTGCGAGCCACATCTTTGGTCGAATCATGACGATTCTTCTGTTCATACAGAGAACTTGACAATTATACCGCTCAGCTCCTTTAATCACAGGCATTCCTACGCTGCACAATATTCCATCCGTCCAATCACCAAGCAGCAATTCCTTCAAACACTCCCACCTGAAACAACACATTCACATGACATCTTAGGAAAATGTGTTTTGACATAATCCGAGAACTCAATCCCATCAACTAAAGTGGATAGTACCAAAACCATTCAAGCGACTTGTCATCAAACTGGAAACTGAAAATGAGAAGCATTACGCGTGAGTGACGGTGTCTAGCTCCAAGAAGTGATCCTCGCAGCCATAGCCAGTGACCTCGAGCTCGGGTCCTAGCCTGATGACAGCACCGGCGGCTTTGGCCTGGGCGATGGAAGCCTTGATGTTCTTCATGTTGCATTCGAATTCCATGGCCCATTGATTCAAGTTACACGTGGCGACCTTCAAAAGCCTCATCTTGGTCGCTCAAGCAGTGTAATCTACATACATACAGTGAAGTGTGTACGAGTGTGTCAATTTTAAACAATTTGAGAGACGATAAGAGTATCAGAATCAAAACACTGAGCATCTACCCAATCTAAAATCGAATCACATCCAAAAATTTGCCCCTTTTTTGTTTTGATAATGAGAATTGATGATACCCAGAAGTGGGCATCGAACTGAAGAGGCTAGAAATCAAAAGATTCACCTTAAAAAACAATGTGGATGATAAGCATTCATAGCAAAACCAAAACGAAAACAGAGATGAAAAAAGTGTTCACCGCACCTTGGAATTGAGGAAATGATGAAGATGAAGTTGTAATTTCACTGAATCGCTTTTTCTCACCTTATACACACTCGATCATTCAAAGCGATTCTGCCATTCATCTTCCCACTCACAATTGAGATTCGTGAGGGAATCAAATGTGTTTTTTATTCGTGACCTCACATGTCCTTTTTTGATGAGCCTATGATTATCCCTAGTTGGGTTTGGGCTTTTTATCTTGTGAGCCCACATCTATCTTGGATTGAGATATAGACAACTTTATGACGTCGTTTTTATTAATAGTGTGCCTGTGTGCGTCCAGGGTTACGACGTCGTATGTAAAATTAATAGTTTCGCTATACGACACCGTTTTATGATTTTAAAATATGACGTCGTTTAAGTACAAGGGCGTTCAACACGAGGCGTTTTTGAAGTCTGCCTTTGTTGTCTGTTCGTCTTCTTCCCTTTACGACGAGACGGCGATAGTTAGATCGGAGTGATGGATCAGTTCTCGGGAGGCAATTGGTCGATGATCCCCAACGTTCAAGCGCAGGGTAACTTCGGTACACCGACGAATCAAGACCATCTATTCCTCCAGCAACAGCAACAGCAACAACAGCAGACACAGTTTCATCATCAACAACAGACGCAATTCCAGCCACAGCAGCAACAACAACAACAACAACAAGAGATGCAGTTCCAGCAATTCCAACAACAACAACAGCAATTCATTCAGCAACAGCAGTTCCACCAACAGCAGCAACAGCGTCTGTTACATTCTCCTCCTCCTCCTCCTCAGCAACAATCGTTGCAATCGCCTCCGCCGCCGCAGACGGTGGTTCATACGCCGCAATCGATGATGCATACACCGCAGCAACAGCAATTGGTTCACACTCCGCAGCAATCGGTTCAGACTCCGCAGCAGCACCAGTCGTTAGCTTCTCATTTCCATCTCTATCCGGTAAGGATCAATCAGTGTTTCTTCTTCCCTGAAATCTTTGAATCACTTGCGTCTAATGTATGGTATTCGCAGTTGGTGGAGAAATTAGCAGATGCGGTCGAAACTGGAACGCGAGATCAGAATTCTGATGCTCTGGTTCGTTTTTTTTTTCTATTTTTACCAAAAAAAAAAACCAGACTTTAGGTTGTTTGAGATTTCCAGGGTTCTTGGATGTGACATTGTCTGACTGAAATTGCAGGTGACCGAATTGAATAGCCATTTTGACAAGTGTCAGCAGCTGTTGAATTCGATTGCAGGATCCCTAGGATCTAAAACTATGGTAAGAACTTAACTTCATTCATTTGGATCAGAAACAGAGTTTGTCTGCTTCTGCTTCTGTTTGGTCTGATAATTTAATACTGACCTTTATGTGTTTTATATAGACTGTTGATGGACAAAAGCGAAATCTAGAAGAAAGTGAGCAATTGCTTCAACGAAGAAGGTAAGCGAAATTGTCACAAGATGTCATCGCATCTTTGATTTGATCAGATATTTGTCTTACATTTTTTCTTCTTAAAATCTTTGGTCAGGGACTTGATTGTGGAGTATAGGAAATCTATTGAAGACCTTGTCAAGATAGAGCCTTAAATTCCACGTTTCTCCCAAGATGTTTTGGATATTCATTTTCTTACTGCTAATAAAGACCAAGAATTGTAATCAATATACATTCACAGAATAAAGAGAATGTGTTTCTTTTCTTTTTTCTTTCATCAGATTACAATAGACCACAAGGTATATGTGTTTTTGTCTGCATCAGCACTGAAAACAAAGACAAAATCTTCGTCTGTAAACGTACAAGACCACTTCTATACTCTTGGCACCTACGACAAAAACCAGTGCCACTATATGAACATACTTTTATATTCCGAAGTTTAAAGATCGATTCACCATCTTCCCTCTCTTTAGTCATCTTTCGTGCTGTTGGAAACGGTTTCTGTTGAAGATAAGCTTGACGAAGATGAACCAACACTGCTGCTTACTCTGTTGGTTGTAACCTTGGATTGATCTTGTTGAGGGTTACTATTTGCAGACGGAGCTTGTCCTTGTTCCGCCAGTTTTCTCATCAGATTCATGACGGTGGGAAGAAGCTTGGTTGATAAGGAGATCAGCCCAGGAAGCTGTTGAACATAGTCAACGATTTAGATTTGAGAGCAAAGGAAACCAAAAAACTGTAACCATGGAATCTTCATGAGAGAGTATTAAGAATGAAACGTCTCTTATATAAGATAAAGATTCCAAGATAAAGTGCGAAAGAGTATGTACCGCGCCATTACGAAATTCTGCTGAGATGTCTAGTTTTGCACCCACATGGCTTTGGCAATCAGGTAGACAACAAAAAACAAGCCAATACATAGAGGATTTCTGCCATGAGAGAGAGATTCAAAGGATAAGTTAGATAACACCAGAGATGTGACCTTATCAGCTAGATAAAATCTTTACAAAGTATATAAATAGGGTATTAATTCTTCTTACTCAGATAAGCAAGACTGGAGAATCGAACTCAGCTTCTTTCCAAATCTTTATTATCTTTGATGACTTGCCACATTTGTTCAGGGACTACTCCTCGTCTATCACCCGCAAGTCCCCCAGGTGCGACAGAGTGGAAGAACCGTTGCCTCAGACTAGCAACCTTCAGACATAGCAAGCATTTATAGGAAAGCATTCATTTCACCTAGAAGCCATCTATCTTCAGCAACGATACACATATCAACCCAGCTTTTCTCCAGAATTTACAACTAATTATGTCAGGAAATACCTGCTCTTTGCATTGCTCTTCCTTCTCTTCATAGCTGGAGAGAGCGACTACTTCGACCTGTCACAAATGAAACAGAGCTATTTCTTCATCCTAGTACCCAAAAAAAAGGATATCAAGTTGAAAACCAATACCAAAGCCGGCTACCATTTTCTGGAAGAAGAAAAAAACTGCAACTTTGGAGTCAGCACAGAAGAATCATACGTATTTGTTTCAATTGATTACAAAAATTGGAGTCAGCGACAAGATCGTAACTACGATAATGTGAAAACTAAAGGAAAACAAAATCCAATAAAAACATGTTACGGCAATGTGATATGAAAGCAGAACAACTCTTATACTTTTGTTGTTGTTTTGTTAACTTAGGGGAGAAAAAGAGATCCAAGTGAACAGCACTGCACAACATCGGGGACAACAGATTCGTGCTCTCTCAAAGAATCTTGGTTAAGATCCTGAAAATGATTTGAATGTGGCAGGTTTTCATTATGTCTAATCCTATAAATGTGGAGGAAAGTGATAATCTGGCTAATGGAACTGGAGCTTAATTGTGAGATCAAAGAGGTATTTCTTCTTCACCACGTGACCAAAGTTCTCAATTGAGTCGTCTCCTTTGTTTCGGATCAAAAGAGACCGAGAAATTTGTTTAGAGACATGTATAAGCTGTAGGTTGCATAGGCAAAACAGAGCTTCGATTATTAAAGCAGATATTAATGTCCGAGGAAATAAGTACAACAAGCCACTCCAATATATTGTCCGGGGACTTTGTGTTCCAACATTTTGAAAACTGGAACAAGTAAGAGCCAAAAAAAAAAAGCTAAAACTAAAGGAAAATCCAATTAAACACTACTTACTTATTATATAAGCTTCACATCCTCTAGATAGTTTGAAAACGTGTAAACCGCAGGTTTATCAAAATCTCGAGGTCGTGGAATTTCAAGTTTTACTTTTGCCTCAAGCTTCTTCTCGGGATTGTAGTAATAACTGCGGTAAGGACGACCACCTTCAACAGTTTTTGGGTAAAACACAAATTGCCCTCTACCGGTCACTCCAACAGTGGTGTAAGGCAAAATGAACTTAAGACTTGGTATTTCGTAGATATGCTTTGACCATTTATGTTCCTTGGCCTCTTGTAAAACCCACAGCTCAATAACATTATCCAGCGTCTTAAATTCAGTAATAGCACCTAATTTACCCTCGTAGTCGATCAGAATCATGCAAGGGACGGAGTAGGCCAACCCTAGCATCGTCTCCAAATGTGGATCAATGTTAATATAACTAAACTTCTCAGACCGAACATCAAAGCAAACGATCAAATGGATCATACGTGCGTAGTCGAACGCTGTATAATACACAGCACCATTGATGCATATCCCATCATCATCACTTTGAGGACAATAAGCAGGATTGCAACATTGGATCTTTCGCCATAAAAGGTTTCCAGTCTCTACTGTGAGAACTTGACACTCCCGGGATATAGACAACACCTTGAACTGTTTGTCGATTGGATCATATCCAAAATAATAGTTGGTCTTTGACGGATCCTCCTCCATCGGTTGTTTAGGTGGTGTGGCTACACTTACAGACTCGCCTGTGACTGGATTAAAAATCACAGCCCCTTTACAACTCTTTCCCGTAGGTTGGAGAAAGACCAGTGCGCCAACAGGAGAGCATAATCTATAGGAATTTGCTAGGGATATCGTATGGTGGCGAGTCGCTACCAGAGACACCTTCCCATGCGGATTTTGAGGCTGAGGCGACGAGAAGAAGAACAACTCTTCTCCATCTTTGATGGCGACAAGTAGCCTTGGTGTGGCCGGAGACTTGATACCCGGGAACAACTGGTTGTTATTTGGACGGCGAATCGTCGACGACCAGAGTTTGGATACGCAACGACACTTTCCCATAGACTTCAACGACACTTTCCCATAGACTTCAACGACAATCTCGAGAAGATGTTGCTGATGAAGAGATCAACAGGGAGTATATCAAAGAATCCCCCTGCGTATCTTGAAGATTGTTTCTTGAATCGGAGTACGGTTACGTTTTCCTGCTTGGCGTGCTCCGTACGTTCCCTCATCGCGGCGGATCAAAAACCCTAGTTTATTTTGGCTTGCTCGACGAAAGGGATGCGACTCTTTCGAATCTCGGTTTCCTGTTTTAACCACACTTAAAAAGGGATTTATATAGAATTGTGATGATTTTAAAAATTGAGAGATTTGTTAAATTTGTAAAGAATTTGTTATTTTTTTTATTAAAGTATTTTATTATAATGATCAAAAAAATCTGAGGTATATATAGTACTTTGAAAGTTTTATTTTATGGGTTAAATTCTTAACAATTGTTTTTGTTGTTGTTGCTTTCTCATTTAAATTCATGACTGTAAATACCATTTACGGAACTTTAGAGAAAATTCATATATTTGTTTCAATAGCTCTATAATTACTGATTAAAATTTTAGTCTCATGCTTAAAAAAAGAGTAGTTCCAGTCTGAAATGTGACATTTGTATCTATAATAAACAGCTCAATTGTATATCTGTAGCTTCGATTATTAGAGCAGTTACTTGTGTTTTCGAAATCTTCTAAGTAGTGTTGAACAAGTAAACAAACAAAACCCTAAAAAACTGTACAAAGAGTTGAATAAAACACTTAATTACATAAGCTTCTCTATTAGAAGAACTAAGAGAGTCATCGGTGGATCTGGAGACTTGATCGGGAACAACTCCTTGAGATTTGGAGATTCACCTATTTGCACAATGTTCGCAGTCCAAACTTTCTAGGCCTGAGGTAAGTAGTGGTGCTTTTCTTCATGCCAGGACCTGAAACCTGTTGTTGCTGCTTTGCCCTTTTCTTCTTCTCTCTCTCTCTGCTTCTCACCTCTAACTCCGCCTGATCTCTTCTCAGCTTCTCCATCTCTTCCTCCATTGCTGTTTTCTCTTCCTTGTCCTTCTTTTGATGCTCCAACACTGATGTATCTGAGTCCTTCACCGAGAATAACATAGGCCCTAACTCAGCTAGCCAATGCGGCTCAACCGATGTAGCACACTGCATGTACTCCTTAGTGGTCAAGACCAGTTCATGGTACACCACATAGTCCGGTGTGTATCCCAAACCATACAGTGCACTGCTCGGGAGCAAATGACAAGGCATCCTGGTTCTACAGTTCACATACCCCCCAACACCTTTTAATCTTGCCGAGTTATGTAAATACGCTGAACATATGGCTTTTCTCACAATATCCCAGTCTGGTCCACACGACTTGAGTGGTATCTTGAGTTGCTTGAGGATATCCAGAAGCTGGGATCTCACTTGTCTAGCTTTTCTCAGACCTTTGACTTGCAGGTAATGGTCGTTGCACCAGTCTCCTCTATAGTCATGCTCTTTCCACTGCTGATACACATTCAGCAGTGTTAGATGATCCGACTCCGGCACAAGAAACTTCTCCCTTGCTGCGTCGCTCTCTTCTGCTCTCTCCTTAGGCCTGAAGAACACTGAAGGTACCGAAAGCATTGACACAATCGTCAAGACCTCGTTTATGCAACCAAGCCGTTCACCCATCAATAGCATCTTTGCAAGAGGTGGATCCAACGGGAACTCCACCATCTTCCACCCAAGATCCGTTAAGCCTCCAACGTTGCTAAGAGCACCCAATACCCAAAGCTGGTACATGGAGTTAAGGATGTTCTCCCGTGGAGGTGGATCCATAAAATCAAAATCTAGCAACTTATCTATCTTCAATGACTTCAGCAACAAGACAACGTTACCTAGATTCGTTCGTTGAATCTCCGGCACGGGACTCGGCAGCATCTCATTCAGATAAGCACTCTCTGTATACAGCCTGTAACACGTTCCAGGCCCTGTTCTTCCAGCTCTTCCTGCACGCTGATCAGAGGCAGCACGGCTTATGGGGAAAACCTGAAGAGCATCCATAACCATTCTAGGGTTGAAAACCTTCATCTTTCCATACCCCGAGTCAATCACATAATATATTCCATCGACCGTCAATGATGTTTCAGCGATGTTGGTGGCAACAATGCATTTACGGGCTCCATCTTCTGCTTTCTGGAATATTTTTGCCTGCAAGTCAGCTGGTAACTGAGAGTATATTGGGAGAATCAGAAGCTTCGTGACTTCTCTGCTGGAGGATGCAACAAGCTGCTCCATTCTCTTTTTGAGTGAAAAGCATGCTGCTTCAATCTCATCTTGCCCTGTCATAAATATGAGAATGTCCCCAGGTGGGCTCGCTATGTGAATCTTCATCGCCTGTTTAACAGCAGCCTCAACATAGTCTTCACAAGGAGTTTTAGAGTAGAGGATATCGACAGGGAAAGTCCTTCCAGGGATGTTGAATATAGGAACACCCCCAAAGAAACTGGAAAACTTTTGAGCGTTGAGTGTCGCTGATGTGACTATCAGTTTGAAGTCACGACGCCGAGCCACAACTTTCTTCAGTATTCCGAAAAGGACGTCTGTGTTGAGTGACCTTTCATGCGCTTCATCCATCACCACCACACGATACTTATCCAGGTCGGAATCTTTGAGCGTCTCTCTCAGCAGCACTCCATCGGTCATGTACTTGATCACAGTGTTTAGACCAGTCACGTCTTCGAAACGAATGGCGTACCCAACTTTATCTCCCAGCTCTGTTTCCATCTCTTCACTAACTCTCTTTGCAACACTCATGGCTGCTACACGCCTTGGTTGTGTGCAACCTACTATACCGTTTATAGTGTACCCATCCTCGTGAAGTTACTGTGTAAGTTGAGTGGTCTTTCCCGAACCAGTTTCGCCAACCACCACTATCACCTGGTTCTCTCTTACTACCTGCAGTAACTCATCTCGAACTGAAAATATTGGGAGGTACTGTCGTTGCTCAGCCATGGTCTTTGACATGGCAAATTCACTCACAGCTTCTCCCTTCTTCATATGTTGTGCGAATTTAGCCTCTCCTTTAAAGTCTACTTCACCTTCTCCACCAACTGCAGCATTATCGGCGTCAATCTGCTCGCCTGATTTTGCAACACCAAGGATGTTACCAAGGTTAGAACCAGCAAGCTCCCAGAACCGCTGTTTTGATTTACGCATGCTTTGTTTCTCCCGAACTTCTCTGACAAGACCCGATCCTTTCAGTGCGATTATAGCCATGTCTGATGTGGGATCCTTCACAGGCATTACCGGCTCTGTTTGCTTAGTGAAAACGACTCTTCCATCAAGGAACGGAGGCGTCGTGTCGTGTACAAGAAGAATCGCTTTCCTTTCTTCTTCTTCGGTATCAAACACAGTCTGCAATTGCGTGCCTCTAACAGCTCCAGATCTGAGAAGCTGACGGTCTTCCCACTGAGCATTGTCTGCATTAAGCTGAGAGTGTTTTTTACTCTGAGCGGCTGACATTTTGCTTCTAACCAGTCTTTTCGCCATCTCAGCTTCCTTCTTCTGTAGAGAAGCAGCATCATCTCCAAGGAGAAAGGACGCAGTATCTGCATCAAACAGTGAGTTCCCTTCCTCGGTATCGTACCATGCAAGGTCCGAGTGATATTCCATTTCCAAACGCATTTCTTCTGTGATCTCATTGTTATCTTCTTCAGCTCCTTCCTGTCTCTCCTTTGTCAGATCACCTTCCCTAGAGTGTACAAGTTTATTGGATCTGATAGAGGAACTAGAAGCCCGGATTGGAACAGCAGAAGACATTGTTGTAGCCAGCCATGGGGAGGCTGCAGCTAACATGGGTGATGGGGAAGGCTTGCTGTAACTAGAGTCGCTGTATCTTCCACGCTTTTCTCCGTGCTCCATCTCATCACAAGTCTTTCTCTTTATTGACCGCAGCGGAGGAAAACTCATTGGAGTCGTGGAAACATCCGAAGCTGCAGCAGCAGTCTCTGTAGCCTCGGATCTTGACGTTTTCTCTCTGTATCGTCTGCTGGAATGGCCATGTAGAATGTTTCTTGCTCCGTTATCCGATCCTGATGCATAAGATTCAACATCTTCTTCCATAGATGCTGTAACAGATATTGCTGGCTTCTTCTTGAGGACTTTAGATCCCCTCTCGGTCTTAGAATTCTCCCTTTTCTCCATTGCCCTAACATCCATGGACTTCCTCTCAGGAGCTGTAAAAGTCAATGTATCCATCACAGGAAGAGAGATCATATATATATACTGTATGACTCCAAAAGTCGGTCGTAGAGGAGAGGAGAGGAACAACACGATCGGGAAAAAGGAAAACTTTTTAAAGAAAATAAGGAAAACCCACTAATTTCCTTATTATAAAACAATATCCTAAATTGATTTCTCGAACTTGATATTGGACTTGGTCGATCTTCAGTTTCCAGTAAATCTGGATCAAATATTCGACCCTTGTCTTACTCAAATCTGTTCTCTTCTTCCTGAAAATTATAACTACATTTTTTCAATGGCAGAGAAAGAAGTCGTCAAACATTAAACAAAATTTGTATCTATAATAAATGGCCCAAGTGTAACGTAGCTTAGATTATTACATTACATAAGCTTCACATGCTCAACATAGTTTGGAGAAGTGTGAACTCTAGGCCATTTAAAGCTTCGAAATGCTGGAACTTCAACTCTTACTCTTACCACGATGTTACTCTTGAAATTGTAGAGTAAAATGTAGAAAGGAACTTGTACTGCATACTTTGGGCATAACACAACTTCACCTCCACAGGTCACTCCAGCAACGTATAACTGCTGTGAATATAATACCTTCCACCATTCAAGGGGTTTTTCGTAGACATACTTTGACCATTCTTGTTCCTTGGCGTCCTCTAAAACCCACAACACCAAATTCTTAGCGTTACAATGATCAACCGCACCTAATTTACCATTGTAGTTTATCAGAGTAGAAGGTTTCCAGGGGATTAAATCAAATCTCTCCGACCTAACATCGAAGCAAACGATCATTCTCTTGTCGACGGTTGCTGTATAATACAAAACACCATTGATGCACATTCCCTCATCACTTTCGGTTTGAGCATAAAAAGGTATGCAACAATCGATCTTTCTCCATAAGAGATTTTTCTTTTCATTCTCCAATGTGATGACTTGATGCTCAAGACACAAGAAGCCCTTCTCTGTCCCACGACGCGTCCAGGATATACACAACACCTTGAACTGTTTCTCGACCGGATCGTAACCTAAGTAGCTTCTTGCCTCGACCGCTTTCGTCGTCAGTTTGGGTAAGGTAACAGACTCTCCTGTGATGGGATTAGAAACCACCACAAGCAAGTAATTCTCTCTCGCACGTTGATGACAAACCAAACCGTGAACAGGGCCAAATATCTGAGAGAAATCTGTGAAGGGTTTCGAGTGATGACGAGTGGCTACAAAAGATGAATCCTCATCTGGATTTTGAGGCTGAGGTGAAGTGTAAAAGAACAACTTTCCTCCGCCTACGAAGGTGAAAAGAAACCTCGGTGGTTCCGGAGACTTGATCGGGAACAACTCCTTGTAATACGGACGGCGGATTATCGACGACCAGAGCTTCGATACGCAACGAAACTTTCCCATAGACTTTCCCGACAATTTCGATAAGATGTTGATGATGACATCAACAGGGATCGGATCCAAGTTTTCTCTTTCTCCTCCAGAGTAAGAACACCGTTTCTTCGATCGGAATAATGTTAGGTTTTCCTCCGAGATCTGCTGCTTCTGATTTCTCATCATGATCATCGCGGCGGATTTAAGCTTTGCTCGGTGAACAAAATCGTCTCTTTCACAACCAAAAGTATTAATTTTCTTCCGGGTTGATGACTTACGGTTACGTTATCGTCCGAGTTCTGCTGCTGTTTTGTAGTGACCGAAGTAAGTGGCTCTTTCAGTTTAAACTAGGGGATGACCCGCGTGTACACGCGGGTGTAAGCTTTATTATATATTTTTGTAATTATAATCAATATAACTTTTAAGTAATTATATCTGTATTTCATAATACGTTTTAATTTATGTTTTGGCTGCTAGATATTTGTGAAAAAAAAATAGCATAAATATATCATTTATTTTAAAACAAGCAAATAACTTTATTGTATGAAATTTTTTTTGAAATCTATAGCTTCGGCAAGACACTATCAATACATTTGCCCTATAAATAGAAAGAAATTGTGATCTTATTAAAAATTTGAAATTATTATATTTGTTAGAGTTATTATTATTACAAATATGGGTGTGTACCTGATTTTTGTCCTTCAACTGATTACGTTTTCTTCATTTTCTTCTCCTGTTGGGGGTCAAATATTTAAAATATCCTATTCCAATATATTAATATTATTAAGAATCTGTTTTGCTATACCTGCATCACTGACTATGAGGTTGTTGAAAATCTCTTTGTAGACGACATTTGTTAACGATGAACTTGGTTGGTCGGCTTTTGAGTCGCTCCAAATGTTTAATCCCTCTTCTGATATAACTCTCGACAAAGCAACATAGAGCTGGCCATGGGTAAAAACTGGTTTAGGAAGATAAATTCCTACATTCTCCAAACTTTGTCCTTGACTTTTGTTGATGGTCATAGCATAACAAACTCTTATTGGAAATTGACGCCTCCTCATTTTGTAGGGACAATTTGTATCTGCGGTTGTCATGATGATCCTTGGAATGAGGATTTTCTTCCCAGCATTTACGCCTATCATTATCTCCGCTTCAATAACTTTTTCACCGAGACGTGTCACAACCATCCTTGTACCGTTGCACAAACCTTCTTTTTGATTAATGTTTCGTAGAAGAAGTATTGGTGTGTGAACTTTTAACCGGAGTTTATGATTTGGTAATCCGGAGCACTTGAGCGCGTTGAGATACTCAGTTGTGTATAACAAGTTGACTCCATTGACATCAGTATCATCACTTGATATGCTGTCAGCACTTAGGTACTCTTTCATATCTCCCTTAACCTTTGAGAGGAAGTAATCATTTATCTCATCCACCGTTTCATTCCTTGGAGTAAGGATTGCACGTGCACGGAGAAAATCGCGATCTTGATAAGCTTTCTCCAAATCTGGAAAAGTCGACTTTTGGATCTCTTCTAAAGCATTTCCACCTTTATTCAACATTAGCCTTTTATCGATTTCTATGTTGTTGTTCTCGAAAGAATCATCTTCAGGCGAAGGAACGGTTTTTGCTTCTCCATTTCCTACATCCAAAATCCACTTTGCAAACTCTTTCTCTTCAGCCCTCACCCTCATGTTTTGTTTAAGAACAAATCTTTCACATTTCCCCCACAAGTAAGACCTATTGATTGAAGCTAGAACTGTATCTTGTCTACTGCCTTGTGGAATTACTGGCAATATTTGTCTGAAATCTCCGCCTAACAACACTGTTTTTCCTCCAAATTGCTCTTCTGTATTACCCATTAGATCTCTGAGTGTACGATCGAGTGCTTCGAATGTGTGCCGATGTGCCATCGGTGCTTCATCCCATATGATCAAATCTGCTTTGATAACCAGTTCTGCAAGCATCGTTTTTGGTTTTATATCACACATCGAATGTTGGTGGAGATCTATTGGTATCTTAAATCTCGAATGAGCCGTCCTTCCTCCTGGCAACAGGGTAGCTGCAATACCCGAGGTTGCAACTGGAATAACTACTCGTCCCTCTGATCGTAGCTTTGATATTATTGTTCTGTACACAAAGGTTTTGCCTGTGCCGCCTGGGCCATAGATAAAGAACAATTTGCCCTTGGCATTGTCGATGGAATCCATGACAGCATTGTAAACAGAAGTCTGCTCTTTGTTGAGTTTGGAAAATGCTTGAGAGTGTACATCTCCTTCGTAATCAACGTTGTAAGATTGTTCTTCTCTTAGCATGGAGGTTGACATTTCTTTAAGAATGCTTTTGTTTGGCACCAGCATTCCTGGGAAATCAGACAACGACTTGTCGTTTTGGAGAAATAGTTTCTGTATTTCTAGCAACGTATATTGTTGCAGCTGCACGTCATTTAGAAGCATTCCTTTGAAATTGAACCTCTTTCGTTGCTTGTATAAGATATCTTCACCGAGGGTTTTCCAGCATTTGTTCCACAAATTCAAAGGCTTAGTAACTTCACAGAATAACAGTATTGTTACGAACAGTTCTCGTAACTGGTAAGGCATGACCCACTGTGATGATTCTTCCATGACTTCGTGCCATTCTTTATCTCCATCTAAGAGGCCCATAGCATAACAGCTTTCTTTGTATGTTTTATATATGATTCTACCAACTGTTCTAATTTCTTCAAAGTTCCTACATCCTCTGACGTGATTCAACATCAGTCGTAGGAAGTATCTCTGACCCGACGATGGATGAATTGTAACTATTCGGCCGATGGTGAAACATTGCTTTCTAGGTGTCCACATCTGATCTTTTGAATTCCAAACAAAATGCATAGGGAACTCAGCATAAGTGAGGCTTCGTGTGTGTGGGTATCTTTCATTAGCTTGCATCCATCCAATGAACATTGAAATTCGCTCTTTCATTCTGGATGCAACATTTTCTGGCTTGTCTCTTTCATCGAAGACAACACTTTGCTCTCCTTCTAGATGAATAGTCAGTTTTTGAACCGCTGGCTTCTGATAGTGAATGTCAAAACTGAAAATACGCCAGACTGCTTCGCATGCCGATAAATATCGACATTCTTGGTAATTCGAGATCTCGTCTATCTGCACCTTTTCTTTTTCTCGGATTTGTTCTCCGGTTGATGTATTTTGGAAAACAATGGTGGCCTTGTCAACTCCTTTGGTGATGTACTTGAAAAGATATTTTATTGTTTTTGAAGTATTGCACCACTCAACGTTGATATGTGCTTTATACTTTTTTAATAAAGCCATATTGTGTGGGATGACGTACCGATTCTCAAGCTTTGTGCCGTTTTTGATGACAAAATTGCCTTCATCCTCTCTTCTCCTGTAAATAATATATCCTTCTTTGTCAATTGTTGTTTCCGGAACAAAAGATCTTGGATATTTTTTGGAACAAATCCCATTCTCCATGCAAGGGCTGGTTGGACGATCTAGACCACATGGACCATGCATCATGTGTTTTTTGACCAGTTCATATCCTTCAGGGTCGTCGTCTTTGTTGGGTAGCTCTGCTGATATGAGTTGATCAATATCTGAAGATGCTAGATTGTGAGGGGTTTGTTCCAGCCATAGGAGGATATGGGCATGAGGAAGTCCTCTTTTTTGAAACTCTATTGTATAAACCACTGTAAAAAAAATAAATTTTGTTTCATTTTCACATTTGTATAATCATTATTGGGTTTTAATTTTTGTAATAAATTAAGTAGTTAATTTTACCTGCAACGCACGGTCCAAAAATTTCTCCAGATTTTAAATCCGAAATCAACTTATCCAACTTCATCTTGAACACTCGAGAGCTGATGTCAGGTCTATCGTTTGGCAGAGCATTTCCATATGTTTGCAAATGTTCAGTGATTTCTTCCCAGTTTGGATTTGCTGTTATCGTGATAAACAGGTGGGGATTACCGAAGAAACGGCAAATGGCCATTGCATCATGATAATTGTCAATCATGTACCTTGGCCCTCCTGTAAAAGATGAAGATAAGATGATCCTTTTCCCAAGTGATTTCAAGTCCGTATCTCCTTTGCCAATTGCATCGGAAACATTATTGTAGAGATCTGCTCTGAGCGTCTTTTGGTTGTTTCTTTGAAACTTCAATCTTTCTTCTTCAATCGTTGTGTATGCATCAACAACATATTGATGGAATAGACGGCCTCCTTTGATTATCGTCATTCCTTCTGACAATCTTGTTTGAATTTGGTATGCATAGTACTCCCGAATAGTAACGTGATGTCTGCTAATTTTCTTCTTGTTAGCAGCCGCATAAGGTATTCGCAAGTGGAATCCTTCTTCTCCATATGGAAACAACAATGGATATTGCAAAGCCATATAGGAGCGGTGCAAAGTACTTATTCTTTGCAGTTTGGATGACTTGTATTCAACTATGATATCTCGCTCTCCCAATGTTTCCTCTAAGTCTCCTATAATCAAGCCTGCTGTTTCTTCGGCTGTTGGCAGATCATATTGTCTGCCCATTTCCTTTTTTCCAACAATGCGAATGGTGAATTCTTCATACGCTCCTGACTTAACTTTATCGCGGGCTTTCCTAAACTCTTTAGCTAGCCAATTATTTTCATCCACCATACGTATCAACTCCTCCACTACCTTTTCTTCGAGTGTTTCTCGTCCTCCATTTCGGGATATGAATTTCATTCGGTTCTGAATTTCATTATCAGTATCAAAAACATACAGCTGGAGAAACTTTGGAGGCGTTCCAACTACCGGTAGAATTGATCCTATCCTGTGGTGGTTTTGGCCATTAATTCTGAATGTGAATGGACCTTGACCTGACGTAACTGATTTGTCCACATTTGCACCAATAGAAGTGAAAGCTAGTAATGAGTTTGCGACTCTTATATTATCTTTGAAACTTCTATCATTCATTAGTCTGGATAAGATCTCTGGCGGCTCTTTGACTTTGGGAAGAGAAACTCTTCCCCTTTGACAGCATATAGAAAACAATGGATTTCCATCTTCAGATTTCTCAATACTTTCGGAGTTCCAAACTAATGCGTTGCATGAAGGACAATGAAGAAGAATATTTTCTGATTTTTTATTTTTTATTCGCTTTCTCCCTGTTTATTTGTTTTTTATATATAAGTAAAATCGTTGTTCCATATAAATAGAGAACTGGACATAGTTGGAAGGAGATATTGAATATGTACCTCTAGATGCGTTGAGAGTGGATTGTACTCCCTGATTTCCTGTGTTATAAATATGATGTAATGGGTTTGATATTTCATTTAAGTTTTTTTCAATTATATTATTCATATATTTTGTTATTCACCTTTAGCATTGTGCTGTTTCTTGGTTTTAAGTATTGCACGTCTTTGATCTCTTGCTCTTTTACAAAGTACTGGAAAAATATATTAATTATGAAATATTCTGTAACTATCGATAATAAGATTTAAAAGATTGTTATATTTAAAGAACGGACTTACCTTTGCGAGCTGTAGTAATATCCTCTTCGGATAAGTTGTCTCGTGCACTTGGCTCAATGAACGTCAAATTATGATCTGTTGGTTGTATAAATTATTCTGTTAATATAATGAAAATACATTTTTGTAAAGTTTTTATCCTTTTCTATACCTGATCTCTTTTTGCGGAGGATTTGTGCTCTCTTGAACCTATTTGCTTTTGATATTTCCGGAGGTACTGAAATTGCTTTACGTTTACGGGACTCCATAACACTGTTTAAGATCTCTTTGCATTAAAAATAAAAGATAATATATTTGAAAACAATAAAAACTATAATCCTTTTTATATATATATTCTACCTATATGTAATATTTTCAAAGAAAATTATAATTTTAAAAGTTTCTTAGATATTAATATTTTTACATATATAATTAAAGTCATATGAAAATAATACTAAAACTAATTAAATAATTTATTAAATATTAATATTTTTACATATACACACAGAATAAGTTAATTATTTTAATTTTAAATTCTTTTATTTTTAGTTTTTTTTAAAACATTGTTTTTGACCTCTTTTTTCTCTTGTAATTCTATCATAGGAACCAAAATATCTAATTCAGATATTTTGATTCGGAAGCAAAGTGGAACCTATAGGGAATTTTGAATCGAGTAATTTAAAAGCCAATTCGGTTTATTTATATATTTGACAACCGAAGTTGTAAATTAAATTAGAGAACCGAAGTTTTTGAGATCTGTTCATATGACATTTAAGAATGTTTGTGCATGTCAATTATATGGATGTGTCAGAAAAAAGCGAAACACGTTGCCAATACATTAGTAATATATCTGGATCTGTGAAGTACAACGATGGAAAATAAATAAACCGCCGCCACATAATATCTCTTTCAAACTTGTGTTGTTTTCTTTTTGTTTGTAAACACAGAATTGCATTTGTAGTCAGAATTGATATGGTTAGTTTAGTTATATTAATCATAGACCAAACTTTTAGGAGAAGATTATCGGTGCTAATAGTATTAAAATAAGGAGAGAAAGAGATAGTGAATGCTTACAATTTTTTGAAGGTCAATAATCTCCGAATGGCTACTTCTTTGAGTATTGGTTATGGTTATTGAAGTGATAATGTATTTGCAGAGAAGTTTATAAGATTACAATATAATCTGAACAGTCAGTTTAAGAATTAATTATTGCAAGGGAAGGTGGAAAGATTCATTGACTTTTTATAATAAATGATAGAACGAAAAAGGATATAAAGAAAGTTGAATCCATCTTGTTAAAGAAGTGAACTTATGGTTTTTAATTACGGCAAAAATTTAAGATAATATGGAAATAAGTTCTAATTCATTCAGATTCTAAAATAAAATTGCTTTTGTCAGCAACGAAGTTTTTACCGGAGATTTGTATTTGTAATTTGAATATAAGGTTTTAGCAGAAGGTGATCGCGAGTAATAAAAATTTAAGACAGAAGATCAAGAGTAACTATCTATCTATAACCGTGTTCTAAAATTTGTTAATTATTATGTTTTGAACAAATCGAATAACATTTGACTAATCTTAATGAAAATGGATTAGTGTGTATAGGGGCCGTCGAAGAATTTTCAGCCCATTAGCTTAGGAAATCTATCAAAAAACGGAAAAATATTGTAAACAAAGTTGAAATCATGATTTTATCAACAACTAATATTTGTCTTTCTAAGTTGGACGTCTAACATATGATTTTGTTTTGAACAATTTTAAGAACATATGACTTAAATTCAAACCTCAAAATCGATGAGTGAATGACATAAGATTTGAATGAAGTTTATGTAACCAAATTTCATTGATGTATTAATGGAAAAACAGAGAGATGTGTTCTGAGAGAAAAAAAAAAAAAAGCGTTTGCTCTAAGAGCGTTGAAACAAGAGATGTGTTATATAAACCCCCCCCCCACAAAAAAATATCCGCTTTTCATAGCTGCAGCCAACTATCACATAGTTCGTTTCTTTTTAGCAAGATGTCCAACTCCATTTTCAAAGTCCAGTAATTCCTCGCTATTTTCTGTCTTTATCTCAACCATGATTAGCTTTTCATCGGACACATGTTCTTCTCCTTCGCTAGTCTGACCACCCTGTATTTTGACATAATTATTGATAATCGACTATCAGTGCATATGGGTGGAATCGTGTTATGTAATGGAATATTTATTTTGTTTAGAATTGTGAAATCGTGATTGATATTAGAGTAGAATATATAAAACAGGACATACAAAATGATGTAGATAATTTTATCAATATGTTTAAATAACTGGGAAAGTAAATACCTCTATGGTTTGGATTGTATCCGCAGAAGTTACCTCTGGCTTTTCACTCACAACTCTCGTAACTGTGAATGTTTGTAACGAAGTCCTGAAGTTGTATTTTGTTATCTTCACTTGGAATTCCATAGTTTTGCCAATCAAACGACGAAGACACTCTGGAATCAAGTCAGGACTCTGGTTTTCTTCTTTTTCGTCCTTCTCATCCGGTTTCTGAAAATCGAGCTATATATTACACAGAATATTAAGTCAGCTTGGGAATCAAACAGCGTAGTTGAATATTTCATATTTTTTTTTTTTACCTGCGAAGCTATAATATCTTCAGCAGTAGTGTTTGTAAGCTTTCGAACATCTTTGTCAGACAAGACAAACTTGGTGGTTGCAACGCCACATTGTACTTCTATTTCTACCCTGAATCTGGGCAAATAAAAATAAGAATGAATAAACAACTTGGATGAAGTGGAGAATGATTTATGAAATATGTTGAATACCTCAGAATTCCAATGGCATCTTCGTCGCTGCAATTGTAACATTGCAGTGATGTTTCAGTCCTATTTAATTTCCTAGAACATTTGACACAAGACAAATAGTTCCACCCATTTCTTTCTGAAATTTCAATGATCTTGGCTTCGCATATGATCTCTTTTTCCTAGGATGAATGAATTAGTTTTTTATTTATTAGTACTTATACATGCTCGTACAGTATATAAATGAATCAGATTTAATTTGAGTACCTGTTTGTCACTAGCGGATACGAAATCCAAGAGCTGGGTAATTGTCAAGGTCCCTAAGCTGTTTGCACTTCTCCTCTCCTCGTCAACAGTTGCCACATCAGAATCACCATCTTTAATCCCCAAGCTTTGTCAAAAAAATTTAGACAGTAAGAGATGAAGGCATAATGAATACAAATCTACAGTAATAATCGATATTGAAAACAATGAAAGCATATTAGGTTCAGCAAGTAGACCTTCCCATGAATGTTTTGACAACTTCTAAGCCGTAGTCAATATAAAACTTGGTTGATCCGCTGGAGCTTAGTTGCAGTTTTCCTACGTACAAGCATATTTACATAATGGAATTGAGATAATGAATACGTAATTGGTAACTCGAATGAAAAAGGCTTACCTGCAAACTTTTTCGGGTTCAAAGAAGTCATTACAATCACACTACACTTGCGCTTGGTGTTTCTGAAAAGTTGGCGGAATGCAGAAGATTGGCCATCCCATAATGTGATTCGAATTTTCACTCCACTGAAAGAATGATAATAGAGAAGGTATTACCGTATTATTATATATCTTTTAGTGGGTAATAAGTTTGATATACATACTTCTGTATTAGGAGACCAACAACGATCTTTTGTGTCGAGGTGGAGTCTTCAAGATTCGATCCTTGCACTTGTATTATTTGTCCCACTATATCTGTGAACGCAAATGATAAGATTAACATATGAGGATGTAACAAATAATCACGATTTCAATATATAATATTTATTGAATTGTAACGGAAATTGCATACCAACTAACTGTAAGTTGGTGTCAGCCAGAGCTTCAAGTTCCGAGTATGTGTGCAATCTGAATTTCTCTTCTTTGATTGCTATGGCATCATCTGGTACTTCAAGAAGCTGAGTGGTGTCCGTAAACCGGATTAAGAGCTCGCTGTCTGTGATTTTGTAGTGACCGTAGCTGGGTACTACTTCAAAGTCGCTCAAGAAATAAAGGTTTCCGTCTTTAAGTAGACTTTTGAATCTGTGGATACGTCGGTGGTAGATTGAAGCTTGGATAAGAGTATCCTAGTTGAAAGAGTAAAAGAAAATAGTTTGGTGAGATATAGCAATACGGCTTTGGGTGGATAGAATTAGTGTGCATGCAGGGTTTGATTTATGAAATAATGTAGTGATAGAAGAGTGGTACCTTTTCATCTAGAAGGAGTAAATCTAAACTCATGAGTGCTCCATTCAGTTTGAAGTTTCAAACTTTCCAAGAACGCAAAAGACGGACAGTAATGTTTTGGTTGGATTTCCCTAGTGCAAGTTTGTGTAACGAAATCGATGTGGGCAACAAAGTACCAAGATCGTGTCCTTCCATGTTGATCGATACAAATCTGTGAAAGAAAAAAGTACGAAGTGTTAGTACACTAATGGAATTGGATATGGAGAAATCGTTGAAACGCAGGAAACAAGTAACTTACTTGTAATCAGTGGAGGAAGGAAAGATGGAGAGAGGAAAGTCGAAGTGATTGTAAACTTTGCAGAAGGGGTTATTTATAAGAGGTTGTGGTTGAGATGGGTCTTTTCGTTATGGGGGATATAATTAATGAACACGGAAATTCATATTTACTTAATAGTTTATGAATTCGAGATGACAATAAACGGAATTTTGAATGTCAGATGTATCGAAGTCTAAGTAATTGTTGAAATGGACAAATGCAATGAACTACAATTAAAGTAGGTAAGTAGATAAAGAGGGTAACCGTAAAGACATATAACCACTTCGATGGACTATAAAATGATGCGTTCTGGTTAATAATTTTCAAACCAAAAATATTATAAATTTTTTTTTCTAACCATGAAACGTAACTTTTGCAAAGCAAGCCTCACCATGCTACCATACGACATGCTTATGGTCATACTCGCTAAAATTGGTGCTTTTTCTTCCGTGGATTTATGGTCATGCATGGTATCATGCAAAACATTTCTTGAAGTTGCAAAATACCCAGAGGTTTTACGAAGTCTTCGTTTGGAAGATGTTTTCCTACCACCTTATGAGAGGGTTCCTAACGGAATGGACTTACTCAAAGAGTGTGCCAAATCGGGTAATGTTCATGGAACATTTTTATGTGGTTTATTTAATTTCTTCTACCTTAAGAATGTGAAGGAAGGGTTGAAGCAATTAGCAACAGCGGCAAAAGAAGCTCACTCAGAAGCTATGTACTTGTATGGAATGATCTCCCTCATAGAAGGAGTTTTTGATGAGGGTTCAAACTATCTTACTCAACTATGGAGAAATCAAGGAATAGAATCGGTGAGGCAATGTCAGATGAATGTTCGGTGGGTTGTTTTAGAGATGAGTGTCAGACAATATCGTGAATATGACATACTACTTAGCCTCATGGAGATTGGAGAAGAATGTCGTCATATAAATTTGAATGAAGTGTGCGATGAATGTTTTATCCGAAAGGAAATTTATCGTTTCATGGACTACATGAACTGAAAGTATCTAAGTTTGCTGTGGTGTTTCAGTAATTGTTTTTTAGTAACACATTTGCTTCCTGAAAGTTTTTTTTATATTTAGTGAAACACATTTTTTTGTAATTTTTTTTTATTATTATATAGTTTTACTAATTAATAATCTATTTTTAAGCTTTACTTTTATAAGATCATAGATTACAAACGGAAGAGGAACCAACATGATATGTATGATATAAGGCATACCTAATGAAAGCAATCTTAAGCGAAAGTTTTTTTTGGCGTTGCAAGAACATAAAATATAGGGTCTTTGATTGTGACTACTACCAAGAAGAAACAAAGTGAAAGAAGTAGTATCATTACCTTGCCGCCATGTTCGTTGAATTCTTTCATATCAGCAAAGTATCCCCGACTCATCTCATCATTACTGCTCTAAATCACATCATATACGAAACATCACTGAGATTGCCGAAGAGGCCTGTTGTAAGACACGTCAAGAAACGCCAAGATTATTTAATATATTGTAGAGGCACTGAGCCACACCAAGTTTATTTAGTCAAAGCAATGACAACTAACCTCTTCCGGAGTCCGCCCGTCTTTCGCTCGCCTTATAGGAGTACTCGTCCTCATGGCATTAACAAAATATTTCAACATCGATCTCTTATAGAGACTAAAAGTGAAAAACATATGTGCTTGCATCTGAACATGTGAAAGCCTTCATTCTATCAGCCAAGTAGCTTATCTCCTCATAGTATCCCATTGCACTTTGAAAACCTGCAAGAGGATTTTAAAAAAAATAAGAAAATTCCTTGATAAAAGAATGACACACTCACAAAACTTTAGCTGAGGATACAAGAAGACTTATTATTTAACTAACCGAATGCTTCAGGATTCTTTATGGTTTCAGAGACCATGTTGTATGGATTTTGAAAACACCAAGCTGGATTCCGTTGGAGCCGAGGGTACAGAACAAAGCATATGCTTCCTCCACCATAGAAGCCTTGCACATCCCATGAATGACGATGGTAGAACTAACAAATCAATTTAGCTCGATTCCATGAAATCCCAAATTGAGAAATTCCCCAAAGCTAAAATCCTACAAAAGTGGTCTACTTAGAACCTGTACATGAGGAACATGAGCTTTCCGATTTAATCGTAGACTTGAAGTTTGATTCTTTTGGAGTGACAAAAACGAAAAAAAAGGTTACATGAATCTTCGTGGTGGTCTTTGGGTCCTGAAGCCAGAACCAGCGTTGATAATGAAAATACGGTCACTTTAGGAAACAAACTTGGTTTAAACCGTTTACTATCAATCTTCAGGGTACACATATTTGTCTGCTTGTCATCCCCTAAGCATTCATAATCTACAAAAAAACCCAAAATTTCAGAATCTTTGCTCTACTGCAGAAAGCTTCATATATAATTGTCCTGAACAAAATTTCTTCCGTACCTAGCTTATTATGTCGATCCATATGAGCAGACATCGTATTCGGCATGTTTATAGTTTGGATTTAGAAAGTAGATAGCGGAAGTAGCCATCGGCATCTTTGATCTGAGAGAGTCGAAGCGCAGATCGGATCAACTTTCGTCAAATCCAGTAATGAGACGACGAAAGAGAGAAGAAGAAAGGAAGAGAGATGTATAGAAACTATTCTCCACATCGACAAACACGAAAGGAGATGGCGGAAGTAGATGGTGGATCACAATAAAAATAAAAAGGAGAGAGAAGAAGGATCTAACCTCGCGGAATGATGCCAGTTAATAGAGGAGCATCATAGCGCTGTGATCTCCGTCTTCATCTCTCTCTCCTTTCTATTTAACTATGAAATTTCAAGTAATCCATTAGTTATGTATATTTTTAGATTTTAATTATACAGGTTCATTGGAACGAAATAAATAATTAAAGGAGCCCTAGATTGAAGGAATTAAAGGAGCCCTAGCTTGAAGGTGGAGGAAGAAGAAGAAGAACCCTAGATTGAAGGTAGAGAAAGAAGAAGTAGAAGACACAGAGGAAAAAAAAGAACAGCCCGTTTTCGAGAAATAGGGATAGAGAAAAACGAAAACTAAAACAGGAAAAAAAAAAAAAAAAAAACTGAGGTGTCATGGAGGAGGGTGCTGACATGTCACCCTCTTGTGAGACACACTCAATCTTTATATAATAGATACACCCTATCTTTATGCTTTTAACACACTCAATAAATTGGGCCTTAATCAGGGCCCAATAGAACCCTAAAACTTTTATTTCTTTTTGGGTCCTCGGAATAATTTTTTTGTTAAGATAAAGACGCAACAAGATGAGTGGGAGGGAATCGATGCCGTGCCGACTCGCAGACTTTATTATTATTTTCCACTAAGAAAAAAAAAGAGAAAATAATTAAATTACAATATTAAACAGAAATCGATTTTGTAGCTCTTCCTCTCGTATTTTCTTCCTCTTCTTCTCCCAGACCGAAGCTGCCTTTATCCGAATTTAGGGTTTCCATTTTCTTCCCCTTCCCGTACAACCAAATCATCGAAACCCTAATCTATTGATCAGGTGAAATCGCGCTCTCTCTCTTTCTCCTTACCGAATTAATGTTACCTGTTGCTATGAATCTTCTTTTCCGATACCTCAATTCCATGATTTCAACGAAGTTTTTTTTCTTTCCCTTTTCTCTTTGATCGATTAGAGTTTCTTAGATGATTTTATTCTCTGATCGCTCTTTAAAAACAGTTTTTTTTATTCGCTTCATCGCAAATGATCGCGCATGACTTTGCTTTTTTTCCACAAGAAGTTGACTCCAAATTGATATCGATTTTAGATCCAGGGAATATATAATTGTGTAATTCGATTTAGGATCGTATGATATGTTGACGCAATTGAGTCATTGCTTTGCCGAAAATGGTTTCTTTCGTATCTATCAGATGCGAAATCCCTGTTTCAGCTCGTTTGATCATGTCAAGCAGCTATTACAAGGATCACGAGCTGTCACTTTTTCCTGTTATGAATGAAATCACTTCTCTTTTTTGAAATCCCTGATTCTTAATCCGAGTTTTCGTGTCCTTTGTTCCAGGCTTCATCGCCCTTGTCGTTTGCTCCCTTGTTTCAACTAAGGTTCATGTCTGATCTTGAAGTTCAAGTCCCCACTGCCTTTGGTAAACTCTCATCTGAATTAACGCCTTTGTGGTTGAAATGACTGTGAATAGATGACTTACACATAGTGGAGTAATCTTGTTATGCTATATATATGATCGAATTCGAATGGAAGAAGCTAATTGATATATCCTGCTTGGCTTTTGGGTGATACAAGACCCGTTTGCTGATGCAAATGCTGAGGACTCTGGTGCTGGAACAAAGGAATACGTGCACATACGTGTTCAGCAGCGTAATGGTAGAAAAAGCCTGACGACTGTCCAGGGACTTAAGAAAGAGTATAGCTATAGCAAGATACTTAAAGACCTTAAGAAAGAGTTTTGTTGCAATGGCACTGTAGTCCAGGACTCTGAATTAGGACAGGTGCATTTCCGGTTTTCCTTCAATCTTTATTACATCTGTCTAGGCAAGTTTGTTCTACAGTCGAGCTCTTGCGTTGTAGTTTAGATTTGTAAAGATATACGTTATCACTTGCTTTATGACTTAATATCTTCGATAAATTGTAGGTTATTCAGCTTCAAGGTGATCAGAGGAAGAACGTTTCTACGTTCCTTGTTCAGGTAATTACCGCAGCACCAATTTTTTTGTTTGAAGTTGGTTTATAGGAAAGATGGAAAAAATTGTATTCTGATGTTAAGGATGTTGAATCAGGCTGGTCTTGTGAAGAAGGATAACATCAAGATCCATGGTTTTTGAGCAAATTCTAGATACTTGTTGTTCATATTTGCCCAACGACTTGAGTTTGCGGATACAATCAGCCAGTCTCTAAGGCAATATAAACAACCACCTTATGTATTAATGTTTTTATATTGTGTCACAACAATCTAAAGGTTTGCTTTATGAGCGAATATAAATGTATGAACGTTCCCTTTGCGTTTCTAGTGTGAGATTATTATCAATAAAACTTGCTTTGTGAATTGTTGGGTGATATTTTTCCATGACTGGCAAAAGAAAGGTAAAACCGAGTGCTAAACCGGACACTAAAAGGAGGTTGACGGTTTGCTGGATAAACCAAATCTGCTCAAACCGGTTTTAAAATCATTTGCTACTATGGTTTGTCAGGATCAGAAGTACTTCCTATGGTTTGTCACTGCTAGAGCAATGAATTTATAAGATGTAAAATTAATACAAAATCATTTACGTACGAATTACATTTAAGCTACTTACACATTTAAGAAACGAGACTAACAACGTGTGAAAAAGGAAAACTTTGCGTTTAGAAAAAAGAAAAATTGTGATACAAGTTTCCTCTTTTATGTTCCCTAGGGTGAAAGAGGGATTGGTATACAAGTCTGCGAAGCTGTGAGCCAGTAGAGATTGTGGTTGTGCGAGATGGGTTTGTCGTTTCGTCTGTCGGTGAATCATCAACAGAAGAGAAAAAAGAGAAGAGGACGACCGGAGATGGCGATGGAGATGATTCCGATGGACGTGGTGACGGGGGAGATCCTTACGAGACTGCCTGTTAAATCTCTGATGAGATTCAAGTGCGCCTCAAAGCTTTGGTCAGATCTCATCAGATCACGAAATTTCAACAAACGTTTCCTCACGGTCGCATCCCCTCGTCTTTACATGTGTTTATCGGATGTCGGCTACCACCCTGAAAATGTGATCCTATCATTGGCACCAGACACAACTACTTGTTCCTCATCCTTTGTTGTCGACAACGACCTGACCATCCCACGAAAGGGAGGATACATCTTGCAAAGCCTTGGTGGCTTCATGTGCTACCTCTTTTGGGACAACCTTCGCATCTATAGCCCTGCCACTAGACAACTTGTCACCTTACCCACCATCAAGTACAACCGAAAACTTGACAATTTCTTCTACTACTATTTTGGACACGATCCTGTTGACGACCAGTACAAAGCAATCTGCTCGATTGCGCCATACGTGAATGTGATGGCAGAGCATTGGGTCTTTGTCCTAAAAGCAGGAGGTTCGTGGAAAAAGTTGGCTCCTCCAACTACACCGGACTTCTGTACTCACGCTCCTGACAGACGAGGAGGTCTGTGTGTCGATGGGGTTATATATTACCTGGCTTTGACGCCTGTTAGGTTTCATTATGCGCTTATCCGAAGAGTTCAGAATGATCCCAATACCTCGCGTGGACGGAGATGATCTGCTCCCTAGAAGGCTCAAGTATCTGAAACTTGTAGAGTATGGCCGAAAAGCAACTCTCCTTGACCATACCAATCTTAGAGACAAGGGCATGCTTACTTTGTGGGACGTGCAAGACAAGGCATGGTCATGCAAGACTCTGGTTTTGCGGCCTTGTCAGCTGCATTTGGTCAAAAACACTGAGTTCGATGTCAAAGGTACAACTCAAAGTGGCAAGCTTTTTTTGATACCACGTGATTTGATTTCACCCTTTCACATCCTCTGTTATGATCTGCAAAGCAATGACATGAGAAGGGTTGAAATCAAGGGATTACCGAACCACTGGCTTAGAAAAGACAAAGCGGACAGACGTTTTGACTTAATGTTTATGGATCAGAGTGAGAGCGTCATGCACTTGGAGACTTGAATATTTCATCACATTCCTTTTCAACCTCTGCTGCATCATGCTTTGCTGCTTGTGTGTATTTAAATTAAGATTTAAGAACATACTCTAGTTGTTACTAAATCATTGGCTTCTTTTCATATGTTATTGACACAATCGAAAAAAAAATTATTGGCTCCTTTTCATATGTTATTCACACACGCATCAAAGTCAGGAGAGATGACACATGAGACAATCTAAAATAAATTTGCAACGAGAGACGGGGAAGGCCAGACAAAGAGCTAATATCTTAGTATGGTTTCGGATGAATGTATAATTCACAATACTGTCTATCAAAGCCATGGGTGATTGTTCTTTGTTGTTATATCACATAACCATTTCATTTCAGTGACATACAGATAAATACAAAGAGAGAAGTGGGGTTTTCCGTGGAAACAAGAGAAGAGGAGGTATGTAAGGTAGACTCTGAGACAGCTTGGTATGTGATACATGAGACGGAATCAGCATAGATGATGTGGCAGTTTGGGATAGAGACGTTGATCAACACAAGTATGTTGTGACAGTAAAGATGGTGTGGATTAGAACTTGATATGTGCTCACGTTCACATATCTTGGAGAAGAATATATATGTACATGATCAACATATGGAAAGTTCGAATATAATGCAGAAATTGGAACAGTGGTTTTGATTTTGATTTAGATTCAAATGATGATCGATTTTATTTGATCGTTTGGACAAATTACTTGTTTTTTGGTTAAAAAAAGTTAAAATGAATGTTTTTTGTTTACAGGCGGGGTCGTAGGAAGCAAAGAATGGGAATCTAACCATTTACGCCAGCTAAAATATTCAACAAATTTATAATATATGACAATAATTTAATTTTTCGAAGTAATAAAACGTTCGAGCATTCCTTGTTCTTCATTAATTTCCCTTTTCGATTTCATTTTCAAAATCAACAACAAAAGAGGCTTGAGCGACTGTCGAGTCTCAAATTAATAAATAGAAGAAAATGACTAATTTCTTAATTAAAAATAGGAGGCAGAGAGAGAGAGAGAGAAATAAGAAAAAGGAAAACGGAAATTGCTGCGTCGGATTTGAGTTGCAGTGGGAGAGAGTGTAGGGGAGAGAAAGAGAGAGATTTTCTTCTCTCCCGTCTTTAGAGAGAGAGAGAGAGAGAGAAAGAGAAAAAAAGCTTGAGAAAACGAAACGAGAAGAGCCCAGCCTCTCCTTCCCCTTCCAATTGTTCGATCTCTCTCGCAGCTTTTTTTTTTTTGTTGTTTTCGTTTTGTTTGCTCCTCTTTTTACATCGACGATTATTTCACCAAAACACGCGTTTCTTCGTATTGATCATGAACGAGCCTCCCGATTTCAGGTAATCTCGCCATGAAAATTTCTCCGATCTCTGTCTCAGACGTGACGTTCACGGGATTTCCCCTGTCTTGTGTTGCAAGTTTTTCTGGAGAATGTTTGGGTATATGATTAGATTTGCTGATTTCGGATATTCGGTTTCCGGAATACATATCGATTGTCCTTCTTCTATTCGAAATCGTGAATGAAACAACCTAATTTCAGATTTTGTCTCCGTTCCTTCGTCGATTATAGAATCTGCAGCCTCCGATTTGGGATTGCGTAAGCTAATTCGTTTTCTTCCATTTTGTTTGAATTTGGCAGTATCGAGGGTTTCTTCTTACATTGAGGTGGAAAGCTTTCAAAAGAAATGGCTCGTCGTAGAATTAGATCAAGGATCCGGAAAAGCCATTTCTACACCTTTAGGTGCCTTAGGCCAAAAACGCTCGAAGATCAAGGGCCTCATGTCATTAACGGACCCGGGTACACGAGGCTCGTCCATTGTAACCAGCCTCACATGCACCTGACGAAGCTCCTTAGGTACCGGTCAAACTACGTGTCGACCACTCGGTACAACCTGCTCACTTTCTTACCCAAATGCTTGTACGAGCAATTCCACCGCGTTGCCAACTTCTACTTCCTCGTAGCCGCCATTCTCTCTGTGTTTCCTCTCTCCCCGTTCAACAAATGGAGCATGATCGCTCCGCTGGTGTTCGTCGTCGGGCTTAGCATGGGCAAGGAGGCGCTGGAGGACTGGCGCCGGTTTATGCAGGACGTGGCGGTGAACTCAAGGAAAGCTAGTGTTCACAAAGGCAGTGGTGAATTTGGTCGCAGGGCGTGGAAGAAGATCCGTGTGGGTGACATTGTTAGGGTGGAGAAGGATGAGTTTTTCTCGGCTGATTTGCTCTTGTTGTCATCGAGTTACGACGATGGGATCTGTTACGTGGAGACGATGAACTTAGACGGCGAAACGAACTTGAAAGTCAAGAGGTGCTTGGATGCTACCTTGTCACTGGAGCGGGATGAGTCTTTTCAGAGTTTCTCTGGAACGATAAAGTGCGAGGATCCGAATCCGAACCTGTATACGTTTGTTGGAAACCTTGAGTGCGATGGCCAGGTTTATCCACTTGATCCTAACCAGATTCTCCTCAGAGACTCGAAGCTCAGGAACACGACTTATATCTATGGGGTTGTGATATTCACCGGCCACGACACAAAAGTCATGCAGAACTCGACAAAATCTCCTTCGAAGAGAAGCAGGATTGAAAAGAGAATGGACTACATTATATACACTCTCTTCGCTCTTCTTCTGTTTGTCTCCTTCATCAGCTCTCTTGGGTTTGCAGTGATGACAAAACTTCTAATGGCAGATTGGTGGTACTTGCGACCAGACAAGCCTGAGACCTTAACAAATCCTACAAACCCCTGGCACGCTTGGGTTGTCCATTTGATCACTGCTCTCTTGCTTTACGGGTACTTGATTCCCATCTCCTTGTATGTCTCCATCGAGGTAGTAAAAGTCTTGCAAGCAACTTTCATCAATCAGGACTTGCAAATGTATGATAGCGAGAGCGGGACTCCAGCTCAGGCACGCACGTCCAATCTAAATGAAGAGCTGGGACAAGTTGATACGATCCTTTCTGACAAAACAGGAACTTTGACATGTAACCAGATGGACTTTCTGAAATGCTCAATTGCGGGTACTTCCTATGGTGTCCGCGCCAGTGAAGTGGAACTAGCTGCTGCGAAGCAGATGGAGATGGATCTCGAGGAGCAAGGTGATGAAATTACAAAGCTTCCAATAACTAAAGGCAGGACACAACGCTACTCGAAACTGACCAGCAAGACTTCATCAGATTTCGAATTGGAGACTGTAATCACTGCTAGCGACGAGAAGGATAGGAAGCAGGTCACTGGCATTAAGGGGTTTAGTTTTGAGGATAATCGTCTGATGGATCAAAACTGGTTGAATGAGCCCAATCCAAATGACATTTTGATGTTTTTCCGTATACTGGCGGTTTGTCATACTGCTATCCCTGAGGTGGATGAAGATACTGGAAAGTGTACTTATGAAGCTGAGTCTCCTGATGAAGTTGCTTTCCTTGTTGCCGCTAGGGAGTTTGGTTTTGAGTTTACTAAGAGAACTCAGTCAAGTGTGTTTATCGCTGAACAGGTTTCAGGCCAGCTTGTTGATAGGTGAGACTGTAACTTGATCATTTTATATGTGTTAAATCTTTCACAAAAATATTCATTTGATCTCTGCGTATGGATGTCTAATCATATAATGGTTATTTTACAGAGAATACAAAATATTAAATCTATTAGACTTCACTAGCAAGAGAAAAAGAATGTCTGCCATTGTCCGAGATGAGGAAGGGCAGATTATTCTACTCTGTAAAGGCGCTGACAGGTTTGGCTGCGTAGATTCAAGCCAGTTCCATAGTGATCATCACTTCTTCTAAGCAAAACCTTATTTTATTTTTTTAATAAAATTACGCAGCATCATATTTGACCGGTTATCAAAGAAAGGAAAAGATTATCTGGGAGCTACTTCCAAGCACTTGAATGAATACGGTGAAGCAGGTTTACGCACATTGGCGCTTGGTTACAGAAAGCTGGATGAAACCGAGTATTCAGCATGGAACAGTGAATTTCACAAAGCCAAAACTTCAGTTGGAGCTGATAGAGACGAAATGCTCGAGAAGGTATCAGATATGATGGAGAAGGAATTGATCCTTGTTGGAGCTACTGCTGTGGAGGACAAACTGCAGAAAGGGGTATGAAGCATATAGTTCATTGTCATTACCAATTACCCAAGGTCGCCTGCTTTTAGCAAATCCCTTTCAGCTTACTGTTTGTTGTTCACTTCAGGTGCCTCAATGCATAGATAACCTTGCCCAAGCTGGTCTTAAGATATGGGTTTTGACAGGAGATAAGATGGAGACAGCAATAAACATAGGGTTTGTTCTTCTTTGTTGCTGATACCACAGACCCTGAAACTGAACTTTTTCCCTGAATAGATTAATTAAGTAGACTGAATGATTTGGTTGGCCAAATGCAGATACGCCTGCAGTTTACTTCGACAGGGTATGAAGCAGATATCCATTTCATTTACTAATGTGGAGGAATCATCACAAGACTCTGAAGCTGTATGTATTATGTCGATACTATTAAAAACCATACATTACTGTTTCGTAGAATCTTTCATGTGATAAACTCCTTAATGTTCAGGCTGCAAAGGAGAGCATTGTGATGCAGATCACAAATGCCTCACAGATGATCAAAATAGAAAAGGATCCACATGCAGCTTTTGCTTTGATCATTGATGGGAAGACACTTACATATGCTTTGAAGGATGATGTCAAGTATCAGTTTCTTGCACTTGCAGTTGACTGTGCTTCAGTAATATGCTGTCGTGTCTCTCCTAGACAGAAAGCACTTGTACGGAGAACTCCATAAGTCTTAAGCATTTTATTTTTCAGTGATTTGGAATTCCTTGAAGCACAATGCATCCACGAACATCACATGGACCATGTTGGTTTTCTCAGGTAACAAGGCTAGCTAAAGAAGGAACAGGGAAGACAACTTTAGCAATCGGTGATGGTGCAAATGATGTTGGAATGATTCAAGAAGCTGATATTGGGGTTGGCATCAGTGGCGTTGAAGGCATGCAGGTGCGTACAGTTGAGACACACTTAAGTTTCACCGTTTTTTTTGTTGAGAAAACTGATGTCTGCTTTTTGCAGGCTGTAATGGCAAGTGACTTCTCCATAGCCCAGTTTCGGTTTCTGGAGCGATTACTTGTTGTCCACGGACACTGGTGCTACAAAAGAATAGCCCAAATGGTAATATATGCTGCGTTGCAGTAATTGATATATCACTAGACAACATATAATATTATACCTGATGTTGATTGGTAATTGTTGTTCTCGTAGATCTGTTATTTCTTCTACAAGAACATAACGTTTGGCCTAACTCTATTCTACTTCGAAGCCTTTACCGGGTTTTCTGGTCAATCAATATACAACGACTCCTACTTATTACTCTTCAACGTTGTTCTCACTTCTCTCCCCGTCATCTCTCTCGGAGTTTTCGAACAAGATGTTCCGTCTGATGTCTGCTTACAGGTTAATATCCTCTGTCCATCATCTTCTCATCAAAACCAAACTTTTGTTCTTCAGTATTTTGATTCATCTGTTGGCCTTTTATTTTGTATGTTACTAGTTCCCTGCATTGTATCAACAAGGTCCCAAGAACCTATTCTTCGACTGGTACAGAATCCTCGGATGGATGGGTAATGGAGTTTACGCATCCATAGTAATCTTCACACTCAATCTCGGAATCTTTCATGTCCAATCATTCCGCTCTGATGGCCAAACCGCAGACATGAACGCGATGGGAACCGCCATGTTCACTTGCATCATTTGGGCAGTAAATGTTCAAATCGCTCTAACCATGAGCCACTTCACTTGGATCCAACACGTAATGATTTGGGGAAGCATAGGAGCTTGGTACATCTTCCTCGCCCTTTACGGTATGTTACCACCAAAACTCTCAGGTAACATCTTTCACATGCTCGTGGAGACGCTAGCGCCTGCACCGATCTTCTGGCTTACCTCACTACTGGTCATAGCCGCCACAACACTTCCTTACTTGTTTCACATCTCATACCAAAGATCAGTGAACCCTCTTGACCATCACATCATACAAGAGATCAAGCATTTCAGGATCGATTTGGAGGATGAGCGGATGTGGAAACGAGAGAAGTCCAAGGCTAGAGAGAAGACAAAGATTGGATTTACGGCTCGTGTCGATGCAAAGATCAGACAGCTGAGAGGGAAGCTTCAGAGGAAACATTCGGTGTTGAGTTTCATTAGTGGGACTTCGTCCAATGATACAAATTCAAACTCACAACAGACTTGACTGAGACCAAGTAAGTTTTGTTTTAACTCCTTATTGTTTTCGAAAATTGGATTGAATATAGATGAAAAAAAAGAATAGAGTTTTGTTTTCTAACTATTCATGTCGTTTATACAATTAGACAAAAGGTAGAAAAGAAAGAGGGGAATGTTGTATTTTGTGTTTGTGTGTGTGTATTCTCGTAATAATGAAAAGACGAAAGGAAAAGGAGATATGATTACTGATTTTAAAGACGTAAGTCAGGTCAGAGTTTCATAAACACACAGTAATCACATCTCTTTGTCAGGTTGTTTTAGTTTTAGTGGATTTGGGTCAAGTTTTGCGCTAACTCGGCAGAATTCGGCCCACGAATGTTTTGGGCACAAATTAAGTTTAGAAGTTCACGAAAAATTTAGGCCCAAAATATTTTTTAGCCCAAAACTGTTTGGGTCAACTTAACTTTTTCGAACCCATTTCTGTGTTTATCTCATTATCTGTTTCGGCCTAAATCAGTTAAAGCCCACGATTATACTTGGGTCCATATTATTGACAACCCACGACAGTATTGGGCCAAATTTATTTTCGTGAGCCCATTTCATGTTTATAAGATCGGTTTTGGCCCAAACAAATTTTAGCCCTCGCAATTTGGGCCATATTAATTATGGAGAGCCCAATTATGTGTTTTATCTTATGATCTGTTTCGGCCCAAATTAATTTAAGACCATCACTAAATTTAGGCCCAATTTACTTTTATAGCCCACGATTATTTTGATCCCAAACTACATTTTATAGCCCACGAAAACATTTGGGCCAACATTAAATTCATAACCCACAATTGTCTCGGGCCAGATTAATTTTGGCGATCCCATATCTGTGTATATCTCAAAATCTATTACGGCCATATATTGCCCAAGATTTAATTTGGGCCGAAATTAATCTCGACAACCCCATTTCATGAACTTTCGGCCTAAAACAATTTCAGGCCACGATTAAATTTGGGTCCATCTTATTTTCACAACCCACGAAAGTTTGGGCCAAAAAACTTTTTGGCGAGCCCATTGCGTGCTTCTAAGATCTGTTTCGGCCCAAATAATGTTTTGCCCATGAATAAGGTGGGGCCACAATTAATTTAACCCCCACGATTAGTGAGGGGAAATTTTGGCGGGCCCATTTATGGGTTTATCTCGAGTAAACTTGGGCCCAATTTACCTTTATAGCTCACGCTGTTTTGAGCCCAAATTATATTTTAAAGCTCACGACATTAATGAGCCGAATTTATTTTCGTGACCCCATTGCGTGTTTATAAGATCTGTTTCGGCCCAAATAAATTTTAGCCCCCGCAATTTGGGCCATATTAATAATGGCGAGCCAATTTCTGTGTTTTATCTTATGATCTGTTTCGGCCCAAATAAATTTAAGCTCATCACTAAATTTGGGTCCAATTTACTTTTATAGCCGACGATTATTTTGACCCCTAACTACATTTTATAGCCGACGAAAAAATTTGGGCCAACATTAAATTCATAATCCACAATTGTCTCTGGCCGAATCAATTTTGGCGAGCCCATATGTGTGTATATCTCAAGATCCGTTACGGCCATATTGCCCAAGATTAAACTTGGGCCGCAATTAATTTTTACAAACCCATTTCAAGAACTGTTTCGGCCTAAAACAATTTCATCCCACGATTAAATTTGGGTCCATATTATTTTCATAGCCCACGTCAGTTAGGGCCGAAGAATTTTTTGGCGAGCCCATTTCGTGCTTGTAAGATCTGTTTCGGCCCAAATAGTTTTTTGCCCATGAATAAGTTTGGGCCACAATTAATTTATAAAGCCACGATTACTGTGGGGAAATTTTGGCGAGCCCAAATTATCTCATGATCTTTTTCGGGCCTAAATATTTTCAGCGCATGAGTAAAATTTGGGCCCAAGTTACCTTTACAGCTCATGCTGTTTTAAGCCCAAAATATATTTAAAAGCCCAATTTGGGCCGATATTGAATTTATCGTCTACGATTGTTGTGGGCCCAATTAATTTTGGCTAGCCCTTTTCTGTGTTTCTCGTGATATGTTACGGCCATAAATTTGGGCCAAATTATTTTCATGGCCCACAACTGGTTTGAGCCCTAATTAAAGTTTATAGCCAACGATAGTTTGGGGCCATATTTAATTTGGCGAGTCCATTACGTGATAATAAATTTCAGCCCAACAATAAATTTGGACCAAACTGATTTTATGAAGCATGATCGTTTTGGGCGAAATTAATTTTGGCGAGACCATTTTGGAAGACTGCGCAATCACACAAGCGAAGAAATAAATATTGCAAGTGATTGAAAAGAAAAATGGTCAGAAGAGACATATGTTCGGATGAGGTATCGATGACTAAGAGAGAGAGAGAGAGAGAGAGAGAGAGAGAGAGAGAGAAAGAGAGAGAGAGAGAGATGGGTCAAAAATCAAATAAGAAACTTGCTAAACAAGTAACCTTTTCTTGTTCTCCGGCGAGCAACGGTGGCTTTCCTTTCTTCTTCTTCACAGCAGATCAGCGACGTTTGACGGGAGCTCCTCAACAACCACATTGTAGAACTTCTGAATATCAAAAAGCATCCTCTCATCATCACGAGTCACAAAGTTAATCGCCACACCTTTCCTCCCGAACCTTCCACTTCTTCCGATACGGTGAAGGTAATTCTCCGGCTGAGTTGGGAGATCGAAGTTGATGACCAGAGAGACTTGCTGCACATCAATACCACGAGCCAAGAGATCGGTTGTGATTAGAACACGGGAAGATCCAGACCTGAATTCTCTCATGATAATGTCTCTTGTGTTTTGGTCCATGTCTCCGTGAGTGGCTGACACTGTGTGGTCACGGCTTCTCATTTTGTCTGTGAGCCAGTCGACCTTGCGACGAGTGTTGACGAAGATGACACTCTGAGTGATGGCCAAAGTCTCGTACAGGTCACACAGAGTTTCGAGCTTCCACTCTTCCTTCTCTACGTTCACGTAGAACTGCTTGATACCTTCAAGTGTTAGCTCGTCACGCTTCACCAAGATTCTCACTGGCTTGCTCATGAATTTCCTTGTAATCTCGAGAGCTTCTGGAGGCATTGTCGCTGAGAATACTCCAACCTGAATCTTTGGTGGGAGAAGCTGGAATATGTCATAGATCTGCAAATTCACAAAATAAACAAGTAAATAATCAGAATTTAACAATAAAAGGAATATGTCTTTGGTAGGAGAAGCTGGAATATGTCAACAAACCTGATCCTTAAAACCACGGGAGAGCATTTCATCAGCTTCATCAAGAACAAACATCTTGATGCAGTCAGGGCGAAGAGATTGTCTCCGAAGCATATCAAACACACGACCAGGAGTTCCAACCACAACATGAACTCCAGCTTGGAGGATGCGCTGATCCTCACGGACGCTGGTTCCACCAACACAGGCATGGACCTTGACACCAAGGTAATCTCCAAGGGCACGCATGACCTTCTCAATCTGCTGAGCAAGCTCCCTGGTTGGAGCCAAGACCAGAGCCTGGCACTGGACAACGTTGAAGTCAAGCTGCTGCAAGACACCGGAGCAGAAAGTGGCGGTTTTTCCAGTACCAGACTGCGCCTGCTGGATCACATCAAGACCCTTACAAAAGGGCACGATTCCTCTTTGCTGAATAGCAGAAGGCTTTTCAAAACCTAGAAAAAACCAATCAATCCAGAGAGAAACGTGTGAGATCAAGTTAATGGTGATCGCAACAACAAAAAGATGTCATTAAGAGTTTTCTTCTTCACTTACCATAAGCATAGATACCCCTAAGAAGGTTCTCTTGCAAACCCATGGCATCAAAGCTCTCATGGACCTCATCGTATGTGGTGAAGAACTCATCTTGTCCCTCGAGTCTGTAGCAACCAAATAACAATAACATTAGCCAAATAATCAAATCACACGAGAGTAGAGAGAAATTAAATAAATCTTAGGACTTACACTTCATTCAGCCTCTGGTCAAACTGACGCGTATCAAATTGTGTACCTTCTGGTGCCGATCCTGCCATGACTAGAACAAAACACACAGACACACATAATTAAAAACTATAAATGTAAAAGACACCAAAACAGCGTAAAGATAATAAACAAAACATCTTTCGAATTGAGAAAACGAAGAATGTAACAGAATAGCCAAACTTGGAACTCCATAAAGAGAGGAATACAAGCATTAATATCTGAATATATACATGTCAGGAGAGCAATAGGTATATGGTTCATCCAACAACATAGATACCATTCAAATATCTATCTCTCCATGAAAGCATATAAAGTGCTGAAAAATCAAAGCTAACACTCTTTCAAAGAAAAAAAAACGAAGAATGTAACAGAATAGCCAAACTTTGAATTCCATAAAGAGAGGAACACAAGCATTAATATCTGAATATATATATGTCAGGAGAGCAATAGGCACATGGTTCATCCAAAATCATAGATACCATTCAAATATATTTCTCTCCATGAAAGTATATAACAACCTTAAGTGCTGAAAACTAACCAATTCGATGATTTAAGATGAAGTGAGATTTAATAATATCGAAACCCGTTATCATCGTCAAATTGAGATAAAATTAGGGATTCGAAGGGTTTCACACCACTAATTGATTCATAACGAAGTATAGATTTACAGATCAAACTGGAAATCTCTTAAAGCGAACAATAACAAATACGAGCCAAATCCATCGCAAAGAGATTAAATCAGAGAAGATCCAATCGTTCATCTAAATCAGAAACCAATCACAGAGAAGAGAAACAGATATTTCCGAACCTGGAGCTTGAGTTGAAGGAGAGAGATGAAAGCTTGAGAGCAAAAGTGAAGAGTTTCTTAGAGTGCTTGAAATCTACCGAACTCGGATCTGAACGAATGGGAGAGATAACGAGAAAGTGAGAGAGTGAAAAAAAATTTGAGGTAGAGAGAGAAACTGAATAAAGCGTGTTAACCGCATTATATAGTCCCCTTTTATTTCTGTGGCGTTAGGGTTTCCTCTCAGGCTTAGGATTTGTTCTTCTATTCAATTTAGTAATTTCCAATTTTACCCTAATTTTCCTTTCTACTTTTTCAATATGTCATTTAAATTTAGAAATATATCGTTATGGAGTTATTTTACACCTTATTAAAATGTTAAAATGGCCTTGAATCACACAATTGTAAACCGACACACACACACAAATAAATCAGTGTTGGTGGTTTGAAGTGGAAATATGGAATCAAACTTTTTTAACACAAGATTGGAAAAAACCAAATTTTCTTTTGGAAAGCTACTTTTGAGACTTTTATGACGTAACAAAGCATTCTCAAGACTCAAAGACACATCATCATTGTTCAGATGATTAAATGCTAAGCAACATTTTATGAACAGAACAGTGAACATTAGTTTTCGTCCCACTATAATCAGAAAAAACACATAATGGTTAGTATGTCCAATGAGTCACCTGCCTACTCTTTTGTCAAAGAACCGGTTCTTGAATATATATATCTAAACTGAACAAACCCAGAAAGTAAAGCTATTTACATGCTTTACCATCGTGTAAACACTAGTAAAAAAGCTCTTTACCATAAGACAATCTTTTCGCCAAGAGCACCTGCAAGAAACGAAGCAAAAGACAATGATGATGATGATTAGACGATGATGATGAATGAATGAAAGTGTCATGTAGGTTATTGAGGGGTTACACTGTTCATGGATATCTAAGCATAACTGAAGTATCAATTGGCTTTCTTCTGCCAACTTCTGCATTCGTTCTGCTTCTTTGACTGCCTCTACTGCTATGAAGTATTTCTTTTCTGCTTCTGCAAGTCGTGTTGCTACTACATCTGGTGATATTTCCAACACTTTGTTTCCTACGTCTGTGATCTTGTAGCGATTTCGTACCTGCAATTCCATATAATTTTCAAAATCAAATAATGTAGCAGGAGTTTAACATTAGGATGAACATGTCGAATTGATTCATCAAGAATCAACAGGTGTAGGTATGGAGATAAGGTAGACAAACTAGTTACCTTCTCGAGTTTTCCTTGAGAAACAAGGACTCTCAGGCTCTCAATCAGAAGCATCCTAAAGTTTTGAGGTACCTCGCATCGTTCCTGCAATTAATCAACCCCAAAGGAATAAGTTCCAGCTTGGATCCAGTGTTGTTCTCAATATTCTTGATGTTATGAGCATAGTGGATCGAATATAAACACGAGAGGAATCCAAAGCTTGAACTAGGATACAATAGAGAAGCCTAGAGAAGACAACATATTGCCAAGCAGCATTGATGATGTATGCTTAGAATCAAATGCTGAAGAACGAACAAGAAAAACCACACTAAGAAATGATTCCAACAGGCAGTTTGGTAATGTGGCATCCACTAAGAATCACTACATACATATACAACCTTAGAGGTTACAACTCACTGATCAGATATCTAAAATTTACATATCATCCACTGTAAGCAACACAGAGGTTCGAGCAAAGGTCACAATGAAACCCAGGGAAAGAAGTCTAGCAAGAAATTGAGATCACTGACTCATGGAATGTCATATATAAACAATGAAAGCAAAGACTTAGATATATATATATCCTCTTGACCTCGATAAAGCTGAGAATCCCACTGAGATCCGAGCCGTTTTCATCATTGATTGTTGATATAGCCTCAAAAACCATTGCATTACGCCTGACAACAAGGTAAAGAACAAATGCAACAAGCTGTAAGATAGAGTTAAACCCAGAGGACAACACAGAAATCACAGAACATTCCAAAAAAACGTCAGCACAAGCTGTAAGATAGAGTTAAACCTAGAGGACAATACAGAAATCACAGAACATTCCAATTTTAGAAGATTGATGCTGTAATTATATCCAAATGCAACAAACCTAGATTCATTGTTCATAGCGGATGAACTATTTGAAAAAGGTTCGTTGCTAGCAACAGGCGAAGTATTTGGAGAAATAGAAGCTGATTTGAGTGCTTGTGACTTTAATTTCTTCTCAATTAGACTCTCTCGATGTTTCATATTACGCCATTTATCCTTGGAATTGAAGACAAAAAAATTCGATCAACCACATAATTAAAAATCCCAAAATCGATTTCTAGAGAAGAAGACGAAAGGGGATTTTGAGAATTTCGACTACCTTGAGGTTAATGTTAGTGCGATCTACAAGGTGAGCCCTGAAAACGGGATCAGCTAAGATATCCGACCATTTTCCGACACCATGCTTAGCTATTCCGGCGTCAAGCGCCTCTTCTTCCTCCTTCGTCCATTTATTATTCTTCCGATGTCCTAGCGTCTCTAAACCCTTCGTCATCACTCTCGAATCAGATTCTCCTTCGCTCTTCACTATAACTACCTCTAGAAATACAGAACACACCCCGTACTTCTGAAACTCACTCAGTCTTCTTCTTCGTCGTCGTCGGAGAAGAAGAGACCTATTCCCTAAATAAATTCAGTATTTCCCGCTTTTCTACTTGTTTTATTTTTTTTCTGTCTCAAAATCGAGAAGCAATTAGTAATGTATGTAGTATTCAGAGGGGCCTATTATAAGATTTTAATGGCCCGTTAATAAAGCCCATTGTAAAACAAAATTAAATCGTAATATGATCAGGGCTGAAACTAATCTCTACCGTTTAATACGCTTCGTTATTATAAGGCCACCCCCACCAACACACTCGACTGGTCAAATGAAATCACATTTCTATAACTCAAAACCAAAAATTATCAAACAACCGGTTCTCGAATTCTACATAGAACTTGCTTTTGTACATGAGTTGCTTCAAGAAAATAGTATACGTTAAGGTAGCGAAAGATCAATACAAGATAAAACTCAATAAAGCTCTCTGTTAATAATTCGGTTTTTATGACAATGATCAGTCAATTGCATCTCACAGCTTCCTCATGAGAAGGAAGAGCCTCTGGTCGAGTTCGAAGTGAGAAATGTGAGCTGGATCTCCCTGAAGCAACATCAGAAGGCCGCCGAAAGAAACATATAGCTCTCTGGAAACACATAATTAGAAGAAAGAAACAAAAACATGACGGTTAAATCCGTTTGGGTAAACACTGAACTGATTTGATTCTGGAAGGTTCAGGTTTATGGAGATTCTTACGCTTTGGGAGTTTTGCCGTCACGCTCAGTGATCTTGTATAGCTTACCGTGCATGATGTATTCATACTTATCCGCAAGCGTTTTCTTTGCTCCCTGTAATACAATCGAGATGAAAACTAAATAAGCAATGTTCTTGGTTTTCGAGGTTAGATTTTCAAGATCCAACACACCAAAGCTTGTTCAAATTCACCCTTATTCCTATGCTTCCTGAACCAGTCTACGAAGCTGTTATGTTAAGCATTTAGCACTAACGGTTATATCCTAACATGCCGTAAACAAAATCCTAGTACGGGTTCCTCTGTATCAACCATTCATGAAACGTGGCGAAGCAAACACTAGTGTGTATATATATAAAGACAAAACAGATCAAAGAAAGAAAAAGCAGTAGACTTTTAATTACCGGAGTAAAATATCCGGTATCAGGGGTTCCATCGAGATTCAGTGTGGGAGCCATCGCCAGTGTGAACTTATCGCCAACGGCCATGGGATAAACCTCTGTGTTGACATCTAGATGCATAAACATTTCCAAGTTGTGGCTCCTTGCTTCAACACGCGTAACTGTAACCACAAATCACTGTAGATTAAGAGAAAGCCGAACAAAACTTGGGGAGGCTAAAAAGTTAAGAAGATATGATTTTCCCCCAATACCCACTTATTCAAACCAAGGAAATTGTGACGGACACAACAGAAGAACTCATGAGCAATAGAGAAACGAGACAGCTATGAACAAACGATGATTTAAGCCATAAGAAGCATTAGATAAAAGTCGTGATTGAGGTTAAAAAGTATACACCTTTATCGAACTTTTTGCCATCAGGGTCTAGCTTATCGACCACGAAGATATCCTCGAACAAGATAATATTGTTCGCCATCTGCAAACACTGAAATTCAAACACTAAATGATCTACCTTCATTCCTTGATTAAAAACCCCGATTCGACCAGTAAACAAGAGCTATAGGAACTTATCAGAAAGAAAAAAAAACAGTATTTCCGAACCTGGAGATTTAATCGAAGGAGAGGCGACGAAAGCTTGAGTGCAGAAGTGAAGGACGTCCTTTACGGAGCTTGAAATCAAACTGAAATTATATTTAGGGTTTTCCTCTCCTTAGAATTGTTCTTTTACTTTTGAAATTTCCAATCCTACCCCTACTGTCCCTCTTCCTTTACAGTTTTTCACCTCTTTACATTTTGCTAAATACTGTATCGTGGGATAACAAGAAACATTTGTTCCCAAGTTATTTCGGAAGTTATTTTACAACATAGAATACAAAATTTGTCAAAAGGACTATGAATCGAAATTGCATACTAACACACACACACACACACAAAAAAAAAGCTCAAATCTTAATGTTGTTTTTCAGGTGCAAATATGAAAAGTTGTTCCTCGAAGCCATACTAAATTAGTTTCTTTTAAAAAGCATATTCTTCCCTTCAAGTTTTGATGATTTATGACGTAGCAAAGCATTCGAAGTCTCACAAAGAAACATCATTTTTAAGGGGGAAAAAGAAATCTAAATGTTGTATGCTAGACACTTTTTTATCAACAAAACACTTCAGTTCTGTATAAAACCATACAGAACCGGATTTTGGTTAGTCAAACGAAATCACTTACCAACTTCTTACTCAATATCAAATATCAAAGTCTACGACTTTTATCTAAACTTACGATTGTGTAAATTACTGAAGCTCTCTCTATCGTAGAAGAACCTCTTCGCCAAGAGCACCTGCAAGAGACAAAGCAAAAGACAATGATGATGATGGTGATGGTGATAGATTGATGTGCAACGTCGGTTCTTGAGGTTACATTGTTCGTGGATTTCTAAGAATAACTGAAGCACGGTGTTGCTTTCTTCTTCCAGCTTCTGCATTTGTTGTGCTTTTTTTACTGCCTCTGCTGCTATAAAACTTTTGTAATCTGACTCCGCAAGTTTCGCTGCTACAACTTCTGGTGCTACTTCGAACATTTTTTTTTCCAACTCTGAGATCTTGTGGCGATTTAAATCCTGCATTTACAAGATTTTCTTATATATATCAAATAATAATATCTCGGATTCGACATTTACTATGCGCATGTCTAATTGATTCTTGTTATAATAGACGACGGGTCAATTAATAAACCTTTTTCAGTTTGCCTTGAGAAATGAGAATTGTCAGGATCTCTCTCGCAAACTCACTAAAGTTTTGAGGTTCTTCGAGCCATTCCTGCAATTGATCAACCACAGAGAACAAGTTCCAACTGGGATTGATCCAGTGTAATCATATCTTTTGATGTTATATACCGTAAACTGAATGATCCACATATAGTAAAGAGGAGTAAGATTACGTCGCTTTCTTCTACTTCTACTGCTGCATATATCCCTTATGTTTCTTTTGATGTTGCTGATACCAAATAATCTTTTGGACTCAGGTTTTGTGTTGGCTTCGCTGCTTTCGTGGTGGAGATTTTGTAGCGATTAAGTACCTGCATTTCAAATGATATAACTCAACTTTAAACATGTCCACTTGATTTTTATTTTGTAATGAACCAATAAATAAGGGTCTGGAGTAAAGTAGACGGGCTTACGAGAAACTGCTGATTAAGCATATAGTTACCTTTTCGAGTTTCTCTTGAGAAACAAGGAGTCTCAGGCTGTTACTCAACATCTTCCTGAAATTTTGTGGTACCTCGTATCGTTCCTGCAATTGATCAACCTCAAAGATGTTATGATATTGTGGATTTACAACTAGGATCCAATGTAATCACGTTCTCGATGTTATGATATTGTGGATTTCAAAGTAAATATGAGAGATATCCAAACGATTCTTTTCACAAGCTTGAGTTGAGCCACGACACAATAGAGAAACCACAGTAAGAACTATGTATGTATATCTAGAACCTTAGAGGTTACCAAGTGATTGTCAGCTAACTCTCTTAAATTTCCATATTTTCCGTTGTGATAAGAATGGCCTCACTTGAGAGCAAGCTACACAAAATCTAAAACTCAGTTCAGGTCAAAACTTAGCTTTTGTATAGAGATGGACTCATAAATGTCATGTATAAACCATGAAAACAAAGACTTAGATAGATATATAGATCCTCTTAACCTCGATAAAGCTGAGAATCCCACTGAGATTCGAGCCGTTTTCATCATTGATTGTTGATATAGCCTCAAAAACCATTGCATCACATATGAAAGGTAAAGGAGTTGGTGCGAAATAAATGTTAGATAGAGTTAAACCTAGAGAGAGCAATACAGAAATCAAAGAACATCCCAATTTAGGAAATTAGTGAATCTCCAAAATTGACAAACCTAAATTCATTGCTCATATCTGACGAACAAATTGGAGAAGGCTCGTTGCTAACAGGATGCGAAGTCCCTGGAGGGGAAATCGAGATGGCAGCTGATTTCAGTGCTTGTGCCTTTGAGTTCTCCTTAATTGGCCGCGCACGATTTTTCATATTACGCCATTTATCCTTCAAAGAGTAGAGAAGAAAACATAAAGCCAAAATTGAAGGCAAAAATTTCGATCAACCACATCACAAAACTCAAATCGATTTCCATGGAAGAACGACGAACGGGATTTTGGGAATTTCGATACCTTGAGGTCAACGTTAGTGCGATCCGGAAGTTGAGCGGCGAAATCGGGATCATTATACATATATTTCCATTTTCCGGCACCGTACTTGGCTATTCCAGCGAGAAGCACCTCTTCTTCCTCCTCCGTCCATTTATTCTTCCGTTGCCGTAACATCTCTAAACCCTTCAACCTTCGTCGTCGTCTCTTTCTCTCTCTCGAGTGAGATTCTCTCTCGCTCTTAAGTCCAACTACCTCTAGATATACATTTATAAACACTCGTACAGCTTCTGAAAAATTCAGTCGTCTTCGAAGATGAAGAGACTTATTTTCCCTCTATATTCCCTAATTCAGTATTTCCCGCTATCTAAAGTTGTTTTATTTTCTCTCTGAATAAGATCAATATTTGTGTGCATTTATGGCATTTATAGAAGGAAGGCCAAATTTTTTCAATGGGCGTACGTAGAGGCCCATCATGAAAGGTCAAATCTTAGTCAACTCTCGACATCTGATAAGTTTAATTAAAATGCCACAATCGCAATCTCTCATCATTTAGTAAAGTTGCAGTATTGAGCCAACACATGAGGTTCCAACAGTCCGTTGGTAATGGTATGCAAATGGTATCAGAATGTTTTGTAGTCATCGTGGTTGTGATAGACTTACATATATCTAGAACCAGATGTAGAAGTTACCGACTGATCAGTTAATGACTCAGTGTTAGAGAAACGAGTATAATGAAACCCAAGAAAAGAAATCTACACAAGAAATTGAGATAATTGACTCATGAATCCATGAAAATAAAGACTTAATATCAGAACTGTTTTCATCACAGATTACTGAAGATACAGCCTAACAAACCATTGCATTATACCTGAAAAACAAGGTAAAGGGAAAGGTGTCAGATAATCGTCAGCACAAAGCTGTTAAACCTAGAAAACAATACAGAAAAACCAAATAACATTCCAATTTAGAAGATCAATCAAACCAAAGAACATTCCAATTTAGAAGATTAATGCTGTAAAGAATCAAACCTAAATTCATTGCTCATATCTGACGAATCTATCTAGAGGATGCTCGTTGCTAGCAACAGGCGAAGTCTTTGCAGGGGGAAATGTGAATGGAGCTGGTTCGAGTTTCTGCATCTTTGATTTCTCCTTAATCATCATATTACGCCATTTATCCTTGAAATTGCGCGAGAAAGAGTAAACCACAAAACACAAATCCACATTTAAAAAAATAACTAAAAAAAAAATCAATCATCGGTATAATAAACCTCAACTCGACTCCCCGAAATAACCAAAAAAAAAAACAAAATCGATTTTCATGGAAGAAGACGAACGGTAATTGGGAAATTTCGATACCTTGAGGTCAATGTTAGTGCGATACAGAAGTTCAGACCTGAACTCGGGATCATCTAGAATATTCATCCACTTTCCGGCGCCGTGCTTGCATATTCCGGCCAGGAGCGCCCCTTCTTCTTCCGGCGTCCATCTATTCCTTCGAAGTTCTACCATCTCTCTCGAATCAAATTCCCCTTCGCTCTTAACTCTAGCCACCTCTAAATCTATGAGAATATGCAAAGAAAACACACTCGTACGCTTCAGAAAACCAGTCTTCTTCTCCGTCGTCTATGGTTACCAATAACCGGGAAAAAAACCCTAATTGAGACTTCCCGTTTTCCTACTTGTTTTTATTTTCTTCTAAATTAGTGAAAACGCAAGTCGAACTATATTTATAGCACTCAGAAGGCATAATCTAATGGGCCTACAATAAGCCCGACTCGCATAATCTGATCAAGATTGAAACATATCTCAATATGATTTGCAAAAACTTTCATTAAGAAAGCAACAACACATTTAAATCCTCAACATGCTATGCAGAAACTCTTCTTCAGAAAGATAGTAAACACTGTTCTTCTCATTTAGGACCAGAAACGTGAAAGATAGTAAACACTTATTTTCTCCTTTAGAAGTTTACAACCACAAACGTTTAACCTCCAAAACTAAACAGAAGTTTTATCTTATTCAACTTCAAAGAATCGGTCCTCAAATGCAACTACATTGAGCCAAACGACAAGGTAATGCTTTACCGCAGGACGATCTTCTCGCCTTTGACACCTGCAAGAAACGAAGCAAAAAACGAGTGAATATGATGATGATGATGCTGGTGCTGAATTGATGATGATGATGATGATGATGTGAGAGTTGGACATTACATCGGTGAACGAGTTCCCTCGCTAAGTCCAAAAGTAAGATGTTGTCATGTAAAATCTGGTCGGCTTCATCTGCAGCTTCGAATGCCTCTTTTGCTTGGAGATCTAGGTTTTCAGCCGCAGCGATAACTTTTGCATAGCCATCTGTTATCTTAGCCATCTCTTCCGATGAAAAAGAAGCGTTTGGTCGCTCTTGTGGCTTCGTGGAGTCTTGCGGATTCAAGGTTTGTGTTGGCTCTGTAGCTTCTGTAGCAGCAGCATCGATGATCTTGTAGCGGCCTTCTTCTACCTGCATTTACAAGTTTTTTTTCTTTTCTTTCAGAATTGATCACACAACATATCTCTCGAATCTGGCATTTAATGAGCAAGTTTTTAAATTATAGTTTCTTGTTAAATAAACAAACTAGTCACCTTCTCAATCTTTTCCAGAGTAACAAGTTTTTTCAGCTTGTTTTTCAACTGCCTCCTGAATTTTGGCGCTACCTTATACCTTTCCTGCAATTTAATAAACCACAAAGAACAAGTTTCAACCAGGATTCGATCCAATACGATAGAATGGGATCCAAACAACACTTTTCAAAGCTTGAATTAGATATAACAGAGAAACGCAGAGAAGAGAGCATGATGGTATTAAAGAACAATGGGAGGAATCAGCAAATCAAAGACTAAACAGGATTCTTAGAGGAAATCAATGGTATTCAAATGATATCTGAAATCGATTTTCAGATCCTAGAAGCTATTCATCGAATCATCTCAGATCAAACGCATGAATGTCATTTTAAACCATGAAAACGTCTACTTAGGGAGCGAGAGAGAGAGAGAGGTTCTCTTTAACCTTGATAGATTCGGAAATCACATCGATGTCAACACCATTTCCATCATCGATCGCTGATATAGCTCCAAGAACCAACTCAGAAAGCGTATACCTGAGAAAAGGGTAAAAAAATCTGTCAAATTATAGAGAGACAATACAGAGATCAAAGATCAATTCAAGCCGGAATCTAAAGTTCACAAACTCTGGGGAAATAGCGTGACTCGATCCAGAACTTGCAGTATCCATGGCCGCGGAAGAAGACTCTTCGCTGAAAATAGAAAGAAACTGCCATATTATTAAAGATCAAGCAACTGAAGCAGAGATTTGAGCATCGATCTTTCTTATTTTCCCCAAAATCGGCTTCGATCGAATCAAACTACGCCTTTTTCGACTTGGAATTGCGAAGGAGTGCAAATGTTTGATCGTTCGCGTAGATATCAATCGGTTTCCATGGAAGAATAATTTAAAGATTTTACTCGATATACCTTGAATTCCGGCTTGAAGAACTCGCCATGGCTATTATCCGACCTCGATAGATATGCGTATACACAGATATACACACTCGTATATATCCGCGTTTCAGAAAACCCAATCGCAGTCGTCGGAGAAGAAGAAGAAGAAGATACCGATTCTCTGTTTCCCGCTTTTATCTACTTCTAATTTCCCCAACTGCAAAATCGAAAATATATACCGTTTCGATTGGCCCGTTTCATGCCTCTTAAATCTTAATGGGCCTACAACCAGGCCGATTAGAAAAGTCAAAGTCAACTTTACTCACGACCGTACGATATTGGTTCGATGAATGAAAGCCACCTTCTCTTTTCTCTCTCACGGTCCCTCTCACCAGTCACTGGCTCGGATCACAGATTCTTGCTGTCTTTTGGTATATCAGAAACAAACCCAAAAGTAAAGTGAAATTAAATAAAAATAAAAACCCTAACAGTCGTCGAAATCAAAAGGTTTCTTCTTCCTCGGTTAGAACTAGAACCAAACCAAACACACACACACACAGAGGTGCGTCACGAAAAATCAGATCGGCTGAAGCAGTTCCGATCACTCACCAATGGCTTATACGTCACGTATCATCAATCATTCCAAGAAGGTAAAACTCTTTCTCGATTCCATTTTCTCCGATCATTTGATTTTCTTCACCGATCGTATGCACATTCGTTCGGTGTTGATGACGATTGTCTGAATTGGGTTTGACGTATTGCGTTTCTGCTTTCGAGATTCAGTTGAATTGTGGTTCATCTGATTTTTTTTTTTTTTTTTTTTGATGATTTGTGAATTCTATTTATATACTGCGAATGTGTTGCGTTAGCTAAATTGAAGAGCTTTATGATCTACCTGGAACAATTTTTGTGATGAATGTCTCAGCTTGAGATCTGTAACGCCACTTGGTGTTTGTGTATGTATCGACAGTTGAAGGATGTTTCCACTTTACTGCGGCGTGAGCATGCTGCAACAGTTCGCTACTTCTCCAACACTAATCGGGCTCCTCTAAACAGAGAAGGTAATGTTATCCTCGTACTTTTGTACGGTCCTATGGTTAGTATCTACGCTTGTCGCTTCAGCATGTTTTTGTTATGGTGTTTTCAGATACTTTGAATGCTCGTCTTGGTTATTCCCCAGTCGAGAGAACTTCCAAATGTAGCACCGCAACTGTAAGTCCTTACTGTTCTATGTAGCTTCTCATTGAGCCATGTTAACTAGTAGAAACGTATAACTTTTGTGTGGTCTTGATGTTGCTAATTATGTTATAAATAGGTACCGGTGTCTATTAGATTTTCATCTACGAAAACACTACTAAGCAGTACAATGGGAAGGCCAAGACTTGGACAAGAGTTTTCAAGGTTCAGTCTCTTACGCTTGCTCCATTAGCCTTGCTCTCTGGCTGCTTGTATTGATACGTTTTTGTCCTAACCATAAGCTTATGGTTTTCTTCATACCAGTTCGATGCAATCAGTTAGAGGATTTTCATCGAGTTCAGGTAGTCAACGATTCATCTCACTTTACTCTTGTAGTTTCCACTTTGCTCTAACATACATCTTCACCGAATCGAATTTAGCTAAGGTTAATCTGTTTTGCATTGCCATTCATCTGGTGTTACGTAGTGCTTTGAAATTGCGTAACTGGATGCTAAACTGTGTGAGCTGTTCAATTTACGTAGAATTTCTGAAAATGTGTTGCAGATCTGCCTCCTCACCAAGAAATCGGGATGCCTTCTCTCTCGCCAACAATGACTGAGGCATGACTTTTCGTTTACCTCTTGATCAAAACTTATGTCCGTTTATCTTTATGTTCTAATATGCTGTCTTTCCAATGCTCAGGGTAATATTGCCAGGTGGCTGAAAAAAGAAGGTGATAAAGTTGCTCCTGGTGAAGTACTCTGTGAAGTTGAAACTGTAATGTCTATTTAGATTGATTCTCATCTTCATATTTTTATTTTCACGCTGGGAAAATAGCTCTTAACGAAGCTATCATCTTTAGGATAAAGCAACTGTCGAAATGGAATGCATGGAAGAGGGCTATCTCGCCAAGATTGTAAAGGCGGAGGGGTCAAAAGAAATTCAAGTCGGGGAGGTATGGAAAATTTTCTGGTTTCTCTTGGGACCTTGGGTTATTATTTTGTGGAAATATGAACTCGAACTATTTAAATTATGTCAAATGTCTTTTGCCTTCAAGTAGGTAATTGCTATTACAGTTGAAGATGAAGAGGACATTGGAAAATTCAAAGATTACACCCCATCATCTACTGCTGATGCCGCTCCTCCTAAAGCAGAACCAGCTCCTCCTAAGGCAGAACCAGCTCCCCCCCCACCAAAGGAAGAGAAGGTCGAACAGCCATCATCGCCTCCTGAACCAAAGGCTTCCAAGCCTACCGCATCTCCCACAGGAGATCGTGTTTTTGCTAGTCCTCTTGCAAGAAAGTTGGCTGAAGATAAAAATGTTAGTATTCAAAATGTTCTAAAATACTGTTTTGTTTTTAAGCTTCATACTTAATTGATCTTCTCATTTCCCTTCAAAAAAAAACTTCAGGTGCCTCTCTCAAGCATCAAAGGCACAGGTCCTGAAGGACGGATAGTGAAGGCAGATATCGAGGATTACTTAGGTATTTGTAACTCCTTGGCTCTTCTTTTCCTTTGCTTTTTCTATCAGACCTTTCTTGCCTCTGTGTTAGAGTGTTTCACCCCTCCTTTTCTCCTAATACATCTTTCAATGGTGCAGCTTCAGGTGGTAAAGAAGCTACTGCGAAGCCATCTAAGTTCACTGATTCTAAGGTTCCAGCTTTGGACTATGTGGACATCCCTCATTCTCAGATACGAAAGGTATAACCTATATAACCCATGCGGGTTTTGTAAGCCAGTTTCAACAGGTTCAAGGATTCTGAAACCTCTCTTGACTGTATAATTTTGACAGGTGACAGCCTCACGTTTGGCATTCTCAAAGCAAACGATCCCTCACTATTACTTAACCGTCGATGCATGTGTTGACAAACTTATGGGGTAAGTATTAAGTTCCTGGTAATGTATTTTGAGTTGTTGTCAGTGAGTAAGCTAGACAAAACCAATTTGTATATGCAGTCTGAGGAGTCAGCTCAATTCATTCCAAGAGGCTTCTGGTGGGAAACGGATATCTGTCAATGATCTTGTTGTTAAGGTAATTCTTGCTTGCTTGCTTATACTTACAAGTTACAAGCAAGACGATGGATCTTTTGATGTATCTCATGTCTTCATGCGTTTCAGGCTGCTGCATTAGCTCTCAGAAAAGTTCCTCAGTGCAATAGTTCATGGACCGATGATTACATCAGGCAGTAAGTACATCAACGACAAACTCTTGAATATCACTGGCTTAGCAAACAACTTAACCTTTCTCTATAGGTTTAAAAACGTAAACATCAACGTCGCAGTGCAGACAGAAAATGGGCTCTATGTTCCTGTGGTGAAGGTGTGTGCAAAACAGCAATTTTTTAAACCTTTCACTGCTGCACAAACTTCAGATTGCTGATTAATATCAATTTCTTGATTCCAGGACGCAGACAAGAAAGGTCTGTCCACAATTGGAGAAGAAGTTCGGTTATTGGCTCAAAAGGCAAAAGAGAACAGCTTAAAGCCAGAAGATTATGAGGTGAGAGAACTCACTCACTCACTTAGATCACTAATTTTCTCTCTCTACAAATCAAATAATAATAATCTCGTTTGTCTCAGGGAGGAACATTTACGGTCTCTAACTTGGGAGGACCTTTTGGAATCAAGCAGTTCTGCGCAGTCGTTAATCCGCCTCAAGCCGCCATTCTAGCAGTTGGATCTGGTAAGCTCTCTCTGTTATTACAGAACAGAGTACGTTAGTATCTTCCCAAAGATCCAATAACCGATTCGTGTTATGTGTCTGAATCTTAATAAATAAATAAAACAGCTGAAAAGAGAGTTGTCCCTGGTAACGGTCCAGATCAATTCAACTTTGCTTCTTACATGCCTGTAACACTGAGCTGCGACCATCGCGTAGTAGACGGTAATTCGGATTTATCTATCATCATACATTCATCATCGTCAACTACATGAAACTGTTAAATAGAATAATATAAAAATATTCTGCTCTCTGCAGGAGCCATTGGAGCTGAATGGTTGAAAGCATTCAAAGGCTACATCGAGAACCCTGAATCTATGTTGCTCTAAAAGAGAAAGAACCACAGAATGACAAAACACATCAAAGCTTATAAGAGTCTCTGATACACTCTGTACCAATTTGATTTCTTTTGGTTTTATTCGTTGAAAATCTGTGTTTCTTTCTTGTTTTTTTTTTTTTTTTTTTGGGTTTAAAGAGATTTTGTTTCAAGGAATAAATAAATATTGGGGGATTTACCATTTCTACTGTAAACTTGAATTTTTAGTTTACCATTTCTACTGTAAACTTGAATATTGGGGGATTCATATCATATATTTACATTTTTAAAATAATGATCAACAAAAAAGAATAAAAAAATTAATTATACTAAACAATATATGTAATAAAGAAACAAAAACTATGATAAAGATTTTATAACAATTTATAAATAGAAAGAACAATACTATAATCTATAAATACAATTTTTTTTTATCAATGAATGTTATCTAAAACAAAAAGAGGTTATTTGGATTTTTGTGTAGGTTTATGGGAGGTTTGAAAATTGGAACCAATGTGGAACGTGGCTTTTCATCTATTCCTGATAATGTACTCTTCAAATGTTTTAAAATTGTGTCTGAATTTGAAAAATTTGAGCTTAATGTCTAAGCGATTAAGAGAAATTGTATTACTTTTTAATGATGGCCGCGTTTATTTTACACTAATTGACTGACATGTCAATTGAGCGAAAACAAATCAAAATAATAATTTTTTTCTGTGCCAAATTTCCCATAAATAGCTTGAGCTAAGTGGAGAAACAAATAAATAAATAATAAATGTAACAAAATTGAGAAGAACCCAAAAAAAAAAAGGTTTTCGCAACGAAAGCAAGAATCTCTCTTCCCGTAGGCCACGGTCCCGAATCTCTCAGGCAATATCTCTCTATCGTTCGCCGAACAACTTTTGCAATTTCTGGTAATTCCCCTCTCCTTTAATTTTTTATTCGGGGGAAAAAATCGTCCTTAGGGTTTTTGTTTGATTGCTTTCAGACTTGTAAGGGTTTTTTATGTTAATTCGTTGTTTCATCTACTCTTTTATATTGGATCATCTTAATTTGGAGAATCGGCGAATGTAGCTTTCCTGAATTTGGTTGCTGCTTTAGTAAATCTGTATTTGTATAAAAGGAGTCAGCTTTTGTCTTTCTTACATCAGGAATGTCTGGTAAATTTCTCAAAAACAAAAGAGTAAAAAAATCTCTACTCTTTCTGTCTCATGTTCATTGTTCAGGTTTCTTGGTGCCAGTGAGTTTAATCGGCGCCATGAATGAGAGTATGTTGAGGGTTTTTGTTTTTTTTTTTTTTTTAATATATCTCTCTCTCTCTGCTCTGTATGATTTGTTATTTGTTGAATAATCAAATCCCTTTGTGATAATGTTATGCAGATTTAGAGGAACAACAGAAAGGAAAGTACATTCTACTCCGTGATGGTGAGGACGACACTGAGTTAGGACTTTTCTATAAGCCTCTTCCTTGCTTTGGCTGTGGAATCGGATGGTTCTCGTGAGTGTTTCTTATTATACTCTCACTCTTTGTTATTGGATGTTGTTGTCTTCTTGCTGAAAGCAGATTCCTTTCTGTTAGGTTTCTTGTTGGATTCGTCTTCCCATTTGCGTGGTACTTTGCCACTTTTCTGTATTTCACAAACTATTACCGTAGAGATCCACGGGAAAGATCTGGTCTTGCTGCCTCTGCTATAGCTGTGAGTATCTCTTTCTCGAAACGGCATAACACAAATCAGCTTTAAAAAGATGAGGATTCGCCAACTTATCTGTGCTTGTGTTTTCGCAGGCTTTGATATTCACCGTTGCACTTGTGATCACCGTGCTTGTTCTCGTTTTCTCCGGTCGCTAGAGTGTGATTATTACACCTTGCGTATTCTTTTATGGGGTTTCAAAAGAAAACAACTTCAGGTCTGTTTCTTCTACAACTGGTGAAGAAGAGAATATCGGGATTCGAAGAGAAGCTACTGCTAGTCCCTTTTAGATTCAAAATTTGGTTTGTTCTTTGTACATGAGTGACAACTTCTATAAAAAGAAATTCGAAATGTGATACCTAACTCTTGGAAGAGATCTATATAGTTTCAGGCTTGTATGTTATTCTCAGTCGAGTCTTAAGCCAGACAACAGCTCTAATCAAGGTTAATGTCTGGTCAGTATCTTCCTTCTTCAAACTGTTTCTTGTTTATCTTCTTTCTCAGTGAATCTCAAGAAACAGAGAGAATCAGATTAGGATTTGTATTCATCATCGTTATCATTTCATAAGTCTGCACCTTGGAACATCTCACATCCATAGATTGCAGCAAGTATAAGCTTTTAAGCGACCATAAGAAATCAGATTCATCTTCAAAGAAGAAGCACATTTGGTGAATCATACAGAATTCAAGAGATTCCTGAAACAAAATTTTACATCCCGTATGAGTTTAAATGCTTGCAATTTTTTTCTCACTATTCTTCAATCTAATTAGCATTTACCAAATGACTTCAAACGAACGAAAGAAGTTTAGTCAAATCAAGAAATTGTTAGCATCTCAGTGAGTGTCTTTCATTCTGAGAAGCTGTCTTCTCTTAAAAACCAAGAAGGCAACAACAAAGACTTGCAACATTGTTACTAACCCAGCAAAGACTATTCCCACCGTCTTCCCTTTGTTTAATCCAACTCTCTTAGATTTCTCCGGAGACCCAAACCGCCGTGGCTCAGGAGGCGGTGGAAGGGATTCTGACTTCGGTTTCCGCTGTGGAGGAGGAGGCGAAGACAGAGGCTCTATTATCTCTCTGACTGGAGGCGGTGGTGGAGAAATGTCTGTAACATTGACAACAGGTGGTGGTGGCGGCGGCGGAGGAGGTGGTGGAGGAGGAGGTGGAGGAGGCGGTGGTGGCGGAGATTGTGTAAACAGAGGTGGTTCTTGTGATTTGACGAGGAGGAGACTGTGGATGGTGAATGATAGGGCGAGAATGGAAATGTGGAGGATCGAATATCTGAATACAAAATTCAGAAAACCCATTTTCACGAGATTTGAATCAAAACGTTTTCCTTTTCTTCGTCACCGCAAAACCAAATGTAGAGAGCATCTGTTAGAAAAGAGACAAGCTTTCTCTGTTTTCGATTTGACAGAGAGAAATCGAGGAAACGGCTGGAATCGGTAAGAATAAGACAAGTAACGAATCGTGAAATCTGGGTTTTTGTAACAAACTGAATTCGGAGGAATCAAGGTCGGAAAATTGACCTAAGAAAAGTTTGAGAGAGTCGGGGTAAATATTATTTCCCGGGAAAAATTCAGAGAGAAAATAACAGACTAAAGCTAAATATGGTTAGTAGTTTAATACTAAAGGTTAAAAAACTCATAAATAAAATTGTGTAATTCTTCTCTTTTAGTTGTGGAACATGCATATTAGAGAATATAATGCATGATAACAACTTGTTTTTGGTCAAACAATAACGATTAACTATCCAAATAAATCATACTGTAAATTTAAATCTTATCAGAAAAAAAAGACAACTTCCGTTGCTCCCGAAGAGATCCTACAAATGGTTCGACTATTTTTAGCCGTTTCCGTCAGCAACACTTGTTAGGCCTTCGACTTCTTTTTACTCAAATAACAAAAAAAAAAAAAAAAAAAAAATCCTCTTTCTTATCAGTTTTTTTCTTTCTTTAATTTAGTTTCCTTAATCAAACTTTAAATTCTGCCATGACAGAATTTTGAATGTTGGACCATGTATATATTTTTTTCAAATGTAGAAGCAAAGATCTATTATTTGATAAAATTTTCAGAGGAATATTATAAATATTCAACCAAAATTATAATTATTTTTATTTATTGGGAAACACAACAACAAAGAAATTCGGAACCAACAGGACTAACCATGCACAAACCAAGTGTTCCCCGTGGGAATTCAGGCGGTCCACATCGACTTTTACATTCATCGCTGAACAGGCACCGACCTCTGTAAACACATTCTTCATCTCCGATTTGTTCTGTCTTCAATACTATTAATTGCCAAACAAAAAAAAAATATTCAGCTACGATCATTAGTTTAATAATATACCTTTTCTTACGAAATTATGTATTGTTTTACAGAAAATGTTTGCCGATTTGTTCGTGGGTAATTTTTGTTTCATGAAAAATCTCATGTGTTATTGGAAACGTGTGTAGCAATATTTTCAAGAAGGAAAAAAAAATGAAATTTATATTTAACTAAAATATAGAGAAGAAGATGAATAAGAAAATATTTACTCTTTGATTGGATTGTAAATAGGAGAGAACATGTGATGAGAAGAAAGGTAGCAAGTTGAAATTTCGACAAAGCCATTTCGTTAAAATGATATAAAACTTCAATAATTAAGTCTTAAAAAAAGGAAGAACACACTTTATATATATATATATATAAGATTCAAATCTGTCTGTAATATGGAAATTATTTAACATGGTGGGATTTGGCAACAAAGTTATACGATGCAATAATCACAAGGATACAAATTAGAAAAACTCTCATAAAAAAATTTGATATGGTCAAATCCTTCGTAACCGATACGTGTTAGTGGCATCAAAGATTTTCTAATAGCATCCAAAATTATAATGAAACACAATCAAGAAAAACAAAATAAAGGAAACCAAACACCTAGAAGAATTATAAAGGCAAAAAATTCAAACTTCAAATATTATAGAAAGAAAATATAAGTTTTCTAAAAATTACTACATTACAAAATAATTTCTAATATACAACATGTTATAACAGACAAATCATTAAAAGAAAATACTATTTTAAGAAGATTATTTACGAATTTGAGCAAAAATACTTTACTATTTAGCTATCTTCTTCTCTAATTCCATTAGAAACCACAAGTACAAAAAAGCCAGTTTGAGATATGCAAAACTACTTGTCTACTCTCTACATCTGTTTGCTAATACAACATAACAACATCATTACATTTGCCCCAAAAAAAACAATATCATTACATGACTCGATTTCGAACGTCAAATTTACCTTTTTTAATGGAAATTGTATAAGTAAACAAAAACAAAACAAAGTAGGAGATTTCCATTATATTATTATTTAAGAATCAGATAATGACATTGGCAGGAAACTTCTTTTTTGGCATAACAATAATTTTTTCATGTGGATTTATTATTATTTTCTCCCAAATGTAGAAACAAAAATTATAATCAATTTTGGTTTATTTGGATGGAGTACAACAACAATCATATTCTGCACCATCAGGATCAGCCGCCATGCACAAACCACGTGTTCCCTTTGGAAAATGAGGCGGTCCACATCGTTTTTCACATTCAGCGCCGGACTGACAGCGACCTGTGAAAGTACATTCTATGACTTGGTCCGTCTTCAATTCCCAAAAGAAAAAAATTAATCAGTGATCATTATTTTAATATGGTATTTTTTTACGAAATTGTAGTATGATCCGGTGTATGTGGATTTATATATAGTTACATACAAGTTAAAGAAATTCCCATACAAAAGTAGATATGGTCAAATCTTCAAAATTGATATGTGTTAGTCGCGTCAAAGACTATTAGAAGAGAATACTATGTTTTATCTCGCGAATTTGGAAAAAATGAGTAAGTTGTTTGCAAAATTAATAGGTGTGTATTGGCCATTAGAAACACAAATTGGTACAAGCTGTTTTTTTTACTATTATATACATTACTTTTACTATTTTATATATGAAGCCAGATTGGTTACAGCTTTGGATTTGATTGGTAACACATGTAATTTTATATTTTTTTAGAAAAATATAACTGTAGATTTTTTTTTTGTTTTATCTGTAGATTTATAACTATAATATTATAAAATTTGCAAAGCTTAAAATTGTGTAATTTATATAAAAAAAAAGAATTTGTACAGCTAAATGTTAATTATGAAAAAAGAAATATTTTGGTTATGAGTCAAAAAAGAAAATTTAAAGTTTTTAAAATTTAATTGACATGATCTATATAGTTGTGCAATATATGTTGGTTATGTACAGATTGTAAAGCAATAACCATTCATCCTTAGGTTTAAATTTTTTATTATAGAATTAAAGCTGTAATTTTTGTTTTATTTTAGTTGTAGATTTTAATTTTGTAAAATTTTGTATTATAGTTTTTTAAAAAATTTGAAAGCCAAAATGCTTTATGGTCTGATTGGTAACAGTTGTTACTTCACGTTTTGGGCTGTACAATTTTAAAATTTAGAAAACATAAAATTATAATTTTTCAAAAACTGCTTTTTACAGCAAAAAAATGAAAAAAGAAATATTTGAACTGTAAATAAAGAAAAGGAAAGATAATACTTTTTAAAACTTGATTGGCATTATTTACATCTTTACATTTAATTTTTGACTATGTACAGATTTTAAAGCTACAACCAATCATCCCTTTAAATATTTTATATTGTACAGAAAAACAAGAGAAAAAAAAAGGAAAGTAAATGCGAGAAAATATACTGAATAAATTTCGTATAATGAAGAAAGTAATGACCTATTATGATTTGTGAAGGAATTGCAAAGTTTGGTGTGCATTCAGACGAAAACTTTGAGACAACAAGGAGCCGATAGTCGAACAACAATATCCTACTATGCTTTATGATTGAGCTATCCTCTTTTCTGATTCCGAAAAAAAAAAAAAAAAAACGTTTTGAGTTATGCAACTCTACTTTGTCTACATATGTTTGGTGATACAACATAACAACACCATTACATATCTCGATTTCGAACGACACAAATTTGCCCGTTTTAATAGAAATTGTACAAGTAAACAAAAACAAAGTAGGAGATTTCAATTTGTATCATATCAGAATCAGATAATTGCAGGCAAAAAAACTAAAACTCCTCTAAGTGCTTTTACTTAGTTTAACGAGGGGAGATTTGCAAGCGCATCTCTGGATTTTCTCAACAAGGACTTAGCTTCTTCACTCTTCTCGAGTTCAAGCAAAGAGATAACCTCAGCCTTGAAATCTACTTCCAACGGATGCATTGACGAGACTCTGCTATACAGCTCGATGAGCTCAAGCAGGCATTGCGAAGCAGCCACATGAACCTGACGATTTTTATCCATATTATGTCAAGAAACATTCAGTTTGTATTATACTAGAGTCAACAATCATTTTGGTTTTCTCAAATTACATTTCCTATAAACCAGAGAAGAACATTACCTGCGCTATCTTCACTGTGTTTATGCATTCCAGTAGTTTAGGAACCAGAGAGTGATATAACTGAAAAGCAAGCAGAATACGTAAAAATGCAGTCAAAATTATACACGAGTAGGTAAGGTTAACAATGTACATGTGATTATTTACCTCATGAACGAATTTTGTCGCATCACTAGGTGAAAGGCCATCCATAGAGTCATTCCATAGACTCTGAAACCTTGAACAAACCTTTCCCACGCATGATATTCCAGACATTTTTACTGCCCCAAGGAAAGTCAGATTCGTAGAAGGTAATAATACGTTTTCTGGAAAATAAAGTGAGAGAAGAAACCAGTACCATTCCATAGAAAACCGGGTGATAAGGAAATTAGAAGAACATGAATCAAATCTGCTTTCCGGCCCAGAATGTCATCTATGGCTGCCACTTGGATGCATGACTTGACGCATTCCATAATTTTTTCAAGTGGGACATGCCCGTCTTCTCCATTTTCTGATTCTGATAACAGAAGGTGGACGGACTATTTTAGATTACCGAGACAGTTTTTTGATGGCAAGTACCCAATAACGTAAAAGTGTTATCAATCAAAGTATACGAGTAGTGGGATTGTCCACTGGTCATGTAACAACCTGTTTTGACAGCATCGCTTGCTGATTGAACTTGGCCACTCGTTTTGACGGAGGCAGTGTTACACATCTCATATAACATTGGGAAAACGGTATTGAAAAACTCTGGATCTCCAAAAGCTATTATGACCTGATAACATAAAATCAGAATATTCAAAGATCCACTAGCCGATTAACAGTAGGTTTAAATATCATGAGCCATCTCTTCATTTTTGAATAACAAGCTGGCTTTACTTACTTTCTCTAGACAAGAAAAGGCTGACTCGCGATATTTCTTGGCTTTCTTTCTGCATGCAGAACTGATAAGACTCAAGATGATAGTGGGAGTTTTTGGATCCTCGTTACTTATTGCCTCGTGGCAAGAGACTGAAAGAGCACCAAGCGCATCCAAAAGAGCATCCTTTCCCTGCGAACACAAGTATATTGCTTTGAAAAACAAATGCTGAAAAGGCCATCCATAAGGAGAAGTAGATGCAGCTTTTAGTAGAGCAACGAAAATTTATCCTCTCAGATTGTCTGTTATATTATCTTATCTAACTTTTTTTATGAACCACCAAGGAAAAGAAAAATATATATAAGAAGGAAAGAAGTTGTCCTACCTCCCATAAACGTCCCGGAATTTCATTGACAAGGCATTGCAGCAATCTGGTGTGTTGCGGCGATAATGATTCACCCAAGACTTCACTTAGTTTGCAAATTGCCCTACCAGACTGAAACCAAGTTTAAATCTTTTGTGAGTACAACAGCGCCAACGCTAATATATAAGTTCATAGAAGAGAGAAAACTGGCACGAGAAAGATCATAAATTGCCTTCTTTTTGCTTGCCCACGAGGATGATGTAATGCTCTCGCATATAAGATTCACAATTTCTTGCAGAAACAACTGCAACGTGACCCTTTCACCACTTGTGATGTCTTCCCACACCTCCTCAAAGAGGCTTGAAATCTGTTTGTCATCCTCAAATCTGAAAATTATAATAACTGTAAGCATCTCAAATATTGGCAAATAGAAGAAAATAATTTTTATTCTATTAATGAAGTTCCCGCGTCTAGAATAATTAGGTAAAGGTTCAAAGATGATGATACAGAAAAATGTGTCAAATGTTTGCAAGAGAGAAAAGATACCATGTGGCACAAATTTTAAACTACTCTGAATCTTACTTGGGGGTGGTATTTGAACAAGGGAGTTATCATTTTACAGCTATAATTTCTTGATCTTACTTCAAGACTGATATCACTTATTATCAGGTTACAAGATCCTTGTGCAAAATATCTCAAATGCATCAGAGTATCAGACTCAGCAATATGCAGTTCCAATGGTTTACCTGGAAATAAATATAGCTGGAACAATAGCTGACTGATGACCGCTCATAATATCAGAAGCCGTAGATGAGAAGCTTTTGAAAAGACTCGCACATGCAATCTGGGAGCTTCTATCACCGGAGTGCAGAGCAGCAGTTTCTTCGATTAAGCTTTGCGCTTGAGAGGGGCTAGAATACTTCAATACAATGCCACAGGCACTCGAAAAGGCACGTTTTGCAGCAGAACTTCTCTCCTCCTTGGCAACAGGAAACAAAAGCCTTAGCAGCATTCCAGTGAACGGCTTTATCTCGGTACCAACTTTTTGAACTAGCAATGAGATAAAACTGGCAACACCAACCCTGTTCAGGAAAAATGAAAATTCCACAAGATATCAACATCTACAATTGAATGCATGAAATCTAATCAAAGAGACAAATCTCCTACACTACACTAAAACCAGCTAGACGAGCTCATGGAGGCAGTATGAGTTCATGAGGATGAACGAGAAGGTCTGGAATTAAGTCTTGAATGGTTAATTTAGACGAGTCCATTGAGACAGTTTGCCTTCGTTAAAATGGTCGAGAAGGTATGGAATTACGTCACATATTCAACTAATTGAATGTTTAAAGTTACTTAAGGCTACCTTATGTGAATTTAGTTCTCTCTCGGGAACTCTTTACAAGTCCGGAAAAAATACATATCCCTTGTTTAATTGCCTAAACCCCTTCTTGTATGTTTTTAGATGGCAGAGGCAGGACGCTGGTAAAAATGGTTTATCAGAATGACACCCGGATCCTATTGATATCCTACTTCTAAGATATATACTGTCAGACCAAATTCTCAGTAAAGATATCTACAGTAGCAAATACAATAGGCTGCACAGATAAAAATACCGGAATAGGAAAGGAAAGATAGAAAGGGGTAGACCAAATTTAAAATCTATTTCATTTTGTTTTTATCAATGTATAAGTTAGATGTGAGCCAAACAAAAGAAAATAATGGCAAACCAACAATCATTCACTACCAACAAGTTGTCCCACATAAAGATTGTAGAAGAATCATTTCTTTACTAATAGAAGGTTTTACATAACTGACCTTGTATTGAGGCCAACACTACCCCGAACAAGTTGAGTGAGACGAGGGATCAACTGATCAAGTGATTCCATATCTACTATATTAATACACAGATCAAGGGTTTCCCACATTGGAGAGCCTTTCGAGATTGAAATTCGTAAATTTTCAAGTTTCTCGGTTTCTATGCCAATATTAGCAGCATGCAACTGAAAAACGAAAAGATTATATTTAATACGCTGTCAGGAAAAATGCAAAAATTTAAATGGAGTTGCCGACATTAAATGATACCTCGACATAGTTAAGTCCTTGGTCTTCAAGACTAGACAAACTTTCTAACATACAGCAAACTAAGTCTGACAGATGTGGACGGAGGGCAACTCCTGCCCCCTGCAACCAAAGACAAACAGCAGAAATCATTTGTGAAGTACAGAAAATGCAATGGTATACAATTCAAATTTGACTAATTACTTCATGTTTGGAGTCAAACTGAAAGAACACATAACACATGAGAAAAGTCCAAAATGCTCGTTTATATTACTAACATCCACCCTATATCTGTCCTCCCAACCAAAAGCATTAAAAACGGACAACACGGGTTTAGTTTCTGGTATCTGGGTTTACTGATTACCCAACTGTATTGAAATAATATAAAAAAAAATATACTACTATTAATGTCACAGGAATATCTCAAAGACAAAAGGCATGATATGGAACTATGCTATTGCCAACAGAAAGATATATGAGCACAACTCTCTTAGATCATCAATCTACCAAAGTTAGGGCTAACCTTTGCAAGCTTCATAACAACTCCAATTGAAGCCTTACGTACACTGCTGACTTTACTCATTATTCCTTCTGAAAGCAAAAGAGGAAGAACAATATCCATTGCTTGTCTTGCATCTGATAGTTCGGTGAGCGTCACATCACAAATCCTTATCGTTAAGGATGTCACGGCACGGCATAACTTATCACCAGCATTTCTCACAGTCTCTTTGATGTCATCCATAGCACGGAAAGCAGCTATCCATAGTCTTTTCAAATGCTCCCCAACCTTTAATAACAAGAGTGCGTGAAAAAATAATACCACTAAGAAAGCTCAACATTCTAACTTCATACATTCAGAAGAATTATGCAGAGCCAAAACAAGGGGAAGTTTCATTTTAACTGCCTAATAGAAAACGAAAATCTCACCTGGTCAAATTTCCGACCTTGAAGAATATCAGCAAGGGCAAGACACGATGCCTCACGGGAGCGCCAAAGCCGTGAACCACATTGTGCTAGCAGATCATCAAAGATGTGATTCAAATGTTCATCAACAGCTTTCTTAGGGTCTTGTATCAGTGCTTTCCAAATGTGTGCCATCGCATCCTACCAAGATTACATGAAAAGTAGCAGTTATAAAAGAAGCAAACAAACGCACCCCTATGGCCATATTTTATGAGGAGATGAACCACCAGGCAGGAGTAAGTGATATCACTTATACAGCTATACTTTTAGTGGTAAAGCAACTTTTATTTACTTTCGTATATAAACAGTAAGACTTAATTCAACAAAATAAAAAGAATGTCGCATATACAGGACCAAAGTGATTCTTGCAGCTTGTAGAACAGCAACAGCTAAATATTTCTCGTGTAAAAATTGAACAAGCTACTAATAATACAGCAAAGAAAAGATGCTTCCAAATGCTAGAAATGGTGCTACTCCGTTCAACTTAAACAAGCCAATTTTCAGTCGTTAGACTAATGATGAATAGAAAGCTTGGATACGATGAGATATCATCAGTATGCAAAACAAATTAAAGAAAAATAACATTATGAGCATTTCGGGATGAATAGGGCCACTGATTGAATGACCCCCACAAATACAAGGTCAATATTCTGGAAACGTAGTAATCTAACCTGCACGTTTTTGTCAGGATCATATTGGTATCGAATCAATCTCGGAATCAACAATCGCAAATGTGGTCGAAGAGCATCTCCTGCTTGTTTGGCTATCTTGGAGAACCCAAAAGCAGCTCCTCTCTTTGAATTAAGAGATGCTTGGTGATTGGCTAAATCCATAAATTTGTAAATCAAATCTGGTTGCCCCATTTCATTTGCAAGGTTGCAAAGCTCCTTGTACGTGCTAATTTTCCCTCCACTGGGACTCTCGCCGATAGTTCCCTCTTGAAACACTTCAGTCTCTTCATCAAGCTGAATAACAAAATACTTGAGGACCAAATACAAAACCTGGAGTACCAGAAGGAAGGGCCTAGATGAATATATTTTACCTTTATAGCTCGTTTTCTCTTGCTTGTGCCAGTTAGAGTATTAACCAGAGCATCTACCAGACTTTTCTTCATTGATGCATCACCGAGTTCATAGACAATGCTCATGCCCTGGGATGCCAGCTCCTGTGTAAGTTCATTCTGGTCACCTAACAAATGTGAGAACGCCTCCTGCAAGAAATATTTCCGTTAAAAAACATATTGTACAAGCTTCTAACTGGCAGAAAAAAAAAATGAAGCAAAAGATTATCACAGGGGTTTTATGTTACAATAGTAATGGGGATAATGGTACCAGGCTACAAATGGGTAATGCATCTAAATAAACTGGATTGAGAAGGCTTGCATCTAAATAAACTGAAATAACAAGGCTTATAAATTTTTTTGTAGTTGTGAAGGTACAGGGCAGGTGACACAGGCTCATGTGTGCAGTAAAACAAGAAGGTTATAACTGCAAAAAAACTTCCGGGGGCGGGCTGCTTGCTAACCTGAATTTTAGGAAGCATTAGTTGGATTGATGGATCTTGGCCACAGTACATGATCAAAGACAGTATCCATACAGTTCCAGCACATCGTTCATCCTTCCTGCTACTGTACAAAAGAGTATCAAAGAGTTTACCGGAAATTGTTTCTCTGGTTATGACACGGCTATCTTTAACACCAGCTTTGTCATCAGACAATTTTTTTGACAAAGATTTAACTTCTCGCATCAGAAAATTTGAGTCCGTCGAAAGAGATGTATAATTAGTTTTCAGAATCAGATCAGCAGTAACTGGTACACCACCCCAGAGGAAAGATAACGCCTCACCGGCGGCAAACAAAATTTCTTCAGCCTGGCCAACAGCAAATGTAATTTTCTTTTAGGTTTGTTCAATTCTACTTGAATCAAATAAGAAGGAGAGAGGGCAGTGGCTAATAAACCCACCTTTAACCGTGAAAGGCTGAATAAAAGATCAAGCGCAATTTTCAAGTGTGAAGGTGACATTTCATTTGAACAGATATGTCCAAGAGAAAGAGCAATTTTCTGAACTGATTTTATATCATCACCAGAGAGTAGCTTGCTCAATCTTTCTTGCAGAACTTCCAGCACTCGAGTCCCTGATAAAGCAAGTCAATTAACTGAAAACTCGCATACAAGTTACAGACAGGCTCTTGGCATAAACTGACCCGGACTAGAATCATTGTCAAGAAGAGGTAATGCGCCACAGATTCCAATATGACCCAGAGCTTCCATAGCCACAGAAGCCAGCGGTGCAGTCTCCAAGTTAACAACATCCACCAGACATTTAACCGCCTTTTGAGTAACTGCTTCAGAAACCTGCTTCGAGGAAATTCCTTATCATGATACTATAAAATATTTAAAATATGTAGCCACTTCAAAAACAAATGTTAAGACGTGTGAAGCGTAACGCATAAGATTTAGCCATTGATTGGTGTCAATAATTGTAGACAGGCTAGTACAGAGTATCAATAAATACTACACTGGACACAGATTCACTAAAGAGATCTGAAGGTGACAAATCAGACTTCTGCATTAGCTATTTTATTCATCTCAAGCAAATGTTGACGAGTGGACACGAAGAGAACAAATGAGGAAAAAAAGGAACAGCACAATATTAAGTTTTTTAGTAAACTCAAAGGCAAGAAATGCCAGAGGGAAAATTGTATTCACATTGCAAGAATTGCCAGCGGGAGGAGTAGTATACTCACCAGAATCACCAAGCAATGTCAATGCATTATTTACTTTCCTTTTCCGAACAGCGAATACTGTTAAGTTCCTTTGCCAAAGGCTTATTATACTATGTCAAGCAAGCTACCTCGCAAATCGAAAAGGTTCCTAACCGAATTTCGATGTTACTATTAAATCTGTGTCATAGCATGTTCACGCAAATGTATCTGGATATTATACCCACAAGCTAATTAAAGTGCAATACAAAAGAGACATACAGATTTGAGATTCCTAGTGTCATCATCATTCAACAGCAATCATATAAGTGAGTATAAGAAAGTCACAATTACTTACAGCGGGCATTCTATATAAACAGTGTGCTGAAACATATCCTACAGAGCATAATCCCCCATGGTGTGCCTCGAACCTAAGAAAATAAAAGGTTAGAGCTAAGAGATTTCTAGTTCCAGAAGCCACAAGCCATGTTGCAATACAGATTCTAGAAGAAGTGAACAACACCTTAACTTCTGCGTCGGTTGGGAAATAGAAGCTATCAATTCAGAAAGCAAGGAACATGATTCGGCATCAGAAAGAGCACAGGATGCCATTCCGAGTAAACGCGATGCAGATTCACGAGTACTTAAGTCTGTATGACTAAGCAGACGCCTTAGCCACACAATTTTTTTAGAACAGTAAACTTCAACCATCTTCATGCAAAGAAAAAAAACGGAAGATGGAGGGTTAACTTATATATGCCTGAACTGCAAAAAAGGATGAAATTGAAAAGATAAAGAAATAATCAGAAAGCAGACCTCCGGAAGGTAAGAGCCAACTGAAATCAATGCTTTGGAAGCACAAGCATGCAATTCAGCGGAGCCTTCGAATGCAAGGGAATGTTCCAACAACAAACACAACCTTTGCGCCGAATACAAAAGGTCAGTTCCTACTGCCTGGGTATTGATCTCCTCCATCTGTAACTCAAAACACTTCACTAAGAACTTAATCATGACCACATATACTTGCGACGGAAAGAGAAGCTTCTGGCCTCTCATTTCTGAAGAATCTAATAGTTTTGGCTGTTGCTTGAGAATGTACTCCAGCATCTCAACAAATTTCGGGTATTTATGATCATGATTAGAGACTATACTGCGAGCTTCTTCCTTTAGAAAGAGTCCTTCGAGTGCTAGTTCCCTGTAGTAGAAAAATGTAATAATACACATCAGTTCCATAAATAGCAAGAACACGAAACGAATGAAGCATTGAAGATTATGTCAAGATGGATCCACGGAAGAGGATTTGTTAAGTATGAAAGTCATTTTGTCTTATCACACAAATTCTGGTAGTCCGTCAAGTGTCTAATTTTATGGTATATCGAACTCACAAATTTACTACAAGATCAGACTAGAAGATTTTATACCCTCCACTGCTCCAGATCCCACAATTCAACATGCCACAATCAGAACAATACGCAATGAGATAAGATAAACTCCAGTACCTTATATCTAGCTTCGGATCTGCTGCGCTGAGCATGCAAATGTACAGAGTTGGACAATGTTGTGAATTATATAAAGAAGTTGCCCATCGCAAAGCACAAAAGCGTGCTTCATTTTGTTCCTGGTCAATATAAACCAAGAAGATACTAGAATTTATAAACTCGAGAAAACATGGTAACACATTATCTTGAAATAATATAAAAACAGAGGGAAAACAATATATTCTCGAACGCAGTGGCGCAAAGAAGTGAAATAAATCATATCTGGAAAGTATACATACCGCCAGAGAATTTGCTAACAGAAGCGCCTCCAAATCCCTGAGAATATTCTCCGGGGACTCCTAAAGTGATGAATACCAATACTGACATGGTGAGCCTCCAAAAGAATGCATAATAGAATATGATATCATAGCATAACCTTTTGGAGCACGAGGACCATAATAGAAAGGAAATGATTAATATTTAATATAACGTTACCTTGTATGCAGCAGCAAGAGATATGATTGCCTCCTGGATAGTTGAACGAAGAGATTGGGTTTCTAACTTCAGCGCGTCAAAAAGACGAACAGCCATTTCAGTCTTTTCTCTGAACGTTAAGTCCACAACAAACAAAATATCTGTTAAATGACAGCAAAACAAATGTAGGGCAGTAGAGAGAAGTTCTTACCTAAAAAGCTGAGGCAAACGTTGTGCAATCAAACCAATAGCTTGAAAAGAAAATGTTTTCGTCTCCCTTGATAGAGCATCTGAAGGAAAGCATGTAATATGTATACTTAAATCCTCTTTTGAACACCTGAATAAGAAAACTTGGGACTATTTTTTCTAAAAAGCTGACCTGCTTCTGAGCCTGTGAAACCATCAAGCATTTTCATAATAGCACTCAGTATAACAGGGCCCATAAGTTTCAATTGATCTATCTTCCCCTGCATTTTAAACAAATCCAATGACATAAGAAAGACTCGAAACCCAAAAATGAAAGAGAGAAAGGGACATTTAACACTGAGTTGAGCAAAAGATATTTGGAAATCCAATGAATGCTTCACAAAAAGAATGAACTGATGTTTGCATTCATAATCTAAGCTAGTACACAAAAGTCAAAACAAACATAACAGCAAGGCTGAAGTACAGAAAAGAAAGACTTTACATGCTTAAAAACCCAAACGGTGAACTCCATTCCCATTCGCTTTAACCTTAAGGTCGTTCCACTTCCTGTCCCATGAAAACAAGGTAGATAGCGAAAATATTCAATAATCAACATGAAAAAACAAATGAAGAACCATATTTATAGGGAACAGGCACCAAGTGATTAAAGAATTCCCTGATCAATAATAAATGAATCCTCTTAAAAGAGAAACTAGCGTCAGGAACAAGCCAAATCATTCTTCTTCCAATTGTCAAAACACAGATCATTAACTTTTTCTTACAAGCTTGTAGTGTCTGTGGTGCAACCTGTTTGTTTGTATTCGATTGACTACATAAAACTATTTATGAACAAACCATCTATACATTATCTAACTAAATAGACATACATACAGACCATGGGCACAGAAAAAGTTCACCACTATACAGACTCGGTTTCAAAATTATGTTATATATATTAAACGACATACCATACATGCAGCCAAATATGCACTGCAATGTCGCAGGAAAACTATTTGCAGCTGCGATAGAACGACAGAATGCAGACATGAGCTTCACTTTCAAGGCTGTGTTTCCTGGAGCTACATTATGTTCTGGAGCAACATTTGCAGTTGCAGTACTGCCTGCATTATACATATCAAATTGTTGACTGCCAATTTAGCAATTAGATTGGGAAAATTTGCAATAGATTGGAAACCCTCAACACTCCAGATCTCCCAAAATATATACGAATATGTATTACATTAGATTGGGATAATTTGCAATAGAGTCTATATACTCAAGGTGCAATAGAGTCTACATACTCAAGGATGAGCCCTAATCATGTCATCTACGAGTAGCAGAAGAAAACTTAATTTTAATTGTTTAACCTTGCAGTAGACATAGACCTGGTCGTGCATGCTAGAATTAGATTGAATAATATCACTTTTACGCTTTCCTATAACATAAATGATTTGAATGTCCAAAAAAACTAATCAAAATGTTGGAAAAAAGGATCACGTACCATTGAATAATAGGAACAGCTTGTTTATCAACTTGGGATCATCCAAATTTGTTCCAGAAGCCTTCTTTTTTAGAAGCTCCTCTCCTCTCTTAGCTACAGGTTCTTGACTTGAATGCATATCAACCAACAAATTCATACCAACTCTCAGAGACATGAATAGTAGAAATGAAGTCCAACAAGGGCAGTGATTAAAAAAAGTATTTTATGTCAGGCGGCAAAAAGACAAAGCGTACCTATCCACTGATGCAGCAATGTACAATGGATATACGGATTCACCAGGCAGGTCCATGGTTCCAATGACATTCAAGATCCCCAGCTGCTTAATGAATTGATCGATTTATTAAATAGAAAATAGTCCATAGTGACCAATGTATAGCTGCTTGGCAGCAATAGAAAGAGATAAATTTGAAACAGACCTTTCTTTTCGTAAGCATGTCCCCTTTCAATGCTTGCTTTCCCATGATACGATTAACTTGAAAAACTGAAAGCCCAGGAGGAGATCCTCCTCTGAATAAGAAGGTCGAGCCCTTATTAGATGCGGATATAACTGGTATAACAAAAGATGGTCGAAAAACAATGGAAATGGATTTCATACCCTTGAGGAGGTGGTTGATACAAAAGCATATGAAGGCAAAAATCCAGAAACAATTCTTTATCCTGAGATGCACTCAGAGATCTATACTTTACAGATACATCATCACTGATCTGGCTTGCATGACACCCTCCAATAACCTGAAAACAAACCAGTTGGAATTTGAGGATACTGAAAGGCCAATTACTGGGTTGAGTGCAATTAGACTTTCCCAAATGGCCATCTATCCAGGTGATACCACCAATTCAGCTGCCAATAGTCTTCCCCTACGTTTCAGTTTTTATAACACTCTAGGAATCACCTGATATTGTTCCCCGCATAAAACTTTTAGGACTACCACTATATGCAGCACTAAACACTATAAATGATAGAAACCCATTAAACAGAGAAAAAAAAATGCAAAAGGAAGTGCCACTATAAACAACACAAAGACAAAATAAAGCAGACATATTGTCTCTGTCAATCTAAGTAATGCATAAAAAAATTGCATAAAATAGATTATCCAATTTCACAGTAAAGGAAGGACTGAGAGACCACCTTAATGGCAATTCTCAAAACAATCTCTTGGTGCTGCTGAGGAAGCTTTGAAACATTCTCCAGTGTCTTAGGTGCAATATCCTCCCTTTCCTATAGAAAGAAACAAGAAGCAGTCCTCTAATTTGGTTAGCAATATTTCTACTATCGACAAGCATATGCAAATTCCAACAACGTGATGATCGAAAAAAATAAGATGACCAAACCTTTGCAGGAGCTCGTTCAAAAGCCATCTCAATATACACGATCGCAAAATTCCTAACCATGGGAGCAGCAGCAGGGTCGGTGTACAATTTCCATAAGTCCAACAACGGCAAACCAATTTCATGCTGGTGCTTCACTCTCTTGTTAACATGACTCAATATCTCAAGAACCTGCCAAAACAAAAGGTAAATCAACAAACATTGAGACTGGGCTTCACGATTTCCTATAAACTTCCCACCTCAATTTCTATATAACACTTAGAGTAGGATTAATCTGACACATATATCTTGCTCGTACGATTTGAAATCAACAAATAGTAAATTCAGTCGAAGAGGAAATTCTCGTAGGCGGGGACTTGCCTTGTTGCGAACAGCGGGGGATTGGGAGGAGAGAGATGATATGGTAAGGGGAAGGAGCTTCGAGACAAGGGCTTCGAGCTTGGAGTCGTCGCAGAGGGCGAGCCTAGTCAGCATCCGATCGAGCATTTCCTCCAACTCGCCGTCCGATTTGGACATCAATGATGGCGACGACGAAGACGATGAACCCTCCATATCTATTTTTCCCGAGTTTTCTTTTTATGTTTCTGAATCTTTGCTTCGTTTTCAATTTGTTTGCTTCTTCCTGAGTTCTTCTCTTCTTATGCGTTTCCTCAGTCTTCCGTCGTGGCGGAGAAGAGAACTATGAGTGTTATAAAACGGCGTCGCATGAGCAGGCTTCTCTTATGCATATTAATGGGCCAAAGTCACAAAGTAAAGTGGCCCAATATCTAATTAACCAAATCGCTCTCGCCCAAGGGCAAAATCGTTCAATTTCCAAATCACTTTCCCAACCCATGAATAAAAAGCCAATTTCTTATCATTCTAAAAAGTTTACCCGTTTCATTATTTTTGTTATCCATTGAGAAAAAGATGTTGTATGACATTTTGGCAATGTCACAACTTACAACATCATCTCTTAGCTAAATGAATGTCGCACTCAAAAGTAAACTGCTTTTTATTGGTTTTGGTGAGGAAGAAGGAAAATAACTTATCTCTATTTCTTGATTTTGAATCTCAACACGAGCCCAAGACGAGATTAAAGTCTGATTTTTTGAATTTTGATATGGTCTTTATGTACATGTATATCAATTCCATTGCTAGATTATGTACATCAACTTTATTCTGAAAGGTCATCTTTCCAACAAAGCAAGCATCTAGCGCGACCCTGAAACAAGAAAAAGACTTTAATGGTTATGCTCATATACGCTTCACTCATCATCAGTTATGTAAAGATGCCAATTAGATATTGGTTAATGTTTTAAGCTGTGAAGTTCAAAGAGAGAAGACATGGCATCAAAAGTTTTGTCGCTTCATAGAAACTCGAAGAAGACAGAGCAGCAAAAGAATGGGCTTACCCGGCTTGAGAACACCGTGGTATTCTCGTCGTCGGCTTTAGCCCCATGCCATTGAAAAAGCATAGTTAACCACCAGTTTACCGTCAAAGCCAAAGTTCTGCAAATACATACCAAACCAGCACCATGTAAGGCAATTCAAAAGGGTTATCTGTAGAGACACAAATTGGTGACAAACTCAAAACTCTTACACTGTATAGATCGTTTACTGATTCATCAGGGTTTGGCGAGAAAGCACTGTTCACATAGACAAACTTAACAAGCAAATAAAATGGCAGACTGATTATTATCGCATTCCAAAGCCTGACTTTTTAAAGAAGAAGAGGAAGCTGTGTTTTTTTTACCAATGAGTCCGAATGAAGTTGTCTTCGTAAAAAGTCGATCACTTTAGCAAATTTATCAGTCCCCGGAATCTGTTACACGCGATTCCAGAACATTCATTCACAACGCAAAGCGATCAAAAATGCACTTTTTAAGCAGATTTTACCAAACATCAACGCCCAAAAATTCATCAACTCAAAGCCAGACTTAAATAAATTGATCAAGAAAATTCCGAAATGAGAAGATCGCTCTCCGGAAGAATCGATCAAACAAACCATAAAATCCCTAAATTGAGTGGAAGGTGACAGAATTAATACCTTGAATTTAGACTGTTTGAGTATAGGAGCACCTCCAGTAGCTCTTAGATGAACAACGACTGTCACAGAAACAGAAACCCTATAAATTATCAAAATCAAATTCCTACGAGAAATCATCAAAAATCTCAAATTTATATTTAAAAAAAAAAACTCCCTCTGTCAAATCAACGAATTAAAATCGATCGCTTCATCGATAGATTCAATCAAACGAAATTTTGAGTTCCATGGATAAATCAAAGACTCACCTTTCCGAACAGAGCTCGGGGACTCTGTCGCCATTGATGGGTTCGTAAAGATACCTGAAGAAGTCGTTACTCTTTTTTTTTCCTCTATTTTAGAGAAAAATATAGGATTATATTTTGGGCTTTTAATGGGCTTTGTGTGAATTAGCTGTGAAACAATTTGCAAAGGATTTTTTTTTTGGTCGTCAATTTGCAAAGGATTATGTAATAAATATGAAATAAACGGTAAGCAAACACTACAATATCAAATCAACTTCTAATTAACCGTAAATACTTTATTCTAAAGACATTTTAATCAAATGTGTTGTTTTTCTTTCATTTGCTCGATTTCTTGTTTCCTATAAACATCATAAAAGCAAAAGAAAGGGGGCATGCCTTAATCTGCCAATAAAAACACTTGGTTATTGTTTTTACCACTCTGATTGTCCAAAACCAGCTTCGGTACCCAATTTGCATAAACCAATTCGGTTTACACCTCGAGATCATCTTGGTTCTCATCACTAATTAACAAAATGTTTTTCATTCACTTTGTTTTTAGTCGAAGAAAATGTTTCTACCTAATTTTGATTTTGGATTTAGTTATATACTCTTTCTGTTTCATAATAAATGTTATTTAGAGAAAATGTATCTGCAATGTATCTGAGTATATTAAACTCAAAACATATTCATATACATCCAATTATAATGCAGTTACATTTTCTCCAAATGACATTTATTATGAAACAGAGGGAATATATAATAGAATAGTACCCGAGAGCAGACGCACGTTGACGAGATCACGTGCCCCCGGCTAATTTTTTTTGTTCTTTAAGTAATTATGTGATTATGTTCTTCTGCTAAGTTAAATTATATGATGGTACCCCCAATTAAATCAAATTCTATGATGATGCCCCCAGTTAAAAAATCTACTAGATCCGCCACTGGTAGTACCTATTTTCGAATGAGAAGTTTGACTTGACAAAAAGTAGCCATCGTTCACAGACAAGCTCCGCATGGCTTTGAACATGGTTTTCAGAATTAAATTCGTGGTTCCCAACAGGAATATGAATTACGCTATATATTTGTTAAATGTAAAAACAACATTACCATGATTTTTAACATAATTTTTCAACATGGTTTTCAAATTTTTGTTTCCAAATTAGTATGAAAGAAAAATGTGGAGCAAATTAGTAATAACACAACAACAATAAGAATTAGACCATTTCTATTGGGTAAATGGTTGAAGAGTATCTTAAAAAAACATATATTAATTTTGAAATCAAAAGAAAAGTTAAACAAATCAGAGAATGATATGTATTAAATGAGACTTTTTAGAAAGTGAAACCCAGCTCTCAAACTCCTTTAATTAGAGGCGTTTCTTCTTCTTTTTCAGAGCATCTGTAATGCAGGGTTTGAGACAAACTCTTGAAAATTTTTTTTTTTTTTTTAATGACGTGGTAAGACTGGAAGGTAGAATCGTCTCTCTGCGTAGAGACTGTAGAGTCGATTATATGCTGACGTGGCAAAATGTGATTCGTTGACTTTTTTTTTTCAAAAATCAATTTTTTAAAAAATAATAATAAAAAAATAAGAGCCTTTTAAGTAGCTCTCCGTTACAAATGCTCTCATGTTTTTTATTATTTTATATTTTTTTTAGTAAGAGACCATAATAAACAACCTTCTTTAGAGGTGCTTTAAGGTAGTATAATAATAGAAAAGGAACAAATAATATTAATTATTTTTTGTACTGGTTTTTTTAGTTGGCTTAATTTAACATTACCATTCAAAAAAATATCATTTTTCGTACTTAAATTATGTCTCCATTTCAACTTAATTATTTTTCTTAAAAAGAATTCAACTTAATTATTGCATATGAAAAAGAGACAAAGCTAGTAATTATACAGATAAAAAATGAATTTGGACTGATGATCAACGACCAACAGACACTAACAGCAACTATTATTTTTTGTCTTAATCTATCCAAAGTTGATGCATATAACCTAATGTTTTCGTTGGATCCTTCTAAATGCAGCATTATTGATTTCTTTTTGTAGCTTACATTATTGAAAGCAGAAGGTAGGTTTTATTTTCATGCATCGTGATCGAGCAACCGTGCTAAAAAAAAAAAGACGTAAGAATTAAAGGAAGGTGGGGTGAAAGGGACGGTGATACGACGCCGTGTCGTCTTTCAGACAAAAAGCTGCAAGTCAGTGACAACCATCTTCTTGGGCATCCAACAAAACATTCTTCTTTTTCTTTGGGTTTTTTCAGTTTTAATTTAGCTGCATACTATTTCACATTTCTCCCATTTTCTTTTATAAAGTATCAACATTTCTATTTTATACTGCTATTACAATTATTTTAGCATTTTTATTATTAAAGTGTAGCACTTACATATAAATATTTTAGTTTCTTTTTTTTTCTCAGCATAAATTTTTTTAGCTTCAAACTATTCAATCACGACAAAACAAAACCTATAGTAGTTGATCATTTTATTCGTTAAAATACTTGTGTTTTTATAAAAAGATTTTTGTTTCTACCTTTGTTCTTGTAATTCAATAAGTACTGATCCCAAAGGAAAAGATTCCTCTAACTGTTTTTTAAACTAACAAAATTACTATGAAACAAGTTATAAGAACGCTTAAGATACAAAAAAAAAAGATACAAAAACGATTATAATCCCAAAAACTAATTAATTACACCCAGATAAATGTTTTCGTTGGAATAATTTTTTTTTAACAAATAAAAACATGTTTTCGTTGTAAAATCCAAGTATGAACAAATCAATCGGGTCGTATTTCCCAAAGAAAATAATTTGTGATCAAAATTTCCTAGCCTACAAAACTGGAGCCCACAGGTGACGTGAAGAAGGAAGATTATTTATAGGGATCGGAAAAAAACAAAAGAAGGGTTCACACGTGTGCACGCGCGACAACCAGACGACATAAGAGGCCACCCTTCACGTGCGGGCTAAAGTCATATCCACTTGTTTTGGTCTGTAGCTTCCTATCCACGTGGCCCTCTTTAATTAGCTCACCCTTGTAAAATCCCTCTCATGATGTCTCTTTCATTTTCGCAACACAGTTTCCTATCTTTTATATTCATCCAAAACCCATCGCTATTTCAGATATGTTTTGTTTGTAAATGGTAATACACACAGACCCTATGATTTAAGACGCAAATTTATATTTGAAACTGATATTAACGAGTCAAGACACATTACACAGATCACAGATGAGTTATTCTCCGTGTTTATTCATCGTTAATATATCTTAATTATTATTATTATTATACTTTTTTTTGCTAAAAGGCTTTGATTACTTTACTTTGATTACTTCAATTTTTAACAGCGAAAAAACGTATTTAATTAGTGTTTTGTAACTATATTGGTATTATATAATGAGTACTAAAAAACTTAGTATATTGGTATAATGAAAGATTTTCCCCACAAAAATTAACGATTGATAAAAAGATATTACAAGTAGAGAATATAAAGCCTTTTGGTTTGTGCTAGCTAGTGTCATGATTGTGTTACTATTTATATTCAAATATACAAAAAAAACTTTTATATACTGATAAGATAAAAATTCACAACCACATAATTTTTTTTGGGTAATAGAAAGAAATTAATAGCTCTAAAATCAAACATATAACCTCTTAAAATTTCACCGTGCACTATTCTTTGACAATATCCACATCTGGACATCTTTGAAGCTTTTTTCGTTTCTCATCTGAAAAATTGACAGAGTTAGTCGGTCGCTATTAAGGTAAATGCAGATGTAAAATCTACTACATTGTTTTTTTTCTCGAAGTCTTTAACAAATCGACAAGATTCGTATCAGAACCAGACTATTCGTCGTCCATATTGTGATGGATTAAGGCACAGTGAGTGCATGAGAATGACGAGTCGTGCATGCATGGTTGTTAATGGGACATGGTTTGCCCCCTTGAGTCCTCTATTATTAGATATACGTAATTGTATGGTAATTGTTTTATATATGATACGTAGCTGTCCTATTGCTTTTATTGATTGATATGTTCACCAACTTCTTGCTTATACTGTCCACCTGCAAAATAACCAAAAAGCTTTAATATAATAATATTTTTTTTTTTTTTTTGAAAAAGATATTCTATTAAAATTGCAGGGGTAAGGATTACAACGATGAAAATACCAAATTAAGAACAACCAGACTACTCTGAACAACAAGGGAGACAAAGTATTGGAGGAGTTTGCCTATGACGTAGCATCGTTTCAAGTGTTACTTAGCTGAAGCTATCTTCTCGAACCGAAAGCATAACGGATCACTATACTATTTAATAGGCAATTTAGCATAAACAGTTTTTTTTTATGCCGCGCTAAACGTGAATTTGATGACTGTGTTAACAGTCTAATCAGTGATATAAATATATGAAATCTGACAAATAAAACTAAATACGTTAAAGTTCACTATAAGAAAAAATGTATATTACATCACTTATAAAGTGTCATTAAAATAAATGATTCTATTTAGAATCACTAATTAAAAATTGATACTAGGTATAAAATTTTACATCAATTTTTTAATTGATACTAATCTTAACTTGACTAGTATCAATTAAAAATAATTTATACTAACACTAACTTGATTAACATCAATTAAAAATAATTGATATTAATACTAACTTGATAAACATCAATTAAAGAAACTGATACAAATCTGTATTAATTTATATCACTTTTGAAAAACTAACACAAATATATAAGTTTGCATTAATTATATAAGTGAAGCATTTGATCAACTGACATTAGCATCAATAATAAATGATGCTAATATTTCTTTCAGTTATAAAAGTGATGCAAATAAAATTTTTACTAAACAACAATTTGTCCCACATTGATAAGAATGATGAAGAGCACTAGTTTTCTCCTCTATAAAAGAAATTCATCAACACTAATTTTTTTATGTTAAATCATATGTATATATTTTTATACATTTATTAGAATAATAAATATAAAATTATTAGTTATCTTAAATTTATAATATTTATAAAAATTAACACAAAAATTTAAATTAAAACGAATTTTAATATCTCTGAATTTTAATATCTAATATCATTTATTATAACTGATAGTAAATAATAATATCATTTATTTTAAGTGATGTAAATATTAATATCATTTATTTCAAGTGATGTAAATATTAATATCACTTATTGCAAATGATATATATTAATATCAATTAATATAAGTGATAAAAATAGTTGAATCATTAATAATATTGATATAAATAATTAGCATCATCACTTCTAGAATCATTTAATTAAATGATGCAACTGAATTTGCATCAATAAAAAAATGATATTAACAAATCAAATAAATTATACAACACACATGATTTTTTGTAATGGTTCTTAATTATTTCGTTGCATGGTTTTGATAAGTTGAGTGGTATAAATCTTATCAATTAGTCTTCATAGTTTCCTTTAGATTAAATACACGGTTTCTGGTGTCATATGCAAATTACAACTGTGTATCTATGGTAATTGGTAAACATTTTTTTTTTTAAGCAATCTTACTAGCTAGTGTGTCGTATGCTCCCCTTTGTATAGGAAATTTTTTTATTGGTTACAGAATATCCCTTTTGCTCTTTGTAATTGTTTTATACTAGAATCAAAGTGTACTTATCAAATTAAGATATGGTTTAATAGCTTTATTAGTATCGTAACATAATTGCTATGATTAGGCTATTATTAAACCTTTTCATTTATACACCTATACGATGAATTCATATTTGGTTTCCGACTTAAGTGGATTATAATTAATTATTACTTTAAGATGCTTGGTATAAGAATCATTTGTTGAGTTTTAACATGCATGGTAGGTTAGTTTTACAAATATCGTGGAAAATTAAGGGTGTGTAACTTATAATTATACGAGAATCAGCATGCGTATTGTATATATCATCCAACTGTAATAATCTTAAAAGTCGCACTTCGGACAAACACAAAGTCAATTAAATCGAAATAAACTTAAAATGTGAGTGAGTAAAAGAGAATCAAATTAGTGGATACTCTTGTCCATGACATTTGAGACCATGTCTCTTTCACTCTTGTCCCCTATCTTATTTATCATGATTTAGTAACATCAAATCATATATTTTTACTTTCCTAATTAATTTACTTATTTTATATATAAAGTAGTTTCAACGAAAGTAAAACAACAGAAGCATTGGTAAGTGAATTCCAATCTGGGGGAGATTGTGGAAGTGCGGTGACTAGTTAATTAGTACTAGTAAACATTGAAATGATATGGTTTAAATTATGAAAACTTTTATACATAATTTTAACGAATATTATTGCTAGCTAGAATTTATAAATATCAAAACGTTTTACTAGTTAAAAAATTGCAACCCATTTTGTGTCTTTAGCAACAACAAAAATTGCAACCCATTCTTAGTATTTCAGCATTCGAAATCTATCTAAACAAAACTCCATATATACTTATTTAGTTGGTTTATAATTCAATAAATCTATATAAATAATTATTTAATCAAAATAAATATTGAAACAAGAAACGATAGTATTTTTATGAGTGGATCCCATCAGGTGACATAAAGAAAAAAAAATCCAACTTACCTTTGCTGTCCAAATTGATGACAAAGGGTAGAAAATTTGTCTTTTGCTTTTTTAATTTTTCAACTCATCTTCCAAGATCTAACATCTAATATCTTCATCGTCTCTGGCGCCTCTTGATTTCGAAGTTCTAATTAATTTAATCAGAATTACCAGACTAATACAGAACTCACAAGTTTAATTAATTTCGTGAAAACACTACAACAGATATAAAAACCTCACTCAGAAAACTGTATTATCCAAAATTAATTAATCCACCCCCAAACCAAGTAACTAATTATTACTATATTAGGAACTAAGCAATTATTCTTCATCTGGAAACTATACGATTCGTGTTCAAGCGAGTTGTTTCGTAGACGGGAAGCTCTTCTCGATACCTTTCGATCCCTATCGCCGATAAATTATCCAATTCGAACAGATCGGAGCTCGCGCAACTCGCAGCATCATCGTCGTCGTCCTCTTCTTCTTCTTCTCCGCCGGTAATGTTGACGACGTCTTTATTCTTCTGGTAAGTTCTGAGAAGTTCCTTGGCTGCTTCGATAACGCGACGATTCTCCTCCGTGGCTCGGATCTCAAGAGTGTCAAAGCTTTGATGATGGCGAGAGGAATCATGCTCCTTGTTTCCGTACGATTTGTTGTTGTTAATGTGACCACTTCGCTTGGATTCTTCGTCGAATACGACGTTGACGGGACAGAATCGTACGGACCTTTTCGATTTTTCGCTAGACGACGGAGTTTTGCTCAAGCAGGATCTTGAGAAGGAGGATGCGGAGGAGCACGTGGTGGAGGACGCGGGCGCGGAAGCGACGGTGGTGGTGTTAATTTTATTCAGCTTCTTAGCGTTTCCGGCGCCGGTGAAGATCGAGTTAAGGAAAGTGGCGAGACGGCCGCCGGGAGAAATCGGCTGTTTCACTTTCTTCAAATCGCTGTAGATCTTCAACGCCTTGGATTTCGTTCTGAGAAAGCTCCCATGCTCCTGTTTATTGCTAGGACGGTGAGGCTGAGGCGACCGCTCGAATCTCTCGACGGTGGTTCGAATGGGCTTCGGATGACAAATCGCCGGCGGAGAGTGCGACGATCTAGATCGTTTGTAGAAGGAATCGGACTCGGAAGACGAGAATCCGCTCGAATCGGAGGAGCTGGAGCTTGAATGCTTGAAGAAAACATGTTCTACGGTCTTGGGATTCCTGGATCTAACGGAATCGTCGGCGGCTGCGCGGCGGTTAACGAGAATTTTCTCGAGACACACGCGGTTCTCGTCGAGGGATGCGGCGCGGTGTTGGTGGTGGTGGTGCTGCTTCTTCCTCATGGAGACGTCGGAGTTTGCTGCGGAATCGTCGATGGAGCGATAGATTTGGTCGAGGAGAGTGGAGGAGAAGGAAGGATGACGATGGTCTCGGCGATTACGGAGATGGTGGTGGTCTATTGAATGTTTATCCCAAAGATCCATGAGAAATGATTTCTTATAGAGAAAGAAGGGAATGATAGTGTTGGGGTTTCTGGTGAAGAAAAAGCTTTGAGCTAAGGAGAGACAGAGTTAATGGAGGATGAGAATGATGAAGAGAGAGAGAGAGAGAGAGAGAGAGAGAGAAGAGGCACGCTTTGTTTCTTCTGTTTGCTTGAGAGTTGAGAGTAGTGTGTGTATGAGGAAGAAGAAGAAAGTGAATGGTCTTATCAGTTATCAGCTAAATTGTATTCATTGCCACGTGTCACATCATTTTTAATTAAAAAAATTCAGTATTTTCTTAGGTGGAATTGGGTGCCAGGCTGGAAACTAGTTGTTGGCAACAATATATATATATATATTTAAACTTTTAATTTATAGAAAAGTTATTTACTGATTTTTATTTGTTTTTTGTAGAAATTTGTAGCTAGGTTGCAACGTAAGTGGAAAATTATTATTTTATTATTTTCATCAGTCATTATGATTTTAAAACTAATACATTTTGCTTCAATATATTAAAAATGTTTATTTTTTTAACGGTTTTAAAATGAAATGTTTCTAATTTCTACCTCATGACAAGTTTTATTCCTTTCTATTAAAACAAAAGTTGTACGTACAAGTAATTTTATAACAAAAGAAATACAAATCGTTGGTTCATATCATATCATACCAACAAATCCAATATTGATCTTTGGTCCATTACAGCTTTTCCTTTCTTAAAATTAGATTAGTGCTGAGTACTATATTAACTAATTATTGAATACTATATATCATTAAGAGTTTAGCACGATTTTTTTTCTTTCAAAGTTTTACTATCTTTGTAAACTCAAAGAGAAAATCAAAGTTGTCATACATATTAATTTGAGAAGTTTGGTTATACAGTTCAGTTCTCGAACATTGTTTTCTGATGTAATCTTATTTGTTGATGTCTATCTTTGTAGTCGAAGGGATGAAGCTCAAATAATCCATATGATCATAATTCTTTATAACTATTTAGTTCCCTATCTGTATTTTTTCAAAAAGTGATGTACATTTTTATAGAAAAAGAGTACAAAATTAAACTAAAACATTTATACGATCATGTAATTAAACATCAAAAACTCATACAATAAAAAACGGAAGCACAATTTGTCAAACTTTGAAGAAAAAAGCTAGGGCAAAGAGACAAAAAAAAGTAATAAAGTATATATTTAGAAACCCTAGGTATATGTATGGTAGTATAGGATTTGCTTTAGAATTTTATTTAAGTGGGCAAAAAAGAAAGAAGAAATGTAAACGGTGTGATGTGAATCGCAAATGGTTAAAAGAAAGACTTTAGAGAATGAATAGTCAAGTAATGCGGCCAAGAGGCTCAATCACATAATTTGACCTAACACCAACACTGAGACACTTCTCATGAACAGAAATTATGTTGCAACCCACTAACTTGTTAATTACACCGTTCTATAGCACATTTTACTTTAAAAGTTTATTTATTAAATGAATGTTGTTCACCCAGGACTAAAAATTAGATAGCTAACATAGATAACATTTTTTTCTTACAAAACTTAGACTAATTAATCTCTATTATATTGTCTGTGAAAAACTCAATATTTATTTTATTTAAAATTTCTATACGTATATAATCAATCATAATTAAAAATCGCTTTGAAAAAAATGTACATCGTCTCTTAATTCCTTACTAAATATTTCAAATATTAGACCACCATAAATGAATTCATATGTTTCTTTTTTTGCTAAGAGAATGAATCAAGATCACATTTGTTTTATCGAATCATGGCTGATAGGCTCACTATTTCTTTTGAATAAGAAAAGCTCAACTATTTATTTTTAGATTGAGTCAAAACAGTAGTGTTCACCTGGATTTCTCAGTGTTGGTTGGTTTCATTTGTGTATATTTTAAACATCTCTATTTAATTTGTTCCCAAGAAATTTGAGAAGGAAATTAAGTTATAGTTCAGCATTACTGGAGTTCGAATCTTCTTTTGTGTAATTCGCGACTTTTTAGCTAGGTTCAACTTTGTATTAAAGGTTTAATACCAGCAGAAACATCTGTTAGAACGACAAAACAACACTTAGGTAATGGCAGTATTTTGGTATGTAAATATAAGACATAATATCAATAAATACCTAGGAGTATTAAAATAACAAAATCCTGCTTTATGGCAATATATAAGAAGTATACTTTTATATATGTAGTCATATTAATATACAGCTTAATCACTGCATTAATATTCAATCATGTGAGACTGTGATTATTTAAAAATTATAGACATTCGAAAGTATAAAGTTGACAATATATAAATTTACGAATACAACACATTATGAGTTACCACATTCATTGTTTTCACTGTTAAAATCTCTATATTGTCTTTTTTATTCCCCATGAGTAATTATTAATTTTCACCACATGATCATACTTTGAAATCATTCTATGTTCCCCAATTCTTTCACCTTTACCGTTCCCTTTTCATATGTTGATTAAACTAATTGTTATTCGACTATGCATCTTAGTTGATAATTATTGAATTTACCACATTAACTCGTACTTGAAGCTTAGTGACTCTCTGGTAGGAGTAATTATGGCTTATTTTTGAGACAACTAAGGAAGTCTACGTCAATCAAACGTGTATTAGATACATATATTAAACCTTTTAATTAATAGGTTAATTAACGATAATGTTTTCGGTTAAAAAGAAACATGGAAGAGTTTAATAAAGCTATGGTATAGAAGAAGTATTTAATTTGTCAGTCTTTCGCATGTGATTCTACTTAAAGGTATTTAAAATACAGTTAGCTAACAGAAGGGCCTTTTAAAATTATATGCATATTTTTAACTTTTAGCCGCAATATCTTTTGTAAATATAGTGTGCCCGACCCCAACCAGTCTTATTATAAAAAAAAATTTAAAAACTTAATTAAAAATAATACTAATGAATGATACACCTTGCATGCGTTACGCGTATTCGTACTGTTCGTCTATAATATATAACTATTAAATTTCATGTACTTTTTTTTTGTTTGACACCTACAACTTTATTTTCTTCTTTAATTCTCGTTGAGATATCAGTTTTAGATTACAGTAAGTAGAAAAGAGAAATAATACTTAAGGGTTAATGAGAGCATGTTCAAAAAGCTAATGGTGCTCATTTGCTAAATGATTACTCTCGTGGGCTAACTCTTCAGATTAAATTGTTTTTTTTTCATAGGGGATGCCACAAAATGAGAAATAAGGACAAAATATAACTAAGTTATCTTAAATTGTTAAAATAATCTCTGCCTTTCTTAACTCTCTATATTATTCTTACACATGTAGACAATCTATAAAGATTCATATGAAATATTGGTGCTATAAGAAAATGCACTAGTCAGTTGAAAGAAATGTTTCCCATTAAAATTTTACGTTTTCGTGTAAATTGAGTGAATGCTTAGAAAACAAATTTATGCCAAATTCGGAAATTCAGTCAAATAAATTAAGATTATAGTATATTAAAAGTTAAAACAAATGTAAAATGATCGTCCCTTCGAATCCACGAAACTTCTCACTCATAATAACACCTTCTTTTTAAGCGGACCCATCCTCGTACACTTTTGATATTCTTTCCCTTTTATACAAATAAGGAACAGATGTGTTTACTCATATTTAATTTCGTATATTCCTGTCTTAGATCAAACGAAACGATATTAAATGCCATACAAATCATAACATAAGATATGGCTTAAAGTGTACAAGTGCACAAACATGCTTATAAAACATTCACGAGAGTAGATTTCTTCACTTTTCTATTATCACTTGAGAACACTTTTATCCTAGTTCGGATAATATCTCTGACAGAACAAAAGCAAATACTAGCATATTAAGCAAGAATTAAAAAAAAATTACAGACTTGTATCGATTTTTCCTCTATAATTCTGTGCCATGTTAATTTATAACTCTCCTTATTTATTGGAAAAAAAGAAGAAATGAACCATTCTGAGTTGCAGAGCTTGCACGCATGTGTGGACTGCAGTTATAAGAAAATGACAGCTTCTCATGAAATCATATTGTGTTTGTGCATGCAGTAAAAGGAGATTCCATATTGTTCAACTCGATATACAGAATTTACAAAAATATTCATAAGAACAAATTAAGTTTAGGGATTATTAGGGTCTTCTTTCTACTTAAATATATATACTGGAAGTGAACTAGACTTAATTTTCCATTGCACCAAGCTTAATTTCCCAAGGAATATGGGGTCAAGAAGAGCCTAATTACCCATCATTTTCCCTATAAAGACTTCATTATTTAAAGATGGTGTCACCTAATCTAATTCTAAACCCCCTAACTGATGAACCCCTAGTCTATAGGCCTCTCAAACATTTTTGAGTAATAATATAATTCATAGACTCACCAATTCTTAAGATAATATCTCAAGTGCTTACAAGACATAGTAATAAGTTAATTAATCAGTGTTAGCTTTGACTCCTATGATCCTATCACATATCATTAAAGACAAGAAAAACACTAGTGAACCTTGGGTGAAAAAAAAGAGTATTAGTTACTCCAAATCACTCAAGGGCAAGTAGTTAGAACTTAGAAGTCCATAGAGAGCAATCATTTCTCAAAAGGGTAATTGAGAGAGGAAACAAATAGGCACTTGATTAAGATTCTAGACCAGTTCTTAAACTAACTCCTAATTTCACATAAATGTCAACAACACCATCAATTAGATTCTCATTGGCATCTTGTCATAATGACTAGTGTGAAAATGTTACCTGAAAATATAACTAGAAATCGAAGTAGAAGTAATCAAGAAGGTAATCAAACTTATGATCTCATTTTCAAACAAATGTTTGGTTAAAAAGTGGTCCATATTCTTAGTGTAGAAGAAAGCTGGGTCAAGCTCAGGAACCAATGTTTCTTTATGAAAATCAGAGAGAAGAGTATATGAAAGAAATGTTTGGGGATCCCAAGAAAAGAAAAGCACACAAAAGAATGACACAGAACTCAAAGAAGAACAATGACAACACAAATCTTTTCCTTGAAACATCACTAAAAGAACAACAGTCTATCTCATCGCAAATCCCCAAAACCCTCTCATGGAGAAAAGAGAAAATGAACAGGGTTATTCCAAAAAGAGCACAACACTAAAACGACCAAGCACATGGCATTTATAAGATTCTCTTCCTACTTTGCACAAGGACTGTAGCCAGGGTACCGTTGATGGTTAATGAGTAGAGACGAGACACGTTACCTGGTCAAGAGAATTCTCATTCTATATATGTCTCTGCCTTTAAAGAAGCAGCCCGTAGAAGAAGAAAGGAGACATGTCATGAGACCAACACTAAAGCTTTATTAATCAATCTTTGAATTTGGGGAAAATAGTGTATATGCTTTTGCAACATCTTTTCTAATTGAATCAGGCTGCAGCTGAATCTTTCGAAACATTTCAAAAGGTTTCCACCATGCCTACACTCCTAACTTCACGTCTGATAGCTCCAGCAGCTGATGATCCAGCATCAGGAGATGGTGCAGAAGACGAATATGCTTGATGGCACAGTAACATCATCAACTGTTTGGCAGAGGAACATTTCTTCATTTGAAATTTAAGCTTATTATGAATCTTTTCTAACCATATTTCACCTTTTTCATGTGTTTTTCTGCTTGATGTATATAAACAAAAGAAACTCACTGAAGATAAGACATAAATTTTTGTTGTTGCTGAGATTAGTAGATATAGAATTGCAGCTCTCACAAAGCAGATGCCCTCTGAAAAAATTAATTAAATAGCATAATCATTATGGTATTATTCCACAAAATTATCAAATCAGAATTGAAATCCTGAACAATCGATATACCCACCTAAGCTGAGAGGGAAGTCTTTGTTTAGCTTTTGTTGAAGTTAAAAACTAAAATAATAAAAAAGTCTTTTGTTGTTCTTTGTCTTGTAGCTCCACTTAGTAGATCTATCACCTCACAAGTACTGCTGTTGTATCCTAGCTCTGTTCTGTTCCCACCACAACCTCGCATGTGTTTCCTCAAACTTGTCTCGGCTACAAAACAAACAAGATTGTCTCAATATGTTCAGAAAGAAAGAGGAATGTAATGGCACAATGGGTCTTTGTGTTATGTACCTGAACCGAACGCGTCTAAGCTGGCGATTACCATCTGGTAAAGCTCTGATTGTAATGTTGACACCAGGCTCGTCTTGTTCTACCCATTCTGTTTCCATGTCGCTTGCGTTGCTCACTGAGACCTCCTCGGATCCATCTACTGAGCTACTTCTAGCAGAACCGTCAACAGATGATGCCTCAGTCTTGGTTCCGCTGATGCTCGAGAGCTTTGGTGTTGAAGCAAGACCAGCAGAGTCGTAACATTCAGACGAGGAATATCCCATTCCTCTAGGTTGCTCTTTGCTCAGAGGTGGAGTTACAGGACTGTCCTTACTCGACTGTATTCGCGATCCCTGGTACAAGGTTGTTCCAAGAATCTATTTAGTACATGATTGATTATTGAACCTTAAAAGTTGCGCCTTCATTAGCATTATTACCCCATTATCCGAAACCGGAGGAGTAGGGAGTGGCACGGTCTCCTGATTGCACTGCCGCACGTTGTATAGCTCCATGACCTTCTCGTAATTCTCCGACCACCATCTCTGAGCTTGCCATTTATTAAACATCTCACGACTGCAACAAGTAGAGACATCTATCCTCAAATCAGCAAAACTCTTGTGTCTGATGTCTAACACAAAAATTCAGCATCTGCACAATATAAGAATCCCCAAACGCTAGAAATACCCAATCCTGTGCCAAAATATCCATCCTTGTCGGCACCATGACCGGAGCTAGTCTCGGTAATATGGAGCCTATTGCTTAAATGTACTAATTCATCAAGAAAACAAACCTCAAATTCAAAAATCTGATCTACAAGTAACACCTATTATGCCGTAGTAAGATAGCAAAAGCAGCCAATGTTTAGTATGGTCTTCAGTGTCACGCTCAATTGTGGAAGGTACACAAAACATTATATGCTATGATCAGTTCAACATGGCTAGAAAGAATAACCTGAACCGTATCCTCTTTAGATCATTCCCTCCCTGAGGCAATGACACAAGCGTGATGAGAACACCAGGTTCCACTTGCGCAACCCATTCTTTGAGCTCGTCCTCCTCCATGAACACTATGGATTCTGTCCGACCGCTCATGGACGTAGGTGTGCCTTCTTCACTCGAGAGCCCTTTTAACCTGGACTCCATCTCCTTCCCCCAAATCTTTGGAGTCCCAGCTCTCTGGTATGCATAATGGAACCTTCCAGAGTCCGAAGCAGCATCTGAATCAGCATAGTCTCGGTTCTGATTCCGGTTTGATGTCCCAGAACACGGTTTGCAGTTTTTGTACGCTCCTGAAGCCTTTACTGCTATGTCTTTTAGCTGTAGTCACATACATACAAGAGTCACATGCTTTGAAAAGATTACAGATTAGATGAATAATTGACAATTCAGAGGTATAAATGTTTGAGGAATCAACAGAAATTACAAATCAATCACACTCAAAACCAAGAAAAGAAATAAGGATTAAGACCACGAGTCAAAGTCAAGCTTTTACATGTTTTGTTCTTTAGATGGTCACGCCATGAAATTTCTTCTTGTTTTTTTTGCCATTTTCTCTTTGAACAAAAACAATCCATGAAAGTGATGAACTCAGAAGAAAAAGGAGTAATTTACCTGCGATGTCAGCGATTTAGTCGCCTGTTTAGTTCTGGGCGTCCCAATTTCTTCACCTTCTTGATGCCTCTCGTGAGTAGATCCGCCATTGTTGGCGTTTAGCTGCTTCGTACACGCTATACACGTCAGCATCTCCCCCTTCAGTACACGACGAACCCTAAAAAATTCCTGAGATGAAGCCAAAATAGAAGGAAACACAGATCACATCTAGAAATTAAGAAAACTTTGAAACATCAGCGAGAATTCTTGCACGCTGCATATACATACGGTCGCAAAACAGCTACGAGTCTCTGTAAATTCGATTTGTATGTTTGGTCCTTGAAAATGCAGACTCCGATCACAGAAACTCCATAGCTCAAATGGACGCTTAAATATGTCCGTTACAACCAGCGAGAAATTAGGGAGGAGGATCTGTAGATTCGCATTAAACTCTCTCTTCTTCGTCCTTCCGCTTGTTTCGAGCGTCAGAGAGAATGAGTGAGAGACACTCAATCAAAGTGACAAATCTCTCTTTCTATAAACACAAAGCTGAAGCAGAATCTGCGGATTCGGAGAGCTTTGAGATTTGGGCTTTTTAATTTGAGTTCGTTGGTGTGGTCTACTGCGTTTCTTATGATCCTCTGTGCCACATGCCAATTTAATTTTCAAAATTCCTTTTGGTGGTACCATTAATATTTATGTCCAAAAGAATAAGAAATCAAATTCCCTATGTATAGTTGCATATTACCGTTACCGATCTAACATAAGTCAGTGTTGAAATCCCAAACATCGATCAATCAAAACTAATTACTACTGTATATTTTTTTACTCTAACAAGAAGCAAGAAAATTGTGAGGAAAGTCCTTTTGTTTACTTTAGCATTTGTTCAAGTTAAAAACTAACAAACAAAAGTGTGAGTCTTTGGTAATAGAAGCTTTTTTGTTGTTCTTTGTCTCGTTTCCTCCTCCTAGTATTATATCTATTAACTACTCATTGTCACAGGTCACAAGTCACAAGTACTGTCGTTGTATCCTAGCTCTGTTCTGTTCCCACCACGACCTCGCATGTGTTTCCTCAAACTTGTCTCGGCTACAAAACAAACAAGACCAAGCCACAATGTCTTAATGTTTAGTTAGAGAGAGAGAGAGAGAGGGATGTAATTTGCACAATGGGTTTTTTTTTTTTTTTTTTTTTTCTGTTATCATGTACCTGAAGCGAACGCGTCTAAGCTCACGGGTACCATCTGGTAAAGCTCTGATTGTAATGTAGATACCAGGCTCATCTTGCTCTACCCATTCGTTTTCCATATCGCTTGCGTTACTCACTGAGACCTCCTCGGATCTATCTGCTGAGCTACTTCGTGCAGAACCATCGACAGATGATGTCTCAGTCTTGGCTCCACCGATGCTAGAGAGCTTCGGCGTTGAAGCTAGAGCCGCAGAGTCATCACGTTTACGTGTTTGAGTTGATTGGTTATCAAGTGAATCAGACGAGGAGTACCCCATCCCTGGAGGTTGCTCTTTGTTCAGAGGTGGAGTTACAGGACTGTCCTTAGCTGACTGTACTCGCGAGCCCTGGTACAAGGTTGTTCTATTTAGGACCCAACAAAACGCTAAAACGTGGCGATGAATGATTATTGAAGCTTAGAGTTGCAACATTGCATTACAACGAGCTATAAACCCAGTTTGTGAAATAGCATTACCCCATCTTCGGATATAGGAGGAGTTGGGAGCGGCACGCTCTCCTGATTGCACTGTTGAACGTTGTACAACTCCATGACCTTCTCGAAATTCTCTGCCCACCATCTTTGAGCTTGCCATTTATTGAACATCTCACGACTGCAAAAAAGTAGAAACTTTAAAGCATCACCATCTAGCTTCAAATCAGCATAAGCTTAGTGCAAAGACAAACTAGTCTGACATGTAACACAAAAAGACAGGAGCTGCAGAGTTCAAAGAATCCCCAAAAGCTAGAGATACAAATCTCCGGTACTGTGGAGCCTGGTGCATCTAGTTTCAACAGTTGCGCGTAAACACAAACAAACTGAATCCAATACAAAAAGTCAGGAGCTGCACAATTCAAAGAATCCCCCAATGCTGGAGATACAAAACTCCGGTACTGTTGAGCCTTGTGCATCTAGTTTCAACATTGACAGTTAAAAGACTACTTAAGCTCAGGGTCATCTGAAGTTGAGCTCATGAAAAGCCAAACGGAAACCCTATACAAGGCTCATTAAGAGTTTCAGGTGTATCTAATTCTATCGAGCATATCTACTTTCGAGCGGGATGAGACATCAAGGTAAATATCAAATTGAAAAACACACAACAGTATATAACCAGTTCAATATATGGCTAGAAAGAATGACCTGAACCGAATCCTCTTTAGATCATTCCCTCCCTGAGGCAAAGACACAAATGTGATGAGAACACCAGGCTCAACTTGCGCAACCCATTCCTTAGCCTCGTCTTCCTCCATGAACACTATGGATTCTGTCCGGCCGCTCATAGACGTAGGTGTGCCTTCTTCACTCGAAAGCCCTTTCAGCCTAGACTCCATTTCCTTCCCCCAAATCCTTGGAGTTGAGCTTGCAGTCCCAGCTCTCTGGTATGCATAATGAAACCTTCCAGAGTCAGAAGCAGCATCTGAATCAGCATAGTTTCGGTTCTGATTCCGGTTTGATGTCCCAGAACACGGTTTGCAGTTTTTGTATGCTCCTGAAGCCTTTACTGCCATGTCTTTTAGCTGTAGTCACATACATACAAGAGTCACATGCTTTGGAAAATTGTACAGATAAAGATGAATAATTGACAACTCAAGAGGTATAAACGTCTGAGGAATCAATAAATTTTACAGATCAATCAAACACAAACCCAAGAAATGAAATAAGGGATTAAGATCACGAGTCAAAATTCATGCTTTTACATGTTTTGTTCTTTAGCTCCTAAGCAGAAATCAACGAGACTAAGATGGTCCCGCCATGAAATTTCTTCTTGGTTTTTTTCTTTTTTTGCACAAAGACATTCCATGAAAGTGAACTCAGAAGAAAAAGGATTAATCTACCTGCGACGTCAGCGATTTAATCGCCTGTTTAGTCCTGGGGGTCCCGATTTCTTCATCCTCTTGTTGTCTCTCGTGAGTAGATCCGCCATTGTTGGTGTTTAGCTGCTTCGTACACGCTATACACGTCAGCATCTCTTTCACAGTATACGAACCCTTAAAAATTTCCTGAGATGGAAGCAAAAATTGAAGGAAAACGACGATCACATTACAGGTTAAACCCGGATCAAATCAAATCTAGGAAAGCTTAACACATTCCATACGCGACAATTCTTGCACAGCTCCTGAAACGCGGACTCCGCGATTTCTCTCGATCAGATAATCGCCATAACCACCAGTGAAGAGCTCAGATTGAGTGACGGCTGTTGAATATGACCGTTACGCCAGCGACAAACTAGGGCACAGGATCTGTAGAGAAAAGGCTACTCTCTCTCTCTCTCTCTTCTTCGTCCTTCGGCAGCTTCAAGCGACAGAGAGAATGAGTGAGAAACACTCTCTTAGTCTCTCTCTCTCTCTCTTTAGAAACACAAAAGCTGAAGCGGATTTGGGGGAAGCGGAAAGGAAGAAGAGCTTTGAGATTTGGGCTTTAAGTTCGTTGGACACTGCAAAAAGAAACAAGTTTGCACATGAAGTGTGGTCTACTGTGTTTCTATTGATCCTCTGTGCCACATGCCAAATTTATATTTTTCAAAATTCTTTTCATGGTTCTGTGTTATATTATTTAATTAAGCCTTTATATCCTTTATTTATGGTAAAAAAATAAGAATATTTCTTCTTCTTTTTTTGTTCAAAAGAATATTTCTTAAAACCTGGAAAAAAGGGGGAAAATGATTGCTCTAAGCGATGATCTATCGTGATGATAAAGCGTGCAACTTTGCATCAGCAGTTTAATTTCTAAAAGCTTATAATATAGTAATAATAATGTTGAAATTTTTTAGAAGTGTTTCCCACCTAAACCATAATATCTTTTCCAACCTTTTTCTTGTCCTTGAAAGTTTAATCCCTTTTGATTTATCAAATTATGAGTTTGATGTGAAACTTAAAGTACAACTTCCACATCATCATGCCTTCTGAACAAAGTTCATCTAATTAATGCCTAAAGTTTTAATTTTTTTTAATGTGTAAATTATTCATATATATTTTTTAAAAATTCATAGACTTCTGAGAAATTTATAATAAGAGGAAATCAAATAGTTTAATATCTTTCGAATATACAAAATTAAATCGAGATGAGCTTTTTTGGGACATAATCTCTTGGAATAGGTAACTCTTCAAACAAAAAAATCTCTTGGAATAAGTATATGTTTTTAAAAAGAATTTCATATAAGTGATCAACAATAATGATTTGAGAGATGTTTCTTTGGGTTTACCGAAATATTTTTGGCTAAGTAGAATTATGTGGAACAAATTTTTGTAAAATTGAAAAAATGCATAAACAAATTGTGTTGGACTATAATTTGGACTTTGGAGTCACACAAGTCAGGCCAATGATAGCCCAATAAAATTTGGATGGATCATAAAAAGGCCCAATAGCTTAAGCATACGCTCTTCCGTAGGTGATCGTACCCTGGAGTCGTATATACAGCGATTTCTTCTTATTTTCCCTCAAAATGCTCATTGAAAAAAAGGATCAAATCAATCTCTCTCCGTTTTTTTTCTTTCTCCTGAGATTCATTGTTGACTCGTTTACCGGAATTCTCTCTGCAACTCGCCGGAAAACCCTACTTTTGTCCGAAAACCCTATTTAGCTGCGTCGGAAATTACCGTCATCGCATCCTCGAAGCATTGTTTTTTTTAAGGCCCTCAGTTTCAGCTTATTGAGGTAAAGATCATCTTCTCAGGTTTCTCTCATCAAATTTTTTCTTTTTTTTGGTTGCCTTTAGCTTTAACTTTCCTGAGAAATTGTGGCAAATTTTGAAAATTCGGTGATTCAGTTCGCTGATTTAGGGTTTCTTTTGGTGCACTGTCTAGTACAAATTCGTATGTATTGAGGATTTCTTCTATGGACTGCAAAACGTTCTCTTGCTTCTTCTGCTTTAATGTGTTTAGGATTTTTGGTTTAGCCCTTCTTTTTCATGTTATTTGTTCTTTAGATTTGTGTGTATATTTCGTTGTTTGATGTATGGAGCCTGCGCAATTTTGTGCAATCGTAACTAAATTGAATGAAATCATATGAATTGATTGTCCCGTTCAATGGTTAGGGGATAAAAGACCAATCTTCCAGTTTTTTTTTTTTTTTTTTTGCTTTATATGCCTACAATGTAAAAATTTGTGCTAAGACATTTGTGCTCATAATCAGAATTACTGTATGGGTTGGTTTCAGCTCTGTAGATCATAGCATGCTTATTTCTTGCGGAGCTTGCAGAACATTCACATTCATATTAGTTGACTAAACCCTAGTAGTATACTTTTCTTTCAGTAGATCGAGACATTCGATTCAGAAATTCAAACAGTTACATCGCTTTTAGAAATTGAAACGGAGTTTTGATGTCAACAAGAATGAGAATTGGAGGCCGGTTATGCATAACAGGACCTGGCGAATAAAACATAAACTTAAACTGATTATGTACAGTTATCTTGAATATCTTATTGAATTGGTTTGTACATATGAGCAGGTTAAGGCAACAATGAGTAGCCAGCCTTCATCCAATGGATATTCACACAGAAGGGTTGAAAATGAGGCAGGGATGAATAAGACACAGCCGATGAAGCCACACTTCTTGAAAAATACAGGTTTTGCACATATATTTATAGATATGTGCATGTATTCTGATCGAGCATCGACATCATGTTCTGCATTAACTTGTTTGTTCATAAAATGGCGTGATAGCTGGAAGTGTGGAAAGCCCTTCACATGATCTGTTTGGGTATGTCACAACTTGCAAGATTGGACATCATGTAGAAGTTCATCTAAAAAGTGGATCGGTTTACAGTGGAATATTTCATTCTGCTGATGCGGAGAACAATTTTGGTGAGGCTCTGAATGGGAACCTTTTTGTTTCTCTGAGATGTGATTTGTTTATTTTGTTTGTCACTTACAAACTGCTTTGAAATTTTCAGGAATTACTTTGAAAATGGCATGCTTGATTAGGGAAGGTGGTTTACGAGGAATAAAACCTCCTTGCAAGCCGCCTTCAAAGATATTTGTCGTCCCTGCCGAGGACATTGTGCAAGTTATAGCTAAGGTGTGTGCTCTTTTCCTCCGGATGGGATTGAGTTTTATACGCTCGTGTCAGTGTGTTAGCATGTTAGAAAGACTATATTTGGTGTTTTGACATTATTATTTCTATGTCATTGGTTTCGGTGCTAGGACCTTCCTGTATACAACGATAACGACTCGAATTCAGTTCAGTGCGAGAAACCGTTAGAGCTGTTGACAGACGCTTCCATATCACAGTCTTATCATGTCGATGTGGAAAGAGAGCTGAAACCTTGGGTACCTGATGAAGATGTTCCAGATTGTTCAGATCTGGAGAATGTGTTTGATGACCCTTGGAAGAGGTAGTGATACTTGTTCTTTTGATTAGGATTTGTCTTTGCTGCTGATGTAGCAAACTGTTTGGTATTTCTATTTCTCGATATCCTTTTCCTTCGGTGTTTGCTTTCTCATAACATGTCGTATACGTGATGATATCATAGGGGCTGGAATCAGTTTGAGGTCAATAAGACATTGTTTGGAGTAACGAGCACTTTTGATGAGGAGCTGTATACCACAAAACTCGAGAGAGGTCCTCGGACGAGGGAGCTAGAAGAGCAAGCCCTGAGGATCGCTAGAGAGATTGAGGGCGAGAATACTCGAGATCTTCACGTAGCAGAGGTGAATTAGGGTGTTTGATGTGCCACGTGATTTTTTTCGTTTTCATAATTGTACCATTTCTAATGGTTCATGCATGCAATCATCTGACACAGGAAAGAGGGATTCAGCTGAGTGGAAAGTTTGATATTGACGAGGAAACCAAATACTCATCGGTCTGTCCGGTCAATAGATTTGATGATACGGGATATGAAGAGGAAGAAGAAATTTTGTTGGATTGCCGCAACAGTTTGACTTTTGGTGATTCATCTGCTTCTGATGGCATTAATCCTGTTTCAACTGGCAAGGTCTATGAAGAATCATGGGTATGGTTGAGTGTTCTCGGCTAGTAGTTTCTAGGAGAATTATCTGTGATTTTTCCATTTTTTTTCGTCCTTCAGGGTGGCAATCTACCTTCACGGAATGTCAGTATTGTAGATGAGAGCTGTTCGAACTCAAACAAGCATGCTTGGGAGCTTATGTTCGAACAGCCATCCAAAGATATTCCTGCTCCAGGCAGCCAGTTTGGTGAGCAGAGAAACGGCAAAACTCTAGAGGCTTCCCATTATAAAAAGGTAATTAAGGTGAGCTCTTTTGACGTATATAATCTTGATTGCGTTCAGCATTTTCATTATGTTCCATGACTTAATAACATTGTTCTGTTGACTTATATTTGTATTAACGCAGCCGTCTGAGGAATCAGTGTCTGGTCTTGAACGTATGTGCAACAACGTCCATTCAGAAAACTCTGCAGCTTCCTCAGCATCAAGTCGTCCAGTACTATCACCAAGCTCTTCAATTGGTTCTCCTTCTTCAGAAAAGTCCACTCTCAACCCAAATGCTAAGGTTTTGTGATTATATTATCTAATACAAGTAGAATTGAGTTTTACTGTTAAGCTTTTATTAATGAGCTTGAGGGTATGATTTAGCAGGAGTTTAAGCTGAACCCCAACGCAAAGAGTTTCAAGCCATCTCCAACCGCTACACGGCCTCAGTCTCCAGTACCAGAAGGATCATTCTGTTACCCTCCTCTTCCACCGATGCCCGGATTTCATATTGCATACGCAGTAACCTTCTTTACTCTTCATCTACTCTTATGATCGAGCTTAAGTCTCTGTTATCATGTTTCTGAGTCGCACAAAAAAAAATGAAATTGGCAGATGGGAGCAGCATTCCCTGGACAACAACCAATGATGCATAATAATACAACACAGCTTGGTACAAATCAAACATATTATTCTCCAAATGGTCCACAGGTTTGTTGCTATTAGAGCCCATGACCCCAACATACTCTATTGGAAGACGAATCTTTAAAACTGAATTTTGGAATCAAATCTTAACAGTACCCACAACAGATGATGGTTGGTCAGCAGAGACCGGTTTTGTTCATGCCGCCGTCGCCGTACCAACCGGTTTACTACTATTTTTCATAATTTTTACTCTGTTTTATTTATTAATGCTCATAATAATAGTAGGTTTTGCTGACATTTCTGAATTTTATTGCAGGAGATGCCATATAAAGGAAGAGACTCTTATTAGCTTTTGACCAAAACCATGAATGGTGGTGGCACAATGTTTCGAATCATCTTCTGATGGAATGGGTTTCATAATTTTTATTAATCTACTTTATTTTTTTTTCCAGCACCGAATCTTTTAATTTTTATTTATTTATTTGAATTTTTTTTTTTTTGATAAAATGGTTTGATGGTCCATAGGAGGAACACATTTGATGTTGATTTACTCTGTTTAGGTATTAGACTAGATTTACATTAGATTCGTGCTGATCTCACTTCTTTATACACTAGTCTCTGTTTAAACTTTAACGTTAATCTTTGGATGTATGACATTCTATGTTTGAGTGTTTATTATATATTAATAAAAAAAAAAAGATAAAAATTAGGTAGGCAAACATGTTTTTTTTTTTGCTTTATACGGATGTATTTAACTTTCTAAATCAACGATTGTTGTTCAATCTTCCATATACGTGTTAAGATTTGGTAGGCAATGAAGTAGTGTGTTCGATGAGTGAGTGAGAGAATGCGTAATGTTCAAATTTGGAATTATTAGGATAATAGGTTTAGTCCTTTTTTTGTCTTACATGATTAGTATGCTCGTATAAATCATTATTAATCTACTTGTGGTGGTGAGTTCAGGAAAAAAAAAAAGGAATCTATGTTAGGGGAGATTTGGCATATTAACAACTTTGTCGTTTGTAAAAAATGTAGTACTATTATTTTAAAGTTCAGAAATATGGCTAAATCAAATAATTGATTCTAAAAACTTCTAGATTCCCTCAATGATATATTATACTATTTTTAACTTAACACCTGTCACCTCTTCGGAGGCATGATAGTTACCCATTTCTTTTCTCACATTACACAATACAAAAGTCATTTTTTTGTTATTATTTCAACTAGAATATTCATCTCAAAATAGAAGTGTTCCTATAAAAAATTTTCTCCTTTTGCGTATATTTTATTTCGTCGTTGTAATTACTATTCAGAGTTGGGGATTAAATGTAGAGAGATGGAGCAGAAACTAGCAAATTACGATTCGTTGCTTGTGTTGGGGAAGCTGCATCAAGAATTGTGAAAAGAAAACTGAAAAAGGGCTCTTTGCTTTTCTTTGCTTGACTTGCAATAAATTTCAATTACCCCCAACTACAAAATTAAAATATTTATAAAAACTTATTCGCTTAAATGCAATATTGATTGCACCATAAAGAGATGTTGACAGCCTCTCACTTATTCTTTTGCTTTTAAGAAACAAAACAAAAGAAGAGATGAAATTTTTTACGTATTTACACTATCTATATATTTCAGCATTTTGCTGCAAGTAATGTTTAAGAATTGCACATGTACAATACTCTCAGTATTTAAAATTAAAAACCTTGTATTTTGTACTATGGATAGGGATGTATATATCCTCCATATTTTAAACTATTTTGTTGTTGTTGTTGTAATTTATAGAAAACATTTGATGAGAAAAAAAAATAACTAGTATCATTTTAACATTACTAATATGGACCATTTTAGTAAAAAACATTGATGGGAAAAAAAAATAACTAGTACCGACCGGTCAAATGTTGTCTCATATCTTACATTAAAAAAAAAATCCTTTTTTCATATGTTTTTAATTATTAATTATAATTTAGTAAATTGATATCTATCTTTTCTATTATTATCTACATATATCTATATTTTTATATGTTTTTAATAAAAACTACACACACGTTGTAATTGAGTGAATTTATCATTTAAATTAGCTATATTAAACTTTAAATCATAAATAATATAAATTAATAAAGAGTAAGCAAAATTAACCATAAATAGAGGAGGAGTTGTTAACTTTGAAGAAAATTTAGAAATGGAAACATCAAATTAATGTTTAGCTAAGGCTTTGTTTGTATCTATGAAATGGTATATGTGGAGAGTAAAAAAGAGTAAAAGAGTCAGGTTTAGTCTTTTAAGCCATAGCCAATAATACATTATTTGCAGAGCAGTAGCGAAGAGAGAGAGAGAGAGAAGAAACAGCCATGTTCTGAGGAAGGAGACATGCATCATCATCATCATCATCTCAAGCTTATTACTTAACTTCTCCTTTTCTCCATCTTTTACCAAATCTAAACACCAAAAGGTGTCTCTCTCTCTCTCTCTCTCTCTCTCTCTCTCTCTCTCTCTCTCTTGTTCGTGTTCGCTTAATTTCTTTGGTAGTGTGTTAATGATTTGGTTGCTCTATTTTTACTTCTGATGATCGAATTAATAAAAAAAAACCAAACTTTTAGTGATAAGTGAGAAAATCTGTTTGCTTTCTCTTTGCCCACTTCTCTCTCTGTTTGGTTGGATCAGTAAGTTCAAAGAGAATTGTTTCTACTCAAACCCAGAAATTTGAGTCAATAATCTGTCAATATAGTTTCTCTTTTCGCTCTCTCGTGAAAAGCTTTCGTATATTTATTAGTTTGCATGTTATGCTTTCTATCTAAGTTGCAGTGAATCAATCTGTTTAACCAATTTTGATTTTTTTCAAAGTTTGAATCTTTCAGTCTCCCAGAGCAATTGAACAGGGAATCTGGATTTTTAGGATGCCTCTATAAACTTTTTTGTGGATTCATTGGTTTGACTGGTCTTTGCTTGGTTTGGACATTAGCTTATAAAGAAGACAATGCAAGTGTTCGAAAGGAAAGATTCATGGGGGAACTCGATGCCAACGAATTCAAACATTCAAGGATCTCAATCTTTCAGCGTGACAAAGGATATGATGATGTCTACACAACAGTTTCCCTCCATGAAACATTCGGGTTTGCAGCTGCAAGATCAAGATTCATCCTCAACGCAATCTACCGGAGAATCAGGCGGTGGTGAAGTCGCAAGCTTTGGAGAACATGATCGTTATGGATGCACCAATCTTTCAGGTTAAACCAAAAATAAAATAAAAACTGATTTGAAGATTTTAGTCACATTAGCGAAAGAACTCTAAAAGATTGTGTTGTTTTGATTGATGTAGGTTACATCGAAAACCAGGGAAAGGCTATTGAGAGTTATACTAAGTCGAGTATAACGTCGTCGATGGTGTCTCAAGACTCTGTGTTTCGACCTCCTACTTCTGGTCTAACATCCTGGTCTCTTCAATGTCCTGAAACATCACATTTCAGTGGTTTCTTGGCTCCTGAATATGCGTCGCAACCAGCGGTAATACATACTGTAGAGAGTCTTGTGCTTTCACAATGGCCTCTGTTGGTTAACTTTTGGGAAAACGTTATTGCAGGTGATGCCGCCGCATTTAGAGATGATGGGTTTGGTTTCTTCAAGAGTGCCATTGCCTCATAACATTCAGGAGAATGAACCAATCTTCGTCAATGCGAAACAGTACCATGCGATTCTTCGTCGCAGGAAGCATCGTGCTAAGCTTGAAGCTCAGAACAAACTCATCAAAAGCCGTAAAGTATGAATCTTTTCACTTACCCCATTTGCTTAAAAACACCAGAAGATCCTTAAAGTTTGGTTTTGTTTTGTTTGCAGCCGTACCTTCATGAGTCTCGCCATCTTCATGCTTTAAAGAGAGCTAGAGGCTCTGGTGGGCGTTTCCTCAATACAAAGAAGCTTCAAGAATCATCAAACTCACTCTCTTCTTCTCATATGGCAAATGGGCAGGATTTCTCCGGGAGCCCTCGCGGTGGTGGAAGCGGAATCGGAATCGGAATCGGGTCAAGCTCGATCCCACCGAGCTCCAATTCAGACCGTAACAACAACATGTTCCAAAACCCGCAGTTTCGATTCTCAGGGTATCCATCAACACACCATGTCTCAGCTCTCATGTCAGGGACTTGAGACATCCGAGAAAGAAACTTGCTCCGGGAAAAATCCGGCGAAACGGGAAGTCATCCTTGGCTATTACATTGTTATATTGCTTCTTTACTAAGTTTCTGCCTTCAAAACTCTGCTACCATCATCTGCAATCTCACACTCTATGTTGAGTGAAAGAACTTTTTCAATTCATTGTCAAAAAAACTATTTTGTTAATTTGAAAATTTCCAATTCTCTTACATTACAAATATGGTATTACCCTTTATCCAATACACAAATGAGACTGAGATTAGGGGATTCGGTCAAGAGTAATATACACGCATAGATCCTCTCACGCTCTGGAGACAAACCGGACACTTAGGGCTCAGCTCTCGTTCCACTGTTAAGGCACACTGTCTGCAACATACTACATGTCCACAGGGAATAAATGCAGGGATTCTCCTTCTTGTCACACAGATCACACACAATTCTCCATCTGGAATCTCATCTGCATCTTCTGTCTCATCGTCGACCACGCGTACGGGTTGGGGTTCGTCTGGTCTCTGTAGCGCTTGTCTTTGATGGTACCGTAGTTTCCATTTATTCCAGGCCCTGAAGATAAGACAGTAAAACAACAGGTTTAGAATCAAAACACTGTCTAAACTCGAAACTACCTCTGTCTCACAACTCGTGTACCTGACAGCAGCAAAGCCAAGGATGCCAGCAGACAAACAGCCCATGATAACACCGCTCCAGAGTAGTACCCTGGTTTGGTCCATAAGGTCCTTTATCATCCTGTCCTTAGTCATCTCTGATCTGCAACGATTATTCAAAAAGATGAACATCAAGAGAGCTTGGTGCAAGACAGGACTAAGAGTATTGTCAAAATGATCAACAGATTGAGAAAAAGAAAAAAACAGGTAGAAGTAACCTGAGCTTGAATTCAGGTAAATGCATAAGCTTGACAATAACTAGGAAAAAGATATTCAGATAAAAAATCTCACAAGAAATAGGGAAGATCTTGGCACGACTTGATTTCAGGAACTCCATTGTGGAAACTACAGATGCCAACAGCTGTTAAATCTCTCTCAGGTGGTAGAATCTTCTCCACATCAAGCAGAGCAACCTTGGAACAGAATGGATCACAGAGTTTAGTTAAAAAAGATATAGCCAACGGTTGGTCCTCAAAAACCTGAAAATTCTTGGAAATGTATAACTCACAGGATACTCAGGGAAAAACAAGACTTGAAGAAACGCAAAGGGAGATGAATTAAGAGGCTGCAAGCGATTATACACAGTGGTAAGTGGAAGAGGCTGCCTTGCGCCATCCATGTTAACAACTACGAAACTAGACTGCGATCGTTGATTCTTTTCAGCAATAACAAAGGGGACCTGCACACGGCGAGCGCAATACATATCAAAGCTGGTTCGAATCAAAGACAGAGCCAGAAAGTGATAAGAGTGGAATCAGACTTTACCATTCTCATAAAATCAGCTCCTTGTTTAGGCATAGATCGTTCCAAAAGAAACCGGTGACCATTTGACAACTGAAACAGAGTCTTCCATCCACTGTACGTGTACTGAAACAGATCAAATTGGAAAAAAAGATGACATTAGAATCCGTTCTACAGTCTCCTTTCTAAAGCAAGCATCAACAACTTCTATCAAATATACAATCACAACATCACCAAAAAAAACATCAAATTCGACAAATTGGAGAGAAATCATGAAGAACTACGACAAGTTAACATCTCAACTCAACTCTCTCCCACCAAATTAAGCATTTTTAGAGCAACAACATAATGCAAAATTAAGTCAACTCAAATTCGTAAGCACCATGTTATGTATGTGATTATTATAGGTCTGCAAAGTAAGTATATACGTACAGTTTGAGTTCTCTGAATAATAAGAGCTTTATCTCCAGTCTCCGGAGAGATGAGCACGTTGTTCTTATTACTTCCATCACCGGTGAATTTGGGTTTGACGGTCCCGCGAACCAGGACGATGCGCTGATTCCCGTGATCTCGAGTCCCGGATTGGTCTTCAGACGCCGGAATCAGTGATCGGAGGTCGGAAACGGAGACTTCGGGTGCGTCTTTGATCTTATTCAACGCGGCGGAGGTAGATGCATACTTGATAACAGCACGAACAGCGCCAAAAGCTAGGGTTACTCCGAGGATGGCTCCGTCGAATGATAAAGCGACGTCGGACAAAAGGGTGATGAAGGCCCGATCCGACGAGGACATTACGGTAATTTCGTATCCAACGCAGAGACGGACAAGTCAAGAGGAGGACATGACATGAGAGAGATGATGAGGCTATTATCGGTATTTAAGATATAACATACGACGGTCATTATAATTTGGGCCTTTAATAGGCCAGAAATTAGAACCGGGCCTTCCTCTAGTGACAAATCAGATGGTACTGGAGAGAAAGATAAAAGACAGCAGCTTCGGAATTTTTTTTTTTTAAATCAAGACTAGTCTTTTGTCCACGTTACGCATGGATTATATAATTATATTGTCGTTTTATAAAAAGGTTGTCCATTAATTTTATGTTTAATATTGTGATAAATTATAGAGTAGTAAATATCAGAAGAATTTATATATATATATATATATAATTTGTATAATAATTTGAAGGTAGATTAAGATATCTTTTGGTTTAGTTAAACTTATTTTTGCAAATATGAAGGGTAAAGTTTGACTTTTTGTATAATAATTTGATGTATATTTTTGTTATATTTTTGTCTATGTAAATAGTATCCACATGAACTATATATTATATTAGAAATCTATTGTCTAAATTTGGACATCTTATGTTATAATGCTATTTTTTAGTGAAACACCATGAGTATTTTTTTATACTTTCAAAAACTTTTTACATAAGCTTCTCTTTCGCTTGATGTTTTTAAAAAGAAAAACTCAATCCTTACTCCATTTTGTTTCATATTGTACCTTGGGATTTTGTTTTAAATTTTCATATAGTATGTATTTCTCTATTTATCAATTTTATTTTATGATTCAATGTGTACATAGATGTTTTATAATTAGTTCATATATTCAACGAAGAAAACAAATGAAAATTAATAATAAACTTCTTTATTATATGAGTTCTTTGGTAATTGATATAATATTTGTTTGATAGTTTAGCTAGCTCAATCATTTGCAAATATTGGTGAAGAGTGTGGAATTTATCGTTTTATGTTATTTGAAAAAAAAAATCGTTTCAGTTTTATGTTTTATGAACTTTTGCAAATGAAAATTAAGAAATGGTGAGTAGTTGTCTTTAATCACTGGTTCTTTAGTTAGGTTTTTACTTCAGTTTTTCCACAATATCGCATTACAATGAACAATATGGAATTATATATCACCTTTAGAAACTTGAAATCTGTTATAAGTCAAAAAGTTACAATTGTATAAATTAATTTTCTCTAGAAGAAAGAAAACTGAGTCACTCTTTAAGTTTTATTTTTGGCGAGAAATACGATCTCCAGTTCTAACAATACTATGATTGAGACTCATTCTATTTGATTCACATTATAAATAGAAATACAAAATAGTTGTGAGATTGTATTTTTATGTTGCTTACAACAATCTCAAGCATGAGACACATTAGACTTAATTTGTGATAGAGTTGTGTATTATTTATACCATTTGTGGCTCATCGCTATGTTTTTTTTTTTTGACATCCTCATTGCTATGTCTTTTGGATTTCCAAATGTTTATGCTCTACTTATTTAAGTTTTATTGTTTATTATCAGTTTGATTGTCATTAATTAAAAAATAAAATTTATGTTTAGTGACGGCTGATTCCATTTCTGGTGAGTCAAAGCGAAATGATTGGAAACCGAGAAGATGATGACTCCATAAAATAAGCTTTTGTTTAAGCTTTATAATTGAGTTTTAGTATAATTCGTATTCAGTTTTTTTAGCTTTGTTTTTTTCTTTTATTAAGAATTTAAGAATTATAAAAGTTTTTTTGTAGGTAAAATTTGAAGACATTTTGATTAATAAATTATTTAATGAAATGGCTTTAAATTATTAGTTGAAGAAGATGACATAGCATTTTTGGAATCTACCATTGGTTAATTATTTTTGCTGATGTGGCAGCCCTTAAAAGCCTAGAAATCTATTAAAAGTAAAATTTGTGTTTAGTGACGGCTGATTCCGTTTCTAGTGAGTCAGAGGCGAGATGATTGGAAACCGAAAAGACAATGACTTCATAAAATAACCTTTTGTTTAAGTTTTATAATTAAGTTTTAGTGTAATTCGTTTTTAGTTATTTTTTAGAATTTAAGAATTATAAAAGTTTTTTGGAGGTAAAATTTGAAAAAAATTTGATTAATAAATTATTTAATAAAATGACTTTAAATTATTAGTTAGAGAAGATGATATAGCAGTTTTAGAATCTATCATTAGTTAATTATTTTTGCAGCCCTTATAAACCTAGAAATCTATCTCATTTATATAAAGGAGATTTACATCGGACGGTCACTGTATTTTGGGCCGTTAATTCTCGTTCAAATGCAACAAGACATTCTAGGTCTTACGAAACGAACATTCTAAACCAAAAATTATGTTAGGTCTTAATGTATTTTGAGCTTTTAATGGGCTCGTGTACGCGTGAAATAGAAAAGACTAATTAATCCATTCGGCCCACCGTTTTAGCCGTTGGGAACCGCTAAACGCAATAAATGGTGTAGCGTTATAATTAAATTCCAGTTTTACCCTCAACGTTAGAGCTGATTTACAGACTTAACCAAAAATTAGATCTATCCCTCTTCTCTCCCCTAAAGAGAGAGAAAATACTCTCGCCGCCGTTCATCAATCTCCGTCGCGTCGCTGTATCTCCCCACCGACTGTGTCTCGTACTAGGTATTTATCCCCTCTCTATGGCTTACTCAGAGATGATTTTGGTCTTTTTTCCGATCTAGGGCAGAGGATCTTATGTGTTTGGAACTTATTGGTAAAATCTCCTTTTGTCTCCGTCTTCGTTTCCTCGGATTCGCAGAAGCTTGAGATGTTTTAGAGAATGCAGAAACTTCCTTGAATAGCAATTTCTGCGATTTTCTATTCGCAATTGTTTTCACGATGTTTTTTTTTTGCTTGTGAGATTCGATTGAAGAAAGGCGCTTTATTTACCATTGATTTTCTTCTTCTTCTGTGTGTTAGTGAAAAGAGATGGCGGGAGAAGGTGAAGAAGATGTACCAAGAGACGCCAAGATTGTGAAATCTCTGCTCAAGTCGATGGGTGTGGAGGAGTACGAGCCTCGCGTGATTCACCAGTTCCTGGAAATATGGTACCGGTACGTGGTCGAAGTGTTGACAGATGCTCAGGTTTACTCAGAGCATGCAACCAAATCCACCATTGACTGTGACGATGTGAAGCTCGCAATCCAATCCAAAGTTAATTTCAGCTTCTCACAGCCACCTCCAAGAGAGGTATATATGCATCGTTGTATTTCCAAGTTTGTGAATGATTTCTTTGGCCTTTTGTTACATAAGCTGCATTCAAGAACATCTTTGGTAATCGATTTGAGTATGTAGGAAGGTGATTGTCTTATCTTGATTTTGAGTTTGTGTCCAAGTTTATAGTTGTAGTGTCTGAATCTCGATGTTTCGTGTAGGTTCTGCTAGAACTTGCTGCGAGCAGGAACAAGATCCCTTTGCCAAAATCCATTGCAGGACCGGGTGTTCCGCTCCCGCCTGAACAGGACACGTTGCTCAGCTCGAACTATCAGCTGGTTATACCGAAGAAGTCAGCGTCAACAGAAGCAGAGGAAACAGAGGACGACGAAGAAATGACAGATCCTGCGCAGTCATCTCAAGAACAGCCGCAGCAACAACAAGCATCAGAGTTTCCCAGCCAAACTCCTCAAAGAGTCTCTTTCCCTCTCTCTAGACGACCCAACTAAGAAGAGAGAGAAACTGTAATGTTATTATGTATCAAGAGTTGAAGATGTAGAGAGTGTAAGAGAATCAATTATTAATGATTTAGAGACAGTTTTTATATATTCTGAAATGCACAATGCTTTAGCTGTATTATACTCCATTAGTAACAAAGATCACGGAGAAAAATGAAAACAATAAGGAGATTTTATGAAGAGCCTTTGAAGTTGAACACACATTTACACAAGTGGCGTCATACTCTCTACATAGTCTAGAAAGATGTAACAATAAGGAGAGAACTGCTTCTTAAACTTTGGGAATCCGTGAATATCGACTCTTGTAAAAGCGTTCCTCTCCATATTGTAGAAGACAAGGTAGCGAGGGTTTATTGGCTGAAACACAATTTCACCTGCACCGGTCGTTCCAACAACGTAACAACTATTCCCGATTCTCCCGCCGCGAAAAGGAGGTAGCAGGCATACACTTTTGGACCACTTACGTTCTCCATCATCTTCTTCTAGAACCCACAACACAAGTCGGTCCAAAGAGAGTTTATCAAAATAATGTGCACATAACTTACCTTTGTAGTTCATCAACTTCATTCCATAGTTTCCATCCAACATTTCTTCATGCATCTTAATAGAGCTGAACTTCTCAGAGCTAAAGTCAAAGCAAACCATCATGTGACCTCCTTCTTCAAAGCGAGCTCTGTAATACAAAACACCATTTATGCATATTCCTGTAGCAGTAGACTCTAGAAAGTCATGGGGTTTGCATTCCATGGTGCTTCTCCAAACACCTTCTCCAGTCCCCAATGTCAAAATCCGGTGGGTAATGGGTCTTCCGTAGCGTGAATTGCAGGTTCTACACAACACTTTGAACTGTTTGTTGATCGGATCATACCCAAAAAAGCTGTTTTTAACAACCGTCGCATACTCTCGGGGCAAGGTTATGGACTCTCCAGTGACGGGGTTGCAAATCAACTTCAACCTTTTTTTTTCCCGTCCGTGAAGAAAGACCAAACCCCTGATCGGGGGACAGATTTGACCCAACGTTCCAGATACAACATATTCGGGAAGATAGTCATAACGTGTGGCTACAAGAGAATAGTCCTCACCATCTAGATGATTGATTTGAGGTTGAGGTGAAGAGAAGACGAGTATACCTTTATCATCATCTTTGATGACGAACAAGATCCGTGGACGAGTCAAACTAGACTTTGTCAGAAACAGCTCAGTGAAATCAGGAAGGCGAGTTATGGATCTCCATGATTTCGAGACACAGCGAAACCTACCTATAGACTTTGTCGGGACTCTCAAGAATATCTCGACAAGGAGATCAGATGGGATATGGTCTGAATGTTCTCTTACCGAGTTCGAAGGTTGTGTAATCAATAGACCCTCCGAGAACTGCTGCTCCAGATTATTCTTCTTGGCGGCTCTTTCAAACCCTAGAAGTCGACTTAACACGAAAGAAATCATCGACTTAATTATGCGGCTTTCTTTTTTTCCAAACTGACTTTTATACACATCGACGATCTTCAATGGGCGGCTCTATTTAGGCCCAATAGTTTAATCAAACAAATCATTTCGGCGTCTTTTGATCTACGATTGTGATCAATAATAGGACCAAGGCGTGTAGAACAAGTTTCTGAGTTCTTGGCTTGCAAGCAGAAATTAAGGGGTTTTATTTGGTCTCATGTTTAGGATTTCATTTCTCTCGAGGCTCAATCTACTTGAACGATTCGATTATTCTTGTAATATTCTTGACGAAGAGAGTTTCTTCATTCTCCAATTATTTGAGGAAATGTTTGCCTCAGTCCGATTAAACCAAGCTCCTGTAGTTTGTTTTCGGCTTCTCACAGCCACCTCCAAGAGTGTTATATATTTATTGCTTTATCGAGATTCTTGTGTGAAAGTCTCATTCATTGTTTAGAATGAGAAAGATATTACTATAGGCTTCGCTAATTCTATTCAAAGAAGCATTTCATATTTTTGATTTCTGGACAATATAATTTAACCAGAAAGAGCAGGTTAAATGAGAAAGGTCCCTTTTCAACGCAATTGCTTGGAAGACACGCACCAAATAAGTACTAGTGATCGATATCGTCAAGACATTCTAACTTAAATCATACAGCGTCTAAACATATCTTCTCACAAACATACTCTAATTTACAACCTAAAAGGTAAGCAAGTCTTAAAAGACAAAAGAAGATCTAAAAGCCAACAGAAATAACTAAGGCTCACACGATTATGTCACAAGAATTTAGAGAAAAATAATATAACTGTATTATTATAAAAATAAAATCCAAACAATCTTAAGAGCTAGTAACTGAAATCCAAATTTTTTATATAAGTGTCGCATTCTCTACATAGTCGAGAAAGGTGTTACAAAAAGAAGGGAACTGCTTAATTAGCTCTTCGAGTCCATGAATATAGACTCTTGTACAAGTGTTTCTCTCCGTATTGTAGAAGATAAGGTAGAGAGGGTCTGATAGACGTCTGTACGGCTTAAATACAAATTCACCAGCACGGGTCATTCCAACAACTTTAGAATGGATGTTGCATAAAGGAGGCAGTAGGCATATAGTTTTTGGACCATTTATGTTCTTCTCGAACCAACAACACAAGCTCTTTTGGCTTCCCGTAGCGCTCTCTGAAATAATGTGCACAAAACTTACCTTTGTAGTTCAAAAACTCTATTCCATGTTTTAAACTTGACATATCTTTATGCATCTTAATAAAGCTGAACTTCTCAGAGCTAAAGTCAAAGCAAACTATCATAGAAGGAGATCCATCTTCAAAGCGAGCTTCGTAATACAAAACACCATTTATGCATATTCCTGTATGATCACGACAATAATGGCGTTTGCATTCCATGGTGCTTCTCCAAACACGTTTTCCAGTGACCAATGTCAAAATCCGGTGGGTATTGGGTCTTCCATAGCGTGACTTGTTGGTCATACACAACACTTTGTGCTGTTTGCTGATGGGATCATAGCCCAAAAAGCTGCTATGAATATACGTAGCTTTCTCTCGGGTAAGGCTATGGACTCTCCAGTGACGGGGTTGCAAATCAACTGCAACCTTCTTTCTCCCCGTCCATGAAGAAAGACCAATCCCCTGAGAGGGGGACAGATTTGACCCCACATTCGAGATGGAACATATTCGGGAAGATTGTTGTAACGTGTGGCTACGAGAGAACAGTCTTCTTCACCATCTAGATGATTATTTTGATGAGGTTGAGGTGGACGAGTCAAAGACTTGGTCAGAAACAGCTCAGTGAAATAAGGAAGACAAATTATGGATCTCCATGATTTCGAGACACAATGTAACCCAGCTATAGACTTTGTCGGGACTCTCAAGAATATTTCGATAAGAATATCAGATGGGATCGGGTCCGAGACCTTCTGCTTCCGTTGTTTCATGGCCGATTAAACCCTAATGTAGATCTAAGACTTGGTACGAACGAAATTGACTTATGGCTCTGCTTTTTCTTCGATATCTAGGATTTTTTTTTTAACAAAAATTGAATTTATAGGCAACGTTGCCTAAAATGGACCCTGTTAAGCCCAATATCTACTCACCAATTTGGTACCAAAGATGGACCCCTACTAGGCCCAAGATCAACTTACAAACCCATATATCATCAATCAAGGACAAGCACAAGAAAAGTGACGACCATGAACAAGAACAACAACAGTTCAGATGTATGGTTTTGTGTGTTTAGAACAGAGTTTCTTCATTCTAAGACTTCAAGAACCAAGCTCCTGGAGTTTGGTGTCAAAAATTCATTGCTGTTTCTTGTTATGGAGATTCTTGTTAAAAATTCATTGCTGTTTCTTGTTATGGAAATTCACCAGAGTCTAGTTTTCATTAGCCTATATGTGTAAGTGCATATTATTATTATTATTATTATATACAATGTTTTCTTAGAATCAACACAAGAACAAACAAGGTACACCAAATCTTTCTGAAGCATCATATTACTATACATAAATAATAACTAAAGTATACGTGAACAAGGAGGATCTCTCTGTTTTTGACTAAAGAAACCGAAGAACATGTTAGCTTCCCCGGCCAACCATTGCTGCACGGCGAGGGCGAGAAAAGGCGAGCCCTCGATCATACATCCGCTGAATCTCCTCTCTGTATTCAGTCAGAGACTTGTCAGGTATGGCTGGAGTCAGCTCCACCACGTCTCCCATCTTCAGCTTGCATTTCACATCACTTACAGGTCTCTGGTTCAGCCTCGGCCTTAGCTCTTCCTTCGCCGGGATGCTGTACATTGACCATCTCGAGCTCCCTGGTCCTGCTCTGCTTAACAGGTCCGATACCGTGGAACTCGCCGGAAACTCTTGCACAGTCATCTGCATTTTCAAGGGTTTAGCGAATATCGTAACTCCAAGCAAAGCAGAGCAAGGAGAAGAAGAATAATCAACTAACCTTGTCGTTTTCGATTACAATGACATAGACTGGTCCTTCTTGGTCACCATTAGGCTTATAGGAAAACGGACAGTCTTGAGCGTGAGACGGGAAGCTGCACAATGGCTCGGAGGAGCAGATGGAGGATCTGTCTTTGCTCATGGTTTCGCAGTGCCAGGTCACAACCCATCGAGCCCATTCAACCATCTGAAGCACAAAGGATGAGTGTTTGCAGTCACCTTCCTTGTATCTCCAGTGAGCCGCAAACCCAAACTCAGCTTGCAAATGCATCTCCTTTGTCCGTATTTGAACTTCCAGAGGAATACTTCTTCCATCGCCAATCACTACGGTATGCAAAGATTGGTACCTGAAAAAAAAACGGAAGTCAGGTAAGCAGAGAGGGAAGGAGTGTGCATCATTTCAAGGTACAACCCGGTTTGCAGTAAACCCTACCCGTTGAACTTGGGATGAGTTATGTAATCTTTCAGCTTCCCAGGAACTTCAGACCATAGCTTGTGAACTACTCCTAAGGCCTTGTAACAATCTTTCTCATTGTCAACAATCAAACGTAACCCATGAATGTCATGAATTTCATCCACGGTCAGCTTTTTCCTGTGACATATTCGAAGAGACAACAAGATCAATATCCTGGCCTCACAGAGAAAATCGATTAACCACATTCAGATAAAAGGGGTCTTACTTCAACATCTTGCAGTAGATACTATACAAGCTCTTGTGCCGTCCCGAGAGAACATGGTACGAGATGCCTTCTTTCTTAAGCGCTTGCTCCAGTTTCTCAATCGCGGAAGTAATCATAGCTTCGTCGAATGAATCCTCGAGCATAGCAGACATCTCGTGGTGCTGGTCTGGATGAAGATGCTTGAAACATAGATTTTCAAGCTCAACTTTCCAGCTAGAGATTCCCAATCGATTAGCCAAAGGTGCAAATATCTCCAGAGTCTCTTTAGCAAACCTTTGCTGCTTCAATGGAGGCAAAGCATAAAGCGTGTACATGTTATGTAACCGATCAGCTAACTTTATAAGAACAGCTCTCGCGTCTGCCATTGCAAGGAACATAGTGTGCAAACGATCTGCTTCAACGGTTTTACACGCCGTGTTGTTTTCCCGAGCAAGTTTACTTAGTTGGCTAAGCTTAGACACCTAATGCAATACGAAGAAGATGAAAAAACGAAAATTAGAATCTCAAGCTTTAACAAAAACACATTCATGGATGTTTGTTACTTACCCCTTCCACAAGATCAGCGACTCCTGATCCAAAAGTTCTGAGAATGTAATCATAGCTCATGAATGAATCATCTAAAGTATCATGTAGAATCCCAGCTACGACAACGGTCGAGTTAGCTCCAATGTCAGCCAACAACATTGCAGTCTCAACACAATGTTGCAGGTAAGGATCACCATTTGCTCTCATCTGATTCAAACACACATCAATCAGTAAACCAATATCAAAAACCGAAATTTGTAAACTTTTTTCTTCTTCTTCTTCTTCATACCTGTCCTCTATGAGCTTTCTCTGCCTCATAAAACGCTTTGATCACTGATTCATCTTCGAAGATTTTGTGTTTCAGCTGAGCACGTCTAAGCAAATCTCTAGCATATGGTTGTCTTCTTTCTCCTTCAAAACCATCGTCCATGGTGAATGGTAGCTGCTCATCGACGAGAACAGAGTCTGTTTCGTAATCAACACACGAGCCAACCGCTTTCCTGACGAAGCCATTGAACAACCTGCTAGATCCTACGCGGAGAGAAGAGCCGCCATGGAAACCCCCATCCGAGTTCCGATCTCTTGAAATTCTCATCGGAGGGCTGCTGCTTGATGAAATTGGACCGTGGAGCACCGAGACGGGGCTCTGGTGGTCTCGTTTGAGGTACGAGGAGCCGATGAATTTGCTCGGAGAATAGCAGAAGGAGCCGCTTAAGGTCCGGTCCTCGCTTCGATCATGGCGTATGGAAGATAATTCCTCTCCTACTGTTGGGTGCGATGAGGAGGAAGACGATGATTTGACGGATGCGCCGGAGAAAAGCAAAGAGAGACCTCCGACTGTCGGAGACGCCGTGGAGGAAGACGCCGACGAGGATCTGGGGTTCAGATCGAGGTCGCAGGAGACATGAGCGTTGATCTGGTGCGCTGTGGAGCATATAGTGCTCGGTGGACTCGCGTAAAGCGCTATGGTCGTTGCTACCACCATGGAAGCTCTCTCTGGTATTCGGAGGTTTAAGATATCAAATTGAAAACCTAAGGAATTCGAAATTTTGGAATTGACTTCACAATTTTACCGGAAACGAAGAACTTTCCCTGGAAATATCGTTAGGGAACGAACAGATCTCTCAAAACCCAGAAATTTGGGGGTAAAGAGTTATACAGAAAGGGGCAAAAAAAAAGTTTTTTTTTTGGTATTATACACGAACAGGAAGAACAAATCGATTTAAGTATATAAACAATTTCAAACACGAACACAGAAAAATTCAGAAAACGATTTCAATCAGAGAGATTGTGAGAGAGAGAGAGATTGAGATTTTTCCTCTTTCTTCTACTTTTTCATTCTAGAAAAACCAATCTATCCTTCGTGTTCTTCTTATTCGCCCGTTAAATCCAGCAACCGAAGAGAAACTGAGCATTTCAAATTACGTAATTACCCTTTTGTTAACCAGAGATTACTGCCTTAAGTAAGCTGATTATTATTCGATAATGTCGTAATCCATTGTGATTTTGAACTATAAATAACTATTTTCTGGTACTTCAAACAATCATCGACCTAATCTTCTTTTTTTCTTTCAAATCTACAGTTTGATTACTATTTTAGCGCAAGTTTCTTGGTGATTAGTGATTAACATTTCGGATTATATTTCATGTAATAAAAGGTCTATGATGATTATTGATGATGGTTGCAAAAATCAGCAAATGGTCGGAAGTGGGATCCACCGTCGATTCTATAGTTTTTTTGTCTGGTTGGGAATTTTTTGATTCAATGAATCTATTTGCGGATGAGGAATCCCATTTTGTTCTTTTTAAAATAAAATAAAAAATATATATATTACAACTTACAAAACTTTTACGTTCATTGATAAACTGAAATATTTATGACATTTTTTGACATTTTTATAAAGCAAAATAGAGAGATGGAGAAATTTGAAAATCCAACAGTTGAAAAATGGGGTTACAAGATATACAAAAATTTAACTAGAAAAAAAAGGAAAATATATATGTCTTACAATACTAAAATTGTAATCGTAAATTTGCTCTACGTTGTAAGTGTTATTTTTCATCAAATAATTTTCGGCAGTTGCACCAAGTTCATATATTGAATCTTTACATAATCATAAGGCAAATGAGATTTGCTAAGGACAGCATAGACATTTCAGTTACATTTTATTCGGCTTTGTATGCCAAATTAAAAATCATTTTTGCCAACTTTTAAATCTTCACGAAAACTATACTCCTAAATTTACAAGTATGTTCATTTGTGATAAGGACACCGACGAATTCTCGAAGAAGAACCATCACTGCAGAAAAACGAATTGCCACGTGGTGTCAAGAAGACGGACGTAAATAAGACACGTGTCCAAAATTGGTGGCCAAGTTTACATCCTTGTGCCAGGTCAGCATTCACGGTCCGTGACTTGTGGGAATCGTTTCTACCTATAAAACAACGGTTCTGCATGAGTCCTGCGATTTAAAATCACAGCCGTCAAACCGATCACGACGACAATATACTGTTCTTTAACGTACGGAGTCAAGGTATCAAACGCCTGTTTTTGTATTTGACTTTCGGTGGAAAACCAAAAAAGTTAGGTAAATACATCAATTTAATAACTTTTCTAACATTTTTATGTCCAAAATCAAGTAGAATTAATCCTCATAATTGGTTGGAAAATTAAGAAAACAGTCATATTCTTCTTGCACACACGTGTAAAAAAGCAGCAGAAGGATTATATATGTTCTCTTGTTTATAATTTTAGTTAAAATGCAGAACAAACGTGGTATTTCGTGAAAAATATATAAAATGAAGGGTGATTCTAGTAATAAACAAAATAATTTGAAGTGATTACGCTAGAAGCAAAAGTGTTTAGAGGCAGCGTGCAAACTTAAGCCGCCGTCGTCGGAGTTGTCGTCGGAGCCGCCGCCGCCATCGTCGGAATTGTCGCCGGAGCCATCGCTGCTGTCAGAGTTGCCGCCAGAGCCATGCCGTTGTAATGTCCAGATCCGTTCGGCGAAGACTCGCAGTAACCAAATCTCCTTCCATTTCTGTTTTCTGCTTCCGATCTGAGACTAAAGTGAAGACTGACGTGATCTATCTCTCTCAGATTCATAATTATTTCTTACTGAGTAGTCATTTGTTAATCCGCGCATACCTCACTATATCTATATGAATACATGTATTTAATTGTTGGTTGAACCTGATTAGTAATGCGTTAATAACACCATAGTAATTATTACTGTCCTGCAGTTGCTGAATGACGAACTTAGTACCATATGTCGCTAAACGAAATATTGTTGAATGATGTATGAATAATGTTTGCGGGTGTTTGCATTACATGGGGAAGATTACTTGCGGGCTGGGATTAGATGTAGGAACCTCTTTTGATATGTATGTTTAGATATGGAGGTGTGTGGGACTCCATAGTCCATCGTTGGCGGCTTGACGAACCCTGCGTCTTGAGGACGGACAGCGTGTGGGCCACTATATGTCACGGGGTGTGCGCTGGAGTGGGTGTGGATGCACCAGTTAGGTCTAATGATGTCATTTCTTGATCTACGAGTGTCTTCGGACGTGTTTGCTTGTGTGTATTAGCTTAGGATTTTCGTCTGGAATGGTTATGCATGTGCGAGATGTATATCGTGGATCCCTAGGATCCGCTTTCACTGAGTATTGTTGGAATACTCATCCCTCTTTTCTCTGCAGGTGAGCGTGTAGATATTCAAAAGTAGTTTTGTGGCTTGATGATGGTTTTGGGATGATACAAGATTTATTCTATTATTCATTTTTATCTTTAAGACGTTATTTAAATTCGGATTCATTAGTTAAGTTAAAGTGATTTTTTTTGTAAGACGTTTTGAATACGATCTTTCGGAATAAAAGTGGCATTGAACTAGCAAATGATTTCTTGTGGTGAAGTTAATGCACTTTAATATGCTGTCTTGGTTTGAAAAAGGCGGGTATTACAATTGATATCAGAGTTTAGGATTGTCAAACCGGTTCTGATCTGGGTGACAGATAATAAAAACGTGCCCACCTATCCAAATGACATATTCGTAGTCAAGCTGATATGATTAAATGATGAGTAAAAAAAATCGCTATTTATATAAACATGGTGTCTATTATTATTACACAAAGTTGTTTCAAAAAAACATGTATTATTTAATTTACTTTTCCGGACGATGGTTGCATGAATAGAAATCTGAATGCATTTAAAATTATATATATAATAGAAATAGAGTACCACAATTTTAAATATCGTGACGTTTTTTTTATTATAGCCTTATAGGGTTATATGTGTGTATCTGATAATTTAGTATTTTCAAATATGTTTCGAAAAAGTTATAATTTAGTAGTTGTTAACTAGCATATTTTATTTTAGGTACACATTAACTAATTTGTTAAGTAGCACCAACATACGTGTTAAAATGTAATAAAATACCATATGCTTCTCTTTGGAAGTTAGCCCATAACTTGAAATTGAGAAATGAGTGGATCTCCTTTGTTGCACTTACGGCTTCGATTTTTATCAAATACAAAAGTTGTCCACTTTTCGATTTGTATCATATTCGCTCCTCTCAACTCTTCTTCTATTGTATTACTCAAAGAATAATTCTTTTATAACTCAAAGTGATTAATTCAATTTTTTTAAAAAAAATCTTTGAATTTATTTCTATGAAAACTTTAGAATAATACTATTCGATCTGTGATTACATTACATATGGAGAGTCATTAGAAAGTATTTTCGATGGCCCATAAAACAAAGAAATTAAAACATTGCAATTTGTACGTATCTCCCCATTCAGGATACTACACATGGCAGCTTACGCGTCACAGATCCATTCCCACACGTTTTCTCTTTCCTCTTTCACTTCCATTTAATCAAAACTTTTTATTTTTCGTTTTTTAGTTGCTTCTCTTTATCTTCTGAAAAAATAGCTTTGTGTGTTATTACATCAGAAGAGCAAATATATTAATCAGTTCGAAGGGAACAAAAGAACTCAGAAAGAGAAACGAAGAAACTAATTCAAAGGTATCATCAAAAAGGCTAAAGTTATGGTTTTTCAGCTGCTTCAATTTTAAAGGATTTCAGAGCAAAATATGAACTTTAATTTCAATTTCAATTTCAATTTCTTACTTTTTGTTTTTGTTCTTTACTTCGAATAAAGTATTGAATTTTTTTTCTTCCTGTTAATTGATTTCAGAGGTTATTAAAGTATGCTCTGTTTCCCTGAGAACGAAAGTTTGTATTTTTCCTGCATTTGTTCTATAACTCATACACAGTGCTTTTTACTTTCAAATCCATTTCTTCTGTCCTTTATCGTCTTTCGAGGTCGCCAATCGGTGAATGGCAGATATTTTACTCTCTCTCTTCTCCTTCCTATCTTTAATTCTCTCTCATCCTTTGTGGTGATAGGATCAAGAAACCGCCTCACTAGTCATTCATTTAAAAGATGGTGATGGTAGGAGAAGCACCCATGGAACTGGACCAGTGCTTTCAGAAGATGAAGATGGAAGGAATCTCGATCAAAGAGTGGGGAGACATCCCTGTGGAGCTTCTGATGAGGATCCTTTCCCTTGTCGATGATCGGAATGTCATTGTTGCTTCTGGTGTTTGCTGTGGTTGGAGAGACGCCATCTCTCTTGGCCTCACTCGTCTCCGTCTCTCTTGGTAATATTCTCCCTCTCTCTCTCGCTCTCTCTAACCCCTTTTTTTAGGACACAGTCATATTTTCTCTGTGTTGGTGTTTTAGATTTGAAGTGGGAGTTGAGTTTCCAGAGTCTTAATTTGCATCTTGTAATTTAGGTTTATGTTGATTTATCGTCTGGTTTGTGTAAAGTTCAGAACTTTTTTGTTGTTCTTGTCTTGATGAACATTTCTTCATTCTGTTGATGATGATTTGGATAGATGGAATTTCACTTTTTTGATGAAAACCTTTAGAGATGATGTAGGAGTTAAAATCAAGCTCTTTTATCCAGAAGGAGTAAATGTTTAGAGTTTAAAGATGACTATGGAGTACTTAAACCTCAAGAAGCTTTGTTCTTGTCACTTGCAGTGTATTCAGAATGCTATTTGTCTAACTCTCTGATTCTGTTTCTTCTTTCTTTACCAGGTGTAACAACAACATGAACAGCTTGGTTCTTTCTCTTGCTCCCAAGCTTGTAAAGCTGCAGACTTTAATACTGCGGCAGGACAAACCGCAACTAGAGGACAATGCAGTGGAGGCAATAGCAAATCACTGCCATGAGCTACAAGAGCTTGATCTCAGCAAAAGCTTGAAACTTACAGATCGCTCCCTTTACTCACTTGCTCATGGTTGCCCTAACCTCACAAAGCTCAACCTTAGCGGATGCACTTCATTCAGCGACTCTGCTATTGCTTATCTGACCCGATTCTGCAGAAAGCTCAAGGTTCTGAACCTTTGCGGATGTGTCAACGCTGTATCTGACCATACCTTGGAGGTGAATGGTGAATTCTGCGTTTTGATTATTATCTCTCAGTCTGGTTTTTGCTCATCACAGAGTGACTGATTGATGTGCAGGCTATTGGGAATAACTGTAACCAGTTGCAGTCACTGAACTTGGGATGGTGTGAGAATATCAGTGATGATGGGGTTATGAGTTTAGCTTATGGCTGCCCAGATCTCAGGACCCTGGACTTGTGTGGATGTGTTCTCATCACAGGTAATTCACACTTACTCAGGAGCTAAACTTTCCTAGATAGATGGATCAGAAAATGATTGATCTTGAGACCCTTTTTGTCATGTTATTTTTTTTTGCAGATGAGAGTGTTGTAGCTTTAGCAGACTGGTGTGTCCACTTGAGGTCACTGGGGCTATACTACTGCAGAAACATAACAGACAGAGCCATGTACTCGCTAGCTCAAAGCGGTGTAAAGAACAAACCGGGGTCATGGAAGTCGGTTAAGAAGGGCAAATACGACGAAGAAGGGCTGAGAAGTCTCAACATCAGCCAATGCACTGCCCTTACGCCTTCAGCGGTTCAAGCGGTTTGCGATACCTTCCCGGCTCTTCACACGTGCTCGGGAAGGCATTCGCTCGTCATGAGCGGTTGTTTGAACTTAACCTCTGTGCACTGTGCTTGTATTCTTCAGGCTCATCGCGCACACAGTTCGTTTCCTCACCCGGCTCATTGAAACAGAGAGGAATAGCTATGTTGTATATAGAAGCTATCATGTTGTGAGACTAGATGATAAGTAGCTGTGCTAAGATGGATGTGAAAACTTTTAAGTTGTTCTTTCTTTGCCTTGAAAGATCTTTTGTAAGATGTTGGTGCTATTTTCATGAGGAATTAGTACAAGACCTTACCTCTATGTTACTGTTAAATTTAGAATTCCTTTAACAAAAAAGACTTTCCTCAGATCGTTAAAAACTCACAATCTTTGGTTGATAAGTAAATGGATTGCAATCGTTAAGGATTGTGACGATGGTTGACAAAAATGGGCCGGATTATCAAAAAAGAGGTCCTACCGGCAGTCGAACCCAGGTCGCTGGATTCAAAGTCCAGAGTGCTAACCACTACACCATAGAACCTTTGTGTTTTAACCTATGAATTAAAAATACATCTTGTAACTCATCAGGGCTTTGATGAATACAAAATTGCCTTCCTTAATCAATTACAAACTACGATAACATAATTGAAATGAAACCATGGTTTTTCTTTTTTGTTGTTAAGTACAGTATAACTTCATTTCAAAAAGAAAAACCATGGTTTCATGTAAGTTAACAACAAAAATACTTAACTTCAAACTGGATAACTGCAACAAAAAAGATGAATTTTGTTTTCTTTGGAATAAAAAAAAAAGAAAAGAGAAGCTCTTGTACTGTCGGCCCTTTATAATGGGCCTATATTTTTGTCCAGCCCATGTGATTAAGTGTATATCGCGGGTTATAGGGGAAGTGAAACGATATGCTGAAAATATCGCCAGCGGTATTTACGCGGCTACTTTGAGTTCTAATTAGAACTTTTAAGTCAAAACTATACGAGTAATAGCTAAGATGATTCACCTAAAGTAGTTTTTATCGCCTAGGACGGTTCATTAATGCACACTGCTTAACAGTAAACAGTTTACTCTGTCAATCTCAGAATTCTGATTATGGACACAAACAAATTCCGACAGTGAGCAATACTATGTCTTGCAATAATGATATCCCTATATCTGTAGTGCTTCCTTTTCCGTACTCGTACGTAAGAATGCAAACTTATTAATTCTCCTGTTAGGAAAATGTAATTAAGAGAAACAAATACTTGGAAAAGGTTGACAATGTAATTAAGAAGTTGGTTCATAGAGTAATTGAGGACATCCTAAAATGACAACCGTGTATTGACTCAATCCAAGACTACTTCCACACAGATAATCACTTTGCCAAGAGATAGCAAAAGCAAATTATGATTCACCACTTAGAGTAAACAACTTACAACTTCACAAGTTATGTAATTCCAATCATTTAATTATCCAAACCTTTCAGTGATGTATATAAATACAAACACACATCACTCCAGTTTTTTAAACTTTTGCAGTTGCGTTAATACACTAAAACACTGAGAAGGAATGGAGAATGAAACCAAGATTCTGGTTCTCATTATAGGTGCAGGACCAGCCGGTTTAGCAACATCAGCTTGCCTCAACCGGTCGAACATACCAAATGTTGTGGTGGAAAGAGAAGACTGTAGTGCATCTCTGTGGAAAAGGAGGACTTACAATCGTCTAAATCTCCACCTGGCAAAGCAACTCTGCCAACTTCCTCACATGCCATTTCCTCCAAACACTCCTACCTTCGTCTCCAAGGTAGGTTTCATAAGCTACCTTGACAAGTACGCAACAAAATTCAAAATAAGCCCTAGGTACAACCGGAACGTCAAATCGGCTTGTTTAAACGGTGATCGATGGATTGTGGAGGTGGAGAACTCCGCGTCAGCTTCGATAGAAATTTACTCGGCCAAGTATTTGGTTGTGGCGACGGGAGAGAATGGCGAAGGTGTGATTCCAAAGATTCCGGGGCTTGTGGAGAGCTTTGAAGGAGAGTATTTGCACTCAAGCGAGTACAAGAACGGCGAGAAGTTTGCCGGAAAAGATGCTTTGGTCGTCGGATGTGGAAACTCGGGAATGGAAATTGCCTATGATCTGTCTAATTGGAACGCTAAGGTTTCCATCGTTGTTCGTAGCCCGGTAAGTATAGATTAGGGAAAGCACGAATATTTAATTAAATGGTTATAAGTTATAACAAAAATTAACTAGAATTACAAACGCTTCAATTTTTGTAACTGAAATATATAGGTGCACGTGCTGACTAGAGGAATCGTACGGATCGGAATGTGGCTGCTCAAGTTCTTCCCGGTAAAATTAGTTGACCGTTGGTGTCTCTTACTCGCGCAGCTGAGGTTTGGGAGTATTTCGAGATATGGGCTTGTAAGGCCTAAAATGGGCCCGTTTATGCACAAGATTGTCACCGGCCGGTCACCTACCATCGACGTCGGCTGCGTCGGCGAGATCAAATCCGGCAAGGTTCAGGTAGTGCCGTCGATTAAGCGTATCGAAGGAAAGAGAGTGACATTCGTTGACGGAAATACTAAAATCGTCGACTCAATCGTCTTTGCAACTGGTTATAAGAGCAGCGTTTCAAAATGGCTTCAGGTAAATTACATTTTTAGAGAACTTTCAATCTCCGAGAAACAGAGAGAACAAAAAAACTCTGTTCTAGTTTTTAATTGATCTGATGTGACTCAGGTCGATGATGGAGATCTGTTCAACGAGAATGGGATGCCGAAACGCGAGTTCCCGGATCACTGGAAGGGGAAGAACGGGTTGTACAGTGCTGGATTTGGGAGACAAGGCTTAGCTGGAATTTCAAGAGATGCTCTGCTCATTGCTCGAGACATTGTTTCTCTGGTTTGTCCGAGAAAAGCATGAACAAGCTTCACTGTTATATAACAACTTTTTTGAGTTTTTTTTTACATGTCAGATACTTCCATAGGGTCTTAGAAGTTGTAATAGCCTTGTTGAATATGCTAAAATCACAAACACAATACCATTGATACAATATGATAAAAACAGCTTCATAGCAAGTGAAAAAGAAGATTACGTTATTGGTGAAACATTCATTACTGAGAAATCCTTGGAGAGACATTGCACAAGAGCTTAGCTTCCATTGTTGGCCAGTGTGTTCAGAATCTCATGACTTTGTTGTTGTCGCAAGAGCGTTTCTGAGATTTGAGTACTTAGTTTCCAGCTCGTACCATGAATCCAAGTTCACTAAACGGTTAAACTCCTCGAAAGTAATCATCTTTTCCAAGTGATCTTTGGTAGTTCCCTTTTCCTTGAGGATCTTGAGAACGTCGACAAGAGCTCGAGTTGATGCATAGAGCGAGGTAAGCGGGTGAGCGATCAAATGAAAGCCCATTTCTTTAAGCTCATCAGGGGTATGCAATGGCGTGCGCCCACCTTCAAGCATGTTACACAATCTGTACCCTTTCGTGCGCTTTCCGATTTCCTTAAGCTCATCGTCGTCTCTCGGTGCCTCTACAAAGGAAGCATCAGCTCCTGCCTGCAACATTTTTTTCCAATCTGTCTTTAGTAACCACAAGTTAAGGATTTTCGTTGTTGATAAGACAAGATAATTTAAAAGTAACCTCGATGTAGAGATTGGCACGGTCGATTGCGTCTGAAAGTCCTGTTTTTGCGGACAGAGCACGAGCATCGGTCCTAGCGATGAGGAAAAAGTCAGAATCTCCAATAGCGTCTCTCGCTGATGCTATTTTAGCAGCGTGCTCCTCCGCAGGTATGACCTGTTTCCCCAAGTTAGAGAAGCCAAATGTCATAACTTAGAACATCCACACCAAATCATCTGCACTCTTCGAGTATTGAGCAATAACATTCAGTTTATATATAGTTTTGGGGGATCAGAGGAGGAGGAAATGAAACCAATACCTCTTTGCCACGCATATGACCTACAACAAAAGAGAAGGGAGACCAAAAGAGTTTATAAGTATTTGAAACATTTGATTATAGCTTATCGCTTTGGGAGAAGGAACAAGAAGATGATGTCTCTCTTACCACACCTCTTTGGCCATGCCTGGTCCTGCGAGATAACATTAGCATAAGTCAAGATGAAGAGGAAGAAGAAACTTTCTTGCGGTTAGTATAATGAAGAGAACTAAGATAGCACAAGAGAGTAACATAAACTAATAAGTTAGAATCATTAGAGATTTAACCATCACTGAATCCAAAGACTAGTCTGAAGAAGTTTACCTCAAGGAAACAACCAGCAGCACCTGCTGCAATTAAGTCCTTCACGGTTCTTTGAACATTGAGGGCATTTCCTCCACCAGTATCTAATGAATTTCAAACAAAATAATGAAATCTTTAACAGCATAGAAACTTTAAAGAAACATGACGCAGCTTCTGAATATTCTCCAAATCTCTTCACATTCCACAAAAAGGTCGATACTTTTAACCCCAAGAACCACAATTAGTTGTTTGAGATTTCAGATTCCTGACTTGCCTGCATCTGCAATGATGGGTATGTTCGGAGCCGCAGCACAAACCGATCTCGCCGTTGCTGCCATCTCCGGCGGTCTAAAACGACAGAAGGGAAACGAATAAAACGACAGAAGATGGAGTTCTCCACTAAACAAAACAAGTGAAAACTGAAAAGGCACACAAACGCACGTTATCAAACCGAAATCGGGTTTTCCTAGGATAGAGGCGGAGAGGGCGTAGCCGGAGATAAGCGCGGCGGAGAATCCCGTCTGCTGCACGATAGCCGCCGATAAAGCGTCGTAGACCCCGGGAATAAGCACAGCGCCTTGCTCTTCGATCAGACGGTGAACACGTGACTGCATTCTCACCGTCGGATAAACCGATCTGACGGCGCGAGGGGTTCGACTGATTCTGGATGAAATTGAAGTGTTTGAGTTGCAGAGTGAAGTGGATTTGGCCGCCATTAACATCGACATTCTCTAAGCTTTGAAGGTTTTCTCAAGCCGTTGGAGAGTGAGAGTGAACAATGAAGACAAGAAGATCAGTATCATCAGTTCAATCGGATAAATAAGATGTTAATGATGTCCACGTGTCACATACTTATGAGCTATTACTGTAATCCGTAATTTAAATAGATTAGTTTAAAAGCATCCTTATGAAAAATGTTGATATGAAAGAGCAATAAAGAATAGGCAATGTAACAGGGCCTATGGTTAGGTAGGCACGTTTATTAATTATTAGTGCTACTTATGGTTGTGGAGTTATCAATTATGTACCTCCCTAATTTCTTTGTGATTCATGTCATATAACTTAAGAGTTTAGTAAATACAGTATGTGAATAATTGTTTTTAGGATGCATATGGACTCTTTAAGGTCCTAATTTCCGCAAATTTTGATATAATATGGGATTTTGATGACATGAAAAAGAATTAGTTTATTCGAAATGTTTAACGCTTATACATGTGCATTTTCATTAAATGCGGTCGAGACTAATTTTATGCAACGAAACAAATTAAGCCATAATCTTCCACATTTATTCACGAATCACGAGGAAGGACGAGGTAATTCTATGGGCCGACTATGGGCCTGCAGAGACGTATACCATCATGGAACATTAGAAACCAAAACCCATTAAAATGTTGGTACAAGTGAAATTCATGTTTTCAATATCTCCCTCTTTTTTATTTGTCGGCTTCATGTTTTTTATTTGTACTGCATATATATACATTCTGATGATTATTCAAGGATCTCATCAAAGTTTTCTAAACTTCATAATTCATATATTGTCTGCTTTTTGTTTGTCTTTCTAGTTATATAACTTAGATGCGCTAGATCCTTAGATATTTGAATATTTCCATTCATTTTTTTTTCTTGGATCAAATGATATTTCCATTCATTATGTTTAAATGTGAGATGAAGGCGAAACGAAGCTAGAAGATACATAGAAGAAGTTTTTTTTTTTTTTTTTATATACATAGAAGAAGTTTATGTCGAGAACACGTGGATTTCAATTTGTTTATTAGTTTATCCAATAAACTAGCTAGCGAGATAGGGATTGTATATTAAAGACAATATAAGACTTTTATATTTGTCTTAACTATATGCATATAATTATATTAATAATGACTAAATGATTACAGCTTTTGAAATCATGGGACATGCTGTCGGAGACTAATAAATATGAACTCAAAACACAATTTCATAGCGCATCTGGATTTGCATGCGTGTTTAGGACCAAACATCCCACTTCTTAGTGATAATCTTTTCTTAGTACATAAATTAGGAAGAATTAAACCTTATTAACATCTGCACCATCCGTAACACTTAAGCATATATCGGCGGTTGACTTTCAAAGTTTAGACTTACAAAATGCATAAGTATGTATATGACTATATGAGCCTATCTGAGGTAAGAGAATTGGGTACAAACCGTACAAGTAATAAAAACTGTAATACATGATAGTATGATACAACTTACAAGTGAAATAACTCTTATTGGATTTATAACAAGCTTTCTAACAATCGTGAATTCGTAAGTAGGTTCTTGTTAAACTTCAATTAATTACGCGTGTTAAACAATACATAAATAAACTCCAGAAGATTATTCCATCCACACTTTTAGTGTTTTGTCAAAAGAAAAACCCATTCATCAGCCAACTATCTACGTAACATCATTTGCTTAATTTTACCCCAAAAAAAAACATCATTTGCATAAAGAAACTTCCATTTGAATTCCAATGGTAACATTATAGCATAAGAAAGCACCTTTAGTCAATGGGATGTATAATTACATTTTATATAATTGCTGAATGTATTAATAGCGTGCTGAGATAATACATGTACAGTTATATGTGTACTTCGAAGAAAATGGACATTGAGGTTTTATATAGAATCAAATAGAAATAGAAGTTACGTAGTGGATAAGATTGAGAGAGAGAACTCTTCCTATGTGGGTATTGCGAGGATAAGGTTTGATTAAGACTCTGCGTCAATTGATCTTCACCATATATTTAATAAAAAATCTCCTGGTTATAAAAATAGTCAAATTGTTATTAGATTCTTTACACATTGATTAACGATCATTGCTTATGCGTTAAACAGTCATTTTACTTGGACACTTCCATATGTCCCACTAAACATTGGAAACTTGTAGTTATAAAAAGTGTCTCAACAGTGTATATAAATCAACAAATTAAGCTATTGCAAAAAAAAAAAAAAACACAAAAACAAAAGAAAAGACTTCGTAGATAACACAATTTAAACATATTAGTATACACTTGATAAAGAAATGCAAGTTATAAAATTAATGCTCAGCCTGCGTTTATGCTGTGGAACGTAACTACAGTTGTAATCAAACTTATTAAACTAAACTTACTATTTTTTTTGTCAACACCATTATCCTTATAACGGTTCGGAGATCCAAATTGATAGGGATGAGTTTACATAATTTAATCTATAAATGTAGTCTCGAGCACTCTGTGCTAACTTGTTTGCCTTTGTATTTTCAGCATGTGGGATATGTAAGATAGAAAAAAGCTGAAATTTTTTCATGTTGGTCTCATATTCCTCCAAATGTGATGCGAAGATCAACCATTCTTCTGGTTTGGACACCATTTTTACCAATTATGAACACAGTCTGTAATTAAATCTACTATCTTTATATTTTGTATAAATATATATCGAGTTTTTTTAAAAAAAGAGAAAATTCTCTGAATTAAAAATTATTATGCTTTAGTTTTCAAATAATACAATTTTGAAAGGTTTTTTTTATACTACAGAGATAGTTCAAACGTTTTAGAAGGGAGTCTCAAACAGTTTAAGAAAGGTTCATAAACATTGAGTTAATAATTTATCCTAAATTTAATTTGTGTTATTTTGTAAATTAATGAACCCTTGTGATATAAAACAGATAATGGTGTTCGAACCGATTTTTCTTTGATTTAGGTTTGAACTATTAAACTTAAAACAAAACAACTGTAATCGAGATAAGTGAGAGATCAGATGATACAACAGCAATATAATTTTCATAACATTTAGACCCAAAAAACAGCAATTTTCTGGTAAAAAAAGATAGTACTTTCTCAAAGTTGACAAAGAAAAAAAGAGCGTTTGAATATTTCATAAGAATCAACACGCAAAAACTGCACTAACAACAACAGCATGAAAGTCATGAATATTTAATCCAATATCAATTAGTGGAAACTGTCGTAGGCACCCTCGTCACCCCACGATCGCTTCCGTCATTATTTTCCAGGCAATATCCAACGGTCAGTGTTTTTCTTCTCATTACTGAAAGTAAAAAATCATAAATCACCCAACATTACCAATGAAACCGAGTGACAATTAATTTGGTCAACAGAAATTGATGAAGAAACAAAACGGACACGGAACTGCTAATTTTATTTTATTATTTTCCAGTAAGATATTATCTAATTATTATTCAATAACCTTCTGGAACAGTAAGAATTAGAAAATGAATTCACTTTTTAGTCATAAAATCTGGAAGAATTATAAATTCCTTGTAAGCAATTTACCATAACATTCCAATTTCGGTCCTCTTCAGTCTCAATAGAAAAAAAAATCAAAAAACTCATTCAGATCAATTTTCTATTCTTCATTTTTGCTCTGTGACGACTCTCTCTTTTTCATTTTCCTTATAAATTCCGAAACTTGTTATTCAACTAAAACCTAACACCACACGAGTCTTCAAAGGTGTATGGAAACTGTAAAGTTTAAACACATCTTTAAACAAAGACCACAGACACAGAGACAAATCAGAAAATCAGAAACAAAGGAGTGTTTTTATCATTTCTGTCTTCTTCTGTGCAAACAGTAGACCCCCAAAGGTCAAACCTTTTAACCTTTTCTTTCTTCCTTCGGCTTTTCCGACGTTTATATCAGATTTCCTCTTGTCAATCTCAATTTGGACATCTCCATAAACCCGAAGACCCTTTTGCTCTAATCTCTCCTGGTAATTTGACTTCACCAACCCGATTTTTTTTTTTTTTTTTGTTTCTGATTCTTTAGATTCGTGCTGTATTGTTTCAGATTTGCTTGAATATCTTTAGAATCTCACTAGCTTGTTCGATTATGCTATTTTGCAAGCGGTTGAAAACCAGTCAATTAAATCATAGATCCCAGTCCTCTGAGCTGCGATTATGGAATGAAAATTCATGGTTAATCGGTTATGTTCTTTGAGGATTGCATAGATTTATTCGGTGTCAAAGGAAGAAACTTTACCTGAATATAATAAATTCTTATCAATTTTCAATGGATTTGGATTATATAGCCTGTGTTAATTGTATTTGGTGAGGTTTGGATCATAAAGCTACATATTTGTTTTATCTATCATGGACTAGTAGCAAAGTCTCAATCTTTTTTGGTTTTTGTTTTGCATGATTCAACATTCTTTTGTTAGAATCACAGTGGCTTGATGTTTTTTTCTGTGTGTGTGACATTCTAGTTGCAGTTGAATGGTGGAACAAGCTGTGGTTAGAGAACACATCAAAGCGAGAGTCATGTCGTTAGTGAGGTCGGCAGAGCCATCCTCTGCAGCGTATAGGAACCCGAAGCTTTACACCTTGAACGAGAATGGTTACAACAATGGTGGCACTTCTGCCGAAATCTTTGATCCAGACAGGTCCAAGAACACTTGTCTGACCGATGATTCTTACCCGAGCCAGAGTTACGAGAAGTACTTTCTCGACTCGCCAACAGACGAGTTTGTACAGCAGCCTATTGCCTCGGGCGCCTCCGTTAGCTCATTGGGATCCTTGGACTCGTTTCCTTATCAGTCAAGACCGGTTCTTGGCTGCTCCATGGAGTTTCAGCTGCCGTTTGATTCAACCTCTACTTCATCCACGAGGCTGTTCGGAGGTTACCAAGCGGGGACTCAAAGTCCGAGCATGGATGTGGTTGAGGCGTTTGATAACGAGCAAATGAGATCAAAGATCCAAGAGCTTGAAAGAGCGCTTCTAGGCGACGAAGATGATCAAATGACCGGAATGGATCAACTGATGGAGATCGACAACGAATGGTCTTACCAAAACGAAAGAGAGCAGCATCAGGACTCGCCTAAAGAATCGTCATCCGCAGATTCCAACTCTCACGTAAGTAGCAAAGAAGTGGTTTCGCAAAGCACTCCGAAGCAAATCTTGATATCTTGCGCTCGTGCGCTATCCGAAGGAAAGGCAGAGGAAGCTTTGTCGATGGTAAACGAGCTGAGGCAGATCGTTTCGATCCAAGGAGACCCTTCTCAGAGAATCGCAGCTTACATGGTGGAAGGTCTAGCTGCAAGAATGGCTGCTTCAGGGAAGTTTCTCTACAGGGCGTTGAAATGCAAAGAGCCTCCTTCGGATGAGAGGCTAGCAGCAATGCAGGTTCTCTTTGAGGTGTGCCCTTGTTTCAAGTTCGGGTTTTTAGCAGCTAACGGTGCAATCATCGAAGCAATCAGAGGTGTAGAGGAAGTTCACATAATCGATTTCGATATAAACCAAGGGAACCAGTACATGACACTGATACGAACCGTTGCTGAGCTACCTGGTAAGCGACCTCGCCTGAGGTTAACCGGAATTGATGACCCTGAATCTGTACAACGCTCGATCGGAGGGTTAAGAATCATCGGTTTAAGACTCGAGCAGCTCGCGGAGGATCATGGAGTATCTTTCAAATTCAAAGCAGTGCCTTCAAAGACTTCCATCGTCTCTCCATCCACACTCGGTTGCAAACCGGGAGAAACCTTGATTGTGAACTTTGCGTTCCAGCTTCACCACATGCCTGACGAGAGCGTCACAACGGTAAACCAGCGCGACGAGCTGCTCCACATGGTGAAAAGCTTGAACCCGAAGCTCGTCACAGTCGTTGAACAAGACGTGAACACAAACACTTCCCCGTTCTTCTCAAGATTCATCGAGGCTTACGAGTACTACTCGGCGGTTTTCGAGTCTCTAGACATGACACTTCCTAGGGAAAGCCAAGAGAGGATGAATGTGGAAAGACAGTGTCTTGCTAGAGACATTGTCAACATTGTTGCTTGCGAAGGAGAAGAACGGATTGAGAGATACGAGGTCGCTGGGAAATGGAGAGCGAGGATGACGATGGCTGGATTCAGTCCAAGACCAATGAGCTCGAGAGTGACAAGCAATATACAGAATCTCATAAAGCAGCAGTATTGTAATAAGTACAAGCTTAAAGAGGAAATGGGTGAGCTCCATTTTTGCTGGGAGGAGAAAAGCTTAATCGTTGCTTCAGCTTGGAGGTAAAACGATAGTAAACATAGTCGTTATGTTTTATAAAAAAAAACACTGTTTATCTTTTGTTTCGAATCTTGTGTTACTGTAACTTGTTGAAGCATCATCTCCTTGTATTATTACCAGAGATCAGGGATGATCACAGGTTCTAAAGCTAATCTAACACTTATGGAACAATGTTTATTTTCGTCTCTTTTATGTAAAACAAAGTAAAGAGTTTTTGGTTCTTAAACTTTGGTCACTGATGGTTGATATTGATAGTGAGTGGGACTGGTTGTGTTTGGAAATTACATGTTAGAATTTCAGTAATTCAATATACAGTAACAGAGAATTGAGTTGGTCTTATCAGTATTTTTTAAAAATCTTGGATTATTTTGTTATTATTTTCTCGAGTTTTTTGGATTTTTGGATAAGTCAATTTCACTTGTAACAACACATGTAAAACATTTGGGGACTGAGTTGGATACACTTAATATTGAGCCTATCAGTTTTAAAGACCATGGGACCATTATATCCCATTGATGTCATAAAGGGTTATCGTCTTCTTCACCAAACACTCGTTATCAGTAGTAGTAGAAAATTAGGAATCTTACATTTTTGCAGCATAATAGTTGTTTTTACATCCCAACGCAAAAGAAAAGCAAAAACGCTAATTAAGAAGAGTTAAAACGAAATCACAGAACAAATCCTGAAAAAGCTTTTCAAACACGCTGCTGCTCTTGCTTTCCATTAACCACATTTTGCTTCTTCTCCTCACTTTTCATCTCCAACGACGACTTATCATCCTTTTCAGCATCCGCAGGTTTCTCGCCTTTGTTTCCGCAATAGATGAAGTAGAGAATCAACTGAAGAGTCCCTAACGCACATCCAAACCCATTTGGGATCTTCACAACAACAACAACAAACCCCAAAAAACGTCAAAATTTAGTAATCAAGTTTTGTTTTTTCCTAATGACAAACCAACGAAAAGGAGAAATTAAACTTACTGCAACAAATGGGTCACGACCGATAAGACCATAGACGAACCACGAAGTTCCACAGAGGAACACAAAGAGCGATAAAAAGAATGGCATAAACTCTACACTCTTCGTCTTTATCACCAACCTCTGTTTCACCAGTCACACACCACAAATTAACAAAATTGAGCAAAATAAAAGAGACCCTTATAGATTTTGGTTCTTGCTGTTTGCTTACTTACCATGATTGAGAGTGGAGAACCGTACATGATAATGGAGAAAACGGTGGCTGCAATACCGCAGAAGAGTTTTCTACCGTTTCCATGGAGGGCGAAGAGAGAGACGAGAGCCACCGTCGCGAATACGGCCAAGACGGCAGTGAAGATCCCAAAGATCTTAGCTTTCTCCTTCTTCGGTGCATAGAAAAGGAAGATCAACACATAGATTGTCTCGATCACTGCTCCTGTTCCATTGATTGTGCTCACTAGTGTGTTGTCCTTTGACACAAAGGGAAGTCCGTACCTGAACAGAGAGGAACAGAGGAACCCAGAAACAGAGTTCATAAAAGCGATATATGATTACTTTGCGACTAAAAACGTTAGATTTAAGAATGGTTTTTACCAGGCGGAGAGGAGACAGTTGAGGAGAGTCATAGGGTAAGGGATGCCTGAGAATTGTTCGGTCGATTTGTTCTTGATGATTCTCTTGAATGTTATCCTGATTTCATTTACGAGCAAAGCAAAGAAAGGAATCTTGAGTTATTCTCGGATTTTCCAAAACAAAACAACAAATTAAACCAAAGAGTTGAGAGAATCAGGGTTCACGAGGATGAATACGTACGAAGGAGCCAAGAACAGAAACAGAGCAGTCGCATTTCCTGGAAAAGAAGAAAACGACAAATACGATAGTTTCAGTGGTTTCTTGTGGAGAAAGGAGAAAGAAAGAGAGAGAGAGAGAGATTGAGGAAATGGGTTACCGAAAACGCCGAAGATGGTGTGAGCGATGGTCATCTTTGATCTGTAACGCGACTAAAGATTTTCTCTTTTTCTTGTTTGCAAGCGGAGAGAAAGTGAGAGAAAATGAGCTGAGTGTTTGTAGCGGCAAGCGTCTTCCTCAGGGTATATATGAAGAATCTGCGTGTGCTAACCGCTTCACCGCGAAACACTAATTAATTATCAAATTTATTAGATAGGGCCCTATATTATTATTAGTGCAGTCGTGTTATATTGGATTTTTATTTTACATATTCAGATGTTTTTTAGTCAACAATACTTACTTTTTATTTTTTGTAAACTAAATATTGTTGACTAAAAAACTAACAAACTGTTCCTACATAATTTTCTCTCATAATTTTGAATTTTTGGAAACATAACAAAATTTAAATGCGTTACTTGTTTCGTCCTGACATTTTTTTTTCGATTAGAGCCACTGTGGCGATTTTTGTATTTTTCTTTCCTCTTGAGAAGTAGAGAAATAAATGATTTTGTCAAATGTTTATGGCTAAATATGAAATAACAGACACAAAAACATTTAATCCTTCTTTTTACTACTACTAATTAAGTACCTTCTGAACCAGCCAGAGTGATAGAGCGTGACGTTTATATGTGACTCGAGCCTGCATTTTCTGCGGTGCAGTGGCTCTGGTGGTTGATATTCTTTTTCATGATGTAACTTTTTCTTGATAACAGTTAATAGTGATCCTGAGTTAAATTCGACAACTTTGAAAGTTTCTGGTTGATCAGCTAAACCAAACCTGTTACAAACTGTCAAGTTTTTAATTTAAGGGCACCAATAAGTTCGTTTTAAATTAAATATCGATTAAAATATTTGTCTTTGTTAGTTTCACAAAAAAAATGTTGTTTTATATTTCTGACATATATTTATAATTTTATATACGTAAATAGATAGTTATATGATATTATTTTGAAAACAATAAAAAATCATATAACTAAAAAGAAAGAAACGATATTTAGTTAAAAATGAACGATTAAAGATCCTTTTATTTTATTATTATTATTCTTAGTATATATTTCCGCTGTCTGAATTTGTTTTAAACCTTTACGAATGTTTGTTGAACAAAAAAAAGAAGAAAACTTTACGAATCTTTCAATTGTTCTATACCAGTGAACCACAGCCACATGAGACATGATGCTCTTTATCAGAGTGATATTGCTGGAATGTTTTCCAGGATAACACAGGTTATTATCTACTCCAAACCATCGGTTCTTGATAATTTAAACCGGACTAAAACCAACAAGAATTCCATTGGTTTGGTTGTGAGGCTAAGGTTAAATGAATCAACGTCGGCAATTACGTTGATTATGGAAGATGATGACCTAAATGATTGTTTTTGTCTAAGACAAAATCATGGAATTGGCTATTCTCGCGTACGTGTTCAATAGATATTTTTTTATACGTATAGTTATAGAACAATATATAGCTATGTATAAGCATTTGCTAAATTCCAAAATTCTATCATGATATTCGCCCAAGAAAAAGAAAGAGTATGAAAATATTCCCCCAAAAAATACTACATTTTCTTATCAAATTCGGATTGTTTTTATTTCTTTGTTGTTGTCCGTGGCTACGTCAATATCTGTTGAGATTCTGATATTTACCTAGAACAAAGTGATGTAGTTATATATAGCAGTAGACTGTGATGTATATATATGATCCAGTCTGCAAGCAACGTGCATACTTTATCTTTATGCGTGCTCTGAAATCGTAGCCAGTGTAATTGTTTTACGAAAAAACAAAATTATTATTTTACGAAAGTAAAAAAAAAAAAAACATTTAGTTGATAAAAAACCTATCTAGTTACGTTCAATAATTATTTGTAATGCACTGTTAGAGATAGTAATAACAGTACATAAACACGATTATCATCGAAATAGAGAAATAGGCCGTTTTGAGGTTCGGTTTGAGACTTTGCGTCCGATGTCAATCATTGAAAGCGAAAGACTGAACTCAAATGATAATTATAAAGAAAAGGTGAAAAGATGACGTCAGGATAGGATTCGTATAAGCACCACATGGCATGGCATAACTCTTCACGAGTCACGTAGCCCTTTCCTTTTCCAGACATATCGACGTTTCATTTCCTAACCATTATTGTGTACTTTTGGTTATCCAAGAATCAGAATGAATAGAACAAGCCTAATAAATAAAATACTAATAACTTTTTCCGTTTGATAAAGTTTGATGTTTTATTTTATTTTCAATTTGTTTCTGGTTGTGTTTTTTGTTTCTTTTTTTCCTTTCGAAACATCTCATTTATTTGTATTTTCTTTACATGTACTAGGACAAGATAATAGCTTATATTGGTTTGCCAAATACGAGTGATCAAACGAAACTTCTACGTACTATACCTAAAAGATAAACTCTCGAGACGATCAATAAATATACACATACTTGATGTAACCATTCAACAGATATATTTGTTTTTATCCAAGTTCAAAGAGTTTTCTTGATACGATCGAATCAGTTGTACTTACATTCATCGATGGCGGACACAATTTTAAGAAGACCGATTGATTATAACTTCTCAGAATTAAATACTTTGCTTGCCCTAAAGGGTAGGGCTTTCTTCTCGACCTTTCTAACATTCCATAATTGATTTTCTTTGAAAACTTTGCACCTTCGAATGTTAGAGTAATAATGTCTTTACACTCTTCTTACCTACACTTTTGGCATTTAGCTCCTTATGATCCTTTTGTATTTATGGACTCTTAGTAACCACAAATTAAAAAAAAAAAAATACAAAGTCTTATCATCATCACGAAGTTACAAGATCATTCAGAATAATTCTTGAACTTTTAAAATACTTTTGGTATGCCATTTCCAAAAGACCCGCTGCAAAACATGTACAATGGATTAACCCGACAGCAGAGTGACTGTTAGGAAGATGTCAAATCTTTGATGTTACATAACCATATATTATATAAAAGCTTTGTACAGTATATTATTACCTGAAATAGAAAGTACCTATTTGCTTTGGTGAGCTGTGTAGACACGGAGGGTTGTTTTTCGATTTGAGCCCATTCTAATTACCGTGTGGGACTCTGTTTAATGGGATTATGTTAATTGGTTCCTTGTCGGTAGATGACTGTAACAAAACTTTTGTCCTTGTACAGACAACCATCTCTTTCATCTATCTGGTTGCTTCTCTGTTAAGCCAAATCAAATGTCGGCTAAAACAAAAAGAACCAGTTTCCTTTGATCCGTCTAGATCAGTCTGCAACCAAATAATTACCAGCAGAGAATATCTCTGTATAGTACTCACTGTGCTTCACTAATCTGCCGATTTGACTCTGATCTCTCTGAAACCTTAGTCTGTAATATATTACTCGGCCTTCTTGTTTTATCTACGAGTAAACTTACCGGTTGTAGCCAGTTTCGTCTCTGCTAGAACTTAAAAATTTCCCCATGAGATGCTTTTGCTTCATATGGTCCACATCGCATGAATACAAATGTTCCAACACACGAGATATCTTGTCTCTTTCTTGGTCCTTGAAGATAAATCCAATTTTGTTTCTTTTGTATGATCGTTTCGTCTAATACGATCTTGTACATTCATTAAAAATATTCTTGTGGTATGTACAAAACAATTTAAAGGTCACCGGAACTATGAATCTATCTATCAGTGTAAAGACCATAAAAACTCAACTTCATCACAGAGGAAACAAGAGATTCTTGTGGAATGGAGAAAACCTCAAGAACACTCACGGTAGAGGCATAGGAGGTCTCCAGCTACTGAAGTGGGCCAGTTCTCTATTCACAACACTGCCATTGTGCAGCCAAAACGTCTCCGTTGATTGGTGGAAATGTCTCACTTTGCGTTGAAGCTCCCACAGAATCCCTTTAACCGCACTGCACGATGCAGAATCTGGACCGTACACAAACAAACATCTAATTTTCCGACCGCGGGCTATCATTCTTTCTATGTCTCTATCTGTGAAAGACATGCCATGAGAAAGTTCTTAAAACTCTGAGAATCTGAGCAAACCAAATGATATTTGTCAAAGAAAAAGCAGTTTCTGAAGTAACTTATTGTTACCTGGAATTGAAGCTAAGTAACCAAGAAGCTCTGCGCCTATTCGAGTTGATGGCCATTTGATGGATACTTGGGCATAGTCGACGACGTTCTGGAAAGGCAGCTCGGCGTGGTCAGATAAGAGAACCGGGACACATTCCTGAACAAGCAGAATCAGAAAATTTCACAGTACATAAGGCAAGTTATAACGTAAAATCAAAAGTGTTTTTGTAAAGAGATGATAAAGCAGACCACAAAGAACGATTCATAAAAGCGAAGAGTCCATGATGATTCCCCACGAGGAGCGAGGCAGAACTTCGCGTTCCTCAGATGTTCAAAGTATGTCGTTCTTCCAAACTTTTCGGTTCCGCTGAACTTCAAGTCTGGACATTCCAACTGTTCACAAAACCACTCATAAGAAGCAAGCAAGGGAAAAGACAACCACCAAAATAATAATGCAAGTAGCTTAAGCAGATCGTTGATGGTTTATGAGAAGTCTTTGAAGAAAGTATGAGAAGACTAACCTTATCTGGATACTGCTTTGAGAGGTCTATCAATTTAAGTCTACCAGCCTTCCCTTGTGCACGACCCAAATAATTTGCTAAATACTTCCTCTTGGGCAAAGGCAAAGGCTGAACATCAGGTTGTCCATTTTTAGTCATAGCATCATCGACGTTTCCTGGTATGATTATATCTTTCCATGTATTAAACGCAGTAGTGTCTTTCTTGTCAGTCCTGTCACCCTGCATCCGCAATCGTATAAACATTCATTTTTCTCTGTAAAAGAAACTCTAAGAACCTAGCACATTGCTTTCAACGGATAGTTCTTTAAGTAGGCACATAGACCATCCACTTTACTCCAAACAACCCATCAAATCAGAAGAGAAAGATATGGAACAGAGAAATTTTCACATTGGCCCTTCACTTCTAACATCACATATACTTTTAAAAGACAAGAAATTTCCTCAATAGAAAGCAAGCTAAGTACCTCGGGAGTGAGGATAATAGAACGGTTGATAAATGTTGACCACGACCTAAACAAGTGAGCTCCAGCACCACTACATTAGCATAACAAAGAAACGTGATGTCAAAGATAGCATATTTATTGATCATAAGTATATAATTACAAATGGCAACTTGTATACCTTGGAAAAACAAATATATGATCACGACCACCGGATCTTCGGAAATACGGCATTTGACTCAAGACCTAGAGGAGATGAGAGAAGATGTGAAACATATGTATCATCGTAGATCGAAACCCACAAAACATCAGCATCTGCAAATTGAATCAGCGTTTCAGGGTTTCGTTCACCTTGACATACGTATGGTTGATCTCCTTGTCATTAAGACCTCCCAACATTCTCACACATTTAACATAAGCTGGCACAAAGAACAGATCCGCCTCATCTTTCTTACTTGTCCTAGATTTGGACTCCAGAAGCAGCTTATGAATTTTAACCTATCATCATTATATTCATAGGCAAAAAAAAACTCATAAGAGTTGCATCCTGAAACAACCAAACACATTCATACTTTCTACATTTAGAGATCGCCTAGTTCCAGAACATGTTCATTGCTACTGCGCGAGATTGAAAATTAGCTAATAGCCGGATAAATGAATCGTTCGCTAATTCATGTGAATTAAGGTAAAATTCACAGCAGAGACTGAGAGATTCGAGGAAGATGAGTCACCTGAGATCCCCATTGGCCTTTCAAGCATGCGGCGGTCTTAACACTACCATCCCTACCGTACATGAGCTCTTTCAGGCCGTCGATCTCATTCTCATCATATACGTAGATCTTCAGCGAAAGGTGAGACCCATACCCTCCCTCCGGCCACCGTAGAATCCCGTTATCACTCGTGATTCCGGAGGAAGAAGTATGGCGGAGATCAATCGCCGGAGTAACGGAGTTGGAGTCCGATAACCACTGATCGAAAAGCCTGGTGACGAAGAAGGTCGAGACGACGAGGAAAAGAGCTCCAATCTGGTGCGTGCGGGTGCAGGGAGTGGCGTAGTGACTGTATGCACCAAAGTTTCTAGGCTTACTGGTTAAGCTCGCCATTTCTCTCTCTCTCACTCACTGCTCGTTTGTTTTGTTTCTTTTTAATGTTTATAGCATTTTTTGAAGAAAATTGCTTTAGATCTTGCAAAGACGTCGATTTCATTGCGTTCGGTGTTAGCAAAACGGTGTCGTTTAAACATGACCGTGCATTCATTAAAACGGCATCGTTTAAACATGACCGCATTGAAGAACGAAAAAGAATAAGGTTCATCAAATTGTTTTGTTGATACAAGCCCAAAATCATTAAGTATAAATATCTCAAGCCAAACTATATAGTAATAAATAATGAAACATTGGATGATTGTTGTTCTAGAATGTTGCTGACAAGTGTATTCAGGTGCTGTCCTGATCTAACATTCTGGTTCCCTAATATCTGATTCTGGGTTCGATGCAGCACCTTATTGATCGTCGGTTTACTTTGTGGCCCGATAAGTGTTGATGTGATCTTCGGTTTTTGGAAAATTGAAAACATATCCAAGCTTTTTCAATGCGATCAACGGTTGAAGTCTAAGTTTATAACAGGCCCTGACCCCTGACAGGAGCAGGAGCATGACAAGAGCATCCCTTCTCGGATATCAACAATGCTTTACTAAAAACAAAATTAGACATGGTAATGGATTCTCTTGATGTTCTAAAAGCATGAACTTAAATGCACAACATCATATTCATTAATTGGGGTTCATCAAAAGGTATCAGGTATGAGAATCGACATCTATAAAGGAACTATAGCTGTTGTATACCCCAGAAAAGTAAACTATACGGTCGAGAAATTACAGAACTTACAGTAAAGAGAGAGGAGTTTTAACTGCTGGTGGCGGTGATAAAGAGTTAGTAGAATTGTCGGTCCAATTCTTGTCGCCCCAGTGCCAAAGCATACTCTCCCAGTAGCAGAAATCTTCGAAACAAGTCTCTAGTCGCTTGTCTTTGATCTTTATTTTCCAATGTCCGTCAGTGAAGTTTCCTTTCTCAGCTTGCATCCTGTCCCATTCAAGCTGCGCCTTCTGTTTCGATCTCAGCAGACAGAATTTCTGCAAGTTCTCAGGCATGGCGTCGTGCACTTTCCACCAGGTTCTGTGGGCTACGTCGCTTGCAAACTCCTGCAGAATGTCTACGTTCCAGTTACAGTCGTAGTCTCGGAAGCATATCCAGGGCTTGTTCCCAAGGTAATGGAGGACGTAGAGGATAGGAGGATCGGTTCCAAAGAGACGCGTCTTCATCTGCTTTATCTCAGGCTCATCACCTTCCCAGAAATGCTTCAGAAAGTTCATGTGTTTCGGGATCCGATGCCACCACGTGTATACTTCGTTGAGGTAACCTTGGTCTCCTCCGTTGTACGACACGATTTCATTGATGTGATCCATAAGTAGCTGGAACGTGGAGTTTGATGGCTCAACTACCATCACGCCGGAGTTGAAGAGCGTGGCGTTGTTTCCGGTAGCAGATATTTCAGGCATCTCAAAGAGGAAGTCAATGTTCCTAAGGATAAGCATATCAGCATCGATGAAGATGATCTTGTCGTACTCGGTCAATTGCCAAAGACGGAACTTGCTGTAGTTCCATTCGTTGTATGCTTCTGCTTCAGCTTTCGGATTCCTGATTCTTTGAATGGGATAGATCTTCCATCCAGCGGCAGCCAGGCCACCTCTATGGTACTCAGTTATCGAGTCATCAACAAGTATCACCAGGTCTCGTGTAGAGCCAGCCATGCGAATGCTCTGCGCTGCTGTTATTGCTCCACAGACATAAATGTTAGCAGAGTGTAATATGGTAGCATATGCTTCTCTCTTTGCACTTGCTGAGTAGAAAGTATCTGCATGAAAATAATGCCAGGTTAGGCTCTTGTATCATTGGCGATGCTAAACCAGCCAGGTACAAAAGATGAGTATTTTTCAGAGCAATGCTTCCAGAAAAATGGATTATCAATGTATTTAAATAGTCATCTAACCCAATTTAGATGCGACTGATACAACCTTAAATAAAGTTTAGAAAAATTAAAGAAGTTGATTCTGACCTTTAGCTTTAAGAGGAACTGTAAGTTCACAGGAACCAACAGGCAGCTGTATTTTTTGCCTCAGCTGGTGAAGGTTGGGCTTGTACAGCCATAGATTTCCTTGACGGGCAACAAGCTCCTTTCCAATAAAAAGATTTGGAATGGGGAAGCAATCAGTTATCAAAAGTACATGCACATCGTGAAGCCCTTTAGAAGAGGCAGCCACTCGAGCTGCTGCAAGTTGCAAGTGTAATCTAGCAACATCCCTTGACCACTTTCCCGCTTTGTTGCATGGAAGCTTGACGACGACAAGATCAATCCGAGGTTTGCCAGGAACTTGAATCCAAGGAAGAGAAGGACAAGTGGGAACTTCAAATTGTTCTTCTTCATCAATCCATTCCGGGTATAAGGACTCCCAAGTTATGTTAGTTGGCATATGGTCCAGGTGAAGTGAAATATGGTCACAGTCAGGTATCAGCTCCTTCCATTGATCAATATCATCGTCGTTAAGATTTATAAAGCCAACCCCTTGATACTCGCTCTTTCCAGTCAACTTCTCGACGATGTTTGACATATGGTCCCAGTTTATCCCAGCTGTTGATATATAGCGAGGATCAGCTGCAGTTGACTCTCTCGTCCATCTGTTTATGAAACTAGACAATGGGAGCGCTTCATTAGTCAACAGGATACAGATGCGTCGCACAAAATATGAGATCAAGTGTAGGGAACATGACAATAGAATCGTCTACTATTTCAGAAAGACAAATCCTCTGAGGAAATGAAAAAAAAATCCTCTCACAACATAAGAAATACAAGATAATGCGTAAGGAGCATGGTATACCTAGAGTTATTATTGGACGGATGGTCTGCAATGTGTACTGCTGGTGAACGCGAGAGCGTATACACAGTTCCCAGCACAATGAGAATCAACACAACTTTGAGAGTAGAGAACTTGCCAGTCCAATTTCTATACTGAAAGGAGCCATGTAAGCCCTTCTCGAGATCTTTAGTATCTCGATTTCTCAGAGATCTCCTCCTGTTTGTGTCATCGCTATCAAAACGCATAGTACGTATGTCAATCAACAAGTAGGAAGACAGCAAAGAGGTTTTAACATCAAATGCAGTCTGTAACCTAAACGAGAGACTAAGGAATTTGAATCTATAACCGGAATTCCAGTGATGGGAGTCAACGTACTGCATATACAACTCAGAAACGGATTTGAATCGAGGACATGAAATTGAAAAATTACAGCTAGAACAAACATTTCAGCTAGATCACCATTAACGAAGTAAAATGCGAGCAAAGGGAGCACGAAATGAAAACAGGAAAGCAGTAAAGCGAACACGATCTCTAAATCCATGAGATAATCAAGAGTCAGATCTCTATAATTCACATTCCCAAGTTGAAGCTAAGTTAGAAACAAAATCCTTCAACAGTCGAGCTCAAAATTGACAATGGGGAAACAACGGAGTAACATAGCGATCCGATTCCGCCAAATTCACCCCAAGTGCCGACGCTTTAGCTAACTAGTCAAGCATAGTATCGAGAAACTGAAGAAAAAAGAGCGGAGACTTACGTTTGACTAGATAATCGATGCCTGGGCTCTACGGGACTAGGGGAAGGAAGCCTCATAGTCTAGGATCGATCAGTCGGAGCAAGTAGGCAGCTGCAGCAGCAGCACGACGATGGTGGCTTCAGATTTTCTTCTTCACTGTTTGATTTCCGAGAAAACTGCCGAGAAAATTAGAGAGAGAGAGAGAGTTAAGAGAATGGGAATCAAGTAGTAGCTGTAACAAACGAAATTATTTGCCTAATGGCTGCGCTGTGTTATTATTTACAATATTTTTTTTGGTTTTTTCTGAAGAAAAAGTCTCTTCTTCTCTCTCGCTAATTAAAATTTGTGTAACCGAAAACGGTGCGTATAAGGAAAAACGTTACTTATGAGAATCTTAATTTATAATTATGCAACAAGCTTCTCCCAAACAATCAATCTCTTGAAAGTTGATAGATTGTAGGTGGAATTAATGGATGGCTTTGGTTCCTTGTGAAATGCAATTCCAGAAAGACTTGAATATATGGAGAAAGTTGTGAGTCTATTACAAAATTAGAAAACATATATGATCCAAGTCCTACACTTCCAACTGAATCTACTTATTTTGCTCACCCTTAATTTTTTAGCAATGTTTTAGTAACAAATGGTGACTAGAACATAAGTAAAAGTAATTTTGGTCACGATTTGTGACTAAATGATGACAGTTTTTTCCTAATTCTAGTTTAGTAAGAAGTTGTAAAAACATCACAAATATTGAAAGTTTGTGATGGTCATGTGAATATAGGTCCATAGTCTTTTTACTTAATCACTACACATAAAATAATCATGCAAGTCGTTTATTAACGATTATTCTCCAGTATTTTTGGTACCATTTCCAAAGCTTTGGATTTCCGACACAAACCTTTGAACAGTCTAAAATGTACCTCTTAATTCATATTGCATTATTTATTTTATTTTATAATAAATTATGTTATATGTTGGCTAATGTTTGATTCTATTGTCGTATGATCCTCAAATTGTCTAATCTAACTGTGATGATTTCACAAAAGCTAAATTACTAATGCTGGATCTGATGCCACAGAATCATCATAAGAATCAATTGAAATACAGTAGTGTGAACTAACATGATCGAGATGAATTTGATAGAGACATATATATGAATGAAAGGGTTTAGATTTTTGCGTGGATACTATTGATCAGAAGAAGAGGAAGGAGGAGAAGATGGTTCATCTTCAATAACAGATTTGCCTTTCTCTCTAAGTTTAGCCATTGAAGCCTTCATTGCCTCTTTACGCTTCCTGCTCGCTAATACCTTAGCTTGAACTCCGCTCACGTTTGGGTCTTTCTTCTCCGCCGTTGGTGGCGGAGGCGGCCGTCTTGCTGCCGCCATTGCCTCCTCCTTACCGTTTAGAGCGTTCCAACTCCATAGTGCACCGCCTAACCCCACGACAATTGTCCTGCATAGGCATTCGAAACATGACTTTCTTGAGAACTTTTCATTGTAAAATTCAATGTAATATTAAAAAAATCTTATCTAATTTATAAAGACAATGATAAAATAAACATAAACGATTACCTGCGATTAATTTGTGGAACTTCAAGGATGATGGGAGGAGTCTGCGGCCGTGACCGCGGTGATGGAGAGGAGAGGCTACCGGCGTGAGCAGCCGGTAAGAGAGGAGATAGTGAGTGTGTCATGGCTAATCCAAGAATGCGTTAAAAGCAAGTGATGTTACAAAAATTGGTAGACACTAATAGAAGATAGAGTGGGATAGTGTTGTTGCATTTTGCAATTTATATCTGCCTCCTCATTGGTTGGATTTGGATAAGACATCAAAATAGATTTTTGTTTGTCTACCAACAATGAGAAGCCTTTTTTCAAGAATGTGAAACGCTGCGTTTTCGTCGTCTGTTTTTGTTTTATGATTTTTAAATATTTTTGGCTTTCGGTTGCAGTTTCTCTTCTTTTTACAGATTTAAAAATTTGAAACTTGACAGTATGGTTGAAAAATATAGAAATAATAAGCTCCTTTAGCTGTATTCAATCCAAACTATTTCAAATGCATACAAATAAAAGTAGATTTTTAAAAAAAAAGTAAGTGGAGAGTTTTGATCTAGCTGATCATCACAAACCTTTAATAAGTTTTTCTCAAAAAAAGCAGAGAAGGAAGAAGAAAATGTCTGAAACAAGTACAGAACCTATCTGTGCACACAAACACATCTTCAACAAACAAAAACAAACTTAATCCTTACAGAAAGATGAAGCAATCCAAATCAATTAAAGGATTGCCGATCTCTTCAAATATCGGAACAACCGGTTCCTTGTGGCCTTCGACTGCTTCTTTGATAGCGGTTTCGTCGATCTTAGAACTTATACGATGAATTCTAGTCTCTGATCTGTTGTTCTGAGAAAAATTCTTGGGACGAGACAGATCTAAGCTATCTTTCCTTAAACAAGAAGAGACTGACTGTACCGTGGAATGTCCCGTTGTCGTACCAAATCTCCTGCTTGGAGATGGCGATTTCAAGAGATTGCCCTCAAATCTCCTGCTTGGAGATGGCGATTTCAAGAACTTTCCCTTGGTTATAGAATTTGATGAAGGCATAATAACCCTTTCTTGATCTAGACGAAAGCTCTTCTGTCGTGTCAACGCACGGTGGTTTGGCGATGGCTCTCGGGTTCTCTTAGAACCATTTGCTCCTCTCTCCGGCTTTTCATTTGCTCTGTTTGGTGTTGTTGAATACCGGTTTGGCTTAACAGGGGAATTAGACCGGCTAGGATGCCCCGGTTTAGCGTTTTTCAGAGAAAGAGAAGATTCTCGTAAGGAATTGATCCGAGCAACATGTGAATTCTCTTGGTAACAAGCACGCAAGAAGTCGTTTGAGAACGATCGCTCCTTTGAAACCGAGATCGAAGAAGCGGTTGAAAGTGACGAGCTTGATGAGCTGAGAGAAGAGTTGCTTGTGGTTGAAGGTTTGATTGGAGAGAAAGATGCCAACTTTACATGAGGAGAAAGAAGAGGATGCAGTTTTTCTGGGATTTGGATAAACTTATCCGGGACAGGGATGGGATTAAACCGGTTCTTATCAGGAAGAACAAGTGGAGAAACTCGACTTGGACAGCGAGACATGAACAGCTTCTCTGGAACATAACAGTACTTCTCTTGAGGTTCTTCTACTTGTTTGAAATCTTTTGTCTTTGGAGAGAATTTGCTGATGCAACAACCCATTTCTTGGGAGTGAGTTTGATTTCAAATTTTTTTGAAATAATCTGCAGGAGAAAAGTATAATTAAAATGTATTGGTTTAAACAGGAGATAGAGATGCATATTGTATATATACAATGCGTCTTTTGTGTGTGTGGACTTTTTAGCTAAGCATGTTATAAAAAAGGATTAAGGAGGAATAAAGTGGAAGAGAGTAAAGTGAGGTAAGTTTTGAATTTTGGTTGGCGGGTCTTTCGAGTATGAAGCCGTTAGTGCTAACGGATTAGTATAAAGCCCAATAAAAAAAAGTGAATTAGTGCAGGAGGCCCAGACCCATTAGAAACACAATGCATGGGCCGGGAATGATCTAGCAAACGGTGAAGGCAATCTTGTAATTAAGTGATTTGCTTTATCACAAGAATTAATCCCTGGGACCCTAGGGTATTTTTAAGCGACGAAACATTTTATAAAATTAATACTTTTTACAGAAATTAAATTTTACCGAACAAAGGTAAAGGAAATTAAATTTTTACAAGGAAATTTTAACTATTCCATACTTGAATGTATACACTTTCATGTCGAACCAAAATCAGAGCTAATGATAAGCACTGAAAGAAACGGGACTCCTAATCAATCGTCATGAGTGACGATAACCTTGCTACTTTGGTGGGTCCCTATGTCTCCTTGTTAGGACCTTTGCTTCTTTATTTTCATTTTTAAACGATTATAATCATTTTTTGTTAACTCTTCGGCATTTTTTTCCGTTTTCGCATGTTCTTTTTAACTTGACGTGGTATATATAACTTTTTAACTTTATTACAAAATACAAGTTTTTTTCCACAAAATAAAAGGTTTTTAACTGTAGGAAGCTTTGTTGCAAAATGCCATTTGTGGTGAGTTTTTTTTGTTTAATAACTAGAGACGCCCAAAAAAAATTATAGGGGAAAATACTAGAAATTATAAATTTATGTGTTTCGGATGAAATTTGTTTTTATTTTCGGACAATGTCCAAAATACTAGTAGTAATAAACGATAAAAAAAACATTAGCCGACCGACACACATCCCAAGTTCCACAAATAAGACAAGCTTCCTTCGACCCAAGCATATCTTATGATGGATTTGCACTGAGATTAAAATCTCATGTTGGATTCCAAAAATACTCTTTTAAAACTAAGTAAGATTCAATGTTATTTAGTATTAAATATTATTTCAAATCCATAGGTTACATTTTAAAATCAGATATCACAAATATGTATAAATCATATAAATTTTAAATCAATTAAAATGTAGAAATGAATATAATACTGTCTTCAGATACTGTACAAACCTGTTGGATAACGAATTTGGGTCGTACGGCAAAATCTTTTTCCGGTATCCACCACTTTTTCTTTCTCCTTTCTTATATCATTATCACAAGGTTTCTTAATTTCGAGACAGCACGTTTGTATATTATATTCGAAACTACATCATATGTTCATGACAATAATATATAATCACATATAATTATTTTCGTTTCAAAAATGGAAAAGAATATATTTGATCCCAATAAAAAGTGAGTATGTTTAAGGAGAAACAAAAAAAGAAACAGAGTGTTTTAGAAGACTAATCACATATGATGATTTTACAAAAGAATAGGATAATTCATGAACTACCTCCCTTTCTCGAGGACTAAACACACAAAAAAAAATTCAAACAAAACAGAGAATCTTCAGCCTAAGTAAGCTTTCTTCTACTTAAATAATATAATACAAACAACAGAAAAAAAAAACAGAGGAAAATAAGAACTCAATAAAGATCATGACGGCTAAATATCATCACACTCCACCGGGAAAAAAAAAAGACCGGTCAGGGGATAGTGGGGTACACGCGCTTGTCGTTAACGTCACCGGAAGGCTCAGAACTCCGTTTACTAACAGAGTGGCGGAGGAGGAAAGAGAAAATGGATTTGAGAGCTTTCGTCTTCACCAACTCTCTCTTCTTGGGGATCACAGTCCCTTCTTTCTTCTTGAACGGCTTCAATTCCCCGGAGCCCATCTTCTTCGGCCTATAGATTTAGATGTATGAGTTTATGTGTTATGTGTATGTATGTATGAAATGTATGAGTTTATGCTTTGTAGTTTTGCAGAGATCCAAAATTTGGGGTTTATATAGAAAATAAAATTTCCCACAAGGCCAGAAGTGAGTTATAAATTGTGCTCTCTAAGGTTTGTTCACACTACGTGTCCGCTATCCATTTGCTATAAATATGATTTTTTTTTCCAACAGCTTGATGTTTTAAGTTTTCAAAGGAAAAAAAGCAAAGGGAAATTTACATATATTTTGTTGCCAGCTAACAAGTGAAACTTACTTATGTGGATTTACATAAATGGGAATATTTGAAATATATATATATATATATATATATATATATATACCACTCTAAATAAAATCAAATTATTATAATACGAAATTTCCATGCAGCCCCGACACTAATAATTAAATTATATTTTCATATTTTTATCCTTTTATTAATGTATTTCGCATATTACTGAAAAGGCACAAACTTAAGAACTATACAGATCACTCTAAGCATCGGTGCAAGGAACTTGGATGACAATCCTTGTAAGTTGATAGAGAAGTTTGTATCTTTTGTTCACGACGATTATTCAAAAAATCGACAATAAGTGAAGTTCGAAAACAACAAGAAATTAAATAGAAAACAAATGTCCAGTTAATGTGAGTAGGCTTGTCTTTTAAGCTTAGCTTAGCTTGAGTGTTCTCGCTTTTTTGGCATTTAAAATCAATCCAAAATCTTTTATTCCTTCCTAGTATCCATTTTCTTTTCAAGACACGAATTCATGACTAGCTTTATAACAATACTTTCAAAAGATATTGACGTTGACTGTTGACTGTTGACTTTGACAAAAATATATTTATATAAACATGGGCACTACGTAAAAAAATAATAAATCAATAGACGAGATGAGGCTTGTAGAGAATAAGTGTGTATCAAAATAACTGTAAGCAGATTAGTCGTTATTGTTCATTGAATCTAAACAATACCCAAATGTACCAATCATGTCTATATCACCTTTTAGCATGGGTTTTTGCTATATTTGTGTGATTTTTTCCCTTTTTCATAATAATTTGATTGTGGAGAATAAGTGTGTATGAACATAAATATAAGCAGATTAGTCGTCATTGTTCAGTGACACTAAACAATATCATATTTTTATAGTATACCACTCATGTCTAAACAATATCACCTTTTTATTATAGACTTTTGCTATATTTGCGTGGTTTTCCCCTTTTTCGTAATTATTTGCTTTTTGGTGATTTTTAGTATGTATATGGATATCGAAATGCATATACGTGTCTAGTTATTTTGCAGATATATACGTTTTAATATTAATATTTTCTATATAGAAATAGACAGAAAGAAATTTTGTTGTCAAAGATCCGTATGAGTAATGAGTGTGTGTGTGAAGTGTGAACGTAGGGGGATTAATTACTAGGAAACTACAATTAATCATAACTAACAGAAGATTTCCACCTTAGTATTTCATCTTGTATTCTATCTTTTTTCACCATGTATCTCACTTTGGTAATAAAATTTAGACGAAAAAAAAAAAAATCATAACTAACAGAAGATGTTATCCTTTTGAAAAAAAATCCATTCATAGTTTTTTTTTTTATATAAAAAGGGCATCCATTCATAGTTTTGGAAGATTCGTATTGTGTGTGAAACAGCTGTAGAGTCAAAGACATGACTTTTTTATATGTTAAGACATGACTTTCTTTTGAGGATTAATTTACCTAATAATCATATTTGGACCAAAAATTAACATTATATACAATATATATATATATATAATTACCTATTTTTGTACTGATTGGTAAATAGTATAGATGCATGAAACTAGCTCGCTCTTGCTCTTGATCTTGATCTCCACAATATGATTCCTATGTGAAGAAAAAAAAAATTACACCCCATCTCATCATTTTCCAACTCAATTTCAGATCAATTTTGTTTTTGAAAATGATGAGTAATTGTAAACATTTCGTTTAACTATATAGTATAGAAGAAAATATATTTTAGTTTTATATAGAACGACATGTTACACATCGTTACTCATCTTGATTTTGTTTTTCGATGGTTATGAGACATAAAATAAATCTAAACCAAACTAACAAGTATTAGGTTGATACATGGGGTAATTCTCTTGAAAATGCTTAATTTAATTTGTAAATTGTAAGTATGGTTTTGGCTTCGCTATTCTCTAATTCCGTTCATGAAAATTACTCGACTGTGTTCCAATTCTCGACTTAATTAAAGAAACTTTTAAATTCAAAAAAAAAAAAAAGCAGAGACGAGGAGCAGCCAAACATGCATTAACGAAGCTGCATTTCTGCCAAATCATTGCCTCATTGATAGAAAAGGCCTGTTGATATCTTATGCTCTTTGTTTTATATTATTGACGTAATCAACTATATATTTTCTTCCGTTTTCCTTTATTTCTCTTTCAGAAAGTGTAAACCGTTTTTGTATTCACTGACGTGACATAGACATAGAACTTGGTTACAAAGCTATTGATCGATATTATAGGGAAATTTCTAAAAATAATTTATAGGGAAATTTGACCAAAAATTTATAGGGAATTTGTTGAAAATCAAGCAGCACAGGCAAACTATGAGGTTTGTTCTTTCTTTTTTTTTCTTCTTTTTTTTTTTTTCTAATAAGCTGTGGCACTCACCGAGTTCCTTCATTTTCTTCTTCTTTCATGCAGTGTATACATTTTTTTTTGGTCCAATATTTTTTTTCATTAAGTTAAGTCGAGATTACAAGACGAGAACTCTATGTTAAAGAGTCCGAGTTACAAACAAACGAAACAAAAACATAATTAAAGTACAGAACAATGTAAGCATAAGATAGGAGAAGCTTTCACAAGTAGAGCTGTTGGTTATTGATGAAGCAGCAGCTATTCCTTTGCTAGTTGTACGGTGCTTGAGGAAACAAAATGAGAGGGGAGGATGAAATTATCGAGGCACATGATCAAAGTATGCTCTCTCTCTCTCTCTGACGATGAATGAATCTCGGTGCTTGGTTTATTGGGAAACTAAATATTAGTTTACTTCTCAATGTTTGGAAATGAGTAGATCGCAGCAAACGGGGCGTGGTTATATAGCCAGTATTTACCAAGAACATGAGAAGGCCTCTCACCATCTAGATAAGTGTCAAGCACAGGATAAGACAGCTAAGAAAGCTTCAAATGGCAAAAGCAAAAGGAAAATAAAGCCAAAAACCCTAAATTGAAAGACAAAAGTCTAAGGATGAGAACATGTCGTGGGGACGTGTTTAAGGTTGATCCCAGTGGAACAGAGGGCTTGCAGGACGTCCCAAGGGACTTGTGATAGTATGCCAACGGCAGTGATGGTGATAGCACCATTGTACCCTAAACTCTTGACCCACCCGACGAGACGAGCATCAACGTCAGTGGGAACAGGACACCTGGTTATGTCCCACCAGACCCATGTCGGAAGATCAGCCTGCCACTTCGTCTCCGCCTTAAGGTCCATCATCGTTCAAAGACTTTTAAACCTAAACAAAATTCAATTCAAAACCAGTTAGGTTTTCAATCTAGATGAACGGAAATCACCGACCGACAGAGAGAACATACACACACACACACACACACTCTGCACGTTTTATATCGCAATCATGATTGCTAAACCAACAAAGCCAAGGTATTTTTGTAAACCCCCACACTAATTTCCTACCAACACAACGAATCTGACAACAATTTCATCCAACTATTGTACCAATTAAAGGGAATCGATCAAATCAGAAACAAAAAACGAAACTGGAGAGTACTCATTAAAACACAGATGACCACGAAGGACAAAAATCATGAACAACAAAATTGGGAACAGAGAAGCGTTACCTGAGAGGAAAAAGATGGAGCGCTCAGCCGAAAGAGATAGAGAGAGAGAGATGCATAAATGTTGACATTAGTTGTATCTTAGCGCGCACTCTATTTGTATGGGCCTATACACATGGCCCATTAGTTGTATCTTAGCGCGCAGGCGGACAAAAAGGCCCATCGATTCGCGCGCGCCACAGATTATAACAATACTTTCAAAAGATATTGACGTTGACTGTTGACTTTGACAAAAAAAAAAAACATAAACATATGCACTAATAGGATATATCAAATCATGTCTCAACAATATCAATTTTTTATGGAGAAGAAGTGTGTATGAAAATAACTATAAGCAGATTAATCGTTCTTGTTCAGTGAATCTAAACAATATCATCTTTGTACCAATCATGTCTAAAAATATCAACTTTTTATCCTAGGATTTTGCTATATTTGTGTGGTATTTTCCCTTTTTCGTATTAATTTGCTTGTCGATCTACTGATGTTATATATTTTCTGGATAGATACGGTTTTTACATTGATATTTTTATATGAATGTTTTATAATAGATATATAGAAATAGACAAAGTCAAACCAATAATTTGGACTATTTTTACAAAGACTTTTTAAAAAAATTGGATACTGGACTATGGACGATCGTCTCTCTTCCCAACCCCTTTGGGTCACGCGTGAGTCAAAGATGCCATATCAGTAATGAGTGTGTGTGTGAACGTAGGGGGATTAGTAGGAAAGTACAATTGATCATAACTAACAGAAGATGTGATCCTTTTTCGAAAAAAACAATTCATAATTTTGGAAGATTCGTATTTACAAACTTTCTTATATGTTAAGACATGACTTTCTTTTGAGGATTAATTTATCCAATAAATATACTTGGACCAAAAATTAACATTGTATACAATATATATTTATAATTATCTATTTTTGTACTATTTGGTAAACAATATAGATGAAACTATCCCTATCTCATCATTTTCCAATTCAATTTCAGTGTGTATATTCATGCAATCTAGTAATTTACTTAAACGAACACAAATTTTGTTTTTCATACTAGATTGAATATAAAACACTTTTGAATTTTCTTCAACGAACACAATTTTTTTTAAAAAAAATGAC